TTCTTTATATAATAACTTATTTATAAATTATTATAGTAGATTCTTATAATTTCTTAATAGATTATAAGTTCGCTTTTAGGAATATAAATATAATTATTATATTTTAGTAGTCTATCTTAGTTTCTTATACTCTATTATATCTTTAAGGGTTATTTAAAGTCGCCGGTTTCCTATATCTTTTTAAATATATTTTTATAGAACTTATTCTTTACCTATATCTTAAGTATAAGTTCTACTATAATTTTTAATAGCTTATAGGTATATATAGTTTCTTCTTTAGTTACTTTATATACCTTTTTTTAATTTAGTAATCTATTTATTATAAGTTTAATAAAGATCTTTATATATATTATAGTTATTATAGCGCCTAAATATATTATATTTTATAAATCTTTTTAATAGATAGTATCTTTACTAATAGTCTTTTTAAGTCTCTATATAAAGATATTATAACTTATAGTATTTAGTAGCTTATCTATTATATAATTAGATTATCTATTAGGAGTATCTATAAAGTTTATTTTCCCTAAATAAAATATAATAATAAAATTAAAATCTATAAAGTATTCTATCTAATATATCTAATATCTTATAAGCTTTTTAGTTATTATAAATTAAATAAGATTAATATAATCCGTTATTACTATAATTAGATACTTATTTCCTTTAAGAAAGTAGCGCTATTCCTTAAATCTTATAAAGATTACTAATATTTCTTAGTTACCGATCTAATAATTTCTTTTTACTATTAGTATCTTCTAAAAGTAGAAAATAATAAAGTATTAGTATCTATCTTTATAAAGTTATAATATAATTATATAGATAATAACTTCTAATATATTCGTTTCTATTATAGTTTTTAATATAGTATTAAAGTATATAAGTATTAATATAGTCTAAAAAGCGGTCTTAGTCTTTTTAAAAGCTTCTCGCGCTTCTTTTATAAAGATAAACCTTTTTTAGTATTTATTTCTTCTTTTTTTATATATTTAGCCCTTTAATTAGATTATTAAAAAAAGCGCTAATTATTAATTATTTTCTAATAAAATATTAGTAGAAGTTAGCGAAATCTATAAACTACTATATATTAAAGATATAGATTAGCTTTAACTATTAATTTATTATCTTTATTTAAATAGGGTTTATAGTAACTCTATAGCGGGAGATAATAAAGCCTAAAAAATTAACTTTCTTTATATAGAATATATATTTACTAAGTTTAATAAATAATCTCTACTTAATTAAGCGTTCTAATATTTTTTAGATATAGTATATATAAGTCTCTTTATCCTTTAAAAAGATTAGTATATTATTAAGATATACTACTAAGTAAATATTAATAAGTCTTACTAAGGCTCTATTAATATACGTTTAGAAAATAGCGGGAGTATTAGTAAGTCTAAATAATATTACTATATATTTAAAATATCTATAATAGTATCTAAATACTATTTTCTACTTATCTTCTTATTTTATATAGATCTTATAATAGGTATCTTATAGATCTAGTTTAGTATAGATCTAGGCTCTTAATAATCTTATTAGAGACTTATTAATTAGTAGTAGAGGGTAGCGGTTCTTAATAGTAATCGCGTTTAACCCTCTATAGTCTATATAGAGTCTAAGCTTACTATCTTTCTTTAGTATAAAGAGAATAGGTATACCCGATTAACTCTTTAAATATCGGATTTAGCCCTTTTCGAGGTTCTCCTTAATATATTAGTAAAGGACTTCTAACTCCTTTATAGATAGTACGTATACTAACCTCTAAGGGGGTATCTTACCCGGTATTAGCTTAATTACGTGATTATACTCTACGTAGGTTAGAAGGGCTATAGTACCTTTTTTACTCGCTACGATAGCTAGATCTTAGTATTCTAGCGGGAGTTTAGTTAGAGGTTATACCGGATAGGAGGTCCTATCCGAGCTTTATATTACCTCTAATATTACTATAAACTCCCTAGTAACCTTATTAACGTCTAAGCGTAGCTCTCCGAGTATATCTTATAGTCTTAGAGATAATCAATGAATTCTGAGTCCCCGGGAGCTAATAAGGTGGCAGAATTCGCGGATAATCTTCTGGGTCCTACGGAGAAAATTCTGAACCCTTCCGAGCTAGAACCCGGTCTTGGCGTCCTGTTCTCTTCTGCACCTTCGGCATAACAGGACGCTAACCCCACGCGTCCGCCACTCGAACCCAATAATCGTTCGGACAGTGTGTCAGGTGATCAGCTTATGCTCTCGCCACAGGTCGATGGCACGGGAGATTCAGTGTATACCGTCCCATTGACCATTCCGTTCAGCGTTGGGACATTGAATATTTCCCGCACAACGGAAACGAAGATGATGGCTCAGCTGTTATTGTGTCAATTGCAAAATTTACATCAGGTACGCTAGGGTCTTGATCGACGGGTCCAGGGTGCTGAGAATATGCGGGGAGAGAAGAACCTATGTGCAGGGTCCAATGCGCAGCTCCTAGAGAAGGTGGGAGAATTGCAACGTGTGTTGGCGGCGGTCTGTACGCAGACACCGATGTAGAATATGTGTGCGACTTGTCAAGAAACAGGAGTGCCATATTGATGATCTGGTCTTTAGTCTCCAGGCTTCCTCTTTATAACGTTCTTCTTCTTTTAGGCTGTAGTCATGGTCTCAATCGTTGGCTATCTGCCCCGGATTCGGACGCCTTTTGGCCACCTGCGCAAACCCGTTTCATTTCATTCCTGACAAAGCCGCGGTCAATCCTGGACACACTCCAGTTAGCCAAGACGAGCGTGGGAAAAGAGGGACTCGGCACAACGAAAGTGCGTTGGCGAGGGCTATCTCGTGTTCTGGCTGGGTCTAGCACCGCTCGCGTTGGCTGTGACTTGGCTGTGACTTGGCTGTGACTACTCATATGATGAAGACGCCGAGATCGAACCCCCATTTAGACTGTCTGCTTCTGCTCATTGAATAATCCAGACTCAGCCGCAATGGCGGCCTCACTGCGCAAGCTCATGGGACCAAGGCATTTTGGGGCGAGGAACAACGGGAGATGAACTCAAGTAAGCTCCATGTGGCCTTGGAACTACGCGAGAGACACCTACGGCAGCGATGGAGGTGTCGAATCGAATTGGGTGGCTATACTTTCCACTGCAAGCAAAGCTAGCTAGGTAGAGCAATGATGACAGGTATATATCTCTTCAACCTCCTCCTCCCACTTTCTCCTTCTTTCTCCACTATATCCATGGACAGCTCGTCCTTCTAGTATAACAGCGACACAAAACTGGGAACAGTAACAGCAAGTATGACTTTCTGAAGCAGCTGACCGGCTCTTCCTCTCGGACAACGTTAGCGTGAAGATCTCCGCAAATAGTTCTTCCAGTTGCTCCCTTGTGATTCCTCAGAGGGAGTTGCATATCTTGGCGGCAAGTCAACGATGAGATCCAAAGGGTTTTCGTAACTACCGGCCATCAACCCTAGCAGAGAAGCGGTCCTTATTCGATTGTAATACCATGCACGGGTAGATTTGTAATCAAGTTTGAAGGACTCCCGGATTTGGGATTTCTGCTCAGGGTCGAGTGCAAACCCCCGGGCTCTCTCGCAACAAGAACATTCCACGGTACAATGACCCACTGCAAATTTCCGTTCTGACTGGCGATGAGAACAGCATCCACAGTCTCTGCCACAACAGCCTCCTCTCCCTATACAATCTTCCACAAGTACTTGATGCATATACCATTTTGGCTGTGAGCGCCAGAAATCGATACCTCTGCTCAGCGGGCCGTCGTCATACGAAGACCTAATCTCCCACCAACGTCGTTCTAAGGTCCAATATTCCGTCGAAAGTGTCGACAATTCCTCCTGTAAGTCCTGAAGAACAGTCACGTATGTGTCTTCCTTAGAGAGATGCCCTATTTTCTCCTTCAAGGCTATCTCGCGTTGAGTATTCTCCCGAAGTGCAACTTCTGTCTGCAATAGCCCCCTTAGGTTAATGGGGCACATGGATGGTTTATCTTCGTCGGTGAAGGTAGCGTATCGGTATCTTTGAAGAAGACATATATCTCCTGAGCTTTCTAGATCAAGCTCTTCGTCGGATTTGTCACCCCACATGTAGTAGCGCATCTTGAAATATCGTTTTACTCAAGAATGTTAGGATGTTGGGTCTGCTAAAGGACCTTCGGATTGGAGGTTGATGTGAAATCGAACAGATTACCTGTTAAGTCCTAATTGCAGTGGAGACATTTCCAGGGATATCGGCTAAAAGTCAAATCACCGGGCCTAAGAAAGGAACCGGCCGTGGGCTAGTATTATCATGAGAGCAATCGTCAGGATGACGGGTATATAAAATTGAAGCCAGTGGTGAGCAGAACATACATAGGTTTCTGCAACTCTCTAAGACAGAAATTTAAGTGACACACACGTAATAACGGACCTATCTATCTATCAGAAGTGGCGGCAAACAGACACATCAGAACGCATGATGTGAATACCGATGTCTTTTCTTTCTCCTTCATGAAAGGAGAGAGGGCACTGCCATGCTACGGGAACTAAGCAAAACGTGACATTATCCAACATCGTCAAAGACGAACCCTACCTAGGTAGTGAGATGCCTACATAGCAGGACATCCTCTAGTCCGGATTACGGCTACACCACGGTTTTACTTCCTCGAGGGTTGTATACTTTACTAGACCGAATATTACTCTATAACATAAACGGGTAACTACTATCAATCCCCAAAATATAAAGTGTTTACCAGTACGGTTAACAGTGGTTTATGTGACTCTTATCACAATTGGTCTCACTATGGTACAAAGGTAACCTGGACTAGTGGACTGAACGCTATGTACAAGTAAGGGTAAGAATGAAAGAAAGACTATAGAAGTCAAAATAAAAGTAAGAGAAAGGTGAATAAAAAGTATAAAAAAGTAATAAAAAAGTGAATGAAAAAGTGAAAGAAAAGTAAAGGAACACTGAAAAAACTTGACTTTCGGCATTGACGGCTCATCGAACTCTAGATCCAATGTTAGTCGTTTCCATTGCCGGGCAATTTCAGATAGAGGATTTCGCCGTGTTCAGACCTTGGTATGTATGTTTTATAAAATGTAAGTAAATGGCTTCTATATCTGTTTCATGTTAATGCTTAAGTGTACTCCTTACTTACAATTCAGGCCAGCCTTCCTCCATCGGAGTCATCCGGTTAAACCGGCGATTGTGGCAATCTTCGCAGCTGCAGGTTACAGAGTGGCCGAGAGTTATGGCTGGCAGCTCGTTAATGCGCCGGAGGCGATGTCGGAGGTGGCTAGAGGTAGATGCAGACGCCTGAGGTTCGTTCCGGACGGCGTCCGGAGGGCGGATGGGTGGCACTGGGGGTATGTCGGCCACGACAACGATGTCGGAGCACTCTGGTACTAGTCGGGCTGGGGGGCGCGGGCCAAGCCACCTATGGACAATCAATCAGTAATTATGCACATGAAGCTTGAAACAGCCATCCCCAGTGTGACAGCGTACATAGGCGACACATTATTCACTGGACCTTGAATCACTAAACATGAAGCAAGCTTTCTCTCTCTCCCGAGATCATAGATCCTCATACTCCGTTTCCCCCCTCACGAAGATCCTTCTATCCTAATATATCTAGCCCAATGCGACCAAATACCAAACCTCCCAGGCCATCTAAGAAACCCAAGCAGAGAAAACAAGAACCCCGATCTCCCTCCAAGCTCCTGATTGGACCGTTTAACCAAAACTCCGAACCCCCGAGTCATCCTCCCAGTCCTCGGTGAATGTCCGAGATCCCAACACTCTCGCTTCGAGCGGATTCTAAGCGACATCCTGGCCCCAAAAACACTCTTGGCTGCTCTGAATGTCGGTCAAACAACCAACGACCTCCCAAACCCAGAAGGGTTAGCACATCCACGGGTGGATTAACTGCTAAAGAAAGGTAACAAAGTGGTGGAACTCTTGATCTGGGAACCCAGAGTCCCTAGCATCAGCGCACCCCCGAATGTGGCGTTCAAGATCCCGCCCCCAGAAGGGAAATACGAAGCGCTTCAGATATCGCGTGAGAGACACGGAGTACGGAGGACAGGGGAGGTGGTCAGTGGGCAGGATGGCTTGTACAAGGGTATGGAAGGATGGCGTGAACGGGAACTAATGATCTCGATACGAACAATTGGAAGTCAAGTACGGAGTACTCCGTACTCCGTATACAACATGCAATGTCTGTGGAATACGGAAGCCTCCCGATACCTTAATATAGCCGAAGAGAGGTCAGCTAGATGGCTTGAAAATGAAGAGCTGGGGGTTTCTGGCGCTAAGACAGATCGAGGATTGTGGCTAGACACTGGTGGGTTTTCTGGGGTTTGATTTGCTTGAATACTATTGTTGTACTGTACTCTGGAGTATTGCTCTCAAGCCTTGTTTTTGCTGAGCTTGTCTTCAATCTCATGATCTGTAACGTTGCAGTTCGGCAGGCGGAATAATTGCAAGCGTGCGGACTGAGCTTGTGGATGTTACATGTGTTCAGACGATATAGATATAGTTCATGAGGGTGGGATTCCCGAGGTTGGGATTGAAGATGTCCGATACTCATTTGACGTGCTATAGTGTTCAAAGCGTTGCGCTGTGTCTGTATGTAACTTAAGTTCAATCATTAGCAGCAGAGTGTTCAAGGTGACTTGGCTGCAGCAGTTCACAAGGATCGAAGTGATTGTGTATGGAACTGAAAGGAAATACAAGTTGATATTGGTGTATGCAATTCCATTATTCAATATTTAGTTGCTGATCGCGTTCAGTAAGATGATGTTCTATATGAAACAGGGGAATTCGAGAGCCAGAGATATGGAAACCAAGCGAAGGTGGAATAATCATGAAGGGAAAGAAAAGGAAATGTCAATGGGGTAAAAAAGCGCTGCATGGAGAAAGGAAATGCGTGACGACAAAAGAGCGCAAGAGGCATAGATCCAAAAATGAACCCAAAGCCCGAAGAGACAAGTCAAGGAAAAGCAAAGGAGATGACACGCTGTGTAATTGGGGGTATAAAAAGATCTATCATCTAATCAAACATAGGAATCAGGGATCGTGGGATGAACAAGAAAGAAAAGCAACGCCCGATTTTGATATAAAAACAATGGGTATTGCAGGAAAGCTGTTGGGTTAATGGGGGAATTATTCAGCTGGAACGATTTTAACTGTGGGCTCGGTGGGCGAGGGTAAAGAGGACAAACGAGGAGGTCGAGAAGGGCTGGTCTCAAGACTGGGAACAGAAGTTAAAGGTATCTTGCCGCCCAAGGGAGAGCCAGTCTCCAATTCGAGTGAGACTCTGGGCGTCTCATTTGCTCGGTGGTCATCGGGGATGACAATATCACCTGGTGTGCCGGGGTCGTCAAACTCATCGACCTCTTCGATTTCTTCCTCGATCCCCTCGTCGTATTCCTCTTCTTCGATGATTTGGCTCTTGCGTGCACCAGGTCGCCCAGTCATGATACCGGGACCATTGGGTGTCACTGGGTGACCGGGAAGCGGGGAGTTGCCTATCCCACCAGACAGCATTAAATTAGTGGTATGAATCATAGGACCCTTGAAAAGAGTTCTCTTTCGTCTTGCAAACACCAGGCTTGACGAGGGTGAATAGAGTAACGGTGCCGGTGCCGCTTCGTTAAACGACGAGGGCATTGAACCAGGGTGCTCGCTTATCTCGCGAGGCGCTCCACCTGGCCCTCTTATCAACCGAATATTGCTAGGGAAACGGGTAGAGCTCCCTGGGGTAGTAGGCAGGACTTTAATAGATGAATGAGGAGATTTAGAAGCTCTGCAGGTGGGCGTAGATATAGTGTCTATACTGTTGGACGAAACTGAGGAAGCCTTGGAGTGAGCCCGAGTGTGGTGAATGCTGCGGATGGATGAGACTGAGGAGGACGTAGATTTGCGTCCTCGTAGTCCGGCTGATGAACGGCGATAGGATCCTCGTGGTGTGATAGGCGAGGGTGAGAGGGAGTTCCGATGACTGTTGTGACCGGTGTTGAGTGGCCGGGGTTGGCGAGGGTAGGAGTGTCGGTTTTGTCGGTATGAGGCACTGCTGGGAGCGAGGCTGCTCGCGTTGGAAACTCGTTTGACCTGAGTGGGTGTTACAACATCCTCCGCTGCGGTTGCGCTTGCCGGAGAGGACGAGAGTGAAGATTTCTTTCCTGCTTCCTGACTCTTTCCCGGGCTCAGCTTCTCGGAAAGAAACTTGCGCGAGCTCGTCGTTTTGGCATGAGGAGACCGCGCTCTCTTCGCAGACTCTACAAACCAGTGCTTCAGGGACGCCAGCTGGCTGAGTATCGGATACTGGTGGCGACGACTAGTGCGCCGCCGGAAAATACTTTGATGCTGTGTCAATTCTGGCTGTGATGCGCTGACATGCAGCACACTGGGCTGCGAGCGCCGTCTGTCTTTTGGCGGGGGAATTGGTCGGTGTCGGGTTGAGTCGTGAGACCGTATAGAGCCTTTGTCGAGGGACAGTGGCGGGGTGGTGACATCAACTGGGAACATGGGAAGTGGTTCAGGGAGCGCAGGGAGCTCTGGCACTGCCAACTGGGATGGCAAGCTTCTCCTGTCCCGTCTTCCACGATCCTGCAAGCCCAAGCTTGGTTGACCTTCTTCATCTACCTCCATCAGAGCCGAGGATCGCTTTTCTAAACGACTGCTTGCAGCGCTCAAACGACGAAGATTCTTTGCCTCTGCATCCCGTTCGCGACGCTTGCGCTCTCTTTTTCGTTCCTTCCGTTGCTCCTTTTCAATTAGCAACGCCCACCAACCAGCCAGTGGGTCGCACCGCTGAGCCAAGACATTTTCGATAACCTCGTCAATATTGACACCAGCACTTTTCATTCGCTGCAAAGTAGTCTTCTCCAATGGTGTAGTAAATGGCGATGGCCTTGGGATTTTCAAGATGGCAAGCTGTTCAGGAGCATGTTCTGCGAGGAAAGGATGAGCCAAAATCTCATCCAGACTAGGTCGAATCAACGGTCGTTTGGACAATAATATATTGATCAAAGATTTGGCATCTTCCGTGAACTTGTCGTTGAAGGTCGGTTCGTCCGACAGAATCCGCTTTTTGGTGACCTGGTCGTCGTCATCATCGTATGGCAGCTCGCCCGCCAAAAGCGCGTAGAGAATAATCCCCAGGCTCCACACATCCACTTTTTCGCCCGCATATTTCTCTCCTTTGAGCATTTCGGGCGCACTATAGCATATCGTGCCACAGAATGTCTGAAGGTAACTAGCTTTGCCTTCATATTCGCGCGTAAATCCAAAATCGCATAACTTGACGTTTTCTTGCTTGTCGAGCAATATGTTCTCCAGTTTCAAATCGCGATGAACACAGGATTTACTGTGGACGTAGGCGACCGCTCCCACTAGTTGTGTAAATATCCGCTTCACTTTCTCCACCGGTAGTGGGCCATGTCGAAGGAGGTAATTGTAGAGTTCATCGCCTAATCCAGACCCTTGTCAGTATGCTTCCCAGATGTCTAGTGTCGTGCGCCAAACACGACGTACCGGGACAATATTCCAACACAAGCCAGACCAGACTCTCAGTCACCACCACTTCGTATAGCCGCGCGATATGGGGATGGAGGAATTGGCGATGGTGGTGGATTTCGCGCACGAGATTGGTGTCTTCCTTGCTGGACGACTTGAGCACGACCTATCGACTGGTCAGTATCGCCTCCGGCGGGATGTTCTTCACACCTACCTTAGAACCATTGGTGAGCTTGTGCGACGCGAGATAGACCTTGCCGAATGAACCCTTTCCAATGAGTCTCCCAAGGGTGTAATTCCCTACACTCCGGAGATCCTTGGAGGAGAACTCCCTGCGAAGAAGGATCAGGTCAGCGCAACGAATCACGTAGACCGGCAAGATAGAGGCAGCTTACTCAAGTAGTTCATTGTAGGAGTTGGCAAGCTATAACCGAGGATTCCGAGTTAGCCATATGCTCAGGGTGTCCGCGCAAGGCCCCAAGGGAGAGAGAGAGCTCCTTGTGTCGCATGATGACGCACCTTCTCCTTCTGTTTCTGGCTTTGAACCCCCGCTCTCGTTCGGGGCGGCATGTGTTATGAGCACCAGGGTTCGCGGGGAAGTCTCTGCGCGTCAAGCGTTTGGGTCGAGTGAGAATGGTGTACGGGGGTGCCATTCAACGGGACACGAGGCGGAGAAACGGTAGCGGGAGTGGGGACTGAGGGGATCGAAGAGATTCTAGAAAGGGGTAACAGAGTCTCGGAGACAAGAAGGTGATTCAAGAGGAAAGTCGCATCTAGGAATACAAGAGCCCTGGCAAGTTTCCAAAGACGTCAACGGGAACGTGGACCGTGTGGAGAACTCTCGGGACTCGAATCTCCTTTTTCTGCTTCTACTATTATTATCTCGACTCCAACATTACGGAATAATATACTATTGATTACCTGTTCATGGATATTAAGAATGGATCTTATGACTTTCTTGTTTATGCCTGTGTACACGGGATCTTAGCCCCTGGACGGTGGAAATTGGACGGTCCACTTCCTTTTCCCGCCATCTCTCACATCGTTTCGAGGGCATTTTGGTCTACCTGGAGCGCTGGAAAAAAAAAGGTGATCGGCAGAGAGCTACGTTGTCGGCATGAGCAGATGTGCTGGTTACTGCCTAAGAGCCAACCTCACTGATCCCTTACTTGTGTACTCTCGCACAAGTACACCGACGCCTAATCTAGGCGGCTGCAGCTATTGGCTGATTCGGGCGGACATGGGCCAATCGAAAGAATGTCTGAATAACATCGTCATATTAAACGCACGGGCTTGATATACTTCATTGCCACCAAGGCAGTGATTCAAGGTGTCGGACTGTGCGTTGACTAGAACCCATCGTGGGATCGACCCGGTTGAGTCCCGCCTCGCCCTGGAAAGCTAAGGATACCATGCCAAAGTATGAGTGGAGCAGATCTGGAAATTCGGTTAGCAGCGTCTTAGATTGGTTTACGATGGTCCTACCAGGAGGATCCCCGGGCCCCTTTCCAAATCCACCGACAAGATGTTGGGTCTTCTCCAGCAAGTAGTGGCGATTGCGAACCTCATCGACCACAGAATAATGATCCAGCATCTGAAAATTCCGTTAAACGACAGTTCCTACTAACAAGGGAATCACTTACCATCAAGGTCGCTCCATTCCAAAACGAGTAACATGTGTCGGCGTATTTATTGCACCGGCCATTGAACCCGGCGCATGGTACCGTGCTGGGCTCAACCGGTTGCACGTTAGGCAACCCTCGGACTCGGTCACCAAGAGAACCCGTCTCTGGTGCCTCGGGCTGTTCATAATCTTCATCCTCCGCGGGTTCCTCGAGTTGGGCGGTCTGTCTCGAAGCCAGCCATGTAATCAGAGCCTCGAACTGCTTGGAGCCTGCCGAGAGTAACGGCAATGATTCCATATTATTAGAAGCTCGGCGCAAGAAGTCCAGAGAACTGATCGCGCAATATGTATGTCCACCTATCAATTGTTAGGAGATTCAAGTAGCATAGCACAGGGGAAAAGTACGAACTATGCGATTCACAGAAAGGAGATTCGGCCATGCCACCGTCGTATGTCTGTTCCGTCGGGATGCGTTAGTATCTCTCTTGCGAGCATGATCCCAAAAGAGCCTCCTACCTGGCACGCCTCAATAAAGGAAACCAGACCTAGCACATCAATATCCGCTACACCCTCAAGCCCAGTCTCATTCCGGCCGCGCAGGATATACCGTATGCCCGCAGCACAACAGCAGTATCGCAGATCACGAGCTCCTCCTACCTTCCCCTCAGGGCCAACAAGTTCACCAAAGCTTCCATCTGCGCGCTGGACTGTAGGGAGCCATTCAAGACATTCCCGTCGTTTAACACGCGACAGATCATCCCCGAGGATCAGCAAGTTCACCAGCGCGAAGAACGTCGCGGGGACATTGGCCGGGTCCCAAGCTTCATTATCCTTGTTCCTCTTTTCTGACCCAAAGTCTGTTCCTGGGAAGCCGCGGAAGCCGCCCGAAGGCACCTGGCAGTGGTAAAGCCAGTCGATGTACCCTTTTCTTTCTTCGGGGGTGGTTTTGCTCTGCAGAACGCCGAGCACATCCAGTCCTGAGAGGGTCAGGTAGGCGAGGAGCATGCGATTGGAATCATTGGAAGTGTAGGCAGACGGCAGGAATGTCTTCAGGCATCGGAGATAGTATTTGACATGGCGCTCGGTGGTGAAGGTTGGGTCCGGGTCGGTCATTGTAGCGGATGGTCAGTAGATTTACTAGATATGACAGCAAATGGAGATAAACGTTCGGTTTCCGTAGTTTGGACAAGCTAATCAGCATGCATCAAGTAAATCAGGTCCAATCACCGCCGTGTTGACTTGGTGGGGGGAATCTCGACCGGAGCTGCTGTTTCCCCACATGTCGCCAAAAAAGAAAACACTCGGACCAACCCAGTTATTTCCGTCGGCCACTTTCTGCAACTTCCACCTGTCCACACCCTTGTGCCATTGCGACTTGCCCAACATGGTTCTAATCTCCTCCAAGACCCTGATCCAGGCGCACGCCGTGCTCCTGGTCGTGGTCGCCGGCTACCTGGTCAAGAACCCGGAAATGATCACTGACTCCGATCTGGTCTTTATGATGGGAGAAGCCTTGAAGATCGTACGTCACTATCAACCTCTGAGCTAAAGATCCAATCCCAGCAGATTGGCATCGGATCTTTCCGAAGAGTGACCACTAACATCCTCGATACAGGACTTCCCATCCCTGTCAAGCCCGCAACAATCCCCCTTCACCTACTGTGCCATCCTCCTCTTCGCTGAGGCCGTCGTCGACCTCGTCCTACTGTCCAACATTCCATTCCACGAAGCTCTTGACGATGCTTTGCCCTATATCCGACCCTTGCGAAATGGCAACCTCCCTGCGGAGGATCTCCAGGTCCTCGAGAGCCTGCCCGAGTATATAACCAAGTCGTTGACTGTTTACTGGAACGTTTGGATCGGCATTGCTGGGTGTCGCTTTGTCGTGTATGCCGGTATTGCATTTTTCATCTACCAAACCAGAGGTACACACATGGCCTCGTCTTATACTAGCGCTGCTGCTCTTGGAGGCCTGGATCGCCTCAAGAACCGTGTGGTTTTCAGCTTCTGTTTCTTCGAGATGATGTTCTGGTTCTGGGTAAGTGGCCTCTATCTGAATCGAATAGGCTCGATCTCGGTCTATGCTCTCCATGCTAATACAATTACAGAACTTCGCTACCCTTCGCGAGGAGCGCCAGGAACGCCTGACCAAGTTGCTGGAAGATACCCGCAACCTCTGAGCACTCTAACTTCCCCATATTGCTTTCTACCAGTGTATTATTGATATGAAATATTGCGGTTTGCTATTGAAAGATTATTGCATTCACTGAACACCGTGTACCTACTCAATTAGAATTCTTATGGATGCAATGAGATACATATGCGTCATAATCCCGAGACTCGGTTTCCGTGTTCCATTCATTCCATCATCACGAAGACATCTCAACGGCACAGTTATGCTGAACTCGTCTCCTTTCAAATCCAGGAAGATTAGTCTTCTAGATCAGAATGGCCAACGCCGCCGCAGCACCAGCAGCAGCCACAAGCGACGAGTCCTTGTGGGTCAGCGCAGCCATGGCAGTGCTAGTCGCCGCAGCAGAAGAGGAAGCGGAGGCGCTGGTTGAGGTGGTAGTGGTGGAAGCATGTGTGCCAGTCACAGTGGTCGATTCGCTCGTCTTCGTGGCAGCAGTAACCGAAGCCTCAGTACCAGTCTTGGTTCCAGTCGCAGTCGGGCTGGAGCTAGTGCCAGAGCTAGAGTGTGAGCTCGAACTGCTGCTAGAGCAAACTACCTCGCTGGGTAGATTGGTCACACCACCACGGGCACAGATTGACTTGGCGACCTTGATGGTTGCTACAGAGAAGATGACAGGTCAGCTCATATTGTACATTGTACTATATATGGAGTACTCCGCATCGACTGCGCAGTTTGCACACTCGGCTGGAGATAGAGCAAGGTGAGGGGTCACATACTCTCCTGGTCCGCCTTGGAGCACTTCTCAGCGACGCAGCAGGTGACATCGCTCAGGAAGGACTTGGCTTCGCAAATACACTTGAAATCAATTCCGCAGCTCTCGGGGATTGCACCTGTAGCACATTCTTTCTATGCATCAGGTCAGGTTAGCAGGCGGTGCATTTGGCGCATTCCCATAATACTATGCTAGAAGTAGGTAAACATACCGAGCAGTCAGGCAGATCGCCCAGGCCTTGAGCAGCAGCGGTGGTCAGCAGAGCTGCCAAAGCGACAGACACGGCGAACTTCATGATTGCAGTGAGGCTGTTGGATGAAGTGAGTTGACAGGGGAAAGGAGAAGTCAGACGTTTGTTTGTCAGGTCTACGGGTCTCAAGTCCAGGCCGTGGTAATAGGGACACCAGTACTGTGTACCTGTAGAGATGGCAAAAATACGGGCTTTCCCCGCAAATTCCCAGGTTTCTGCACAAAACAGGCAGGTGGAGGTGTTTTGTTATTTTTTTTGAAATATTAAATACGGGGGATATAAATCTTAAAACTCCAAGCTATTGTACATAAGGGGTATTTAGCCGCTGATTGTCCCGCTTTATCTCTCCGGCTTTCTATACCAAGTAGCCGAGACAACGGTGCGGATGGACAATAAAGAAATCAAAAATGCCTCCCCTCACGCTCTCCCGTTGGAGCTATATCGTCGGTTGATACTCATCACGTCGGGGCATATCGAGATTGCCTAGAGTCTCTCGACCAGTCGAACTCCGTCATATCATACACTAATATGATTCGCCAGTCGCACCGTTGTGAGGTTGGTTGGCTATAGGTGGATAGCCATAGGCAGAAGGATCTTGAGACTGGTCCAGACCGGGATTCATCATAGGGTTTGCGCTTTCAGCTTCAGAGAAGCCCGTGGGACGAACAAGTCCAGGCACACCGGACCCACCAACAGGGCCTCCAGCGCCATATCCAGCACTTGGAGGTCTTTGGTTCTCGCCACGAGCAGACTGGGTCTCACGGTACTTGGATAAGTAGATCTTGAGGGCTTCCGCATAGTTCTCGAACCCAAGCGATGTCATGGCGAAAAGGATGTCCTCGCCATTGACGGTCTTGCGCTTCTCCTGCTGGCATTTCTCCGAGGCTTCACTTGTGATAAATGAGATGAACTCGCTCACACATTCCTGCATGCATTCCTTCGCTTCTTTCGCGATCTTCGCATTGTCAGGCAGTGCCAATTTCATGATTCGAGCCACATTGGCAATTGGAAGCCATCGGTCCTGCTCCTTCACTTCGAACTCGCCTTGGTGTCCCTGCGTATCGTGATGGTCTTTGTCTATGTGCTCTTGGTCCTCTCCCGATTGCATCTCCGGGTCCAATTCGGGTTCTTTTGGAGGAGTGTTCGACATGACTATAGCTGGTTGGAATATAGGCAGCGAGCTCTTGCTTTGGGGGTCAATGCTTTGTGTTTGTCGCGTGCGCGCTTCCTAGTGGCCTTGAGTGAGGGCGGGTTTGTCAACGGTACGTGATATAGCAGGATATAGCGCTTCCGCAACGAAGGGTTCAATTCCAATATAGATTGCAATCACGTAACAACGGCTGCTTTGACAATAACGCGCCTTACACTCGAAATGTAGCCCTTGAGACCTGGAGTGAATGTGATGTGACAGCCACGGTCACATGATACGTCACATGACGCATTACAGCCACGTGACCTATAGTATCTGTGTACTCCGTACGGAGTATGTCTTTGTATTGTAAGAGCGAAGGTCTGAAGTTTGCGTTTCAAACCGCTCTGGTATTGGGAATGTGGCTGCCGTTTCTGGAGGGATCACGAGGATGTACTCCGTACATTAAAGGCGTCTGAAATGGTCTGGAGGTACCTAAGAACATGCGATGTGGAAGGCTTGGGTAACAGTATTTCCGAGGATTCTCTTCAAGCTGTGGCATTGACTAGGGTATTTTCTACGAACTATACTCCCTACATGTCGACCTCTGATGATCTTTCCTCCTTACTTGATCTGCAAGCTGCTCCTGCACTCCATACGTATGCTATAGCTATCTGTCGGGTTGTACGGATAGGCTATGTAATATCCTCACCGCGGGCAATCTGGAAGATCATGAAGCTGCAAGCCCCCGGTCAGCACTAGCTCGCTCCACAGTGGGCCAGTCTCCCGAACTGCGAATGGGGTTGGGCCTCATGTGTTGAGAACCCCCTTCACTTAGACTCAAGTCAGTCTGGCCTGGAGGATGCAGAAGACCGTTCAACGCTCAAGCCCCAATGCGATGTCGAGGCCTAAGCGCCCAGAAACCGGCCAAGTACTCATTTGGGCAATGGGCTCAACTTCCCCGCGTTCGATCCAGAGTGACATGGGTTCTGAATCTGGAAAAGAATAGAAGTTAGCTGAAATCTAGAAAGTCCTGTATGTAAATACCTTGTACGGAGAGTAAAACCGGGATGGGGACAAGAGAGAGGGCAATATGTCTCATAGTTCTAAATCACATCAAAGTCACTGGCAACACTGCATGCTGCAGGTTACGCGCACCTTCGGGCCTCGTACATACGGAGCGGCTTATCTTTTTCTTCTTTTTTCTGGTGTTCAATATTCAGTCTCAATCCTCAGTGGAAGTGGAGAAGAAAAGCCCCATCTACATCTCTGTCTATGCACCTCTATTGGCCCTGGGAACATCGAAGCTTTGCTAGGGTTTCTTTGGGAGGGTCGTGGCTTCCAGAGTCTGCTATGAGCTCTGATACCCCTCCCGACGGTTTGGCATTTTCGCTTTCAACCTCTGCATCTGCAAGTACCTCATTGCTAGCTTGCTGCAACTATGGGTCTTGGAGTACTGGACGATAGAAAGCTGGCGCATGTTCCAGGTAAGGATGCCGTGCAGTCTTGTTCTGACTACCGAATCCAAGATGGCTCATCGCAAATTCACTCAGGCACCTCCGATATCTACGAACAAAGCAGGAATGCAGGCGAACAGAGCCCTGGCACTTCAGGCCTCAAATGCGACTGGTCTGGCAAACAGCCAATCATCCTCGTTCCCCAACCGAGCGATGACCCAAATGACCCATTAGTATGTCCCCGAAAGCATCAAACCCCCAATACCTATCTCTACAAACAAAAGACAGGAGCTGATGAAATGGGTACTGTCAGAATTGGCCATTATGGCGACGCGATCTGATCCTCGCCATCCTCTCGTTTGTGACCGTCCTTTGCACAACCTTGAGTTCCATCTTGGCTGCAAATACAGTCACAATTGCCGACTATGAGGAGATCACGTTCACGGCCGCTGCACTGTTGACAGGATATCACCTATGCGGTGTTGGTGTAGCGGGGATTTTGATCGTGCCAACGGCTCGAGTCTGGGGTAAACGTCATCTGTTCCTGATCGGGCATGTCTTGATGATTGTTAGCTGTGCTTGGGCTGGCGCCAGCGGGAAGAATACAAATAGTCTGCTCTGGGCACGGATCTTTCAAGGAGTTGCATTGGCGCCTTTCGAGGCTTTGGTTAATGCCTGTGTTGGGGATCTTTATTTCGTCCATGTAAGATGAGTCCGCTCTTGCCAGCTTATGAGGTGATAATGCTGATGAACGTAATATAGGAACGTGGAAAGAGAATGGCAGTGTCAAATGTGGCACTCTTTGGGGCGGCCTTCTTAACCCCTGTCGTGGTTGGCAAGATCACCAAGTCCATGGGATGGCAGTGGTCTTTCTACTTTTTGGCAATCTTCCTTGGTGCTTCGCTGCCGCTGATGTTCTTCTTCGTGCCTGAAACTGCTTTCCGGCGTGCTGATTACTTGAACACGGACTTCAAGTGCAGTGGTGGCCATGAGGGGTCTTCCGAGTCTCATGCGTCACTGGGCGAGGTTGCCGATGATACAAAGCAGCTAAGACCAGACTCAAATGGGTTAAATGGAACTTCGAAAATCGAGACCGTGACAACAGTTCCTCAAAAAGACTCGTTCACCAAATCACTCAGACTCTTCAACGGACGAAAGACAGATGAAAACTTCTTCAAGCTACTTCTTCGTCCTTTCCCGTTGTTTTTCCACCCGGGCATTCTTTGGGTAAATCAGCCTCTTCTTATCCAATCTCAGACGCTAATTCGAATCTAGGCGTGCCTGATCCAAGGCGTTGTCATCGGCTGGTCTGTCTTTGTCGGGGTTGTTCTGGCGATTGTGTTCCTCGGACCTCCAATGTGGTTCGAAGAAGACAAGACCGGATACCTTTACACAGGTCCCTTTATTGGTTCCATGATCGGCCTTGTTCTCTCTGGTCTGTTATCTGACTCGATAAATAAGCTGATGATCAGGCTTAACCACGGCAAATACGAGCCAGAGTTCCGTATTCTGTTGGTTATCTTCCTGCTCATTTTCTCTGGCATCGGGCTATACGGGTTCGGATGGACCGCGAATAATGTAATGCGATATGACTGGCTACTCCCGGACGTCTTTTTCGCACTCTTGATCGTTGGAATGGTCATGGGGGCAGTTGCCGCATCGCTTTACATCGTTGATGCCCATCGTACGTGATGCACTAGACCTTTCAAGGTTGTATAGAAATGATTACTAACTTTACCAGGTGAGATTGCCATTGAGGCATTTACCTGCATGTTGATTTTCAAGAACATGTTCAGCTTCGTGCTGACTTTCTTCGCCTACAATTGGTTTGCCCACGGCGGTATTAAGCATACCATGATCGTCATTGGTAGCATCCAAGTTGGCATCTGCTTGTTGAGTGTGCCTATGTGTAAGTGTGCTAGCCATGACCGCATTAATCTATGTTATTTTCATCAGACTGACTGCTCTTCACGTTGTAGATATCTTTGGGAAATGGAACCGGTCGTTCTTTGCACGGCATGATATCCTCGAGATGCTTCATCTCCGGTAAAGTGCTGGCAATGTCGACTTTTCTGAGCTGTTCAAGGGACCTCAGGACGAATATGTATGATTTTACACATGAGGTTTAGAGCGAGCATCTATTACGAGGGGATCTTTGCATCTTTACATATTTCTTAATACTTTACCAAAGAATATCGCAGATTCCCCATTCAATATAACCTTGGAACAAGTGGAAGATTTGACACATTGTTGTGTTTGTGTGATATGGTGAGATGACATTGCCAAAAGAAATCGTGCTTCTATCCATACCGATATCTGTCTGGTCAACTAGCGGTAACAATATCACCCTCAATAAATCAGTTCTATGGTTTCTTGAAAGGACATCTGCTCCTTTTCATTTACCGTCATTTGTTTTGTTTTCTCCCATTCCTCCTTGCTCTGCTATATCATTTGTTGCTGATATAGAGTTCCTTTGTCGCCATGACATACCTCGCTTTTCTAGAAGATAAAGTAGCGGTACAGCAGCAACTGGGATGAACCCTGTATTTCCTCCATTTTCGACACTGTCAATTCTTACAGTCGAACGTCAAATGCCTGTTTCGAGACCAAGATTCCGCCATGATCCTAAACCTGAGGCATCTCTAGCTCATCCAGGGACGGCCATTGTGATTGGATCTGTTGGAGTCTACTATACGATATACACCTACATCTAAGCCTCCCTATCGGGCCTGTTTAGGAATATATCAGGAACATGTCGATATCTTTTGCAGAAGAGTTCGAAGAATGGCTTGATTCAGATATTACTAATATCCTATGGATACACGCCACACCCCGGGGGAGGCTGGACGGTCTATTATAACCGGATTCCTTCAATTGCACTGGGACTGTTTGGAGAAACATATTCGCTGCCCGATTTTCAGCAGCCAGCTCAACAACTATCAGAGGACCGCGAGAGCGTGGCGACTTGCAAACGGAAATGAAAGGGCAGCATTGCATCAGATCTATATGAAGAAGGCAGCACCATTTTTTTACTGGCATCAAATCCAGCCATGGCAGTCGCAATCTGCGCGAGAAAGCCAAATGAAGTTGCCTGTGCCACGGGCGATGGGATCGAGATCTGCGACATGCAAAGCAAGCTTCAACGCCCAGCTATGGGGTCTTCCTTTCGCAAGAGCATTGCCCACCTTGCCCTAGCTCAGGGTGGCTACATCGCGTACGATCATTTCGGTCATCTCTCGGGCAAAAGTCAATTTTCCCTTGATACCGGAAAAGATATCCACGTAAAAGTCTGTTTTCCAATACAACGTCGATCAGTCTCGGTGGGATCCGAAAGACTCCCAACGGAAATTCTGAGCGACGACTGGTATGCAGCTGGACCGATGAGTATCGCAGATGGCAGCATAATTGCCGAGAGGGTAATCGAGCCGACCGATAAATCGGCACAATGGGGCAACCGTCCCGATATTGATCCGAATACGGAGTACCCTTCTGGCTTTCGCTGTTAGCGGAGTTGGCGCACTTTCTTGATGCGCCCTCGGAATCTAGTATGCATAGTGTGCGCTCTCGCAAAACCTTGCTCGTTCCAGTCGTGATACTGATCCAATACCCCTTCTGAGATTGGAGGCTGTGTCGCCAACATATCACTCCAAAATGCACTTCGCCATCATCGCAGAGAATGATGAAAATCAAAGGGTCGTCTAGCTTTTGCTGTTGGGCTCTTCTGGGCTGTATGGGAACCACACAGATTCATCTTCCACTTCATGTTGTGGAATGCTCGGAGCAGCCGGTGGGGATTCTCGCCGATGGCATGTCTTCCCTGCTAGGGCCTTGTGAGTGTGCACAGCGCAGTAAACGTTAGTATCTATTCGCGGGTCAGAAACTATAGTATGAGACAGCTTTTCGTCCCGCGTGACCGGGTCAATAGCGCGGGATTGGCATTGTGCAAGGTGCAGGCAGATGGGAGATTCTTGTGTCTGAGAAAGGGTGGGATGGCGGTGATAAGGAGCAATGTTGGGATCGATTGGTGATCTATGAATAGTATGCCCAGGTGGTGTCTCAGCCCGAAGAATGTGATGTACGGAGTACACACCATGCATCTCCAAACGGGGGGATTCCATGATCTCGAACTCGAGTCTTCCAGGCAGACTATAGACTATGCCCTTCAATGTAACTCGCCCTATACTGTGGGAGTCGATCGCTACCCAAGGCGGTAGTGTTACCGTCATCCTCATTTCACGATATCTTCAGGAGACATCCAAGGTTGAACCATGATCAAGGTGTCAGACGGGCTATTATTTCCAGTCCTTGGTGGCTGGAAGGCAGGCGCACCTAAAAATAGGCTATATCTTTATCTGCCTGCATCTTTAGATCACTTCCTAGATCAGACATCAGCTAGGAAGTAAAGAACGTGGAAGATCAGCATGCGCAATGTAGGTCGTAGATCATCCGAAAATCCTTCGAGTCTCCACGTCACTGTAAAAAAAAAGCAATCAGGGTGGACTCGGCTGGTCAAATGCGGAATCTACCCTCCCCACTTAGTCGAGCTAGGGTGCATAGCTCCAGGAGCTCCAGTTCATCGAAAAGCCAAAAGCTCGCGATGATGCAATGGCTTTCTCAATCGCCGATCTTCCGTTACAGTCGACGTCACGCGAAAGAAGCTTTCCGGACTTCCATTCCATCGACTTCATCTTATAGTTTTGCTTCTGACCTGTTCCCTTCCTCTCATCTGAAGCAAGAATGGCAACTGCGCAGCAATTGCCTGCGGGCCGGACTCGGTTAGCAGATGATGGTAAGGTGATCGCCGTGGTTTCTAGCTCCCCGATCGCTAACCTCACGTGCGACCAGCCGCGACGGCTGCCCTGTATGTTACTCATCCTCAACGTAGGGCGTCGGTGCACACCCCGACCGCAACCAACACCCAATATTTCAGTAAGTACAATTCCCTCGATAAATCACAGAATCCCAGGCTGACTATGTGTTTTGCGACAGATCCACGCTCGGCCGTGACCCCAAACCTCAGCCACGCCTCCGCTGCCTCGGCTCTAGCGCACGCAAATCGCAAACCTGTCGAAGTATGGCGGCCACCGACAAGACTGCCTGCCGCAGAGAAGGCTGCATTTTGCGTAAAGGATTTTTCTCCGCCCCAGCAACCCCAGCCATCCACACAGTACAGTGCACATGGTCTGGGAGCTGCGGTGCTCGCTGTTCGGGAACAGAGGGCGTCGATTAGCCAGGCTTCTGTTTCTAGTGTTCACCGACGAGGTAGCTCTACTGATCGCTACCACCATACTGCTGTTGGCGGCAATCCGCAGGAAAAGGCTCTTCAGGCCGCGACGGGTGCTTACACCCTCTCACGAAAGAGAGCTGACTCGGCACCCAGTGATCCTGGAGTTCCCTCCGGCCCACCACATGCCCGCTTAGCAACTGGTACATCGCGGCCTTCTCGCGTGGAAGAAGAGGATCATCTCGGCCATTTGAACCCTGCCATGGAAGCAAGCCGAATCCAACATATTGCTAACGCTAATGCAAAGCTGTATACTTCATCGCCGCCTGTCCAAAGCGAAATTGAGGCACGAAACTACAAGAATTCGCTGCGCGCTGCAGCGATTTCTATGGCAAATGACATGTATAAAGCCAATGAGACCAAGCGACGCCCCAGTGAAACAGATCCCGCTATCGCCGCTGCCCAAAAAGGTCAAAGTCAACTGGGCTACCGCAAGACGGTTTCAGCCGCAGATGGGTCTGCCGTCCGGCGTGCGATCGCACTGCAAGATGCAGCGCACAAGCGAGCCGCTGAGAAGCTTGCCCGTATGCAAGACGAGAACGCTGATTACCGAGAATACTATGGTACTCCACTTGAGCCGCAACGATCGCGCTTGACCAGCCGCCGCAAGCGAACATCGAGTGATGCGGATGTCTCTCAGATGGATGCAGAGCAGTCGCGCCAGATTCGGAGCCAGATGACCACTCTCAGAACCAAACTGGACCGAGTGGATGTGAAAAGAACGCAGGATCGGGAAATGCTTATGCAGGCTGCCCGTCGCAATGTGAATCAGACTATCCAGGATATGGAAGCGCGAGTTTACGCAGACACCGGCCGCGCTCCACCCTCTTTGCAGAGAGAATGGGATGAAGTTGCCCAGGAGCGAGTGCGACAAGAGGCAGAGACCTTCGAACTAACTACCGCGCAAAGCGGCCGAGTGAACATTGGTGGCCAACAGTTCATGGACATGGCTGACATCGAAGCTGTCGCTCGGGCTCGACTACAACCTGCTCTCGACGAGATCACTGAGGATGCTGAAACACGAAGGGCCCAGGAACTTGAGGCTCGTTTGGATGCGGAGGAAAAACAGAGATATGCTGCTGTGGAGCGTCAGCGTGAAGCTGAGGTGAAGGCTTTGGAAAAACAGGAAAAAGGTTATTTGTCCTGGCTTCCCTCCTTGGAAACATCTTCTGACCAAAAGACTAGGTACAAGCAAGCGTGACAACAAGTCCGAGTCAAAGATCCCAAAATTCTTCCTGTGGAGGAAGAAGGGCAAACGAGCTCGTGTCGAGGAATCTGAGACCGAGGGAGCGCAAGCCGTCTCACCGGTCCCTCAAGAGGCTGTAGAAGAGCAGGCTCCAGCTACGACCTCGGAGACTGATGTATCGAGGGAGAGTATTCCCGAGGTAGCCTCTGTTGAGACAGACACGGCCGATGCCGCAACTCCAGTTGCAATTACTCCAGTTGCAACTGTCCCCTCCGTCCAAGAACCTGAAACTTCAATTGCCACCGTCTCCTCCGCCCCAGAGACTGAAACTCCAGCGCTTGTCGAGGAAGGAGAACCGGAGGCAATTCCCCGTCGGCCGGTACGAAGCCAGACCGACCCCCTCGCGTTCGAGCAGCAAGATGCAGCTGCAACCCCAGGCCCAGCAATCGTGCACTACTTCACGCCGCCAACCACCAGCCCCCGCGCGGATTCTAAGCTTAAGAACTGGTTCCGCGACCGTCTTGTCCGCCGATCAAGCGGTCCTATGGCTGTCTACCCCCACCAACCAGGTCCAGACTTGAATTCCGATAGCGAACCTGCTTTCCAAGGCGGCGCTGCACTCACCGGCCGCGACGAGTCTCGGGGTGCCGCACTGAGGTCGCACCCCCTAGGCATGACCGATACCATCCCGACGCACAACAGGTCTTCGAGCTACTACAACAATGATCTCGATGTGACCAAAATTAATAGCGTGGAATCCTCCCCGGAATTCTCGAAGCCAAATGGCAACGGGAGGAAGAGGGACCGCCTCCGCAAGTCCTTCCTCAAGACTATCTCTGGTAGCTCGGATGAGCCAGCGTCGAATGGTGCCTCCCGCCGTGCATCAGAGATCCCGGCTCAATCTAAGGAATTCGGCGCCGCTGACATCCAGAGTTTGCGGGATAGTGCAATCGAGCAGGGTCTTCCTGTGCCACCTCCCCTTGGCGACGCGATGAGCGCGAAACGAGAGTCGAGATTCTCCGAGGATCTGTGATTCCGATATTGAACACTGATATGTATGTTTATCTAAAATGTTGATCTGATGTATGATTTGATGTTATTTTCTTTGGAAGGATCTTACGGGTGATTTATTGGCGCTATTTGGAACTGGGAATTAGTACCCTCCAGGATGACGGCGGTTTGATATTGGGTGCTCTCTTCGCTATGTAATATCTTTCAAGTGCTTCGTATATAATCGACTAATTGATATCTATTGCTGTCCTCCATTCCTACGATCAAATATCATTGAACATGTCTTTCAAGGTGCGCGACAACACGCTTAAGCGTATCCGCAAAAGCATTGTCTCTCAAACTTCCATCATCCAAGTCAATAACCTCTTTCGCCTCAAACCCATGCCCCTGTCCCTCAGCCCGCTCCAAAGCAACATCCACACCAAGCGTCTCCAAAGTCCCAGCCACCTTCGCACTCAACTCATACCCAACCAACAAATCCGCATCCCCATGCAAAAGCACCATAGGCGGGAACCCAGCCCCCAACCCAAAGCTAGCAGGAAACAGCCCCCGATCCTCCGCCGCAATCGCCCCAACCCCCTCAGCAGCAATCCTCGCCGCCAACCCAGGCTTCCCCACAAGCACATCCGGGAACCGCGCGGCCTGATGCAAAGCCCTAATCCACCCAAACCGCCGATCAACCGCCGGATCGGACGGGAACGCATACCCATCAATCGCCTGATCGCGCGAAGCAGCCTCCACCTCCGCCAGCGCCTGTTCCTCGTCACGAACTACCCCAGGCAGCGGCCGACCTCGGCATGTGTACCGCTCGTCCGCCGGGTCCAACAAACCGTATATGCAGAGCACGGCGAGCGGACGTGGTGTATTCGGACTCGCAGCGGACGCGAGCGCCAGATACCCGCCTGCGCTGGACCCAGCGATGATCACCCGCTTGCTGATATTATCGTGCACCCAGTTGACGGCGTCGACTGCGTCTTGCAGGATTTCATGGCCGGAGGATTCGGGGAGGAGGCGGTAGGAGGCTGTTGCGTATGTCCATCTGCGTTTGCGACAGGCGTTGATGAGCCAGTGAGGAGGGAAGGTGGTTTTTTCTCCGATTACCTGTGATAGAGGGTTAGTTGCGCTGCGCTGAGGGTTACTCGCTTTTGAGGGACTTTGGCCTTACTAGGAATCCTCCATGGAAGTGGAGCAGCACGGGGTTGTTTTCTTGTTTTGGGGTGGGTTCGTGGACGTCTATCTCCAGAGAGAGTCCGTCCACGACTTTGAAGACGTGTGTTACTGCCATGGTGTGTGGGATGCTGCACTGGCAGAGTAATGTCTACTCTGTTCAGTTTCTGTTCATAAAGAAGGGATGAGGGGTGAGGGGTGAGGGGGGGCCGCGGGATTTCCCCACAGCGGATTCATCCTTCCGACTTGACTGCGGAGTACATTAGGGCGTCTTTTGCAACTGGCACTTCTCTCGGATATCACTCTGCTCAGGTTCCTCTCCTGGCTATTCCGATTGAGCAGGTGTTTCAGTCACGTTATTTGAGTTGATGTTCCAAAATCTCATGTCTCTTTTAGCCCTCTGTTCCTCGACTCGCCTTACGTGGTTCACCATCCAATTTCGCTCGCTTCGATGTCTCCTCAACTGACACCAGCGAACGCCTCTATATAAGCCAAAACCATCGAATCCGTTTTCAATCGAAACGCAGACACTTCAATCTCCAAGGGTTTCAGTTCATTTGGTACGATCGAGTAATAGCTCCAAGGCACACAATGCCGATGTTACGAACGCTACGATTCTCCCGCCCTAGACAGGGCATTATTATTTTCTCTCTAGAGATATACAGGTGCAATTTTCAAAGAGGATGACCGGGCGAATGATACTGAATATGGGTAGGGATCCAGAAGGAGGGCTAATAGCCGGCCTAGCCCTCTATTACGGGTGATATCGTAGTATCGGAGGCCAAAGTGAATCCCAATATCTGATTCCAGCACGGTTCTCAAGGTGGAATTGGAATTAGAATATATACAGTTTCTTCAACATTATTCTATAGTCTTAGTTGAAGCCCAAATAGTTCTCTGTTCTACTACAAACATATGAAATGTTATTCTCTTATATTCTGAAGATTTGCTAAGTTAGATATCCATGGATATGAGAAGATTAGCCTTTTAAAGGTGTAGCTTTTACGAGGGATACGGTCAGTAGGCCGCGGGATTTCCCCACACTATCACGGCCTTGACGGGTTCGAGTGTACGTAAGAAGGCAGAATGGTTTTATACTCGCAACTATTTGAGAACGCAAATATCTAGCTCTCGTGAACTATGTTGAAGCTAAAGCCCGGAGACATTGACTCCGGAGACCAATCGGCATGTCCTATACCGGAGAGCATCGAGGTGGGAAATCCCGCGGCTACAAATTTGTGGAGAAACCCCACTGATTTACCTATATGGCAATCATTCAAGGCAATTATTGTATCCTGTTCTCGAATATATACTGCTCGAATGTGAATGTCATATGTAAACTTATCAGAAATCTACCTCCATATTTCTTAGGTTTGGGTTGAAAGACTCCCGACTCCTCTTTCTATATCCGGTCTCAGTCCAACAACACCCAAAATGCTAGAATCTCCACTCCTGGTGGCATTATCCACACTGCCACCGCTAGGAACAATAAGCCTGGCAGTTGGTGTCATGCTTATGGGATATGTATCCTACATGATATACTTCCATCCCCTTTCTCGATACCCCGGTCCCCAAATAGCTTCTCTGACGAATCTTTGGAAGGCTTACTATGTGTACAAGCTTGTTCTGCATGAGAAATTGATCGAATTACACCAGCAGTATGGCCCAGTGGTTCGAGTCGGCCCTAACCATCTTCATTTCTGGGACGGTGAAGCCATTGCTCCAATCTACAAAGGAGGCAGGAAAATGGGGAAGACGGAGTTCTATAATGCCTTCACTGCTTTTAATCCTAATCTATTTGGAGGAAGGGATGAAGACGTAAGAGTCGCATCTTCTTTATAGCAGAGTTCATCTAACAAAGAGCACAGATCCATTCACTTCGTCGACGACAACTAGCCCATGGATTCTCCCAAGTATCAGTCGAGAACTTCGAGCCTCTGATCAATGGACATATTGAAATCCTTGTCAACAAGCTCAAAGGATTCGCGAAATCAGGAGAAATTTTCGATTTCAAGTCCACAATCTCGTACTTCGTACTTGATATTCTAGGCGAAGTAGCCTTTAGTCGACCATTCAACGCCCAAGCCAGAGGAGAGGCAGATGAGCTACACGCGATCAATGATCACCTTCTCTTGTCATGCGTCATTGGCGAACTTCCTCTCCAGAATCTCACAAAGCTTCTAGCACGATATTCACCCATTCGGTGGATGCGAAGACTTGTGAAGAGCAGAAACAATCTCAAAGCAAAGTGTGCCGAGTGTGTCAGAAACAAAATCAACAACGCATCCGGCCGTCGAGATCTACTTCAGAGCCTTGTGACAGCAAAAGATGTTGAGACCGGTGCTGGTCTAACAGAGCAAGAAATGAATTCAGAGGCATTTGCTATGCTGTGAGTACTAAAATACCCCTGAGTTGAACTCTCCTGCGTATACTTACTCGCACCAGCGTGGCGGGTTCTCATTCAACATCTGGGACATTGACACTACTCTTATGGCATCTTGTCCATAATCCGGAGATTTGTGCTGCGGTCGCTGCCGAGATCTCAAGTATTCTTCAACCACTGCAAAATGAGGACATCGCCTATCCCATTCGGGGACTAGAGGCATCTCTACCGTACACCATGGCATGCGTGAGAGAGAATTTCCGCATGAACCCGGTGTTCACCATGCCATTATGGCGATGTGTTGGGTCACCAGGCGGAACGAAAATTGGAGAATTCGACGTCCCATACGGTGTAAGTATAACCCTACCTACTTTTCGAGTCTCACTATTCAGATCAACAATGTCAATGAGCAATATTAACCTCGACGCCTTCCAAATAGACGAGTGTCTGCATCTCAAACTATGTTCTTCATCATAATCCTGAAATCTGGGGTGAAGACCATGCGGTGTTTCGACCTGACCGGTGGTTGGGCAAAGATGAGCCCAACCGGAGTCGTTTCCTGATCCCGTTCAGTATTGGACATCGCATGTGCATTGGTCGGAATCTTGCCATGACCAATATATTGAAGACTGTCACTACCTTGATCAGTCAGTTTGAGTTCCACCCAATCTCTGCGGATGAGCAAGTCTGGGTGCGCAGTTCGGGGATTGGGGAGATGGAGGGATCGTTTGAATGCAGAGTATCGCTGAAACGATGAGGGCTGGCTCATATATGATTTCATATGCCGGGGATATCTAAAGTTAGCAAACAAATATAGAGAAAAAAACGAAGACTCCGTTATAACAAAGTAGTATGTATACTTTACGCAGTTGGCATGATATTGTAATGTTGTATCGGAAGATTACGGTAATATGGATGCATAACCCAAATTCATGGGGGAAGGCCGCGGGATTATGTACGAGCACATGTGCATCCAGTGTATGGCCCGGGTAATAATACTCCGACCATGTGACCATCCATTGATGCCGATTAGGTATCCCACAGCGTTTCTCCACTCACACTACCTACCTACCCCGAAGCATGGAAGATACTGGTTTTGAACACATAAACTACTTAGAATTCTATGGAAATGGATATACAAACTCCATCAAGTGACCGATTGAACTCTATGCGTTTCCAATGTACTGTCTGCTCCCAGACTTTCGGGAAAATCCAACATCTCAAGAGACACACATCAACCCGTATGATTCAAATCCCTCTGAATGCTATTTCCTTTTCAGCCGGAGGCAAGAGCTGAGACTCATTACATCAGATAGCGATAGGAAACCACATCTGTGCGAGTTCTGTGGTTCCGAATTTACACGCAGGTAAAGTCGGGCCGATTTTAAATGCATAGTTCAACCATTTAACGAAACCCAATGTTGACAGTGATGCCCTTCGCCGTCATTGGAAGAACTGCACAGCTCGCGTAGCGTCTGGTAATCAAGTGCCCCAGCGTACGCGATCTGGAAAGCGAAAGCATGCCTGCGATCGTTGCACGGAGCGCAAACGCGCTTGTAACCAAGGCAATCCTTGTGCCGAATGTATTCTGCAAGATTCGGAATGCACGTATTTTCAAAAGAGACAAAGGTATTCCCAAATCCTCGTGGATACAGAGGATCCTCATGGCGACTATGACTTGAATTCCGCCACTGAGACCTCAGAGCCTCAGCAAAACCCGAGTGTCCAAAGGGAACAGTTGAGGAATAAGATTAGTATTGCTGATCGTTGTCGATTCGACTTCCTCTTGAAGTTTACTCGGGCAGCTGGAATTAATCAGGGGTATAATTGCAACCGCCTATTCATGAAAGATGGAGCATATGAACACAGTGTATCTTCGGAAGATGGTGAATCCCACACCGACCCATATACTTCTCTTCTGGAGGAAATCTTGATATGGCCAGATGAGAGTATGGACTCTCTTACAAGGCTCGATATTCCTGCGAGAACAGGCCTCGTGACCGAAGCACTGAGACTTCAGTCCAGTCGCATTTGGGATATGTTTCTTCCATTCTGTGACCAAGAAACAGAAAGCACGGTAACTATGGCGGATGTCATATCATTCTTCTCGCCAGAGAATATCCTGCATTTTGTCAATATATTCTGGGATCGCTGGTATCCCCACTGTCTAATTTTCCACAGAGTGACCTTTGATGTTGAATGCTGTCCGCCTCTTCTTCTTGCAAATATCATACTTATGGGCGGGTGTACATCCTCATGTAAGGCAGATCGCAGCATTGCCAGGTCACTGCTAGATATCGCGGAAGGCATCGTGTTTTCGCAGGACATGTTCTCGACCATAATAAGAACGGGAACTGGCAACGGAAACACTAATACTGAACATACGGATAGCAGCCATCTGGCCCAGATCAGCACTTTGCAAGCAACTTATTTGATTTGTATAATGCAAAAATGGGAAGGGAGTGATGAGTCAAAGATCCGTATCCAGCGGGATCAATTCACGAAATTCGTTTCGGTACGTATAGTGTGATGGATTGACTCAATCTGCCGTTGGTTGCTAAATGAGTACAGGCAACTCGGGCCATGGGACTGTCAAGAGCAAGGCGTAGTCACCAGCCTATTACCGCGACATTTGATGATCGGGCATGGCGAACATGGATTCGAAGGGAAGAAGTCAATAGGTGGGTTCAACGACTTCAAACCCTTCAGTAGTATGCTGATCTCAACACAGAATGTGCAACTATGTTTTCCTCCTTGACTCGGCCTTTGTGATCTTTCACAACTCATTCCCGCGAATGGCTCTTCAGGAGATGCAGATTGATCTGACATCTTCAGAGTCATGGTTTCAAGCATCTTCTCCTACCGACTGCCTATTGGCTATGCAATCAGATCCAGGGCTATCAGAAAAGCATTTATCACTCGTCGATGCCGTTCGTAGGTTATGTAATGACGATGCAACAGACTTTCTGGACGGTGCTAGCAAGTTAAATTTGTTCACAATTGCTACTAGTGGGTTCCCCCCTGGTATTATTGTTATTTGCAGAACGTCCTATCTAACTGTGGGAATATAGCACTTCATGGTCTTATATTCCATCAAAAATCCTCACTGTACACCCTTCCGCTTTCTGAAAACCCACTTGGCAAGGCACTCGACCGGTGGGAGGTTGCTTGGGAATCAAACGAGCTAAGGAAATTGAGTACACAAGCCGCGAGGACCATGACTGGTGCAGGCGATGAGCAAGATGGCTTTATGGGATATGCTGATGAGTTTGCTGTATTAGCACGCATTTCTCTGGAACTTTCATATTTCTCATCAACAGAATGGTCAGAGCTTATTGAAGGGTTATCTGGGAGCCCCCGCGTGGTGCATTTGCGACATTTGACCAGGCTGGTATGGGCCCAATTGGGGATTTGATGTTAGCAGTGGAGAATTTGAACTTGAATAAGTGAATGAATGATCGTTAGCCCAACCCTTGAAACCTTCAAGGTATAGTCTCGTCTTATCTTAGTGTCTGGCTTGTCGATGACAGGGAGGTTTGTGGGTGAGGTCATCGAGATTTAGCTCTGTCAGCCCATTGGTATAGACGAGGTAATTTGGGGAGAGAAAAAGTGAGCTTTTGCTTGAAGAGGGAAACAGAAAGAAGAGAAGGAGAGTTGCCGCCTCCCAATTTAGCCACGGAAGGAACATCCATGGTACGTCGGACTAAACCTCATTGGGGCCCGGGGTCTATCAAGTCCGTAACTATAGCTGGAAAGCCAACTTCCGATCTCTTTTGATCGAATATTTAAAGAGGTTGATCGACTTCCTCTATCTTGCTTTCACTCTCGACTTAACTATCTCTTCTAGGTATCAACTCACATTCTTCTGTGACGTTTCTCATCTCCTTCTCATCTTTCTCGTATCTGAGACCTATCTTCTTCGTCCACCATCCTTTTTTGATCCTCTCGGTTGACATCACTTTGAACCATCAACCGACACTATTGTCAATATGGCAAAGACGTCTCTGTTCTCATTGCCAAATGAACTTCTTTGCATGATTGCCGCAGGCTTGGGTGTCCGGGATGTCATAGCCCTGCTGGAAAGCGTTCCTGCCTTCTACAACCCACTTATGTGGCATTGTCGTCGCCGAAATTATCCAGATCGCCGGGAAGGCCTCGTCGAATCTGCCAAAGCTGGGGATGTTTATGGGACACGGCTGTTACTTTCGACGGATGCAGACATCCGATGCGTGGAAAGTGACCCTGAGGAGGAAAGAAGATTATGGTATGATTATGGGGAACCACACGGGCACTATTGGAGCAGCTCAGCATTGGAAAATGCTGCGCGCAGTGGCTATAAGGAGATAGTAGATGCTCTCCTTGATCGCCTTGTTCGAGTAAAAGCGGCGATCCCAAGTCTTCACATTGATTCCGTTGAGTATGCACTAGATTTAGCGGCTAAAAGAGGCTATGTCTCCATCGTCAAAAAACTGCTTGATCTTGGTTCCGATCTCAAGAGTCCATCAGATCTCAATGAAGTCCTATCTGACGCCTTGATGGGGGTTCCTGATTGGAAGAACAACGAGCTTTGCTTCTGTGACATACACGCCTACACTGGATCTGGCAACCAGACCAGGAAAGACTACTATGGCCTTGTGGAGCTGCTTCTCGATTCTGGTGTCAATTCCAACTGGCCAAAACGTGATCGAGGGCTTTCTTCGCGTGTATGGGGACCGGTCACAAGTGCCCTCTTCCGGTGCAGCTCTATGTCCAACGGAATTTTACGCCTGCTCATCGAACGGGGTGCAAGTGTGAGTGAAACTGTACTTCATGCTTTTGTGAAAGCTTCGAATCGATGTCTGTATCCACAAGAAGGGACTGCTAGTTTCCTCATCCAGCACGGCGCAGAAATTGACGCTCGGGATGCCAACGGTGGGTCCGTTTTGCATAAGGTCAGTAAGGAAGGCCTGGTGGAGTTGTTCATTAATCGTGGGCTCAGTCCAAATGTAACCGATGATTGGGGCCAGACTCCTCTACATGCTATGGCTTACTGTGCGCCAAACACTATGGTTGGCCCAATTCGATCGCTTTTGAAACACGGTGCTGACCTGTCTGTAACCAATGATGATGGTAACACACCTCTTCATCTAGCGATAGCGACCTCAGAATGGGAGATCGTCGACTTGCTGATTAGCCATGGAGCCGAGCTGGGTTGTCACAATTTGAATGGAGAGACACCCTTATCCCTTTTGGTCCATCGTCATCCAACTTGGGAATATAGTGGCTTGAACAGAGACCAGAGCAGCGATCGCTGGATCACATATAAATATGAGATATAGGAGCCTATCTATATTAAGTCTCTTGCCCAGTCTAGTGCAGCCTATATCGATGAAGATGAAATCCCAAGATACCCAGCATGCACAGCCCTGGAGATATGCAAGGAGAATATGTCAGACGGTTACGAGGATGAAACCACCTGTGCGCGCAAGTCAGAATACCGAATCTCGAACTGACCGAGAGAAACCATGATTCTTTTTGTTGTCTTTTTTTCCTCTGAAACGTTCTGTATTAAACATCGCAGTATATTTAGGCGCGAACACACACTTGGGTCAAAAGCCTTTTTTCACGCATCTTGACGATCTCACGCGAGGACCAAGCACAAACATACTATTTTAAGACTTTTCCAGTGTGGAACATACACCTAACAGCATGACCTGGCGTGTTCTAGAAGCGATATGGGAATCACAACTGACAATGTCCTCAAGATGAAGCCAACATACCACCTAACAGGGCCCAACCCCCCCGTGGTCCACTAAGCGCTACACTTCTCAGTGGCAATTTCACTTCCTAGCGCATTGAAGATAATGCAGGGGGCAACGCCATCGTTGATCCTATCGGATGAACAAAGGAGGTCTATACAGAGAACGCGTTGGCTGGCATCTCCCCGGATATAGCGTTCCGAAAACCGCCGCACCAGACAACCCTAGATGGCATGTCTGGCGTAGCAATCCGATTCCACACGACAACCTTCTAGCCCGACCTAGACTCCGGCCTAGACGTTCCGATTGGCCTGCGGCTGAGAGCATCAGCTGATACACCCCAGTTCGGGTGTCTATGAAGGGTTGCCAGTTCATGATCCTGCCATCGGTCCACGGACCAGGGTCCCCTTCCCGGGCCTGATCAACAATCGCGGGGGAAATACCTTGGCGATGAGTGGGTGCTCACGGGCCAGGGAGACCGAGTCAGGTGGAGCTCATTGCATATGGAGCCGGATTCAATTTCAACTACGATTGGTCTCGACCGTATGATGAGACGACCGTTCGCGGATAATATGGGCCGTTATATGGATGAGGAGCACGAGGCAAAAGCTCTGGGGACATTTATCCCAAATTCCGGTTTCTTCGGTCCTGGATCTAGATTGACATGAATCATCGGTTCTTTGTTAGCTCCAGTCCATACCGGTTTGATGGCAATATGTGGAACCTCTATTTTTCTTGTTTTGAATCCCTGTATTGTCTGCATTGGGCTAAGGGATTTGTGGATCCAAAGGATTTCTAGAAGCGTATAACATATGTAAAGGGGTCCTTGGAACAGATGTCAGAAGCACTCCTAGGCAATGCATGGGACAGGGTGTCCGCAGCCATATATACACCCACAGCGTCCTGCATCTCGTAGCCAACGCCTCAACACATCAGCGAGCGAATAAATGGCCCCCCCCCAAAAACCAATGACGATAGATCAAATGCGAAATTAAAATCAAGACCAAATGCAAGTTCATTGTCCAGGCGACTGTCGGCCACGACATGTCTGCCCAACGTCCGTGTGTCCACCGCCATTTGTACTTCTCCACATGTTCTTCTCATTTATCAGCATTTAAAACATTGTATTCTGTTTAGATTCTGTCTATATTTCTAATCTCTAATTTATTCTCTCACAATGTCGCGCCATAACAGTGTCGATCTAGACTCGCCCGACCGGCCCTTCGACAACATCATCAATTTCCGCGATGTCGGCCGATCGATTAATCAATTCTGTCGCAAACCGTGAGTCAAGACGCGTCTGGGATCCGGATCTGTCCAGTCCTCCAAAAGACCCAACTGGAACTAACAATCGCGTAGCATCTTGAACGAAGGCGTATTCTTCCGCAGCGCAAGGGTAAATACCTTTCCCCGCTTATGACTCTTTTCCTGATGCGTTGTCAAAACCCCCGACAACTAACCAGTGTTGATTTTCCAGCTCGACGATGCTTCAGAACGAGATAAACGGCGTTTAGCCGAAGAATTACACATTCACACGGTCATCGATCTGCGCTCACAGTATGTTTTTTTCCCACTAAAGCACTAAATCCCCGAATCCCCGAATCCCCGACTAACCCCCCAGCAGAACAGAACACCGCATGGGCACGCGAAAACGCCGAGATGAAATCGCCAGCTCATTAGAATCATCATCAGAATTATCTCTCCCAACAACCCCCATCCCCTCAAACGCAGCCGAACACCTCCTCCAAATCCCCGGCTCACAGCGCACCCTGATCAGCCTAACAGGGAAGGGGTTCGAGCGCGCATTACTAGGAAAACTAGACTGGCTATCCTACCTGTAAGTCATAAATCCCTTCCCATATAAACCCCCCCAACTAACAAAACCCCAGAAAAGCAATCGGGCTCGTAACAACCGGCTACCGCAGCGACGCGGTCAAACTAGTCTGCGGGCAAGTGATGCAACCGCGCGGACTGACGGGGCTAGCCCAGGACACGCTGGATTCCAGCATGAACGAGATGCGCGCGGTATTTGAGATTCTGGCGCGCGAGGAATCATACCCGACGATCGTGCACTGCACGCAGGGAAAAGACCGCACGGGCCTGGTGGTGTTGTTGATGTTACTGCTTGCCGGGACGGTGCCTGTTGATGCGATTGTCGATGATTACAGTCGGTCTGAGCTGGAGCTGGTGCCGGAGTTTGAGGAGCGGATGGAGGAGATTCGGGCGATTGGGTTGGATGAGGATTATACGCGGTGTCCGCCGGACTTTGTTAAGGCGACGACGGAGTATTTGGATTCGAGGTATGGGGGGTGAGGGGGTATTTGGAGAGGATTGGGGTTGGGGTTGAGATGCAAGAACGTATTCGGACGAAGTTTGTTGCTTGAGGGTGTGCCTTTTTTTTTTTCTTCGTATTTTCTTTTTTTTGAGGGGACTTGATATCCGGGCTTGCTGTATAGCGGCTCTTTTGTATTTGATATGGGCGATGTAGATACGTTAATGACCCCTTTGGGATGGATATAGCATTAGATGGACAATGGAGCATCGAGTTTAATAAATGGTGGAGGATCCCGTGCCGATTGTTTTGTAATGGTAAATGAACTGATTGACTGTACGGAATAGATCAATTGAGACACGTCTTATATTTGAATTAATATATAGCGGAGTTGAATATTCAAGACCAACGAATTGGCTCCAACGGTGTATGCCAACACGATCAAAAGTGTATCCACAGGAAACAAGAGCATCCACAGGAGAATTAACAAAAGTAATGGTGTATCGGATGAGATCGTTCACATCATAGAAGTAAATACAAGAACTGCAATAGATCAGTGAATTTTAGCAAGCGACGGAATCAGACCCGCTGGCCACGGTAGAAGCCAGTGATCGGGCCCCCCGAGTCATGGGTCAGAGGCTCTTCGATAGAGACAGCCTCAGTGCCTCGGCGGAAGCCATTCGGGCTCATCAAGTACTTCTCGCCCTGGGGCACGTGGTTGCGGGTCCGCACGGAGGGCAGTAGATCGACCACAAAGGAGAGAACGTAGCCAGTGAAGACGAAAGCAATTGCCCACTCGAGCACCGCGCCAGGGTTCTGCTTCCACGCATCCTTGCTACCCATGCACACACCGAAACCGATAGCGAGTCCAACTTCGATGACGATGAAGGCGAGCTTGATGAAGAAGCTGACTAGCAAGATCCGGTGCTCGCGGCGATAGAAGATTCCGATGCGGAAGTACTCGGCGCAAATGAAAATGGCACTAACGATATAGCCCGCACTGGAGAGTGGTTAGTTACCCATTGGCAGAATCATGTCGAGACGACTCACAGGAACATGCCGAGAAATCCATCGTGCATCTTCGGGTGGCGCAGTGTATCGAAAACAGAGAGTAGAATCAGACCGGCTGCGCCGGCAATGGCGAATAGAATCGATAGCACGGCGCAGGCCTTGTCCAATCTACCCTTATTCGCGGCGAGTTGTTTGGAGTGGCGAAGCCATCGCTCTGCAAGGAATGCTAAATCGAGGAAAACGACTGTAACCACGCTGCCTCCGACGAACAGCGGTTTCAAGTGCTGTGCTCCGACGTCTGAAATGTATCTGCAAGAAGATTAGCGCCTGGAGGGGCTCACTGGGCTGGGAAGACATACGCAATGTGTTGCCCTTCCTCCATACTGGGGTAAATGGGTCTCCCCTCTCTCACCCAACTGACCAGCATGGCAATCAACATTGCTGAACTGTACGTTAGCTGCAGGCCCAAAGGAAACAACCTGTTCCATGCGGGGATGCCTTACCAACCCACATGCAGGCCGATATCAGCGGAAACATCCAAAAAGATATGATCCACATCGTTGCGATTGGCTTGTGTGCTTCGAGACCGAATTGATGGTGTGGGAGCTACCTAGGCAGCTACAGAGGATGTCTAGATACCCACACGATGGAATTGCGAGTCCGCTAAACCAAAAAGCGAGTGCAGGGTTCGAAGACACAGCACTGAGGACGGGACTGCACGATCTCGGCGTTAGTCGCAAATTCTCCACACAATGCCGGCGCTTCCATGTCGAGCTAGGGTCTATTTTCAGCGCGATGTTTCCCGCCCATGCGCAACTCACATATATCAGAATTTATGTACAATGCTTCACGGAGGCATACAGGCACTCCAGAACCCAATGATTGACACGAGGGAATGTCACGAAGGCGACAGTGGCGCTTAGAAGGCAAATCAAGGGATGGGATCGGGAGAACAATAATGCGCCAAGAATCGAGGGGCAGTTTCAGTATATTCCCTAGGGTATGTACTCTGTAAGGCGACTACCCTAGGTAGATACCTCGAATGGACAAGCAAATCGATTTCAAAAAGGGGAAATTTCAAAAATTTAAGCTGCTAAAAGGGGACAGCCGGTTCGAGATCGACGTCATCAGCCAAGGCAGAAGAGAATGTGATCGGCTTTACTAAATCGACACGATGCCCTGCCCCAATATGGAGTACACTAAACTCCGAGCCTTGGGGCTAACTCATCGTCTAATGCAATGGCATAAAGTGGTTGTGCTTGTCGGGGATCGGATCGACGCCTTAACCGGGTGGCTGGACGCTTGGCGGAGCTGTGTTGCGTAAGATCGGATCGAATTCGAACCGGTTATACTATTCGGCGAGAGCTATGATGTAGAAGATCAAAAGGTCAGGCTTGCAAGAACCGACTAAAGTTACTGCGGACGGAACTACTCCCAACGAACCGAGACATTGAAATTGCGAGGGACACACTAGAAGACGGTCTCCCATGAACCCCGGTGCATTATATCGCCAAAGCATCTTGGAAATGACGCAGACCTGCATTCCTACGCTTCGAAGTCCCCACCTAATCGGTGATCATTGGCTCAGCGCGCTTTTTGGATATAGTAGCCAAGTCTCGTGTATAGCCTCCGTTCAGTGTCGATTGAAATCTGCATTGCTGCCTGAGAATGCGTGGAAATGCCTGAATCCTGCCTGATTTCAGACCGCTTCCGCTACCGCTGGATTGTCACGGAAGCTGTGATGTAACGATGTTCGAACCACCCCGCCAACCTGAAATCGAAGCTATTCACACCATACAAATTTCGAATTTGTCTCTTCCTGAGGCGTTCAAGCTGCTCCGACCTGATAATAGGAAATCTGTCCAATCCGAATCCGTCGGATTTTTAGGCCCTTCCTCCTCTATTCTCTTCTAAGGTCTATAAATTTTCCGCTGGATGTAAATAAGCCACCAAGGCAGAAATCAGGCCGAACTTTGGATTCTAATTGAAACTGGACAGAGGCTATACACCTTCGCACCCGGGACCTCGGGAGGACTACCAGCGGAAGTGATCATTTCAAACCACGCTATAGGCAAACACCACCGAAAAGAAAAAGAAACGAGATAGATCAATGCTCAGGACTTTCAAATACTTGCCGCCTCCAAAATGGCCGAGTGATCCAAGTGATGCGTGGTGCCCGCCTTCAAGATCGCATCACGCACCCACTGCCCTCTCGGACGCATCACCGACCTAAACGGCTTGGGCAGGCTGATAAAGCCCTCCGTGCAGTCCATATCATCGACTTTGTGTCTCGCGCCTGTAGCCTCGTCCACAACGCCAGCCTCGACATCAAACGACCACAGCATGCGCGCCATCTGGATGAACAGCTGGTTGCGCGCAATGAGCCGACCCGCGCATATTCTGCGTCCAAACCCGAACCCCGTGTATGGTAGGTCCTTGAGGGCGGATGTGTTGCAGCCGCTGGCATCGATGTGCTCCTTGCCGGCTGCCTCGGCGAGCCACCGCTCGGGCATGAAGTTGTCGACATCCTCGCCGAAGGCGGCCTCATCACGGGTGATGGCGAATGCATTGGGGAGGACAATCGAGTTGGCGGGGATATAGTAGCCCATGTATTCGTCCTCCGTCTTGGTGAAGTGTGGCACGCCCTGGACGACCACGGGGCGCCAGCGGAGCGTCTCGCTCGCTGTGTGATATCATGTCAGAACTTGCCCATTCGGAAAAAAAGAGTAAACTCACCAATAGCATCGATATAAGCTAGCTTGGGGCGGTCTTCAAAGCTGGGTAGGCGGTCTTTACCAACGACCTCGTCCAGCAGCTGCTGCGCCCTCTTCACCCAGCCACGCGACCCCGACGTAATCCAAGCAACGATAAACCAGTCCAAGGCAACAGTCGAAGTATCCAAACCAGCATCAGCAATAATCCCCAAATCAAATGCAAGCTCGATCTCCGACATTGTCGCACCCTCTGGCGAGTCGTTCATATGCTTAGTCCAGTTCCACCTGCGATTCCTCAGCCCTTTCTTCAAGTTTCCAACATGTAGCTGGCGCTCCAGCTCAAACAGCTCCTCGGCCTCCCTCTTCCAAGGCGCCAAAAACTTGGGCAGGTAGTTCAGCGACGGAAAGGAGTCAACAAGGTACGCGCCCACCTGCCCGGTGCGCGCAAACTCCGCCTGCACGCGCTTCCCATCCATCAGCTCCTTCTCAAATCCCGTTTGCAGCCGATACCCGTAGATCAGACAGTAAATGGTACTGGCCATTGCGCGCTCGAAGTGGTGGTGGAAGTCTACGCCCTTCTCGCCGAACTTGTCCCACTCGCCCAGCACATCCCATAGCAGCTGCTGCGACTCGAGGTCCTGTAGCGGGCGGTAGTTGCTCGCAGCACGCGGGGTTAGGAGCGGGGCTTCCATTTTCTGGTGTAGTCGGTACTGGTCGTTATATGGTCGGAGGAGCATATGCATGCCCTTCGTGACCAGCTCACCAGCCATGACCATGCGCGGGCGGTCCGAGTATCGCAAGCTGCGGCGATTGAGAAGATCGTGTGCAGCCTGGTGAGTGGAGAGGACGATGAGCGGCTGCCCACCCATGCTGAGATGCATGACCGGGCCATACTTCTTGCTCCAGTGATATAGCTCCAGCCACTGCAGACTCTTGGGCAGCTGGTGAATATTTCCTATTACAGGCGCGGGCTTGGGTCCTGGCGGTAGGGGCAACGAGGGCCGTTTGACGAGTGAGCTGATCAGACGTGCAATTACGATCGCGCTAAGAGCGCCAAGCAGATAGGTCGCAAAGCCGGCCATTTTCCTGCAAGTGTAGAGACGAGGCAGATGAGTGCGACTACGACTGTATGCAGGGACGGCAGCGAGAAGACCAAGCAGGACGATTTAAGTACTTCGTACGGTGTCCGTCCCTCTCCGCCGGGTCAACAGCGAAAGCTGAGCTGGATGGGACGATTGTACAGGGGCCAATGAATGCGCACAGCTCTTTTATCCAGATCTTCATTGGGCTCATTGGGCTCATTAGGATCGGCCGGATGGATTGTTAGCCGGCTCCTTCGACAGCGGGGCCATACTGTTCTCGTAGTAAAGTGGAGGATGCGGCCCCGTCTGGGCTAGGAGAACTAAGCCACATATGGGATGGACTCCTCCAGGTCTGCCTCATTCGTGGAGAGACGAGTAATCAACCGTCTTGCACCGATCACTCGGTGTTAGCTTTCAATCGCCTGGCCATGCCAGTTAATGCGTAACAACGTTTTTGAGCGGCGGACACGGACGTTATGTACTTTTGTTGGAAGGAAGAGCAATAGACCCCTGAGTATCAGAATGGATTCCTCATTTCTTGGGGTGGCGCCGGGAAGTTGGAGAAACGGCCCGTGTGGGGACCGTTAGATGTCATATGGCAGTCTAGATTCCCAAACTGACACATGCGTTAGGGCAGGATGTCTAAGGCAGCCCCGAAAGCAAAATTTGAAAAGATCTTCAGTGGCTGGCCGTCCAACTGTGAGGCAAGATGATCTTTAAGACCAAGTTCTAGCGTGAAGCTATCATCGAGCTATCCCTCGTCCCCTGTCTGTGGGAAATGAGACAGATATACTCTATACGGAGTACCAGATGCCGATTCCTGGGCGCCGTCTCGAGTCCTTTTTATTACCTCTGCTCTTCGTGTGTCTTTGTATCTGTATTCATTGTAGAGCTTCCAATTTAGTGGCGGAGGAATCACAATGCTGCTAGCAACGTGGTCAGCATGTGCCATTATCGCCTTTGCGGCCATCGCTAGTGCCCAGAACGTGCCAGAATGTGCGGTATGAAAACTCTTGCTGGTGAAACTAAGACGCAGCTGATAATGATCGCCAGGCCAATTGTCTTGCCGAGAGTGTCAAGAATTTAACATGTTGCGCGACGGACACCCACTGCATATGCGCTGACGAGACATTGATGGCCAATGTCGGGGTTTGCTCATTGGAAGCCTGCACCGTCATTGAGGGACTTCGCATGTCCTAGACACCTATTCATAATATGGGCTAACTGGGCTGACATGCTATCCTTAGACTCCCGAAATGCCACGGCTACCCTCTGCCACTGGCCGGTCCGGGACAAAAGTCTTGTCGCTCCCATCGCAACAGCCGTTACCGGTGCCCTGGCTCTTGCGTTTATCAGCATCAGAGTAGGTGACTGTATTGCTAAGAAGGAGTCCAAGTGGGCCGATCTGTGCGCGGTCCTTGCATTTGTGAGTGCAACACCGTGTGAGCATGGAAGTTGAGAGTCTGCCGGCTAACCAGCAGACTTAATATCTTCGTTATCCATGGATATATTTTAATTCTTCAGTGTGTTCTTCCTCAGCGACTTAGATGTCGGTTCTGTGCTAACAGCAAAACAGTGATGGGCTCGGGGATGGGAAAGGACGTTTGGACGTTGACGGAAGAGCAAATCACAAACATGGGGAAGGCAAGTACCAGAGGCAATAGCGTTCCAGATGGGAGAACTGACAAAATTCGTGGACAGTAGACCTGGGTGACTCAGATATCGTATATCCCAGCAATTATTCTAAGTATTTGTGGATAGCATTCCCGTAGACCGATTGACAGAATCCCAGCATCAATCACCTTGCGCCGGAACTGGCCTGCTTTGCTCCGACATACTTATACTGGATCTTCATTCCTTGTGATTTTATATCACTCGGTCCGCAGGGTGCCGGGGGCGCTCTGTCGGCTGATTCTTCGGATCTAGCCAAATTGGGGTTGATATTGCGATGGCCGGGCTGGTCTTCCAAGCTTTTACGCTCATTAGATTCTCTATGCTGTTGGGCAACTACGTGATTCGATGCTCGCTGTCGAAAAGTGGCAAGGGAATCGACACCCGGGGAAAGTTCTTCTTCGGCTTTCTATCCCTTGCAGTACTCACTACTCTCATCCGTTGTATCTTCCGTGCCGTTGAGCTGAAAGATGGTTACAGTGGTGATTTGATCTCAAGTGGGAGATTATTCATCGGGTTGGATGGAGTGCAATGCTTCCTTTTTTTGGCAATCTCTTTTGAGTGCTGTTTTGCTAACACAATACTGGATGAAATAGACGATTGCTGCTAGAGATGGGACGGGTTGAGACCCATGTTCTATCAGCTCCCATAATGTCTCATAGCGCTGGGCATATGAAGGACGCTGGACAATGCGAGCTACAGGGTGTACTGCATCCCAATAGCAGTTTAACAACCTGTCAGCAACACTGCGAGGAGGAAAGTAATGGGTCAGGTTGGTGCCTAGGGGATCCTGGTCAAACAGTAAATTGATCGACGGGGCCGTAAAGAAAGGACTCGGTCACAAGAGTTCTTCCCTCGAAATTGAGATCTCCGGTAAAGATATATCTGAGGATGACCCTCTACTGGGCATCTCTAGAGAGATCGAGATCTATCATGGTACGACTCAGTATAAAAAGTATGACCTGTTGCTTCCTGTATACGTATCTCATCTGCTATGTTAGAGCGGTAGAATCCCGTGATCCTCTCTCTCATTCGCATGTGTTCAAGTCTGAAACCCAAGTCTTCGATATCATCCATGTCATCATCGGCTTTGATGCGCTGCCATCGGCGAATCCATTGGCACTGGTAGTAGGAGCGCTACCAGGAGGCATTTCGCTTCAATTGCGCTTCAGTAATCGCTAATGTAATTGAATGGATGTGGTGACAGTGAGTGTGTAGTAGCATGATTGGCGCAGGAAGGTCAAGCAGATGCCTAGGTAGGCCACCAGAATGAATAGCGCAGCCTGGAAACGCCATGCCTTACAGTCAGATCCAACTCCGCACCAAATAGCCAGCGCACGATTATGCGTCAGCGTGAGGCTGACGTTGATCCATCGCATGCTAGTAGAGGAGCTGACGTCTCAACAAAAATAGGACTTGGGCATGAAGCTGGCTATGTTCCGTTCTTAGGTAGGAGGCACCGGAATGTGGCACTGCAAGATGTAAATGCCAGACACGCTTTCGCTTCGTGTCTTGTATACGATTTGTTTCAGCCTTAGGATGGCTTCCGCTGGCTTGATGAAGCTTTGATGAAGCTTTGATGCATGTTCAAACATGACTTCCCCAGGTGCAGTTGATTAAGGTCATCCGACTCTCAACCCTTGGGGATCCGAAGCTCTACAGATATCTACAACACCCAAGCCGGGACAGATTGAGTACTGGCTAAAAATGACGATAAGACATATGTTTGTAGCCTTAGAAACCTGATCTAAGCCCGGTCTACCTGAAAACGCCATTTGCGTTACGGAAGGACCGCAGTGAATTAAAAACAGTAAAGCAAAGAAAACCTCCCAGACCGAAAGTAAATTTTTTGAGAGGGATATCAGGCAACTCTGGGAGACACTTCAACATCATCGACTGGTTCGCTTACGAGCACCACCTCGTGTGGCCCCAGGAACGGTCCGTCTTTGAGCGACTGGAACTGGCTGGGCCGGACGCTCCGCCACCTTGGACACCTTAACGATTTTGACATCCTCATCTTCACTGCTCTCGGATTCCTCGCTGGATTCCTCGCTCGATTCATCAGCATCCGCCCCAGTGGTAGCAGGAGCAGGAGCAGGAGCAGGAACGGCATCTCCCCGGGACTGCACTGTCCCCTGAGATGAGCGTCTGCTTTGTGGAGGAGCTTGGTACGGAACAGTCGAGGGATAACTCATTCGATTTTGCGGTCCAACTCGGAGATCAGTAGGAAGCTGCGCCGGATATGGCAACGGCTCTCCGTACGGACCCATCTGCATTGCATTGTAATATGATGGAGCCCAGTGAGGATCGTCTGGCAGTGGTCGTGGGTACATAAGCGGTTGCTGCATCGACTGTGGTCGACCATTGGAGGCAAAGCGCTCGGAAGGGTATGGCGGGTAGGTAGGTCGAAGTGGTGAATTGGACTGCTGAGGACGGAGTGATTGTGTCGTCGGAGTCCGGGGGCGGGCAGCGGAAGATGAGCTGGAAGGTCGGCTATGTGTCGCAGTAGCGCCACGAGCCCAGTTGCTGAGTGGATCAGGCGGAAAAGCTGGGTATCCGGCGGGTGGTTGGTCTGGTGCGAAACCTGCTGCGCTTCTTCGAGATGATGGCCGCGACGATGTCTTAGCAGGATTGGCAGATTGTTTTGGGCGCCAAGTTCCACCTGAACCGTCCGCCTGCTGGCGCTTGCGCTCCAAAGCTTCCAGCTCGCGTTGCGATAATCGGACGTTGTTCTTCCCCAGCACTTGCGCGCGGCGAATTCGCTCAAGAGCATTGTCCACCAATTGATCCTCCTTGTCACGCAAAGCTAACTGAACCGCATAGGCCACCGTGCTATCCCCGTAGTCGTATAGATCATAGTTGCCTCCCTCCCCCGATTCAGAGTCATCTGTCAAATCGTCATAATCCACAGGTCGCCTGCGCGCCCCACGTCCTCCATACTCCATCCCTCTCTTATATCGACCGTTTCGCACCAACTCCCTCCCGTATCCATCATTCTCACCGTCCACCTCCTCCACCCGTGTCTCATCCCACGCCGCGCGTCCCCAATTATTTCTCCCCGTCCGTGCCCCTAGTGGTCTTCCCCATGGGGGCATGTCAAAAGGAGCTCGCGGCCGACCACCTAGACCGCCTCCTCGCAAAAAGCATTTTCAATCGGTTTGTCCAATAAAGCAGCGTGGCCAAAGACGGTCACGCCAGTAGCGCCGATCAACCACAGAGCAGTCGCCAGAGGCGAGGCCCAGATACCAACGGGGATACCGATGATGAGCAGTCCGGTGTAGAGCTGGGAAGTGGTGAATCGAGAGAAGCCCAGATCCAGATCACGGCCTTGCAGCTTGTTGATTCCGTAGATACCGCAGGTCACAAAGATCATGTCGAACAGCAGCACCAGGTTGGTCAGCAAGCTGTAGATGCTGAGCATCACAAACACGACGGCATAGTTGCTGGAGAAGTAGGACAGGTTGTAGTTGACGCGGCTCTGGGCTTCCGCGAAATTGGCGGGCTTGGACAGGCGCTTGAGATCGAGAAACTCCGAGACCGGGCGCAGGTTTGAGAATCGCGTACTCAACGAGGTGCTGCGCAGGCTGCTGAGGCGATCACCAAAACGCGAAGTAAGCATGTCAATGGGGATGGAGACCATTTTGGAAGATTGGTAAAGAAGGAGTAGAAACGAGGGTTCAAAACAGGAGCGAAGTTGTGAAATGAACAGATAGGATGTGATAGAGAGGAAGGAGAGGAAGTCAAACACGGAGACAACTTGGGCCTTTCCCCCTTTCGATTTTAGTCAGAGCACGGCCGTTTGAAAGGCCAAGAACTCCGTAGTCAGCGGCAGGAGTAAGAAAGATGAAAAGCGTTAGGTAGAAACCATCAAGGTTCTCTTGATGCCCTGACTAATAATAGGAACGGGTCCTCCATCCAGTGTTCCTGATTCCCTCAGCTCCTGGGTGCGGAACTGATCACGGAAGACATACGGAGTATACACTGTAGAGGAATAGAACTTCAAATCCAATTTAATTCTTTGGCTTGCTTCTCTTTATATATACGTGTACAGGAGCTGTCCGCTCAGGCATGCAGTTCAAGAAACTGAACCCAAATTACGTCCATTGGGCCACGTTTGGCTCTTCGCAGGTGGATAACTTCGAAGCCCGACCGCTTTTTTTCCTGCAACATGTCCTCCACTAACCCTCGACTGCTCATTCGTTCATTTCTATAGCCACTTCTGTGAATTCTGGCTTCCGCGGCATTGACCGCTCATCATCATGAAGCCTGTTGCGCTTTTCCTCTCGCTGTTTGTCTTCTTCGGCCTCGTTGCTGCGTGGTCCAAAGAAGGTGGGTACTGTTTACCCTGACCGGAGCCCCATACTCATGATTTTTGGGAACAGACTATGAGATCTTTGGTCTACAAAACGATGTGGCCACGAATGAAGGTGCCAATGTGACCTTCTATGGTACGTGATTTCTCCAATGGAACCGATACAACGAGCTTCGTACGCGTTGGATGCTCGCCCCAGGATTCTCTATCTAACTTCTACACCCGTGCTCCTGCAGACCTCCTCGAGATCCGTCCCAATGCCAATCAGGAGCAGATCACCAAGGCCTATCGCAAGAAGTCGAGAACCATCCACCCCGACAAGGTCAAGCGCGCCTTCATCGCCAATTACGCCAAGGACAAGAGCAAGGCCAAGTCAAACCAGGGGGTGAATGTCAACAGGGGTCCCACTCAGCGTGAAATCGACGCGGCGGTCAAGAATGCTGATGCTCGCTCTGCCCGTCTGAATCTCGTCGCCAACGTCCTCCGCGGCCCCAACCGTGAGCGTTACGATCACTTCCTCAAGAATGGCTTCCCCTTGTGGAAGGGCACTGGATACTACTACTCGCGCTTCCGTCCTGGTCTGGGCTCTGTGCTGATCGGCCTGTTCCTGGTCTTTGGCGGTGGTGCTCACTACGCTGCCCTGATCCTTGGCTGGAAGCGCCAGCGCGAGTTCGTCGATCGCTACGTTCGTCAAGCCCGCAGAGCTGCCTGGGGTGACGATATGGGTGTTCGTGGTATCCCTGGAATTGACTCTCTCGGAGCTACCCCTCCTCCTGCCCAGGAGTCCGGTGAGACCGGCGCCGTCGCCGTCAACCGTCGCCAGAAGCGTATGATGGATAAGGAGAACAAGAAGGATAAGAAGGGCGGAGGCCGTTCAAGTGCCCGTGCCTCCGGTACCTCCACCCCCACCGAGCAGCCTGCCAGCACTGGCGAGCGGAAGCGCGTTGTTGCTGAAAATGGCAAGACTTTGATTGTCGATTCCATCGGCAATGTGTTCCTGGAAGAGCAGAACGAGAATGGCGAGCGCCAAGAATTCCTGCTTGACATTGATCAAATTGAACGCCCCACTATCCGTGAAACAATGCTGTGCAAGCTTCCTATCTGGTGCTTTAACAGTACCGTTGGTCGGGTGCTGGGAACTTCTGCTGACGAGGAAGTGGAGTCGGATGAGAGCGAGGAGTCTTTTGTCGAGGAGGCTGAGACTACTGCCACCTCCAAGCCTCGTTCTCGGAAGCGTGGAAAGCGCTCCCAGCGATCATAGATCTATCCTCGCTGCACCTTGGGCGTTCATCAAGGCTTTTTTCGCTGATCACAAAAGTATCAAGGTTGGTTTGCTATAGAATTTCTGTATGGATTGTTAGTTGGTTATACCCAGGTAGAACCCAAAATGTACACATAATTATTCTCCATTGAATTCAAGAACTCAGCGCAGAATAATGCACATCAACTACGGAGTACTTGCCATCGATATCCCAGATCTGATTTTCCGGGGCAATTGGCAGCCCAAATTATGTACTTGCATATCCATGTCATACGTGGCACGCTACCCACAAACCTCATAAAGCCACTGAAGAGATCTACATAAGAGGTATCTAGGTACCGCGTGTCTGGGCGGGTCTTCCATAAGGTCAGTGCACCATTCTACCAGCTGCATAGACAACTATCTAGTGCGGTGTACACCTACCCGGTGTCGTATCCATCTTGGGCACCAACATGCGACTAGGTTGGTACAAATAGCGAGAGATCCCGTTTTTTGGATTCGGTCTGAAGCCCCGGGTGTCCTCATTGTTTTACAAGAATCAGAAGAAATGGATTTGAAGCAAAATCAATTCTATTGGACTGAGACGAGCCTTCCGATTCCTTCCAGGAAAAAAAAAACGGCAAAGCTCAGCAGACAAAGAGTTGGATATCGAAATCATAGAAGGCATAAAAGGCAAAAGTGAGTAAGTGAATCATCATGATCGTTATATGTTGAGGTCCAACAAAGCGTTGCAAATCGTGGAAAGGCGCAGATCAAATAACCCAGCCAGGGGATGTCAATGCTGCCTATGTGAACATCTTGGCAATGTTCATCAAGCTGCTGATGTGCTCAGACATTCCTCTGCCACCTCCATTATCTGATCCATGAGACTTCGAGCTACCACCGAGGGCCTTGGTGATCGCATGCGGCAAGCGAATCCCAATCATGGCGAGCAGCCTCGGCAGAACACCGCTGGTCAGGAGAGGCACAATGACCATCATGAAGACCTTCATTGGATTCCGACGAGCCCAGCGATAGATGTCACGGAACAGCCGCTTGATGTCGCGGATCATGCGCTGCACAAATCCCTCGCGGGGCCGAGCCCGCCGCGACGAAGATGAGAATGAGGAGAAGACTGATGGGCTTGATCGCCCTCCACTTCGTGTTCCCAAGAAGGATGGTGCAGACTTTTGCGAGTGGTGAGTGGAATGGCCTGATTTGCTGCGCGAACTGCGTCCACTATGCGTGCTGGAGGCGGGCGACCGCCGGCGCACATGTCCCACGGATGAAGCGGTTGATTTACCGTCGAACCAGCCCATTATGATGGTGTGTGGTATGCGCTTACGGGTACAGCTTTGTGCGCTTGGTGATAGTCAGATAAGACGTCTTTTGGGGCTGAGACGCAGGTGGTGCGCTGGCAGAAGGATTGTGGCCGATTGATACGGAAGAAAGAAAATTCTCAGGTGCCGTGAAACAATGCCCCTGATGATCTCGTTTGAGACCTTTTTTTTGCTTTGTGTGGCAATCAAAAGAGTGGAAAGAGACAGATGCAGGTCAGCCACTAGCTGCTGCGGAGATGTGCGATCTGTTGGTCTAGGCCGATGTGTGCACCCGCTTTGTGGATTTTCTATGCAAGCAATTTTTTTTGACAGTTGGCACGATGGGGATTCTCAGAAAAGGAGGTTATCACCGCAAGGGCTGTTTCCAGGCGAATCAGAGGAGATACTCAATTGGGCTAAACAGTCACCCCTAGCGCAAGAAAGGTGGCTTGGGTTTGGCCAGCTGAACTTAGTCTCCAATTGCATTTTTGCCTTGAACAAAGTACGTAAGAAGTACGGAGTAGAATTGACCTACTCCGTACACCATACACAGCGCTAGCAGTTTAGACTATGATGCAAAACATAAGAATTATATGTACAAAATACCTACTCCCTAGATCGCTTGGGTATAAGCTTGTTGCTTCTGGAGCTTCAGACCCGATGCCACTTGAATGGCCGAACCATGGATCGTGGTGAATGCCTTAGGCGGCAACGACGTCACTGCATGTGATGGCTTTCCATGACTCTGCCTAAAGTTCTACTTGAGTCTTCCTTAATACCCTCAAGTGGTGGTTATTTGAGATCGTTTACCAAGAGTGACCATGTCGAGTGCGTTGATATTACCCCGCTCTCTCGCCTAAATCAATACTAACTCGCAACTAGGCCCCGATTACTGTAAGCCCTCATCAACGGCCGAACATAACGAGGTTCCAGCTAATACAGACCAGACAAGATCCTGAATATTGCCCAAGATGCAACTCAACAACAGATTCGCAGCGCTTATAAGAGGTACGCGCATTACAACATGCGCCAAAACAACCCTCTAACTAAATCTACAGGGAATCACTGAAATCCCACCCCGACCGGGTCCCCGCCGACTCCCCTGAGAGACCTGCACGCACACGAAAATTCCAGGATATTAACGACGCCTACTATACCCTATCAGACCCCGCGCGCCGTCGGGAATATGACGCTACTCGCGCCTACCAGGCAGCAGAAGAGGAAGCAGAGGAGGACGTACCACCAAGCAACGCTGGTGGTTTCTCCTGGTCCAGCTTTGGGTTTGGCGAGAACCGTGATGACCGGGATAACAATCAATTTGGATCCGTGTTCGAAGAGATGCTGCGCGAGGAGGGTCTCGCCGAGGAGAACGATGGACAAGGCGGCCGACAGACTCGTCCAACCGGCCGATTCTGGGCTCTGGTCGGTGGTGTAAGCGGTGGTGCCATGGGTTTCATTGTCGGTAATTTCCCTGGCGCACTAGCTGGCGCGGTTGCGGGTAATCGTCTCGGTGCTGTTCGTGATGCCAAGGGCAAAAGTGTCTATGAGGTTTTCTTGGACCTTCCAACGCCAGATCGGACGCGACTCCTGAGTGAGCTTGCTGCTAAGATTTTCCAGTCTACTATGGGTCATTGATCATGGCAATCCAATCTGGGTTGCTCAGTGGTTTGGGCGTTGGGCACGTGGGAATTGGCTCTTATAGGCCTCGGTATGGAGTGGGTTGGTTTGGGACATTTTAGCTCTATACCCTAATGGCTGTAGGCCACACATGGTACAGTCTGAAGTACATATCCCAATTACATAGCAAGTACTCTGTAGTTAGATCTTCTTCGAGTACATACATAGGTTGAACTCTGTCTACGTGTAATTTCATGATTGACCCCTCATATCGTCTCTTATCGATAACGGCCAGGCACGAGAGGAAGGTTTGACAGGATGCCACCGCTGCATAACATGTTATACGTAGGTTCCGGACAGTGATGAGTTTATACCGACCACTAAACTGAAACGTCGCTTATCCGATATAGTGATATTGTCTTAACAAGTAAGACCAGGTGACCCTGTTCTCTGCTTCTGGACCCAACGCTAAGCTCCCGCCTTCGCTCACCGCTTGCGGCCAGAATGAGCCCCCCTCTCTATATTTACCCTCGAGTGGCCCGCAATTTTGATTGTTGAGAAATTCCATATTGAGGTTCAATTTCTAAATCACTCAAAATGACTGAAGCTGCCAGTGTCTATCCCTCGTTGGAGAACCGTCCCATCAAGAACACCGTTGTTCTGTTCGATGTTGACGAGACTCTTACCCCCGCGAGACGAGTACGTTGCGACGGGATCCATGGCTGTTGATTGATACTAATATCTCTTTTATTATAGCATGCCTCGCCCGAGATGCTCGAGTTGCTCTCTCGATTGCGCCACAAGTGCGCCATTGGATTCGTTCGTCCCGTCCCAACCAATGCACCGATCGATTCCCTAACATGATTCAGGTTGGCGGTTCGAACCTCGTGAAGCAGCAAGAACAGCTTGGATCAGCTACTATCGATGTTACCTCTCTCTTCGATTTCTGCTTCTCCGAAAACGGGTTAACCGCATTCCGCCTCGGCGAGTCGCTCGCCAGCAACAACTTCATTCAGTGGCTCGGGGAGGACAAGTACCAAGCGCTGGTGGATTTCGTTCTCAAATTCATTGCCAACACCAAGCTGCCCCGCAAGCGCGGTACCTTTGTTGAGTTCCGGAACGGAATGGTCAACATCAGCCCTGTTGGACGTGCTGCAAGCATTGAGGAGCGTGATGAGTTTGAAGCGTATGTGCCGACATCTTCATACATTTTTCGCCACTGCATTACTGTGGTATTGGCACAAAAGTGGTTAGCTGACACAGGATATAGTTTCGATAAGATCCACAACATCAGAAAGACCCTGGTGGAGTCCTTGAAGAAGGAGTTCCCCGACTATGGCCTCACGTAAGTCTGTCCGGCGAGCTTGGTTTCATAATATGAGACTAACCTAGCCCACCAACGCAGCTACTCTATTGGTGGTCAGATCTCTTTCGACGTCTTCCCCACTGGTTGGGACAAGACCTACTGCCTGCAGCACATTGAAGCCGAGAAGGGTATCTCAGGTGTCGAATACACAACCATCCACTTCTTCGGCGATAAGACTTTTGTCGGAGGAAACGATTATGAGATTTATGAAGACCCTCGCACCATTGGACACGCCGTCGATGGCCCTCAGGATACCATCAACCAGTTGAAGAAGCTGTTTGACCTGTAGATATGAGGTTACCACGAACAGGGCATGGATTTGTGATAGCGTTTACATGCGAGGTTTGATTCAAATCATTGAGAAAGGATTTGGTCAAAGATAGATCAAGATAATACTCTAATTGCATGGAATGAGGATATAACCCTGGAATGTAACAAAGGGCCATGCAAGTGGACCAACGGGGGCGGACAAGTAATCTGGGGCCGGGAAACTCGTCCTTTAGTCATCCCGGCCGTTTCCCGATCCAGGCCCGGAATCTTCTATGTAAGCTTCACTTTCTGCGTCAAACTTCCCAAGTGCAATTATTGAATTGTCTACTTGCCCGCTGTCGCTGACATGGCGCCTCAAAAACACGTCGTGGAGATTCCGCGCAACATCCTCCCCCGCTTGACTTGGAACAGCTCCTCTTCGCTCGTCACCAACCTTCCCGCACTCGCGATAAGTCAACGGCGACCATTCCCGCAAGGCTGGAGTCCTTTGAAACAACAAATTGCTTCATTATGCCTATCCACTCAGTCTTCTCGTTCTATCTTCACATCCTCCCGGGAAGTCATATCCGAATATCTCGTTTCCCGACGAATCTCTATAACGACACCGGCAACATCTAAAACCCCCCGCGGCAATCCTATCCGACATAATGGTGTTTATGTGGCTACTTTCAATCCCGCTCGCCGTGCGTTTCATGCCACGCCAACCCGGAACCGCGATCATCACTTTGATACACTGAAATTCGTGAAGCGCCTGCAGACAGAGGGCTTCAGCGAGGAACAGTCCGTCGCCATGATGCGGGTATTGAACGATGTCATTCAAGAGTCAATCCAAAACCTGACCCGGACTATGGTCCTGCGGGAAGGTATGTAACCCGGCTTCCGGGAAGTTTGCTTAGTGCGGAAGTCTAACGTGAAATGATTTCCCAGACTCGGAGAGATCGACTTATACACAAAAGGTGGACTTCGCCAAATTGAGATCTGAACTACTTAATGCAGATTCGACTGAGGCACAACTGACCCGCTCATCACACGAGAAGATCGCAGCAGATCTAGCCAAGCTGAACTCCCGACTTCGCGATGAAATTGGCCGAACTCAAGCCTCGGTTCGGTTAGATCTGAACCTTGAGAAGGGTCGGATTCGGGAAGAAGCAAATGGCCAAGAAATGCGGATTAAGGAAACTGAAACGCGAATTGAACAGGAAGTAGCAGGGCTGAGAGAACGAGTGGAGGCTGTCAAGTTCTCGACCTTGCAGTGGCTTATGTATGACACCCGAACAGATTCCTTAATCGGACGCGAGCTTATGCTGACTTTCCTTTCTCTCCAGGGGTGTGTGTACCGGTACTGCAGCTCTTATTCTTGGTGCCTGGCGCCTGTTTATGTGAATTTTGGGTCAAAATCCCATCTGCATTGTACACGGAGTGATATTTTCTATTGGCGGGGTTTACATGAGACTTTGATGTCTTCCAAATTTTCTTTTCTTTTGTACACATATTATACTCTCTACTCGTCTGGCCATGCTTTCCAGCTCACAAAGGTTTAGACAAAACCAACCATTTATTGCAAACTATCAAGAAAAATCTTGAAGTATTTCTGATCTCGTTCTCACAAGCTCCATACCATGTTCACTCTGTAGAATATCTTCCCGTGCCGGTTACTTATTGACTGTGGCTACATACATGTAAGGATCTACGTTGGAAGCCCGACGCACTTTCCCTTTATCTTGCGCCTTATCGCTAGGGGCTCTGTGCCATCACACGGAGAATCACCTAGTCTGTTAGCCTGACGCCGTTTTAGGTGATCACAATAATCTATCTGCCTAGGTAGGCAACGAGAACAAAATCACTAACAGACTAGGTCTCCCGGCACGCTTATCTTGACTGGTGATGGATCCCTAATTCCCCATGGAGTATTGTTTTACCCGGCTAGCTGTCGGCTCTTTCTTTATAATTCTGCTCTAGATCGCAATCACATTCTATAATGTTTTCAGGTCGAATCACAGGCCTTGAGCTCAAACTTCGCAGTTGGCACTTGGTCAACAACCAGTGAAGTCTCAAGAGACTTGTATAACAACGGACACCGTCTGGTCTATTGATCACAACGGTTCCAAGTCGAATGTAAATAACATCCAAAGCAAACCGCCTGTGGTCAGTTCAAGCTTGACACTGCTAGCGATCATGGGTTTGGTGGCCATATGTGGGTGGATGCTCTGGGGGTATCTCGCCTTTGGCTTTCTCGTAGAGCGGGGGTTTGCTCCAAAGAAACATGGGAAACGAGTTACTCGGTCACGTTTGTCTCTGGTAGCGGCACCTCCCGGGACAAAAAGAACCCTGAAAATCCGCTACGCACTACATACTCCGTAGATTTAGTACCTAGTTCATACAGCCACTCGCCTCTCCCTCTTCCCGCTTAGCTCTTTTCCAGCCAAGTGCTATCCTACTGCTGACTATCATGTAGCTACGGAGTATATACTCTGTATTTAATGATACCCCTGGGCAGCTTAGATATTAAGTGGCATGTTAGCCGAGCCAAATGTGTCGCAGTAGTGTATCAACTATCTTCTAGAGGCCCTTCTCCAAGACAGAGAATGTCATTATGGCCGAACTTCTCTACATGTTAATCGTGCGTCCCTAACTCAATCAAATCTCGGCTATCACGGGGTTCGGTCGATCGGGGTTCGGTCGATCTTCCCCGATTCCTTCCGATTGGCAGAAGCTGGCCAGGACCCAGTAGCCGGCCCGACCCTTCGAGCTCATACAGTCACTCGTCTCCGCCTTCCCCCTTCTACATATAGCCTAGCTCTTTTGCTAAGTGCTGCCACCTATGCATGTAGGTTGAAAATTCGAATCACTAGCACATATCACTTGAAAATTCTGTCCTATCGAAAGCGACCTCTCGCGTGAATCATGGGTCTTCGTAAAGGTTAAGGCTCACGCGTCGGCTCCGAGCTCTTCGTAACTTCTTGATACCCGTTTTGGACAACCGTTGATTCGGCTCAGGACATGCAATGAGGTTACTCCGTACATCGCGCCGAGTTTAGCTATCTCGCAGCAGTCTTAGACGCACGCAGACCCAAGCGGATCCTTGCAGGAGTCATCTCCGAGAGTACTCCGTAATGACCTACCGAATGCATGTTCCTGAACACGCGATATGTCATCCACGAGCAGACTGGTTTTTGTCCTCTCACAGATGCACTACTCATAATTGCAATGTTCGCGAAAGCCTTGTCGCAGCCATTCCCATTTCAGCACTCATAGAATCTATTGCACACTGGCTGATGCCTGGGAAGATTCATCACGATGGCTCTTCCCTACTTCACTCATTATCTCAAGTTTCGCGCGTTGAGGATACTTCTTTCAGCCTTGTTTGTATGGCTCTTATTGTTTCAGCTTTGCCGGATCAAATTCTGGCGCGATCCACACTCTGCCTTCTTCGAGGACCGCCATGTGTATGAGATGGATTACAGTCTTTATCGGGAGCGCGAAGCATGGCATTTCCTATCTCGACACAACTCCGATATTAACCCCCCTCCTACGTCAAGTCCGATCGCACACCTACTGTTTGTGTAGCAATCGTCACGGTTCGACGACACTTGGATGCCTATTTTGAGCCATCTGTTGGTTCATTACTTGAGGGACTGGACGAAAGAGAGAGAAGCAAAGTATATCTCAGTGTACTATTTGCCGATACCGAACCAAGGGTACACGCTAGCTGGGGTCAGAAATGGGTAGAGAGGCTCACTGACTCGGCTACAACCTACAATGTATCGGATGAGCAATTTAAGCATTTGCAAACCCTGGAAAGGGAAAAGAACATTTATGAAAAAGGAGTATTGTGGGTACCCATATCATGACCAAGATCCGACGAGTGACACCAAAAAAGCTAATCAATGGCAGTGACTACTTATATGCACTACGAAGCTGTCAGCAACTGAACACTTCCTACACCATCATCTTCGAAGACGATATCATAGTCGCTACAGCATGGTTCTCGAGAACGTTGAAGGCGCTGGCGGATATTGCCCGACTCGAACGACAGTCGGGGAAGCCCTGGATCTATCTCCGACTCTTTTATACCGAGACGGCATTAGGTTGGACAAGATCGGACTTTGCGTATAGTTATATGCCACTTGTCTTTGGGATTCTGATACTGTCTGGATTAATATGCTTGATCTTTCTTCGCCGCTCCCGCTTCACGCGATTTCATTTAGATCCTACTAGCATAGTGGTCATCTCAATGGTTTGCATTCCTGCATTCACTGCACTTGTCTACATGGTCGGCAAGTACAACTTAATGCCTCTTCACGGGGTTATTGAGATGAACAAGTCTGGTTGTTGCACGCAGGGACTAGTGTTTCCGAGGGAGCGTGTGGATGGACTGATTGACTTTTTGAGCGCACGAGGACATGGACAGACGGACTCTATAATCGAGGAATACGCCGACTATCACAAACTGAATCGATACGCATTGGCACCGCCGCAGCTCCAACATGTGGGTTTGAAATCAAGCCGGGATAATCTCGACATCAATACACGCAGCACATGGGCATTTTGGTTCGAGACCAATGATCCAAGTATACTCAGCGAGGACCACCGGAGACTACTAGAAGACCATGATGTGAAGAGGATGCTGAATTTGTCAAGTACAAAATATGATTGAAGTGATAAATTGGAAATTTCTCGTTCGATTTTATCGCGAAACGAAGCCATCATCTGTGTTCTGTGTCCCTATGTCCTCGATCCCATGGCATGTAGAACCCAAGAAACCCAAGACCCCCGGGGTACATCATGTACATCTATTGTCACTGTAAGCCATCTTCCTCACTGCATCATCCGTAGCTCTAAGGAAGCAAAGGGTTAATCAATCACACGGATAATCAATGACGCCTGCCCTGGAATTCATGAGGAGAGCGACAATCAACCCGTATAAGCCTTCATCTCAGATGCATTAGCCCTATCTCAAATGCCATTGCGAACATGGATTTTCACATCTCACCTAAGACTTCAGCAAAGATTAGGATTAGTATCATGCCGACATAAAGCCGAGGCTGCTGAGCCGTTCCTCGGACTCCAGCGTCACCAACAATTCCGATCGCAAACCTTCATCCTAATCAGCAAACTCGCCGAAAGCTATAGAGGTTTCCAAAGTTTGTTCAACTTACCCCGCGGCTAGTCCACAAAGACCTACTGACAGACCTGCACCCAGTTGAAGTAGGCTTGTATAGAGAGGGACTCTTTGCGTGAGGTTGTTCGCAATTAAGACCGAGACCACTAGCCCATAGATCCCGAGAATACCAGCCATAACAACAGGGACGATGTCTAGCACCTTTATTAGCGCTGGATCACAGTTCATTCTTTCAATCAGGCATACTTTTCACGATGAGATCAGGTCTCATGATCCCCGAGGAGCAAATCCCGACACCAGACTTGGCAGTTCCATAGGCTGCACCAAAGGTCGTGAAAATGATGGCACTCGCACAGCCCAAGGCTCCAAAGAATGGCTGTCCACGGACATTCAATATCCAGAAGACTCCATCGTGCATCAGCCGATAAACCGGAGGAGACTTACTGCGTACGTAGGACTTTATGCCATCAGTTAATGGTCTCACGAGGCTGCTATAGTATGGACGGGTGGATAATTAGCCTCACCAAAATTCGGACAGCATCTTGTCTTTTATTTTATTAACAGGTGATCTGGTGTCCGAATGCTTCAACGAGACACAGAACAATAAATTGGGGAGAACAAAGTCAGTGAAGGTTAGGCAGCAAGTTAGCTCTAAATAAGAGGAGGTCCGCCATACCCTGTCAGTTCATCCTGTAAGCCATTAGAGATCTCACCGCAAGGAAGACATTATAATTGGCGGCCAAATCACTCGCCAACCTTTGTTCTCGTGGCGGAGGGCCCACCAGGTAATGATTGGGAGCCTGGGGCCTGAGACCGATCTGATGTAACCCTACCGCGCATACCTACTCCGGAGAAGCCAGCTATTTTGGGGATTGAATCGCCATCCCCAAGCAGTGTCGCAGAGTCTATGTCTGTATAATAGCAAAATTGGCCATTTTTTCTAGCCTCCTGGTAAATTACGTTACTCAGCCGTGCTGAAGTCTCTAGAAATGTTTATGTTCACCATCGATAGACCAAATGTGGCCAACTGACGATGGGCATATCACAGCAATTTTTGTTGATGTGCCACTACAAACAGTGCGATCCTCTGTTCGAGGGTTCAACAAAATCAATCAATAGAACTCCAGATATATAGTGACAAACAGACATCGATATGGTTGATTACTGCGGAGTGATTGATGAACCCTACAAGTATACTGCCCATCTCGTCAATCTCTATTGCGGTTAATATTGATCTGGTTGAAAAACACTGGGATGGAGCTATTGTTGAGTGGTTTTCATAACAATCAGTTGTTCCGGCCAGATTTGGCTTACTCACTCCTATTGTGCATAAATAAGCGCTTTCGAGGAAGCAAAGGCCAACACGAGGGAACATACTCCGTATTTATCGCGCCTCTAGGTATTCCGTAGGTTTCCTATATGTACGTGTAGGTGGGTACTGTCATCGGGGAAAAGGCGGACTCCACATTTAGCCGAGATTTAGCCACTTATCTTATCATCACATGATGATTGCGATAAGATAAACCCGTCGCATTTCTCTCCCCTCAACTCTCTCCATTCGTGGCGACAGCATAGGTTGTGGTTTGCAAAATGAGTATCATGGCGAAGGATATCACACTACCAGGTAAGATGCTTTTGTTCTGTAACTGTATTGCCAAAATTGAAGCACTGACATCAATCATTACGCTAGACACGGTCCTCGAGTCTCTGCGCGCCGATCTCCAGCAATGCGGACCTCCTAACCTTGATGAGCGTCCCATCAAGCGGCGCAAGACTGCCAAAGGTGGCGCGAGAAACCTGGCTAATGAAAATGGGATTTCAACAACAGGAATACCTTTGGGCTATATTCCATTGGCAAGATTAATATTGCATATAGTAAGTTGCGACTGGATTTCCCTCTCGACAGGCAAAGTGACTGACACAGCCACCTCCTGCAGAAACCCTCGGACGCAAGCATATACAAGCATGAAAGTACTTCGAGCGCCAATCCTTCATTTATTCGATTTCCAGTACTGCTAGATGTTCGAACTATTTGTTTACTCGATGAAGATTCAAACAACACACCACACTCGGCCAACGGCGAAACTAAGCATATGGAACTGAGAATAACCGGTCTTGATGGCAAGGAATTGGTATCATATCCATGCGAAGATATCCGGCTATATGACCTTCTTGAGCAACTTCAAGCCGCTAGCAGACTGGCGCATGTGGATCAGTTCTTCAATCAGGTGCCTACGGCCTGCTATCAAGCAAGACTGTGTGTCTCATCAGATGGAACTACTTTTACTCTCGAGACCGTCGTACTTTGGAAGGATTCTCTTGATGGCCCGGATCTTAGGCGATTAGGGGAAGCGGAGCTAGAAGCTTTTACAAGGTATGTGCTGCGCGAACGATGTGTTCGGCCATCAAATTTGGCCGATTCGCGCGAATATCGTAATAAATTGCTCGGAACACCCCGACAGTGGTCTCCTCGGGACTTTTACAACAATGTCCACGTTCCCCAGAACACAAACGGCGCGGAAAATCTCAAATGCCCTGCAATAGACTGCAAGCTATTCCCATTCCAGAGAAGAGCGGTATGTTGGCTTTTACAAAGGGAAGGAATGGAAGTTCAACCGAATGGCGAGGTTCTGCCTGTGAAAGAGCTTTCGAAGAGTGGCCTCCCAGCATCGTTCAATTCCTTGGAAGATGCGGATGGACGGACGTACTATTTCAGTCAGCTTTTCATGATTTTGACAACGGACCTCTCTCGTTGGCATGATGCTGCAGATCGTTTGAAGGGTGGGATCCTTGCAGAAGAAATGGGGTTAGGCAAGACAGTGGAAATCATTGCGTTGATAAGTCTAAATAAACGAAAACCGCAGCTGAAGCCCGACCCCGATGGGTTGAAACATACTGGTGCCACTTTGATCATCACACCACCCGCCATCCTTGAGCAATGGAAACAAGAGTTAAAAGAGCATGCTCCCGCCCTCAAAGTTCATCATTATACCGGCATAAAGCGGGGGAAAGAACAATCTGACGAGATGGTCGTCAACGAGCTTGCCGAGTTCGATGTTGTTCTGACCACCTACAATGTCATTTCTAAAGAAATCCACTATTCAGGTGTGCTCCCGAAGCGGAGTCTCCGACATGAAAAGCGATTTGAACAGAGGAGGACGCCACTTGTTCGCCTCTCGTGGTGGCGTGTATGTCTGGATGAGGCGCAGATGATTGAGAGTGGAGTCAGCAATGCAGCCAAAGTAGCTCGTATGATTCCCCGAGAGATCGCCTGGGCTGTAACTGGTACTCCGTTGCGCAGGAATATCGATGACCTGTTTGGCCTTCTTCTTTTTCTCCACTATCAGCCATATTGCTTTTCAGGTCCTTTGTGGAAAAGACTGTGTTCGTGCTTTGGGTCGGTCTTGTCGGAAATTATTAACAAAATCACCCTCCGGCATAGCAAAGGTCAATTACTCAACGAGCTGCGCCTGCCACCTCAAAAGCGCATTGTGATCACTACTCCCTTCACAGCAGTAGAAGAACAGCATTATGCACAGATTTTTGAGCAAATGTGTGAACAGTGCGGTTTGAATGAAGCAGGAGCCCCGCTTACGGATGACTGGGACCCCGAAGATGCTGTGATTATCGCAAGAATGCGTACTTGGTTGACAAGACTCCGCCAGACTTGTCTTCATCCGGAACTTAGCGGGGGCAAACTTCGTGCCTTGCCTGCAACTGGTGGCCCATTGCGAACTGTTGACCAAGTTTTGGAAGTCATGATTGAGACCAACGAGGCCGCCATTTGTGCGGAAGAGCGATCACTTCTCCTCTCCCAACTTCGACGAGGCCAGCTTCTAGAAAATGCAAAGCGTCGCCAAGAAGCCCTCGCTCTTTGGCAGAAAGCATTGGACCATGCTACCGAGCTAGTCGAGAATACTAGACGGCAATTACGCTTACTGGATCTCAAAGATGCTACCACTGACAAGGACGGGGCCATTACACCGATTAGCGACGTGGACGGTGATGAGGCCGAGGAAGCGGAAAAAAACAGCCGGCTCGGCCAGTGTCGACTGAGGCTTCGAGGCGCCCTTGAGGTCCAGCACATTGCAGTTTTCTTCACTGCGAACGCATATTATCAAATCAAGAGCGACACAAACCTGACCCAGCCGGATTCAGATGAGTTCAAGGCGCTTGAGAAACGGGAAGAAGAGGGCTATGAGGCCGCAAAAGTCATTCGTAAGGAAATGCTGACTGATATTTCCCGCAAGGTTGAGCGTTATATGCAAACAATCAGGACCAAGGCACGAGACAAGGGGTTTGCGGTTATCCCGAAAATGAAAGCCCATCTCTACAGCGAAGGAATTGAGTCATACAATCTGCTCAGCAAATTTGAAGACCTGTGTGCAGCTCTCAACAAGCATGCTGAGCAATACAAGGAATGGCGGGATATCATGGTCAAACTGGTCTCTCAATCGCTCATTGACCAGGAGGAAGATGCAGAGCTGGAAGGCAATGAGTACGAGCGGTCGACGAAACATCAAGATGAAATGTATGTTTACATGGAGGCTTTGCGGTCAATGTACGCCGACCGTCATGACGCTCTTACCGGCCAAAAGAACGTTCTCATCTCCCATGAAGCCAAAGCGGGGATCATTCAGGCCCAAAAAGGCGAGGGTCCGTCTCCGGAACTATTCCTTAAGGTCATGAACATCCGTAGTGAGCTCATGCCTGACCCTGATCTCGGATCGCTTCGTGGCATTGTCAGTGAACTTCGTAGTCTTGTGACATCGCTCGATTGGCAGGCCAGCTCAGGGAATTCACGTGCTCGTGCTGAACACGAGGTGGTGGAAATGGTCTTGAAGAATGCTGGCCAGATGATTGCCGAGCAACTCAAAGTCTCGGCTAATCTGGCGAGGGAAGTCGAAATGTTCCGCGACACTATGAACAATCGACTGCAATATTATCGCCAATTGCAGCAGATTTCAGATACCGTCGCCCCATACGACGAGGAAAGCGCAGGAAAGCCACTAGATGAAGCTCCTTTCGCCGCGAAGCTGAGACAAGAGGAAGTTATTGGCGAGAAGATCTCTACTCTCAAGTCTAAAGCGAGATATCTCCTTCATCTACGGGACGACTCTAGTTCCGACAGTAGCCCTCGGATATGTATTATCTGCCAAACCAACTTTGAACTCGGTATGTTTCGCTATTTTTGTCTAAATCTTATGGTTCTAGCTGACTTTGATGCAGGTGTGTTGACCGTGTGTGGCCATATGTACTGTGCTGAATGCTTGCGGTTATGGCGGGCTGCACATCGTAATTGTCCGATGTGCAAAAAGGCCTTGGGGCCCAGGGATTTCCATCAGGTCACATACAAGCCGCAGGAGCTAGTTGCGCAAGAGGAAGAATCACATGTCAAATTGGATCAAGAAGGCCATTCTCAGAACGCGATTTACAGTGACATCAGCTCTGGACATCTTAAAGAGATCAACAGCATTGATCTGCGAGGCTCTTATGGAACAAAGATCGACACCTTGGCCCGGCACATCTTATGGCTCCGGGAACATGACCCTGGCACAAAATCAATCATCTTCTCCCAATACGGCAACTTCTTGTCGATATTGCAGGCAGCATTCACTAGCTTTGGAATCACCAGCACCAGTATCGACACCGTGGATGGAATTGAAAGATTCAAAAAGGATCCAGCTGTATGTTATCCAGACTCTTTTCTGACCATAAAATACGCTAACTGTTCATTCTAGGTCGAGTGCTTCTTGTTGCACGGAAAAGCACAATCATCTGGTCTGAACTTGATTAACGCAACCCATGTCTTCCTATGCGAACCACTTATAAACACTGCAATTGAACTACAAGCCATCGCCCGAGTGCATCGTATCGGCCAACTTCGACCAACAACAGTATGGATGTACTTGGTCTCTGGCACTGTGGAAGAATCGATATACGAGCTCTCTGTGACCCGACGCCTGGCTCACATCATCCAGAAGGAGAAAGACAAGCAAAGGGCCGCTCTTGGAACCGCTGCAGACACTGATGGTGTTACCGAGGCGGCCATTGAGTCTGCTAACTCGATGGAAATGCAAGATGCCACTCTTATGAACTTGATGCAGCGTGGCTCCTTGGCTGGAGAAGTAGTGAAGCAGGACGACCTTTGGCAATGTCTCTTTGGCAACACCCTTCGGAAAGATCGCAATGACCGTTCAATCGAACAAGAGAGAGAAGTTGGCCGGTTTTTGAGAGGTGAAGCTGCTGAGCAGAGAAGAGAAGGAGATTTGAATCCATAATAATTGTAGATAATGAGGTTATTTAGCTATCTGATGCCTATTTTCTGGACCTTCTTCATCTGAATTTCCTACTCATTTGTAGTCGCTATGAATGCTTACCTTGTTCAAGCATACATACATGATAGTCGATTCTTGTTCCTTCCCTGTGGTTCTGAAGAAGTATATAACCCATAACCGCCCCGATGATGCCAAGAAATGACTAATCAAATGATGACTAATATCGGGTGGAGCCCGTCCGGCGGCGTGGACCAGATGCCTCCAGGGCCGCATACTGTTCACCTGAACGATGACGTGGAGTGTGGTTACCTATATCATTTAGAAATCTGGTGATAGCTGTGACTTTTCTTTGAATCTCTTTGTTCAATGCCCCGTTAGATTATCTTTTACAAAACACTCTCATCATGGCGGACTCACAAAGTCCTGAGGCTCGTGAGTTGAGTCTGATAGGGAAGGTGGAATTCAGAATTGCCATGGCAGATACAGATGAGAAATTGCAGTCATTACTTGGAACATATCTGGCTCCTCTGCTACTGAAGCTTGGCTCTGACAGCGTGGAGGTGCGGAACAAGATCATCTCGGTCTGCCAGCATGTCAATACCCGAGTCAAGGCCCCCTCTATTCAGCTGCCCGTGGCAGCGTTGTTGAAGCAGTTCAAGGAACAGAAGTCGCAATTGATTAGGCACTTTGATCTCATTTATGCCCAACAAGGTATTGATCGCCTTGGTTCCGAAGCCAGAGTCGATATTCTATTACCCTTGCTCCAGGGTATCTCCAAGATCGGAACGTCTCCCACTCAGGGTGCTATTGTGTTCAACTTGGTTTTGCGTCTCCTGCCACTCCTTAAACTTCCAGTGAGGGGTAGCGAGGAAGATAAACGTTTGAAAGATCGACTAGGTCTCTCAGACGATGACTCTGAATTCTTGTCCTTTTGGCTGGCCAAATTGCTTCTTCTGACACCTGGCCCCAAGGAAACTACAACATGTCCCGGTCTGTCTCCAGACGAGTATACATTTTTGAATAAAGGTGTCCCTGCAAATGAGACATGGAATCCCTCTACAGATGGTGGTTTGAACTTGACCGAGACCAAGGTCACCGCTCTTCGATTCATCGGAAGTGGTGCTTTCCAGGATTCCCAACGATTCCTACCTTCACTGATTGCTTCTGCCGATGCAAACTCCCGCCTTGCTGATCTGGGCGATGAGACCCTCAAGCGATTCACTGCAGATATTGAGAACCCCCACGTCGTGCAGCAGTTGTATGATTTGTACTTCGGCACTTCCTCCCCTGGTGGTGCTCCTCCCGCGCGACCTCCACTTCAAGTGAAGCTTCTCGTATTCTTGGGCAAATCTATCAAGGCCACTGCTGATCCGCAGCGAATTATGAGGCTCATTGAAGATGGTCTTCTATCTGACTCTGCTAGATCCTCTCAGGGGCTGCAAGCATCGAAGCTACGAACTCAAATCTTCACTTTCACCACGTGGGTGGTCCGCATGGGCGCACCCTCTGATCTCAAGCAAATCGCACCCAAACTCATCGCAGGGTTGAGGGATTTCATTCAGTCTCAAGGATGGCCCAGCCCGGCAGCCAGTGGGCAGAAACTACCCACCACGGATCTCAGTTTGCGCGGTCTCGCCTATGAGAGTATTGGTATCATGGTACCCAAGGTCGACTTTATGTCACAAGCTGATGACGTGGAGAACTTTGAATTTGACTTGGTTCGGTGGCTCTTTGCTTCCTTAAGTGCGGATGACTCAAGTTCTCAAATCTTCGTCAGCATCGATCAGGCGCTAGGAAGTATTCTCAATTCTTCATTAGACAGTCACGATAAAATCTTCCAGGATCAGCTCCGGCCATTCTTGGTCCGTCAGATGAGCATGCAGCCGGGGGATATTGACCCTGATACTGGTTACCGTGCTGTTCGAGGCGTCCAGTATGCTGCAGTGCGATTTGCAAACCGCTTCCTGCCATTTGGAGATGTGGTTGCCCGTTGGATCGACCTGATGGCGATTGCAAAAGGCCCAGAGAGACAACAAGAAATTGTCGAAGAGGGAAAGAAAGGCCTCCATCCTTACTGGTACCGATTGCTCAATCCCGCCAAGGATGGCAAATGGTCCGCCTCGTCGGCAGCTCCAGTCCAGGATGAATCCTGGTTCAACTTCCCAAAATTCGATGAGGCTACTCGTTTCCTGCTTGGTTCAGGAGGACAAGAAGACCACATGAATGTTCAGGCTTTATCTGCATCGCAGCTCCTGTCTGGTCCTTACAAAGGTTCATTTGTGCCGGCTATTTCATTCCTTCGAAATACCTTGCTTTGGGAGGCATTCTCAGCCTCCGGGGTGACTGTTGACCTAGAGCAAGATTGGGACTATAAACTAGAAGTCCTCCTCTCTACCAGCGTGGAGGCCCGTTCGGCTGTTAGACAGTACATCCGCGAGTCGGCAAAGGAATCCGTCTTGTCCTTTTTGTCAGGCACCCTCGAAGGTCTTGTAACTGGCGACCGTGAAAGCTTGCGGCAATGTGGTGTTCACTTTGTGGAAATCTGCTCGCTAGCGCCCAATGACGTTGTTGAACACTTGCTCTCGCGTGCGAAATCCTTGATGGAGCCTATTTGCAGCAACAATCAAGACAACCAGGGCATTACAGCACGAGCATTTGGAATCCTGGTTTCGCATCCTGCTTTCCCAGAAGAGCAATTGAAAAGTTTCATTGCCCAACTATCTGGGACTATTCAATCGTGGAATACAGCTGTTGGCGAGGAGGTCATGCGCGTCCGCGGGGCTATTTTAGCGCTTTCATACCTCCTGAGTCGACTTGCGTATCGTGGACTCGTGAACCGAACCCCAGAAGCACAAGTCAAGCAATTTATTGAAACCGTGTTCGATATTCTAGATGTTTCTAGGGATAAGCTCCTCCAAAGAACTGCACAAGAGGCTATTGGACAACTGAGTCTATCTGGGGTACTATCTCTTGATATTATCTCGGAAGAAGGCTGGAAGAAGATACAGGAAAAGCTCTCGCGCGATGCTAAGACTGAGAATCAAATCCCGATCAGCTCGCTGGGGCTGTTGACGTTAACCTTCTCCCGATCTGGTTCTCACAAAACCTTGTTTGGTGATTTCCTGGCCTCACTGTACAGTCTACATGAAATCCGCAGTCCCGAAGTTCAGTTCACTGTTGGCGAGGCCTTGAGCAATGTCGCTGTGGGATGGGATTCTCGGGCTCTTATTCAAGATTTCGACATCGATGCTGAATTCCCCCGTTCAGATGTCCCGCGCTCAGTATTTGCAGATATCTGTGACAAAATTATTGCCGATTGCATTGCCCCTAAACCATCTCTACGGAAGGCATCTGCGATATGGCTATTGTCGTTAGTGAAGAACTGCGGTCACATGCAGGAGATGCAGGAGCGCCTACGTAAATGCCAAGCTACTTTCAGCAGCCTCCTTGGAAACCGGGATGAGGTGGTGCAGGAGACTGGAGCGCACGGACTCAGCCTTGTCTATGAGATCGGCGACCAATCCTTGAAGGACGATTTGGTCCAAGACTTGGTTGAGTCTTTCACCTCGACTGGTTCAAATCTCGGAGGTGGCAAGATAGACGCTGACACTCAGCTCTTTGAGCCGGGTGCCCTCCCTACTGGTGAAGGGTCATCTGTCAACACCTATAAGGACATCATGAACCTGGCCGCCGAGGCCGGTGACCCGACTCTTGTTTACCGGTTCATGTCACTTGCTTCAAACAATGCCATTTGGACAAACAGAGCGGCATTTGGTCGCTTTGGAATCAGCAGCATCTTCTCTGATTCTAGTGTCGATGGGTACCTGGCGAAGAATCCTAAGATCTACCCCAAGCTTTTCCGTTACCGATTTGATCCGAACCCGAACGTGCAACGATCCATGAACACAATCTGGCAGGCACTAGTCAAGGATCCTACAGTTGTCATCGATACCCACTTTGATGATATCATGCAGGACCTTCTCAAGAGCATTCTTGCTGGCCGCGAATGGCGTATGCGGCAGGCAAGTTGTGCTGCTGTGGCTGATTTGATTCAAGGCCGTCGACCAGAGAAATTCACTCAGTACATCGATGAGATCTACAGCAAAGCTTTCAAATTGCTGGATGATATTAAGGAGTCAGTTCGTACCGCTGCTCTGAAGCTCTGTCAAACCATTACCAATGCAGTTATCCGCACACTTGAGACGAGTGGCACGGAGAAGCGCGCAGGTACTCTCCTCAAAAGTGCCATTCCGTTCCTTCTCAGCGACAAGGGATTAGATTCCAGCGTGGAAGAAGTGCAAGGGTATGCTATTGGTGCTCTTATTTCGATGATCAAGAAGAGTCCTGGCAGCTTGCTACGTCCTCATGTTCCCAACATGCTGGAGAAGTTCCTCAGTGCTCTTAGCTCTTTGGAGCCACAGGCTGTTAACTATGTCCACCTCAATGCCGACAAATACGGTCTGACTGGCCAAGAGATTGACAAAATGCGCCTGTCCAGCATCCGTACATCTCCCATGATGGAGGTCATTGAGCGATATTTGATTGACAACTTGGACGACAGCAACATTGAGGAGCTAGCACAAAGACTCGAAGATGTGCTACGGTCGGCCGTGGGCCTGCCTTCCAAAGTAGGCTGCAGCCGGGTTTTGGTACTGCTTAGTATGAAAACCTTGCTCTTCCGCCCGTACGCAGACCGATTCATCCAAATCCTCACCAAGTATGTGGTGGATCGAAATGACACAGTCAGTGCCTCCTATTGTTCTTCCATGGGCTATCTGCTGCGGCTTGCCTCGGACGATCGGGTTCTCAAAACCATCGACTTTGCCAAAAATCTCTACTTAACGGCCGAGGACGCCACACCGAGGGTCATCTCGGGCGAGATCCTGTACTCGGCATCTAAATTATCGAACGACCGCTTCATGGCGTTTGCGGCGAGCGCCTTGCCGTTTGTGTTTGTGTGTAAACACGATGGTGACGAGCATGTGAAAGAGCAGTTCGAAAAGACGTGGCAAGATAACGTCGGTGGTTCGCGTGCTGTGACGCTCTACATTCGCGAGATAGTGGGCCTCGTTTCGGATAATTTGGATTCTCCCCGGTGGGCTATCAAGCATACGGCCGCACGGGCAATTGCGCAAGCAGTCTTATCGCTCGACACCGAAATTGACCTGCCGACGGCTCAATTGGTGTGGCCAGTGCTAGAGCGCGGACTGGCGGGGAAGACGTGGGAAGGCAAAGAAGTGGTGCTTAAGGCACTAGTGAAATTTAGTAGCCAAGCTCAGAAGTTGTGGCAAGCCAATGCCGAGTTGAGTAACTTGATGAAGGTACGTGTGGGCTGATCGGTTGCCAGTTGTTTTTTTTTTCCACATTTGCCCGGATGCGGAGGATGAATACAGTGATTGGGAGGGAAAAGAATTTGATTACAAGGGGCAACATGGGGACGAACTATGCAATTGATACTAACGCATGTCAGACAATTACGGTTCGTGAAGCGAAACGAGCTAACGCCCTTTACCGGCCGCATGGACTGCGAGCAATGGGCGAGATCGCACAGGCACGCAAGGACCTTAACTTCATGCCAGATGCATTGAAGGTTATTCCCAATGTGGTGGAGGAAACGGTGGACCAAGATCCAGACCAGATGGAGATTGACTCTAGGAATGGGGGCTCGACCCAGGATGACACCCTTACCGCATGTGTCCAATGCCTCCTGCAATGTTTCAACCCCACCGCCAGTTCAGGCGAAGGTTAGTCCTTTCCTCGATTCCCCAATCCCAAGTCCATCCGAGAGAGAGAAAAAAAAGAATTGAAAACAGGACGCGGGAACCCCCTAGCGTCATGCCTTGCTAACATTAACCACAGTGCTGGGAAACTACGTGGAACAGATGACCGATCCGTTGGCTCAGGTGCTGCAACACGGTGGACGACAGGTCGTCAGCACGGGCTACGAGGAGCTCCGGGCGTTCTTTACGCGAGTGGATCAGTGGATCGGTTCACCGGATGGCTCCGGTGAACAAGTCAGAGGGCCCCTGACTGCTCTCGCGAACAAGATTCTCACGGGGGAGGTGGACGGATCTGTCGAGGCCATCCGCAAGGGTCGTGCAGAGTCCATTCTGGCGTACCTGAAACTGTGTGCCCAAACGGGTGTGCCTGATGGACTTATTGTCAGTCTACGAAAGTGGAGAGCCAGTGAGCGATCCGGACCGATACAGCATCTCCTCGATGAGGCCCTGGCGCTTCTGAATTAAGAATCCCACGTGGTTGATCGACAGTGGGAAGACGTCCACTTTTTTTTTTAGAGTCATGAATCCTGAACCAGTTTATTTCCCCTTTTTAGTGCCGGGCGTATCTCCATGCTCGATTCAGAGACAATACGAAAAGGGCAACCAATCGGAGGGAAACAGAACAGTTGAATTGCCCGAGTCGGATTCCTCAGGAGAGGAAAAAACCACTAGTCTCATCTGCGCCACTCGCTTAATCCTCGGCCAAGTCCGTGGGAATGCGGAGAGCCCAAAGGAACCGTGATCTCTGTGCTTCATGCGATGAGTCGATCCAGACCGGGGCCCGGGCCGATCGAGACTCCTAGCGTTCTCTTTAGTCCGTCAATTTTTCTCTTCGCCTTTCCCCAGACACCAATGGACACAATGGACTCGTTCCCAGTCCATTCTTCGGCTCCGATAAAAAAGGCCCTTTCCCCCTGGGATCAGTTTCTCCTCGATCGGTTCCTGTATGGTTCGACGTGGCTTTTCAGCCAGCCCCTTGAGACCTTTTCTATCTCCTAGTTTCCCTTAGTGTCGGCAGCTCCCTTCGATTTGGGCAGAAGCGTAATAATAGCAACTTGATGTCCACATGGTTGGCATCTGCATGCCATCCCGGCTTTTGGTTTTTTTTTTTTTCAGGCCTTTTGACTGGGTTTTTCCTATTTTTTTTAGGGGGGGGAGCTGGTGACTGGGGAATTCCGGCTTAGCTCTATTCTCTTCTCTTGTCTTCGGCGAACCGGGTTATATCTCGTTTTCGGACCTGTTCCAATTGCCTTATTATTTCTCTCCAGATCCCGCCACCCAAGGCTGTGTGCCCTACAACCATCTGTATGCTGCAGAGGTGCATTTTTTTTCCCATACATCTAGCCTTTCCCCACCCTATATTATCCTAATCACCTCATTCTTTCCCTTTAATTTGCCTCCCCCGCTACATTCTCTCTTTCGGTGCCTTCTCTCTTCTTTTTCTGTGTGCCCCATTAGACTATAACTATTGTTGCCACCCCCTGTTATTACACATCGTTACTGATTCCCCAGAGCAATCGGTCAGCCTTATGACCGTGACCAGTCTGGTAATGCAGAACCGACGGAGCAAAGCCTCTGGGAAACCACCACTCAGATTGCCCATTATCGCTCCCAAGGAAGATCTTTTTGCAGATGGCTTTGCCAAGTCTGAAAAGGCACTGATCGCTCCACCGCGCATCCGCCTTCCTCCGCGATCTCGGACTGGTTGCTGGTAAGTGATCGTCTCTATATTCAAATCCCGGAACACAAGCTTATTCATTGTTCCAGGACATGTCGAGTGAGTTGCCTTTGTTTGGGTCCCCCTTGATTCAATCCCAGCGAATTAATTGGTTTCTTTTTTTTTTCGTGTGGCGCAGAGTCGAAAAGGTCAGTGGACAATTGCTGCCGCCCAATGCCGTGGCTGACACACATTCTCTAGTCAAATGTGATGAAGGTCACCCACAATGTAATGTATGCATTCCTTGGCCATTTCCTCATTTCCACATCGCTCACAGCTCTCCTAGCAATGTACTCGTCTGGGCCATACTTGCGATTACCGCCCACGACTGGCGTTTCGCGATGATACCCCTCGTATCATGGGCCGAATGGCCGATGTGAAGACAAACGGCCATGTCGTTTGGGATCGTAAGCGCTTAATCGGATGTGTTTAATTTTAGTCCCCTACTAACAAGCGTAGTCACCTCGCCGGGCTCCAATGATGAGAGAACCGATTATTTTTCTCTCGGGGATTCGCTCCCGCCATTTTCTCTCCTCACCTCAGACGAGGACCGGGAAAGGAAAGCAGAGGCATTTAGTCCCGGCACGTACCATGTCGTCATGACACCCGACAGTTTCTCCTCGCTGCCAGAATATGCAGACGATGCGGCTGAGAAACCTAGATCAAACCCCATCAGCGATTGTAGGAAATCAGCGGCCCCCAGTCCTACTAGGACCGAGTGCAAGATCAAACGCGAAGACCCCAATGTAGTGATCTTGAAGACTTTCGAGGATGTTACTCGTCGCTCACCGTCCAGTGGAAAGATCTCGAGGATTTCTCCAAGTTCCGAGATCTCGGATCCATTCTGCAATCTGTCTCTGTCTCCGGGTTTCACGTCGCTCCCCTCGCCAGATGTCAAGGTTGAGGAAATCTCATTCTTGGACCCGCGCCTTGATCAGCAAAGTCAAGATTCTACTCTCTTTACTCACTTCCGTCATGTCGTATGGAGGCAATTGTTCCCTCATGACTACCGGCTGGATGATTCTTCTGGATCGGATAAGCATTTCATGACACTCAGCGCGGACTTCCTAGAGCAGGAAGCCACTCATTTCCCTGCTGTGAGTATTTCATTCTTCCAGAGGTCTCTGTCTTGTTCATGCTGACAAGGGTTTCCAGCTTTCTCACGCTATGATGGCCGTATCGGCCCTTAGTCTCTCGCACAGCGGCACAGGTCACAATGTCGATGCGCTCCAATACTACCAACAGGCTTTCCCTTCCCTCCAGGTTAGCCTGCGGAATAATGATGATCTTGTTTCCGATGGGCTGTTTCTCACTCACTTCCTCCTCCTAATTTACGAGGTAAGACTTTACCACATCTACAGCTCTGGAATTTGAAGCTGACGATCCTCAGATCGCCGCTGCGGAACCACATGGCTCAAATCTTTGGTCTCATCATATCTCTCGTCTCCTCCACATCGCCTTCCTTCGACGGGACAAATATGGCCAGGAACCCCACCCATTCATCCTCTGGTGGGTATGCCACATCGACTTGTACGCCCTGTTAAGTGGGGCAGGAACGGGAGAATTTGTACGAGCCGTCATCGAGCACCAGATGCTTCCTGGGTCCGAATGTCTTCTCTATCCTTCTGCGCCAGAGGGCTACAGTGTGATTTACTCCGATGAGCATGAAAGCTTACCGGTGATCATGCGCCTATATCACGACACATTCCGGTTAGCTGCTCAACTAGGCATCTTAGCTACTCGACTTCGCCAAGATAAACAGAATTTGCCATTCGCAGAGTTCAACCCGCGATCACGAGAAGTGACCGATCTGCGCCAGGCTCTCGGCCGATTATGGGAATCGCCTGATGTCGCCTTTTTACATCAACACCAGGATAGCCTTCCGCGACGGTCTCAGGAAATCTTGCAGCAGGTCAGTCCCCTCGGGTATGCACCCTTTCTATGTATATGAACTAATTCCTTCCAGTCGGCAACATTGTACCATGCTTGCCAACTCTTCTCCTACAGCAGCATGTGGCCCGGGCAACGTGTCGGGTCAGAGTTCTCCCCGGATACTGAAATCGACCACCACGCATCCGAAATCTTGCGCTTGGCCGAGCGTACTACAAACACTCGGCGAGCTGACCGACACTTCCTGGTATTCCCGCTATTCCTGGCGGGTGCTACGGCGTCAGCAAGCGGGCTCAAGATGATGGCAATGGAGTTGATGACGAGCATGGAAGATGAGGAAGACGGCATGGGCCGCAACACAGCGACGACTCGTGCTATTCTCCAGATCGTCTATGAGCGGCAGTTAGAGCGACTCAGGCGCGTGGGCCATACATTCGATGTGGATTGGTCGGATCTGATGACCCAGGAGGGTCTGCAGATGGTCAATTTCGGGTTTTGATTGAATTGTGAAGTTAGAGTAATTTTGGGCTTCAAGGCATTGGCGCATACTAGGGGGGCATTTGTGTATTAATTTTGGACTGCGATTTTAACGGGCATGATTGATGATGGATATGGGCTGTATGTATAGAAACGAATATCTGGGATCTTTTCTTGGAACTGCGGGCCGACCCAGAGATTAAGATGTAAATGGCAAAATGTAAACAGCGCGATCTATAAATTGGAATCTAGCCCATTGACTGTGGATATCCCTAATCCTCAGTGTCCCCAGTGGCCTCTACTTCCAGGCCCCAAGGCAGCAACTTGTGATAGTCATTCTCGTCACCTGCGGGGTCGGCGTCTCGCTCAACTTGGCGGCTACAGAAAATCCTAAAAATCTATCGTCTGATCTTCTCTTCTTTTTTGATCTTTTCATACACTCAGACTCCTAAAACGGACGTGAAGAGTTTGTGTCTATGAATAGATGAACAATATCCCCTCCCCGCACGACTTGCCCCTCGTCCGCTGAAGTCGCATCTCCGCGCGTATCTTGATTGGTACTTCGACCTGCTCTGCTGTGGCTGAAATCTGTCTTCTGCAGCTTCAATCTCAGCCTCAATTTCTGTATTCCGCGCCATGAGTGCTAGTAGCAGTCGTGCCCTCCATCCTGAGGAGCTCTTCCTCAACAACGGCCCTGGTAGGGAGTCGCCCGTCATCGGCCCTTTGCGCATCAGCAAACGGGACTCGTCATCTCCAGCGTCGGCCACAGGCTCCAGTCCCCCACCAAACGCCCCGCTGCCATACCCCGATGATCGCCAACGGCTCCAAATGCGCCCCTCGAGTTCAAACGAGCGATATCACGACAACATCAGATATGGGTCTCCGCCAGCTGGTCCTGGGTCCGGGTCCGTGAGCCCTAACGAATACCCTTCGGCGCTGCGGCCGCGGGACGGTCGTGAGCCTCGAGTCGCAACATTGGCCGAGCGGAGAGGCGCCGCTCCCAAACCGCTTCCTGAATCCCCTAGCCATGATGCGCCCGATCGCGAAGCCTTGGCTGCGAGACCCTACCCTCGTCCCCCCACTGGTTCAACTCCAGGCCCATCGGAGGCACCAGTAAACGCAACTCAATATGATTATCAGCAGCAATACTACCCCCGCCTCAACGCCAAAGTTCAATGTCTGCGGCCCGTCCCCCGTCCAGTCTACAGGCCCCACAGGGCCCGCTCAACCGCATCAGCTCGACTTCGACGACTCGCGCTCAGCGCGGGTCGCCCCCGCCACCGGAAACACCTATTGTTGGACCTGGCCAGCAGCCCGGTTCGGATATCGAGGCCCGGTATGCGGCGGCTGGTATTGCCGGGACGGGAACCCTTCAGGGTATTCAGTCGCATAATGTTGCGGCGCAGAGACGCGCGGAGCAGTACTCCGGACAGCAGCCGACTTTCCAGCAACCGGTGTCGCAGCAGCGCCCATGGACTCCGACTGAGCAGCCTGGTTCTCAGCCTCATGGTCCTCCCACGGTTTACCAGGGAGGTGAGGTTGTTGCATCGGATAATCAGCCCCCTGTGCATCCTGGTCAGTACGGCAGCCCGCCGCCTCAGATGCCAGGTCAATATAGCAGTCCCCCGCCCCAGGTTCATCCCGGGCAGTACAGCAGCCCACCACCCCAGACTCATCCTGGCCAATACAGCAGCCCACCACCCCAGACTCACCCTGGCCAATACAGCAGTCCGCCACCCCAGGTCCATCCCGGGCAGTACAGCAGCCCACCACCCCAGACTCATCCTGGCCAATACAGCAGTCCGCCACCCCAGGTCCATCCCGGGCAGTACAGCAGCCCACCACCCCAGACTCACCCTGGCCAATATAGCAGTCCTGCACCTCAAGGCCATCCAAGCCAATATAATGTATCGCCTTCTCAGTCACACCCTGCATCTCAGCTACCTCAGCAGCAAGAACAACCGGGAAGAGTTGCCCCTAATTCACTGGAACAAGACATGGACCGGATGCGTCTCAGCTCTTCTCCCCCTCCTGCCTACTCAAGTGTGTCTGGTCCATCTGCTTCAAACGGATATCCCAATGAAAAGCATACTGCCGCTGCCGCTGTTGCTACCGCTGCTGCTGCTGCTGCGGCCACAGCAGGAGCTGCAGTGCATCCAGCCCTAGTAAATCAGCCCCATCCTGCTGCAACTGCGCCTTCCCCTGCACCAACACCCTCAGTACAGGATCACCCCGCCTTTGCGAACGATTCGAGACAGCAACAGCAAACGGGACAATCCCCGCAGGCTTCTGTTGCTAATGATTTGTCTGGCTTCCACCAGCAAAGCGTCCAGGTGACTTCTCCCGGACCTTCCAGTGCAACTCCAGCATCTCCTCCGCCTCTTCCAGAAGGATGGATTGCCCATATGGACCCGAGCTCAGGCCAATACTATTATATCCATCTTCCTACGCAGTCAACTCAGTGGGAGTTCCCGAAAGGACCTACACCGCTGAACCTCAACGAGACACCCTTGTCTCCCGTAGGAAGTGTGTATAGCGCTCATCCATTAGTCTCTCCAGGTCTGTCGGCATTTGGAAAGCCTCTTGCATCCCCGGGTGTGCCTTTGACTCCTGGCTTCGAGAGCCTGCAGTCTCCTGTAGTGACTGGGTTCTCTGGGCCTCCTCCAAGTAGCGGCATGGATCTTTACAAGACCACTCCAACCAATGGCGTTTACTTTGGGCCTTATCTGCGTTACACCAACATGGATCTCGAACGTGGAATCTGGATGGGATCTATTTTGCTCGTGACAGATGCCGCACAGCCACCCACGATTCATATGCACCAGAGTGTAGATTTGTCTCCGAACCCGAGACAGTTGAAAGCAGTCAATATTGCCGCTCATCAACGCTGGACGTTCTACAAGTATGAGATTGACCTGCAGATGGACGACGCGGGCCCTGCAAAGTGGACTTACGCTATTACTTCACACCTTGGCTGCACTCGGTATGAGTTCCTCGTCGCTGGTCGACATGAGACCAACTGGCGATTCATTGCTACCTCTGGAAATGACTTCTCGCTCAACGTCAATGCTAATGACCGGGCTCGTCTGGGTGGCGTCGGTTATCTGTGGAAAGATATCATGCAGAAGCATAATGAAATCGGAGGCTTCCATGCCCAATTATGTCTAGGTGGTCAGATCTATGCGGACCGCATGTGGAAGGAGATTCCCTCTCTCAAGCAGTGGTTGACTATCAGTGGAAAGGAGGCTAGAAAGAATGCTCCTTGGACAGCGGCTAACCAGCAGGATGTTTCTTACGCATACTTCCATTACTATACCAGCCACTTTGATCAACCTCATATAAGAGAATCGTTTGCGCAGATCCCTTACGTCTGCCAAATTGATGACCATGACATGTGAGTCGCCTACAGGCCAGCCAAAGAGCCATTATTGACATATTTCCAGCTTCGATGGATTCGGCTCTTATCCTGAGCACATGCAGTTCTCAAACATGTTCAAAAACATCGGCCGCATCGGCATCGAGATGTATCTCCTCTTCCAGCATCACACAACTCTCGATATCCTCCGCAACGTCAACAATGACAAGGATCTCTTCACTATCACCGGCACAGGCTGGCACTTTGTCAAATATCTGGGCCCAGGCGTGGTCGTCGTCGGGCCCGATTGCCGCTCAGAACGAAACCCTCACCAGGTCATGGCCGGTCCCACGTACCAAGGTCTCTTCCCGAAGATCGCAATGCTACCACCCAGTGTCCAACACTGTGTCTGGATGGTCGCCGTGCCACTCATCTACCCCCGACTGGAAACAGCAGAACACATCGTCCAAACCGTCGCGACCGGAAAACGCGCCGTGACCGGTGCATACAACGTACTAGGCAAGGTAACCAGCTCCGTAGCGGGGGTAGTAGGCGCCAAAGAATTCGTAGGCTCCGGCTTCGATTCCGTAAAGCGAGCCGTAGGCAAATCCGGCCTCATGGGCGGTATCCTAAGTCCATTTGGAGAGTTCAACTCCATGGACGAGCTACGCGACCAATGGACGCACGAATCAAAGGCAAGTCACCCAACCCGCTAAACATCATCCCGCCATATTAACGCAATCCCCAGGATCTCGAACGCACATATCTCATCCGCACCCTCCAAGGCATCGCCCACCAAAAATCCATCCGCATGACCTTCCTCTCCGGGGCAGTCAACGTCTGCGGCGCCGGTCTCGTCCACGACCCTTCAAACCCCTCAGACCACAAGACAATGTACCAACTCATCTCCTCCTCCGTCGTCAACACCCCGCCGCCATCATACATCATCAAGCTCCTGCACAGCCACAGCAAACCCCTCTACGTCCCTGCCAACGGCCACAGATCCTCGGCCCAGCCCAGCGATACCAAGGAAGATATGATGGAGATCTTCCAGACGGATGTGAACGGCCAGGCGCGTGAGCATCGCAAGCTCATGGCTCGTCGGAACTACGTCGCTATTGTGGCTTATGACCCCGAGGCTATCAATCCGTCGTTTGGCCAGACCCCCGGTGGGAATAGTAAGTTGAGTCTGGCGGCGGACTTTATGGTTCAAGGGGAAAGTGCGCATGGGAGCGTAGTGAAGTTTGGACCGGTGATTGTGCCGAGTTTGGAACATGGTCGCTGATGTTGAGAAGGGCTCTTTGCTTTTTTTTCTTTTTTTTTTCTCTTTTTTTTGCACATTATCACTGATCTTCTTTGTCTTATAGTTTTGATCTTGTTTTGGCTTTTGGCGTGTTTGCATATGTAGCTATTCACATTTTGTTCTTTTTCCTCGTCTAGTATGCATCTTTTGGTGGCCAGCAAATGACACCGCTATTATATATAAGCTATGGCTTTGTTCGGATTGCAGGGTCTAGGCTCTAGTGTTTCCTAGGTGTAAATGTCTCACATAAAAAAAAAGTATATGTACAACGGGGTATCCTGAATATATAACCACCAACAATGAGAACAAATATAAATCCCAGATAGAATAAATCTATCCAGTTGGATCACCCCCAGGAACGCAAAGACCAATACGCCAGAAATAATCCCGATGAGCATAAAACAACTCCCAGAGCCGATACCTCGCCGGGATAAGCGACCAATCCCACCTCAAAGGCCTAAGCCTCTCCTCACGAGCCATCTCACAACCTGAATCCCGCCCACGTCCTAAAACAGCCTGTTCCCCTGATCCAGATTCCCCCTCAGAGCGACAATCCTCACCAGAAGCAGCCAGTCCCAGCGGAACATTCATCTCACGATACATCTCCCGCAAAAGCGGCTCACTCTCCGACCTAGCAATACACATCGGATCATAGTCTCCGGCGCATAACCGCAAATCCTCCTTCCTCGGCGGTAGCTCCGATCTCGAAATAAATATCTCCCCGCTATGCGCTCTATACCCCCATTCGCGCAGTGGGAGCAGCGGAACCGGGTCATCGACGTGAGTGACGCGACGGAAGCGTCCGCCCTCGAACGGAGGAATAGTCACATTATCGAACCCGAATTGCTGGTTGATGAATTTCGCAAACTCTTCATTCCCGACCATCGGTTCCCCGAACGTCGTCACCACCGGATCCCAGCCCTTCAGCTGCATTTCCAGTCCTGCTAGTGCGGCGACGGCGCCGCCGAGAGAGTGTCCTACGAGGGCTACTTCGTAGTCTGGATATTTGGCTCGGGCGGCGGAGACGTGCGGGAGGATTGCTTTGCGGGTGTTGCGCCATGAGTTCATGAAGCCGGCGTGGACGGTGCAGTTTTCGCATTTGGTTGTGTTGGGGTTGTAAGGGATGTAGGATTGGGGTAAGGCGGAGAGGTCGATTATTGTGTTTGTTAGGGAGTAGGTGCCGCGGAAGGCAATGAGGATCCGTTTTGGGGAGGGGGAGTGGGAGAGGGCGACGTAGCCGCATGAGTCGGAGAGGAGGATGCCGGTGTTCCAGGTCTGTTGGTTGGGGTTGGTTAGGGTTGGGTGGTTTGTGGGGTGGGAGAGTGCTTACGGTTATGAGTTCTAGATCTGGGAACTCGGTGCAGTGGCTGAGACATTGGAAGGGCTGTTGGACTCCTGTGGTGCCGACGCAGTATGAAATGTCTACGATGCGAGATAACTCCTCTAGGGAGTTGAATAGGTCGGTTGAGACATGGTTGCTATGGGCTGTTACAAGCCCTAGGAAGTAGATAGATAGTAGAAAAGGAAGGAATAAGATGTTAGTCATGATTGCGCATATTGAAGTAGGTATGACAGGAGGTGGAGGGGCATCTTTAAAAGAAGAATAAGAAAAGCGTGTGATGTGGAGATGTGACCGAAATCCGGGGTAACCTCATTATGTCATCGTGATCCTCATTGGCTGGTCCACGTAGATCATCTGGGCCAGGTACAGGGATACATCGGGGTACTACATACGGAGTACATCGTACGTAGTACGTGGAATGAGCCTTGCAATATCAACTGTCACGAGGGACTAGCATGTACGCTGTACTCAAAGTTTCTATCCAATACTATATGCACGCTGACCATGGAATAAAGCCAACACAAAAGAGTGGTCAGACTTAGGCGGACCAAATAACAACACGACCGTCGACACCGCTCGCTATAACATTGTGTTAGTATCTTGTTCGTCCAATATTTAGGTAGGGTTAACTTACTGCTGAAGGAGCTGACAGCGCCATTGGCTCCATCGTGGACCCGGATGGTGTGTACAGTGTTTTGGTGGGTTGACTTGAGCTTGGTGTCGGACTGGGTCTGGCCCTTGAGATCCATCTGCCGGAACATGTTCAGAGCAGACTCCTCACGAACGCCTCCAGCATTTCCAGCCTTTTTCTCCAAAGAGCCAGCAAGTTGCCATCCATTTTCATCGCCACGGAAGCGGAAGGGCTCACAGTCCTGCATATGGTTAGCACGGAAGTTGATAAATTACTACAGAAAAGAAACGACTCACATGTCCAGCAGCGATGATCTCAGTCTCGCCGTTCCAGATGAGACTGTTAAGCGGCAGCAGACGAGTAGAGATGTTCAACATCGCCCGCGGGGGGTTGTTCCGGGGCGCTGGGGTACACAACGGTCACACTGCTGTCGTGTCCAGTGAAGGCAAGGGCGTTTCCACTAGGGGAGAAGGCAACACCCTGAATCCAGCCAGCGGTATCATTCAGATATTCACCACAGATGGTATTGAAAGGAAGGCGCTCTCCCCACGCGCTGGGCTCTGGACGAGTGTCAATGCCCTTGATGAAGCTAGAGAAAACTCGGGCGTGGGAATCGGTTGATCCGGCTGCCAGCAGGACGGAGTTCGGGTGCCATGCCAGGGTTGTGATGGTACTGCGAATGGGCTTCTTCAAGTGCTTCGAGATCCACCAGTCGTTCTCCTCCTCGAAGTAACAGACAGCAATCACTCGAGCGCCAGAGCCAACCGCGAACTTTTGCTCCGATGGGGACCAGCGCACAAAGGTTGCGGCTCGATTGATTCGGAGAAGGACTAGAGTGGGTTTCCATCCGGTGGCGGTCTTCTCCCAAACGTAGGCATTGCGGTCTATAAGGCAAACATCTGTCAGTGCTTGTACATAGTATAGGGGGAAGAGCTTTGAGAAAAACCATACCCTGCGAGCAAGTGACAATCCGGCCGCTGTTGGGAGCAATATCAACACTAGTAACAAGCTTTTCGTGCCCCTTGAGTTCATCGCTCAGCGCGAACTTGTTGCCTGATTGTTGATATAGCTCCACATTGTTCTCCCGGGCGACAGCAAGTGTCTTCTTATCAGAGGAGAACGAGTGGTCGGCAATTGGTGCATGGAAAAGGTGGTGAACCTGAGGAGCGGCCATATTGAAAATAAAAACGACAGGAGGATCTCTCTACCGTCGTGCTTGTGTACTTGGTGTTGTAGATGCGGGACTGCGGGAGGGGGAGCTGGCCCCGGGGGGTGATGACGGCGGTGCTTAGTCAGTGAACAGGTCACATGACTCGGAGCTACTTTGATGTCGAGGTTTTGAGATCCATCGATACACCGCGCGATTGAGCTTCACTACCCCACACGCTATTTCAATTTCTCTTTCGAATCCGAAGATAATTAGCCTACCATCTCTAATTACTTGCGAAATGGCTTCAAAATCACTGCCCGCCCGTGGAGGCCCTGACAGCAAGACCGTTGCTATCGGTGCTCCTAACCAGACGTAAGCCTCCCGTCCCACGCGCAAGTAGGCTGTCGCGCATTGATGCTAACAAAAGCTCAGACTTTATTGCATGAATTTGCCCGATAAGAAGATTGCGAAAAATGACCTACGAACATCACTCTACGCCCTGTTCTCCACATACGGCACCGTCCTTGACGTTGTGGCAATGAAGACCCAGAAAATGCGAGGCCAGGCTCACATTGTGTTCAAGGATGTCCAAGCTAGCACGCAGGCACTGCGAGCTTTACAGGGATTCGAATTCTTTGGAAAACAAATGGTACATTTTCATTGCCCTTGTACTATTGCAACACGCGCTCAATCAATTACTCTCTAGAAAATCGTTTACGCCAAAGGCTCCTCACATGTCATTGCCAAACTGCGCGGCACATATGTTCCTCCAGTTGACGCAGCGGCTCCAGTTTCGACAGACCTGCAGAAGTCCATCTTCGGTGGTCCTCCCGGTGTCCTCCCCACACGACCCACAACCGATGCCAGTGGAGAGGGTCACGGTGTGAAGCGAGCACGCGAAGAAGAAAGTGATGATGAGGAAGCGCCCATGGACGAAGATAGCGATGTGCCTATGGAAGCTTCCTCGGACGAAGAAGATTAAGTCTAATACAGGGACTATTGGTGGGGACTGAGAGAGTCTTGAAGTCCTTGCTTTTGCAGTTTTTTTCTTTATTTCTCGGCATTTTCAGCATATGCACGAGCATGGGCTGGTACTGTGCTAAGCAAAAAGCTCGCGTGGGACGTGCAGGTTCACGCAATGACCTAACAGGCCGAGCCAGATGAGGAGGTATGACTCAGGAGTGACGTTCTGTGTGTCTACAACATGCGCCATAGCATCCGCGGTGTTGCACGGGTGGACGAAAAAGGCCGGGGCACCAGAGTCAGGATGGTACTACGAGAAAAACAAAAAAGACATGAGCTCTTGTCACGAGGTTCCGGGAATGCACCTACACCCATACTAATCCCACCGATTACACCCACACTCTTCAATTCTTGCCTGTACTGTTCCGGCACGACATACTGGTAGACTTCGTCTAGTCCGAGTGGGCCGTGACTGTGCCACCTCGGACTGAAGTACAAGATGGGGACCTGATATGTGGGAGACAACAAGATGTCATAGTCGATCTGTAAGCCGGGCTGGGCATGTGCGCGAACGAGAGCTTCCTGCGGTGAAGGGTCAGGACAAGTGGACACGTCTGTCGGGGCCTAGAAGTCTGCAGACCGGATCATCGTCTTCGGGTTCTTCTAGCTCCGCCAACGCTGTGGCTTCTAACGAGCTGGAGACCTCAACATATTTTGTTATTCTGATGCCAGTCCCATCTGTCTAGTTCCATCCAAACCATATTTTCGCATCAGTTTTTTTCTTTTTTTTCTTTTAAACGCCTCAAACAAGGAATAGTCACTAGAAACAAGGGAGAATAACCAAAATTAAGATTTAATGGTTCATGCATGGAAAAAAGGGATACCTTTGTGAGCAGTCGAATGGCGGGCCATCCAATATCTTGGGCCGAGTTGCATCGATCGGCAAGAGCTTGACATGCACTCTCGAACTCCGAATGCCCCAGAAAAGGAAATGCAGAGCAAGTTGCAGCCATGCAGCTGAGACCTGGGTAGATGTCAAGAGCACAGTCAGCTAACTCCCGAAAGCAGAAGCTCAGCTGTGACTGCGGTGTGGCCGGAGGGAGACCGGTTTCGCAACAGAGAGCACTTGACGATGATGTTGTCACCGTACGGAGTACACGTGTCGACTCGAAAAGAACCGGAAAATATATTGGAAATAAGAGAGAAGTATGATTGCGGTGGTCCGGATAGAGGAGAAAAAGGGCGAGAAGAAACAATGGAGTTGTCAAGAACACCTCATCCGCCAAGAGGTATCAGGTACCTGAACTCTGTACGGCGATAGCACCAGAAATGCAAGTAGTGGGTACCTCCCGGTTGCGGAGAGGCCGTATATCTCCCCGCGTAAACATGATGGTCTTCGATCTTCCTTGTTCTGCATGCAGTGATGTTTCGATGGGCGTGTCGATTTGGGTGGATCACGAACCTCCGTAGCGGCAACGCTTGCGTCTTCTTTTGTTTCTAGCGTTTAGTTGCATCTTTGTTTGATTGTACTCTCTCCACCTCTTATGTATCGTATGTTTCCCCCTGGTTTCCAGCTGCCCCCCCGCCAAACTCCTCCTTGGGTTCTTTTTCCGGTTTCTTGTTTTATTTTTTTTTTATTGGATTGCAAATTGTCTATAATCTTAATGCCGATCTAGAGGGTTGGCCGTTTTTGATCTACCCCTGGCCTAGCACCCCCGTGAACCGAGAGCTGGAACCCCCGAAATCCTGCTTTGTGAAGGCACATCCAGCTTCTAAGCTTGGATATTTACTTTGACGTAACCTCAATTCCCCCCGTCCTCCTTATTCCAGCCTCTCCAGTCCAACCAATTCCTGCATCGCACCCAATCTGAAACACGGACCCCCCTATCATCTCCGGGCTTCTGTTGGAACACATTGAGCCGCCAATCGCACGCTCAATTCCCAATCCAGCTGGTGCACGAGCTTGGGGCTCGGATTGCATCCTCCGTGGGCAATCAGAGCGTGGCTTGACGTCAACGGTCCGGGGTGCGATCTAATCTGAAGAGGTCGATCTGGGCATACCGGAGCTAGGTCACCCCATCGTCGTGCGGGGGACAGTGCTCGCCAGGCTGTTACCACGCCCTTATTCAAATTATATATCATTCGAGCCATCTTCCATGCTGCGCATGCCCGCTTGAATCTGCCCAGAGCAAATTTGAATCTACCCGCATTGCATCTAGTGCTTCTGAAGCCATGGGCAACTCTCAATCGAGCTCAGCCAAAGACGAGACTCGCCGCTCCAACCGCCTTTCAAAGCCCCTAACAAAGAAATTCAGTGTCCGCAAAAGCTCACAAAAGCCCGAAACAGATCCTTCAGTGACCAGTTCAGGGCTGATCACATGGGACAACCCCTGGGTGGAGAAGAGTATCTCCACTCCGCCTGCGGAGAAACGAGGAAGTTATTCCAAAAAAGCAGAGATCCCGCCTACACTCTTTGAGACGGAAGCGTCCCAAGAGATTGCTCTGGAGGACCATGCTTTTCTATATGATCAGACTCCCGTGCAGCGTCGTCTGTCCCGCCCAAGCCCGGTAACCGCGCCTTCTTCAAGAAGAACGTCGTACCAGTCGGAACGCTGGGATACAACTGCCCCATCTTCACCTCTCGGTGAGCAGCCACCAAGGCGGGCTAATTCGAGTCGAACTCCTTTACAGAGACATAATAGCGCTGTCTACGAAAGCAATGCAACGTCCTCAAATACCCACTTTTTGGTTGGCAACCAACGATTTTCACTAACACGTCGACGATCACTCCTGACACGGCCTGGAGTTGCCACAAGACGAACCACAGGTACAGTTCGACGTGTTCCATCGCCAATTGGAGAGCCCGAATGTTCAACCGAGGATCCCAATGATTCAACCGTTTTGCATTGGCCATTGCCCGCTGAAAGACATTTGCGTCTCCCATCCCCAGCACGACCGACAAGTCCCTCAGATGCCCGATATACTCAGCTTGGAGCACTCAAGCTGGGATCTTTGCGGGTGGTCAATGGCTCGGCCTCCCCATGTCCTAGCGAGCGCATTCCTTTGAATGAGCCGTGCGTTCCGGGTTCTGGGCTTGGTCTTGAGAACGTGAAAGTTGGAGGGCCTGCCAGGGGTGCTAAGCTGGAGATCCCACTCTTGCCCGACTTGAAAAAATACGATGATGTTCCTGACAGTCCATTCTCTTTCGAAAAGTCCCCTACTATTACAGCCCGATCTCGGGCGCAGCCTATCTTTCCTGGAGATCAAGAAGATGAAGGGATTGTTCTCTCTGATGATACGAGAATCCAACTGGAGAAAGGTGCTTTGGATGCTGGTCATGTCCGGAGCACGTCTCGGTCCTTCAACAAGTCAGATAGCGGTTACAGTTCTGCCACCTCAGTCCATTCAATACAGCGGAGCCGGACTCAGAGCTCTGTTGAATCACAGACATCTATTTCATGTGGCACAGACAGTTCAAAGAATGGGTGGGTTTCGAATGGCTCGGCTTCAAGTCAGTCAAAGGATATGTTGCAACGTCACTTAAGCCTCCAAACAAAGCCAGAGAACTACTCAAGGCCTTACCCAGTCGCCTCTCGCTGGTACGATTCAAGCGATCCAACTCCCCACGCTCCGTTACGATCGCGTCGGTCAACACTCTGTGCGCCACGATACACAGAGTATTCGACGCCTTACCCGTTTGTTGTCGACGCCAAGTCCACACCCGGACTCTCTTCGCCGCTTCAAAGCCAACAAAGTCTGACCAGGGGTCCATTCTACGGCGATCGACTCTCCTTGGGTTTGTTGGATATCGCATCGACTACAGGTTCTTCTGTTACCGGAGAATCAAACCTCAGTCGCCAACAGTCAGTTAATGAAACCAAGGAGCGACTGCGTAGGTCGGCCTCCGATTATCGTATCCATGAAGAATACGATGCTCCAGTCTCCCGATCCAGAAGTCGACTGGGAAGTCGTATCTGGACCAAGAAACCGGGTGTAGACGCCCCTCCACTCCCCACTATTCTATCTCCAGGGTATTTGCAAGATGATCTCGATCTTGATATTGGATTGGTTACTTCTGAGCCGATGCGAGGCCGGCCTCGAAGCCGGAGCAACGATTGTCGCCGTCGCAGGTTGACAAAGCCACGTCCCCAGGCGGATTTGTGCATATGACGATCTCTTCTTTCTTTCTTTGTTTATTGATTTTGGGTGGTAATCTTACTGTCTGTTCCTGGACCTTTTTATGTTGATCTTGTCTCTTTTGCCTATTGGGATCTTCAAAAGTTCATGGTATGGGGGTCTCTTTTTTTTGTTTCTTTTTGGCCCGTCCACGGAAGTCCGAGGGCACATTTTGGGTATGGAGTTTATTCGGTATACCCTTTTTGGAATTGGAAGTGGAGTTGGTATGAATCATCGGCGTTGTACGTGGTAGTCCATCAATGCCAGGTGTCGCTTTGCAATACGTTTCTGTTCTCTTGCCATTTTGGCCTTTGATCCTAGCTCGGCCAGGGAGTATAGTACCCGACATGCATGCGAGTCCTCGAGGGAAATAGGCACGATCCTGATCTTCGGGTACATCTGCTTCCTGCCTTCGTGTTTGGCAACTCGTGTACTCCACCCTCCTTTGCCATGCAGGGTCTGTTCTCACTAGTCGAGCAAGGGGTTGCTCGCTTATTATTCCAGGCGCAGGGTCAAAGTGGCTGAGTGGTTCTCTACGAGTTTATGACAAGTGTCATACTGGCCAGTGCATGTTACCTATCTACAGAAACGGGATCGCACATATGTAAGAGAATAAAAAAAAATATGTAAGATTCAATTTCGAGTAATTCTCAGATCAATTAAAGGTACAATGTAATGTCAAACTCATAGAAACAGTGCAGCAAACCCAACGCCCTGGGATCCCAATGCAATCAATTATACATAAGTCATAGAGCCACGAGGCCAGAGTATGTTCTTGATTTCAAATCACAGGATTCGGATCTTTTTCGGCGTAGGGGCGGCCTCTTTCGGCACCACCACAGACAAGACACCGTTCTTCAAGCTTGCGCGGACGGAATCTTGATCAACGCGCGCGGTAAAGCTAAAAGTGCGTTGGAAGTCACCGACGGATCGCTCAGATGCCCAGAAATGAGGCTGATCCTTCTCAGCCGAGGCAGAAGCAGCGGTGTCGGCGCTGGCGGAGCTAGTTGTTGATGCTGCATCCTCGTCTTCGACTGTGGGCTGGTGCCAGCCTGCAGGAGATGAGCTGCGACTGGAGGTGGAGGCGCTGTCCTCGTTGTAATCGCGCTCCAGGTGGCCCTTGATTACGAGGGTGTGGGGATCGGTGAATTCGATCTCGATGTTGCTTTGGTCGACGCCTGGGAGCTCGCCGTCCAGGTAGTAGCCGTCGGTCAGCTCGCGCACGTCAAAGGCTGGTGCGAAGGCGCGGGGTGTTTGGATCTTGGTGCATTGACGAGGCTTGATGCACTGGCGTGACTTGGGGCACTGGCGGGGCTTGGATTCGCGATGAGCGTCGTAGTCATCGAGGATTTGGAAGAGTGGCGAGAAGCCGGATTGAGAGAAGAAGGCCATTGTTGAGGATTTTTGTTGTGGAAGTAGATTTGGAGATCGATAGAGTATCTGAGTGATTGTCTTGAAGATTGTGATATGATTATTTGAACTGGAATGTCTGCTATTTTATATCTCTTTGTTGTGTCTGCTCAACTGTGAGGTTGATTGCTTATACTTCGGCACGGAAGCATCCAGAATCCTGTGGCGCAGTCTACAAGCCGCCAGCAACTTCACGAAACAACCACCACCTTCTATCTTCCTTTGAGACCGCATTCTACGCTGGATTTGAGACAAATGAAGTTTCTCGATTGCTATGGAATTAATGTTCCGTATTTTACGATTGATAATTCTCTTGAACCTGGAAACTTCCATGGGTTGTACCATGAGTCGATGACGGTATCGTCCGGAACACATATTCTATACCAGAACATTCTGAGATTTTAAATGTGTCAACATGCGATGAAGCTCTAAAGTACATGCTCAACAGTCTATCAAGTATATATACAGAATTCTTTGTAATCCAAGGAGCGGCCACAGCCGCATCACGGATCGCCATGTCTGTTGGAACCCATGTCCGCGGATAAGAATATATCCTAGGTAGAGCCAGTGACTCTGGCAATCTCCGATTCTGGGTTAGAAGAGGAATCCATAGAGATAGGAGGCTGTAAGGTGCGGAACTTACCAATCCAGCTGCGCAAACTGCTCGGAAGGCGAAGATTCTGGCCCCATCCGTTCATCGGATATTGCGGATACCTGGGGAAGAATAGGTCTCAAGCTGTCGATTGCCTTTGCGCAAGAGATACTCGACGGTGTTGAAGTCTTTCTTATTCACCGAGAGAAACTTTCGGAATTCCGCGCTATAAACGTCTCCCGTCTCAGTCGGATTGCGCCGATATCTAGGGGGAATGCCGTCGGGAAAGGAAAGCAAAGTAAAGGGAGATCAACAATCTAATAGAGACATACCGGGCATAGTTCCTGAAATTGATCCTGGAATCCTAGAGCAACACAGCCGTTAGATGGGAAGACGTCGAATGCAGAAGGGATATACCCACCTCAGGCTTATTTCGGATCTCCCGTAGACATTTTCGGTATAGAGACAGAACGTCTCTTTGCAGACCGGAGAGACGAGCCATTGCGATGCTCAATATGAAAGGGGAAAAAGCTTGCCAATCATTGGGTGGAGCTAGATACTGTAGCTCCGTTATCCGGTGTGAACTGGGGAAAAGTGACGAAGGTGGTTTCCCGGCCGAGTGGCTCAGATATCTCAGCCCGCGAGCTTCACATTTCCCCATATTGCACACATCCACATCCAAAAATGTCGACTTTCACAGTGAGTAATTGCATTGGTATTAAAGCGAATTAAGAAAAAAGAAGGAAAAACAAAACAAGAATTGATCATAGAATTATCCATGTGATATACACTCGATTGCGTCAACACATACTGATTTTCTTCATAGCATCTCGTTCGCTTCCTGGCCAAGAATGGCCAGGTCTATTATGGCGATGCTATTCTCCCGTCTGGAGTGACCGATATTGCCAAGGCCACCCAGGCTCGTGTCATTCAGGGCGACATCTTCGGCCAGCACCAGGTTACCGACCAGGTCGCAGATGTGAGAATGCTCCTCGCACCTCTGGCCCGGAAGGACATTGGAACCGTGCGTTGCTTGGGTCTCAACTACGAGCAACACGCCAAGGAATCCAACATGCCCATCCCCAAGTTCCCCATCTTGTTCTACAAGCCCGTCACTTCCCTTTCCGGTCCCACAGATGACATCCCTGTCCCCCAGATGGCCCAGGAGGGCGAGGGATTGGATTACGAGTGTGAACTGGTCATCATTATTGGCAAAGAGGCCACTGATGTCCCCGAGAGCAAGGCGCTGGATTATGTCCTGGGTTATGCTGTCGGCAACGATGTTTCCCACCGCGATTGGCAGATCAAGCACGGTGGAGGCCAGTGGAGTCTGGGTAAGGGCTTTGATGGATGGGCGCCGTTTGGACCTGGCATTGTTTCTTCCAGTGTCATTGCGGACCCCAATGCCTTGGCTATCTCCACCAAGTTGAATGGACAGACTGTTCAGTCTTCCTCGACTAAGGATATGATCTTCGGTGTGGCTAAGACGATAGCCTTCCTTTCTCGCGGCACTACACTCTTGCCTGGAGATGTCATCTTTACTGGAACGTGAGTAGTTCCCGATGAGGAAGTAATTGTCCTTTGGATATATTAAACTAACAATTTGGCAGGCCCCAAGGTGTGGGTATGGGCCGCAAGCCTCAGTTGTGGCTGAAGAACGGCGATGAGGTCGAGGTCTCGCTCGAGGGTGTGGGATCCTGTGTCAACCGGGTGGTCTTTGACAAGCCCAGCCCTAAGCTCTAGATTTACATTTCTCGTTTGAACTTCTCTTGAGACCAATCAAAGGGTCTGATACTAGCTCAACTTGTATATAGCTATACTGGCATAGATTGGTCTTTGCAATTGATCATTGTTTATCTTTGACTTTGAGAAACATCTCTGCATCCATCATCCCGTGTGCATTACATGTAAAAAGAAATATAAATTAGGATCTAAACAGTCTGGGCGCCGTATCCCTTGATTCTCTCGGCGAAGGCCCAGCTCTGACCCTGAATCTGCTCATCCTCCTTCAGATCAATACCATCCTTGGTAATGACGGCTATCGAGTACTTATCGAGACTTCGTGCATCGCGGTAGAACAGAACCTTCAAGCACTCCTTCAAGGCCTCAACTGCATCTTCCTTGCTGACCTGTTCAAGGGGAGTACCCTCAGGGAACTTGCGGCGCAAGATTGGGACCGCAAGGTGAGCACCAAAGCCAGTAGCCAAGTGGGGAGCCGAGAATGTTGTTCCCAGCAAATCTGCCGAGCTGAGGAAGGGCTCTCCTTCCCCGTCAAAGCCTGCGACAAGGACGTGGTTCCACAACGGGTTGAACTCGGAGCGTCGTTTGTAGAAAACCTTTGCAAGGTACGTGTGTAGATTTTTGGCGTTGAGCATGTTGCCATGGGGCGAGTAGTTCTCCTTGATATCCATGGATTCGAGGAGACGGTCGAGATATTGCATGTCGGAAACGTCACCGCCAAAGCCAACCATTGCCTTATCGCCGAAAGAACGCAGGCGCTTCACGTCGGAGAAACGAGCCAGAGATCCGTAGGAGGCTATATATCCACAAATCATATCATGTCAGATGGCAATGCGAAAGAAACGGAACGTGACAACGGAATGGCATACCCAGGTTATCAGTAGCTAGAGCAACTCCACCATTAAACTTGACACCCACCACTGACGTTCCGGTCACTGCGGGGGATGAGGTATGGGCCTTGGGACCCGAGGTCTGCAAATATGAGTGGTCGTAGGCACCGTAGACATCGTTTCTGGGCTGGACAGATAGTTAGCAACGGAGCGCGGGTTGGGACACTTGTGCCACCTACGCGGCCCCAGGCTTCAGGGAAGTGGTTCATGGTGAATGAGAATGAATGGTAGGCTCAGCAGGTTTCGGAGAAGGGAGGGGAATGACAGAGAGGAAGGAAAAACAAAAGATGGATAGCACAGTAAAGCGATGACGATAGATGGGGAGCTATCTTAGGCAGTCGAGCTGACGGAGAGCTCGGCTGACTAAGACTCGTGGATTTGGCCGTCGAGTGGAATATACCTGGTTTCCCCGGGTGTAGTTGTATGTTCGGCACGTCTACAACTGAGATTTGAAATTAAATATTGAAAGTAGTGTAATATACTGAGCTATTGATACTCTTATTCTTATTTGTAGCCCACTTCCTGATTTGGGGATCGTATTCGCTTCTTAAGGGACGATCCCACTTGGTTTGGTAGAATGCTTCGCCTCTGAAAGCTTACGGAGTATAATAGATGGCTGCACACCCGATATCCTCCCTCTCTATTTGACAGTCTGCGACAGGCCAGGAGACTTCATGAGGGATACAATGCCATCCCCCAGTTCAAGGTTCAAGTCGTGCTGGGTTAACGGCATCTGCCGCTCCCATTGACAGCATTAGCCCTTCACGTGTATACAACATCACCAGACCACTCTTGCATCGACACTACATCATCAGCTCAGCGGATGATCAGCCCCTACTCTACGGCGAAATATCCTCGTTTACCCCCAACAAGCCAGATCTTACTCTCCACGCTGGTGCCAGCAGCCAGGCACCAATTGTGGCCGTGTCCAATTTCCTGAAGCTTTCTGGGAACTACAAACTAGGCATAGGGAACCCAGACGCTGCGGGCAACATGATTTGGGAGGACATGACCAAGGAACTTATTCACAAACCAAAATATCGCTTCGAGATGATAATTCCACTTGAACCTGATCAGTCTCAAGGCGAAAGGCGTGCATTCCTGTGGAAGCGAACGCACAGTGTTGGTATTGGTGATTCAGCCCCATCTAAATGGACCACTCAGAACTATAAGCTCGTGAATGAGCGCACCGAGAAGGTTCTAGCGGTCTCTTCAGGCGCGACCAGACCAGGCAGAGTTGGGAAGCTTCAAATCAGAGTAGAGTACGGAGAGGAGTTCGATCGTATGGTGTTGATTTCTTGTTTGAGTTTGTATGAAAAGGCAAGACGGCGCAGACATCACGCAGCCGGTGGTGGCGGCGGTGGAGGAGGCTAAAACAAGCATCTTGCTTCATTGAGTCACAAGCCCAATAGTATACATGGTCATAGTATGCGCTATGTCAGTCGATCAAGTCCAGTCATATCCTTTCCCAGAAGACTGTCTAGAGTCATTGAAAATCCCACCATGGAAATCTCCCCGAGAAGGGCATAGGGGTTTGAATCTTGATCCTAGACAGGGCAGTCCTGCTTTTCAAATGGCCGAATACCAGAACAATATCTCACTTGGTGGGCAGACTGTGTCACTGAACTTTGGAGGCGTTCAGCCCGGGGCCGGAGCCACGCTTCTGGCCAGGCATTGCAATCTCGGGATCTAACATGCGTGGATTTGGCCTTCTTAGTTCGGTTCCTGAATAGACTCTCAAGCTGATCCAGATACAAATCCGACTGAAGTTCGCTGGCCCGATGCCTTTTGCTCTTCCGTCTTTTTGCGAAGTATCTGCTGGGTTCTCAAAAGCTCTTCTTTGAATCCCCAGTCAGGTAGATTAGAAGTAGTCCATAAATCGGCTGGTAGCGATGTGTCATATTGCGATTGCTCGTCAATCCCAGCATGTTCCATCATCTTCATCAGCAAGCTTGGATTCTTGAGCGATGATGAACTAGCAAGCTTCGAGTTGAAGTGAACGCCTTGCTTTTTAAGCGAGAGGAAATGTTCGAATTTCGCATTCGCGGCTGGGTTGGGAGATCCAGGAGGTGATTGTGGAATCTCTAGATTGGGAACCGGGGGAAGAGTAAGGTCTTGTATGAGTGCTCGCGTAGTTGAGAAGGGGGATGAGCGTCCGCTTGGCGAATGCCTCTCTTCAGGGAGGGGCGCCATGTCCATAGATGCGGGGCCAAGGACGGGTCCATTTGGAACTACATCAGTGGCAGCATTGGATGGCGTCTCAGTCGGTAGCTCCTTGACCGGATTATGAACTGAACAGATTGTCAGCCCCAATCTGGACTCATGACCTCTGCATAGTTATGATACCTTCATTTTGACTAGGTTGCGAGGTTGCAAGCGGTATTTCCTTTTTGCGCTGTTGTTTCGGAATTAGCGATCTTTCAGTGTTGAATTTTCAGGGTTCAAGATACCTGAGAATTCGGCGAAGGTTCTTTGTGCTCTACTTCATCCTCGCTGCTGCTCTCATATACACCGAGACCAAGCATGACGTTGCGGGTTGTGTTTATGTAGATATCAGCGTGAAATCTTGAGACGGAGATCAGAGCGATACCGAAAAGAGACCCAAAAATAAAGAAAGTTTGTCTCTTTGATCAGCATTCGTCACGATCAAATGTCCAAGAATCAACGTTCCAGGTCGAAAGCAATGCTCTGTCGAAGCAGGCCTCCGCTGGAGCTTGGGTATTTCTTACCTAATCAGAAGGCAGCTACCGCATCGCGTCAGACACCCAGCTTCTTTGCTCTCCATCTTCCAGAACTCCCAATCCCAAGAATCTTTTACATTTAACCCTTTTGTCTTTCTCTTTAACTGGACTTGTGATTTTCTCCCTTGATCAAGCTGTACCTCTCCGAAAATGACGTCGCTCATGGGTCACCAGTCTCGTGGTGAGACTATCGGATACTCCTTCTCTGAGCCAACATCCGCTAATGTCAAGCAACATTCGTTTTATCCGTAAGGAGGCTCTTTATTTGACTGAGTAAGGATCTGAGCTAACAGCTCTACTAGTTACACCGACAATGGCGGCTCCACCCTCGGCATCACAGGCTCGACTTTCGCTATCCTAGCCGGCGATACTCGTTCCACATCAGGCTACAATATCAACTCCCGCATGGTCCCGAAAGTGTTCAAGATCGGTGGTGATGACGAAACTGGCGAGGGAGCTCAGATCCTTCTTTCTGTTGTTGGTTTTGCTGCGGACGGCAACGCTCTCAAGGAAAAGCTGGACACTGTGGTGAAGATGTACAAGTACAAACATGGGAAACCCATGTCAGTCTCAGCATGCGCACAGCGATTGTCTACCATCCTTTACGAGAAGCGATTCTTCCCGTACTACGTACATGCTATTCTGGCTGGTCTGGATGAAGAAGGCACGGGAGCTTTGTACAGCTACGACCCAGTGGGCTCCTACGAGCGGGAACAGTGCCGAGCTGCCGGTGCCGCCTCCAGTTTGATCATGCCTTTCCTGGATAACCAAGTCAACTCCAAGAACCAATACATCCCGGGAAGCGGCGAAGGACATGCCCTTGAGCCCAAGAAGGCCGAGCCTTTGCCCAAAGATACGGTCAAGAAGCTTGTACGGGACGCCTTTACAAGCGCCGTGGAGAGACATATCGAGGTTGGCGATGGCTTGCAAATGATGATTATTACGAGTGAAGGAATCGAGGAGCTGTTCTACCCTCTGAAGCAGGATTAGAGAGGAGGACTTGGCAGATTAAGATTATAGTCTTATTATCAAACATGGGGCTATTTTCTGATCATTTGACCACAAACATAATTGAAATGACTTGAATTTTGATAAATTGATATCTTTACGTTGTACGTCATCATGCCTCTAGTATCATAAAAAAAAGAAGACAGCGTAAAACCTGATGCACCTAAACGCCCACATTATGCCGGATGAGATAAATGAGTCGTGGAATCAGAACCGTTCCTTCATACGCGAGGCGACAGTTCGAAGATTGCCATATACCTTGCCCTATTTTGTGTCAGTAATATTCCTCCAAGGATTCAGGTAAATGGAGACTTACCGGAGGGCTACCCAGAATCAAGCTGACAATGGCCTCTCGGGCAATGTGAATGTTCTTAAATCCACCCAGAATGTGAATCTTCTGGTCTGCAAGTACCACTCGTGTCCGGCTGGCATTTTCGATCGCAAACTTGGTCTTTCCATCCTTGCCTGCAATACGTCCAATGGCACGACCAAGATGCTCTCCGTTTAGAGTCTTCACATCCTTGATTTCGAAAGTTTGGATGTACAGATCATCAAGTCGGAGGAGGGCGATGGCATCATCGATATCGAAGCCAAGAGTGAAGGCCTTGACGAAATCAGCACCCTTCTGCAGGGCTCCCACGTCGTCGGTAAACTTGGAGGTCCGCAATTCTACCGATCGGCTCTTGATGTTCATTCGCACTTGCAACTTGAGGTGTTCGACGATAGGAGGGCAGATCTTGGCCCAGTTTGCCTTGAGCGGCGTCATACGGTGTGGCGGGACAGGCACCTTCCGTGATTCGATCTTATATGCGGTAGCGACGTCTTTGGCCGGGGTGAAGACAGGGCGACCTTCCTCATCGATGCGCAACTCGCCATCCTCTGCAGACTCGGCGACGGGGTTGGTGGGAACGCCCTCGATCGAGGCCTGGGCATCGATCAAAATTTCATCATCCTGATCTATGCAGCGTCAGCTAGAGGATTTTGCAAATAGGAGCATAAGTACTGACCATGAGAAACATTCTGAGGCTGGAAGCCGAGAGTTTGCTCAGGCTGACGAAGAGCTGTAGGGGCCGACATTGTGATGGCTTTAAAAGAGCAGAATGGATTTTTTCCAACAAATCTGTTATCGCAAAATTTAATCAGTTCCCCCCTCACGGAAAAATGAAGTGTGGGCGGAACGGATTTTTTTGATGCAAACAGGACAAACCCCAGATGATTTCATTTCTTAACTCTCACAGCTTCCCTGTCAACAAGTTACGGGTATCTTCCGATACTGATTGTCCTGTCTTTCTGCGCGTTCGAGGTTTTCCACATGATGTAAAAACAAGGATGTCTGCCAATCTGGGACGCCGGCTGTATGCCCATTTCTGGGATACGGCAAATCCGTTTCTTGGTCGCATACGAATCAATCGCATGCTCGCTCCGGAAGCCTCTCGCTCAAGGTCTCTACTCGATTTTTTATTCGCCAATCACCCACGACGTATCTCGTCCTTTCCTAAAAAGCCAACCCACCTCACCAAAAGATTTGCGTCAGGGGGCTTCTTCGTCCTCGGCGTCTCGCCAACTTCTGCTGCGGCGGAAACTACCGCCGCATGCATCATTCCCTCCAGCAAGATAACCGCCCATTATATTTGGAAGCGAACTTTACATACTCCGAACCATCACGGACATAGCAAAGAAGCTCCGCGGGACACAGATATTCGTAACGAAAATGACCACTCCCCGAAATCCGGTCAATCCGGCAAAGATGCACCCACGACTCACTCACCGGCCAAACCACCCCAAGATCCTCAGCAATCAGCAACAACACACAGTCGTCATCTGATGGATCGCCTACCTCATATGCCTCATTTACATCGACCAACCAAGGAGGAGCTATTGGCCGCAGCAACCGGTTTCTGGTCACGCCTAAAAGTACGATTCAAGTGGTTTTCTATCAGAAGTGTTCGGCCTTTCAATTTGGATGAGATGACCGCCCTATTCTCATGGGTTTTGCTGGGACATATCGTCTGGGTCGTTGTTGGAACCACAACGTTCTTTTCGCTCCTGATCCTGGCGATCAACACGGTCTTTGCTCAAGGTACGTCATTATTTCCGTTGCGGTCAGGTCTTCATATTAATTCGCCTTTATAGAAACTCTGGCAGGATGGGTAGGCAACTATCTCACTAAATCATCTGGAGTTAAGGTTGTTTTCGAATCTGCAATCGTACCCAAATGGAGAAATGGGGTCATCACCTTCAAGAATGTTTTTGTGTCAAAACGGCCAGGTCAAGGTACAGGTCATGTCAGCAAGGGCTCATCAAAGTCTGCTGCGGCCGCGGCCGCTGCCCGAGGGGAGACTGGACTCGAAGATACCCAGGTAGTGGCCGATGAAGAGGAGGATACTAACTACACACAATTCGACTTGTCTATCGAGACGGTCAACGTCACATTATCATTTACCAAATGGCTTAACGGACAGGGCCCGCTACATGATGTTGAGGTTAAAGGCATACGGGGCGTTGTCGACCGTCGTCATGTTTACTGGCCCGAGGAAGACTTAGATCCCAAGTCCTACCGACATGAGCATCACCCTGGCGATTTTGAAATCGACTCCTTCAAAATGCATGACCTGCTTGTAACGGTTTATCAACCAGACAACTTCCGCCCTTTCTCCGTGAGCATCTTTTCCTGCGATCTTCCTCAGTTGCGGAAACAGTGGCTCTTCTATGATTTCCTTTCTGCCAACATGATGTCTGGGTCTTACGACAATTCTTTATTCACCATTCACGCTCGTCAATCTCCCGGGTTCACAGGTATCCGGCAAGATAGTGGCACGGAAGACGATGGCAAGTCAAGCCCGTGGAAGAAACATAACAGGATTCGGGTTGACGGACTCAATGTTGACCATCTCAACCGCGGTGTTCAAGGCCCCTTCTCCTGGATTCACGAAGGGACTGTGGATATTGTGGCCGACATCATGTTACCTGCAGAAAATGATGAGAGTTTAGCCAAGGTGATGGCTGATTTCTATGATCGATTAGAAGCCACGGTCACTTCGAATCGTTACCCGGAGGCTGTGTCTGCGAACTCCAGCCAAGAATCGGAGACTGAAGATCGACGCTTCCTTGTCATGGATTTGCGCGTACACCTTAACAATGTCCGCGCTGTCGTGCCCATCTTCACTCGAGATCTTTCTTATATCAACAATGCACTCATCCGTCCCATTGTGGCCTACATCAACTCCAAGCGCACATTCATTCCCATCAACTGCCGCTTGGTTAAACGTGTTGGGGATTTCGATGGAAGCTGGACCATCTTTGACAGTAGTTTGATGGATGACCTATCAGCTGCCGTAAGTACCAGTGTCTCTTTGTTGTGCGATACTGAATCATTGCTAACCTTTCTATAGACCTATGATGCGTTTGCCCATGATGTCGTGGATGATCAAGCCCGGAAAAGGCGGTTCAAGAAAGTCGGGTTCTGGTCCCTTCAGCTGGCCGCCCAGGCTATTTTCATCGGCATGGCTGGCAATATGGCCTAATTGTACTCTTTATGTACTTCATTCGAATGGCGTTCTCATCTGATGATCTGTATTATAGTCATTGCGGTCGCATTTACGGGAGTCCCGGTTATTTTATCTCATTCAACTCAATAGAATTCTTTGTGAAGCATGTGTTTGAGGTGCATTCTATGATCTTCACCTACATATGTGGCTGTATGTACCGGATTTTAGGCCACGGTCGCGAATTTCCCGATCGGGGTGCCGCCGCTTTATGAGAGCGCTTAGGCTCCTGCTCACTGAGTATTTCACACCACGGGTGATCACTGTGAGCACTTAGGGTATGTGACAGAAATCTGGCTGTATGAAATGTATTGTGCAAAATGACAGATAGTTATGTAGAACTCTAACTAAAATGACAAAACCCGCAATTTGAACAATCTGTGCGGACACCGATGACTAACTGTAATATACACTTTTGTATAACATATGGTATGCCTGGTACTCGATGTCACATGATGTCCGGGGTAATATATCAGGTTTCAACAATGTAATTCAACGTAGTATTGGACAATTATCATTTCAAAAGAAGACCGGAGTAAGATATTTAAAATAAGCAAATCTTCATTCTTTACACTGAAGTACGCCAAGACTCAAACTAATTACAATACAGTGGATCAGGAAAATATTGATGGTAAAAGAAAACGAAATCGCCTTGAAAAAGTAGCAAATTGTGCTTTGGGTTCAGGCCGACCAAAGCGGCAAGCATCAAGTTTCTTAATATGGGTAAATCCGGTGCCGCTATAATGCCCTGCGGAACGTCCAATGTGGCGCCGGTCGGGGCCCCGGGGCCGATAGTCTGATCGACAAGCATTCACAGTAGATCTACGAGTATATCACAGCCTACCACCTTCTATGGCGAGCAAACGCCCTCGTTCGGATTCCCCAGAGGTATCCTCCTCTCGCCCCCGCCGCAAGGTCACGGAGCCAGGCCCGCCTCCCCCAGTCCCGTATGAGGATTCAATCTTCTCGGTCCAAACAGATGTGTCGGAATCCACGCGTGCAGCAAATCTAGCCGCAATGCTTGATCGCATTGATCGGTACGCCACAAGTGCGGAAAGACCCCACGATGAAATCCTCCAAGCATCCCTTAGAAATTTCCTCGAGATGTTACCACCAGATGGATGCGCCGAGCTCTTGAAGGACCAAGTTGTAATTCTAATAGTTCTTCCATCGGTCCGCCTACCAAGCTCGGAGCGGACGATCAAAGAAGGGAAACTGAGCTATTCTTGAACCAATAAAGTTTTCTGGCTTTTCACATTTTGTTTCTTTTACTGTTAGAGATATGCGGGTCCAATAGAGATTACGGAAGAGTATCTGACATCAGGATGAGTCGTTCATCAGGTAGACCTCAACTTTAAGGATAATCTTCCCCTATCTCTCTTTTAAGGATAATCTTCCCCCATCTCTCTATTCTCTATACCCGAGACGATAACCTAGTCTTAACTAGCATACGGCTTCTACGGTCAACAAAAGCTCAACATGCAATCTGCGGACAAGCCGACTCGATCAGAAATTGACTTGGCCTTGCCTGGAGAGAAAACTCAAGATGAAATCAAGATCGAAAAGAGTGGAGATATTAATGCTCTTCAACGGTATCGGTGGAACATGGTTAGAAAAGCGCCATCCTATGTTGGTAGAGCGATTGAGCTTCTCCGGATAGAACAAGACCTCCGAAATACTGTCCAGGAAGAGCAATGCCTCGCTAAGAAGCCTGAGGCCACAGGCAGCTGGCTACTCTATAGGAATGATGTACAGGCCGTGCTTCAGGCTTTGAAGAAGAGATATTGGTTGCTGGAACTCCAGTGGTGGAAAGTCCGAAACTCATTCGTGGAGGGGCCACTGATAAGAGCATTTGATCTATGGCGATCACATCCTCTCTGGTATATGCACCGAGTTTTGTTCGAGGATTGCGTGAGGAAGGGGGATGCTGTAGCCGTGACTGTGGATGTTGCGCTGATCGCAAGATTGATAAAACACGACAGCTTGGAGCTGGACATTGTATGGTGGAATGTGGATGTTGTCACCAGGCTCGGGGGTTTAAGCTTACCAAAAAGAAAAGGAGGAATTCCTTAGGGATTTCCATATCGTGGATGACAATAGCTTTTACCGCCAAAGGGTCAATCGAGCTTTGATATGGGGGTTATCTCTTGACAGTCATGACAGCCCTTTTGATCTGATTGTAATGCCCCCAGGATACGAGAGCGATGTTTCAAAAGAGCAGACGAGAAGAGGCAAGGCGGACCAATTCGATGAGCCATTCATGCTTATTGACGAAGAGGACGAGGAAGAAGTTGTGGTACCTTAAGTGTCAGTGTCAGGCCACTAGGTGCCTGCTTGCTAGTTTGAGGTTTTATTGTGCAATTCAACTCTTTCTTTTGGCTTCGAATCCCCTGATCTAAACTTGCAGTCGTTCCCGAAGTCCAACCTCCACACGCTTCCTTCCTATTTAGGAACATTCGTGCCTGCCATTGTAGTCCTCGTTTCACATGCACCTTCCAATTGCTACTTTACTACCTTGTTACCTTACGTAGAGAGAATTTTGGTTCTGTAAACATCGCAAATCACCATCTTTTCTCACAGTGAGTTATCCCAGCAGTCCTTTTTGAGGTCTTTTTTGCTAACACAGCCCTGTCAGCAGATGTCGGCCGCGAAAGCCTTTCCTGTCGGTGAAAACCCGTCGCCCAACGATTACTTTGCCCGCTTTGCGGCGTTTTTGGACCGTCTGCTGGCCGCCTTAACCCCCAGCGAGACGAAGGCTTTCTTGTGTGGGCCTTTTGGGCATATATGTTTGTTTGCTAGCCGTATGGCGCCTTGACGCCCTCCTGGAGAGGTGGTTTGACTAGTATGCACTACTTGCATCAAACCCTATGATGTTGGATACTAATAAAAATTACAGCCACTACCCCCTCCCAAACCCGGCCCCAGCTGCCGCTCAAGCCGGAGATTAGGAGGTAAGTCCATTGTCCATTCTGCGTGTACTAAACTATAGATATCATACTATTGATTGAAAATATATATACTTATATATTATTACGACGAGATTCCATATGTTTGTGGATTCCTTTTCTCTTTTATTGACGCATTGGATTGTCTGGAAGTGCTAACAAATCATGCTATAGATTGGATCAAGTTTTTTTTTTATATATAATATGCGGGCTCTCACTTTATAATTACGGAGAGTAGGTTCCGAAAGAATTCAACAAACCATTATTACTTCGTGCTAGCTCTGACCTTCTTCGTAGCACGTAATGAGGATGAGATGCCGACAATATTGTATACATATAGTCAATCCATATGTGTGGCACAGAATGAATGGAAACTAAGTGGAAACTGAGGATCTAGGATAGTTTATATTTGGAACAAAGATATCAACAAATGCATTGCTCTCAATCTCAATTGCACCATGCATAGACCTCTTTGTCTCAGACAAGGCAAAATCCAGGATGAAAGAAATCCAAATCCAATTTGGATGTTATTCATTTCATTGAGCTCCACAGCTTTTTGAAAATTCTACAAGTATATAGGTTTTCTTCCAAACCCGTGTTTTATAACAGCCTTCTCCACCCAAGGCTAGTATCGCAAGTATTTACCCCGGAGCTCTACCATTTTCAACAAAATCACCCATCATATGCAAAATTCGTTATAAATGGTACCGCGGCCACTGCGGCATCAGTGGCTGTGGGCATATAGATGCAGTGTGGATCGAGCGCTGTAAAGAAGCGAATTCCCGCGAGAGACGAGTACCTTGTGTTAAGGCAAGTGGGCCTGACACCACTGCAAAACGTAGGAAGTAATGGTAAGGTAGAGCGTTTACCAAAAGAGCCACTATGACGACCAACTGGTCGTCATGTCAGGTTACCAACCTAAATACCCGACATGTGCTATAAGATATGCGCACCATATTCATACTCTGTATGTTAGGTTGTAACACTCGGCGAGGTTAAATAGTGGTATAGGCGCAGAATAGTAAAGCTAATAATATAGCCCCGCTATATATTTGCCTTCTAGGTAGAGGCATAACAACTAGGATCGACCGCCAAATTAATAACACCAGCCTTTCGTTAAGGGGACAACGGTCAAGAGTGCTAGGTAAACGACTGCATTTAGATAGGGCTAGCGTGGTGCATTTTATTGAGGTGACCTGCTAGCTTAGCTACTCTCCTACTTTGCTCAGGCTGCTCAGGTGACGCCCAGTGAGCAAGTCCTTGAGCTTATGTAATAATCAGGTCGTGCTCAGTGAGCAAGTCAGAGCGCTTACGGGTGCTCGGCTTTACTCAGTGAGCAAAAAGCGGCAAGGGGTGAGCACTAAAACGGAAAGGGAAATCCAACTTGCCCGGCCTAAAATCCGGTGTATATGTAGTTTTGACTGGTGTATAGTTCGAACCTCGGCATCTCAGATCTATATTCTAAGTGTCTTATTGTCTATCTTTCCTGTTCTTTCAACTACCGAGGTGCCATATGTTAGTAAATAAAATCACGTAACAATCAAAATAAGAATGCTAGAACATGGCTAAGGTATCAGTCTAGCGGATCGTAGTGAAGGTGGGCAAATCCCATATACAGCAATGTAGATTGAAGAACTAATCTCCCTAATCTCACGGGGGCCTGAGGTATTCTGGGAGTTTCACTATAGAGGATTCTTTACTTCACGATCTACAACATACTCAGGACATACATACCTATGGACAACTCTAGGAAAAGAAAGGGATCTAATTCTGCATACCAAAGCACATCACGCATCACTTTTCTTCAAAAGTCCCTATCAAGGTCCCACGATTTTAGTATTTGATTGCTATTCCTTCTCGTCTCCGATTCTCATTAGCTCGAAACCCCCTTTCCCCCCACTTCGCCTTTTCTAGCTCTCTTACTTTTCTGCTCTGTGACACTGGGGAGTTTTTAGCAGTTTCTTTGCTTTCCAATCGGTTGACAAGCCCCTTTTTTTTTCTTCCTGGCGCTTAAGCTTCAGTTTCCGGGGTTCCGCGTTCTCGCCCCCCTCTTGGGCCTCGCCTCGTGTCGCCTCCGAACGTGACCCCTCTGATGAGTCTCGATCTCTGCTCCAGCCATGTCGCAAGCTCCGCGAGGGAGTGATGAAAGCTCGCCAAATTCATCTAGGAACCAGACCAGTTATCCACTCATGAACAACGGTTTTATCCCTCGGGATTATTTAACACGATCTGACCCACAGCGCCCCGGACCGCCTCCTGGTTCTCGACATATCACACCCTCTCCATTGCATACGAGTTCTTTGCCCCGATCGCACTGCGCCGACGGCGCTGCATCATCTGAGAGTCCTTTATCCCCGAAATCCACCGGCAACCTTCCGTTCCCCCAGAATCGGTCGCTGAACCCTCGCGTGGCCAATGCTATATTCCCAGCGGCGCCCTCTAACACTGGCCATAGCTTGTCGCAATCACCAGAAATGGTAGAGACAGAATCAGTGAACGTCGGCGGCCAATCTAGCGAGAGTAGTGGGTCCAAAACCCCCCGTGGGCCAGAGCCTGATCGACCTACCTCTTCCTCCGTCAGCTCCATACACTCGATGTCAGGAGAGCGCCCAACACATCGCGCCATGCCTCGTACCTCGTCGATTGACTCTGCTATTTCCTCCCTATCCTCCAGTTCGCAAAGATCGGCGTTCGATGTCAATTCTCTAAGTTCGGCTGATATTAATAATCTCATCAATGCTGCTGGATCTGCCGAAGCCGTGATCGTGCACCTCCTGAAAGAGAAACATCAAGCAGCCTCTCAGAACGTGCAACTTTGGAAATTGGTTGACAAACAGAGGACTTTGATTCTCGGTCTCAACAAGGATCTGGAGCGCGCTTTCCAAGAGAAGGATAAATACAGGAAGAAGCTGAAGGATCTACAAGAAGCTCCGCCGTTGCCGGCCGCCGAATCCTTGACTTCTGCGACTGCACCAAGCAGTGAGAAGGAGAATGTGTCGCGCAAATCCGGCCAACCATCGATTGTTCCCCCAACCGAAGCCTCTCGAGAGGGCTTTGAAAGCACCGCAAGCCCGGTCTCTGCCACAGATATCTCATCTCCCGTAGGAGACGGAAAGAGCAGGTTTTCACACCCAAGTCGTAAAGCACCGCCTGCACCTCTCAATCTTCGCCAAGAAGATGCCGCCCAGGAATCATCCTCGGGCTCTGATTACGACTCCGATTATAGCGACACCCAGGAAACAAATGGACGTGGTCGGAGAAAGACAAGAGAGCAGGACGATGAGGACCGCGAAGCTGCGCTGCAGAAAGATAGGCTCGGAGCAGCGCAGGCAGAAACACATGGCACTCGTGATACGGTAATATCTAGTCCAGAAACAGTCCCCAGAGAGCACTCTACTCGATCACCTCCAAATATGGCCGATTCAAACTCCTTGGGATCAATGCTGGGCTCTCGGCCTCCTCCTGCCTCCTCCTTCAACGGACGCTCTATTGCTGCAATGCCTATGAGCCCTGGACTGCCTATGAGCCCGCGACCGGAAGATCGACCTGTTGGCTCCCCCATGCCTCGCATGCCACGAGACATGGCCAGTTCTATGTCCAGTTCTATGGCAGCTGGGTATCAGTCCTCGGGACTACCGCTCTCGCCCAGAATGGCCAACCACCCAACTGGCTTTGCTCCCAATCCCCCAAATGGACGACCCGGCGGCCTGATTCCATCCATTGATCCCACCGTCATGATTGACAGCCCAAGATCCGCACAGTTCCCCGACAATCGAATCTATCAAGGATTGATCTCGGACGAATATCCTGGTCTGCTTTTACCCCCGAATGCCCTCCCTCTGGTTCAAGTCCGGGTATCTTCATCGCGGCTTCGTCCTTCCCGGAACAGCTACATGGCTTCTAAGCCTCTGGATGAGGAGCCGGTCTTTACTCTCAGTGTAATCTCTCGATCAGAGATGTCAGAACTATGGCGAGTTGAAAAGGTCATTGGCTCTTTGCCTCAGTTGGACCATAAACTTAGACAGACTTCTGCATTCCCTGTCAGATTGCCGGATAGAAACATTTTCAACGGACACTCTCCTGCTAAAGTTGATCTCAGACGTGCCGCATTGAATGCGTACTTTGAAGGTCTCTTGGACACACTAATGGATGAGAAAGCCGCATTGACCATCTGCCAATTTTTGACCAGCGACGCCATTGAGCCACGAGACGACGAGACTAGTTTGCTCAAAGGCCTCGCTCAAACAAGGCCGGACATGCCACGTGGTCCAGATGGAAAGCCCCAAAAAGAAGGTTATTTGACCAAGCGAGGCAAGAACTTTGGTGGCTGGAAAGCAAGATATTTTGTTCTGGATGGACCCGAACTAAGATATTACGAGTCTCCAGGCGGTCCACACATGGGTACTATTAAACTTCATCATGCACAGATTGGCAAGCAATCGCAGAAATCCACGGACCAGACTACTTCAGCCACGGGCGAAGATGACCCTGATAACCAGTACCGCCATGCCTTTTTGATTTTGGAACCGAAGAAAAAGGATTCTTCTGCGCTTGTCCGGCATGTCCTTTGCGCCGAGAGTGATGAAGAGCGCGATACTTGGGTCGATGCTCTTATGGAATATGTCGAAAACGCTCCCTCTGAGAATGAGGGACGTGGCAGCGCATCTTCCAGGGGTCAAACTCAGTTTCAAGATGAGTACCAGCCTCAACAAAGGCACTCACCCTCTGGAGCCGAGTCAAAGTCTAGATTGTTCAATGGAACTAAGAGGTCTGGCCGAGGAGTGGATAGCCCCGATCAAGACCTAGGGGGCTCTGTGCAGGGGTTCAGTTATGAGGACGCAGTACCCGCTGAACCTCCGACAATTGGTCCTAGTTTCGAGCAAGCACATCGATCTCCACGAATTCCGGAGGGTCTGACGACTGAGTTCAGAGAGTTGAACATGTCTTCTCCCGACCAATCAACACAGTCTCCTAGAATGATCTCCAGGCCCACAAATGGCGCAGTCATCCAGGATCTGGAGGCGTGGGGCAACAAGGCAAAGACATCAACAAAAGAAAAGAAACGCAGTATCTGGGGCTTCCGCTCTAGGTCCTCGTTTGACCTTGCTGCTCAGGCTCAGGCCAGCACCGACACATTACTAGCAAACAATGGCGAGAGAGCAGGCCCTATTAGACCTGTGTTCGGTATCCCCCTGGCAGAGGCCGTACAAGATTGTGCACCTCCAGGCATTGACGTGGAGCTACCGGCGGTGGTTTATCGCTGCATTGAATATCTACATGCCAAGGAGGCCGCCTTGGAGGAAGGAATCTTCCGTTTGAGCGGTTCCAACGTGGTGATTAAAGCTTTGAAAGAGCGCTTTAACACCGAAGGTGATGTTGATTTTGTGTCTGGGGACCAGTATTATGACATCCATGCTGTGGCTTCTCTCTTCAAGCAATACCTCAGAGAGCTTCCAACAACAGTGTTGACTCGGGAACTTCATCTGGACTTCCTTCGCGTTCTTGGTAAGACCTATTCAGCGTTATACTCTGTTCTACTGCTAACCTAGTTGAAAAGAACTCGACGATCGACACAAGAAGGTTGTTGCTTTCAACTCTTTGGTGCATAAATTGCCCAGCCCAAATCTTTCCTTACTGCGAGCTCTGTCGCAGTTTTTGATTGAGATTGTCAATAATTGCGATGTGAATAAGATGACTGTCAGAAACGTGGGCATTGTATTTGCCCCGACTCTCAACATTCCGGCGCCGGTCTTTTCGATGTTCCTCACGGACTACGACAGCATCTTCGGTGATGCTGATCCGAGCTCGAACAAGCCAGCCACGACAGACTTGGCAGTTGAAAATGCACTCTCGCCTGATGATATCCGTTCTCCACGTCATCAAATGTTCTCAGATCTTCCTACACCTTCGTACCAGCAAACCTCCTTTCGAAACACCGGTGATGTGAATTGTCCTCCCGAAGGCCCCAGAACACCTTACGACACTGGCTTCATCCCAATGCAACCAAGCTATGATCAAGCGACGTCGTCGAGACATGAGCAATACAATCAGTCTCCCGATGACTCTGCTCCGTATTCTTCCTTGAATGGCATGCTGGGGCCTACTTCCGAAGATACTCGCTCGGCAAAGACGAAGCGACGAGAAAGTTCAATGCTCTTCATGGATGGTGAGGTTCCAGAAACACGCGGTTCTCTGTACACCTGCTAATTCTTACATGAAGATCCCTCTTTCTACCAGGGTAACTGAACACGGTTCACTTCTGGTTCTTTCTTTCTCGCCTTTTTATTTCTGAACCTGGCCGTTGCCACTCTGCCCGGGAAAAATTACGACTTGCACGACTGCAGAATGATGACTTCACTCACTTGGTAATCTCAGCCATCAGAGTCGCGAGGGAATGTTTAATGATAATGGTAATCAAGATGCGGTTGCGCATCAAATTTGATGGGCTCGTCCATCTTGGAGTTGAGAGTTCCCATGCCATGGTCAGCAATTTTGACCGTCATTATACCCCTTTTTCTTTTCCTCCTCTTCTTCTTCTTTCTTGGCCTTGTTATTCCTTCGATAATTCAGCGCCTCTACTTGGGCGCTATGTCCACATATCCCACATATTATTGTCTGATCTTATTTTCCTGGAAATTTTTGCAGTTTATTGTCACGCGATATGGAGACTGGGTGGCATGTTTTGGTGATTTAGTCTCTACACTCTACACTCTACACGATTTGTGATGGCGGAATACAAATTTCATTTCTTATCTATATGCAAGATCAATACATTCAGAATCGTCTCGTGTTTTCTCCTCTCCAGAACCCCATGAGTTCACCGGTCTCTCTGGTCCAATCTCGGACACCATCCACCAAGGCCTTGGCCATTCCCTTGTTCTTGGACTTGCCATCAACGGGGCCCAGGCCAGCAGGGCGGTCCCCGGTGACATGCTCGGAGCCCATGCTGGGGAGGACATTCTCCCCCGCACTCAGGCTAACAAACAGAGCGAACGGAACTAGCCAAACGCAAAGTCCAAAGTACGAAGCCACCTCCGTGAAAGAGGGCATATCCTCATAATTGACCCCATACGGTTGGCGCCAGTTGTTCGATGGAGGCAAAGGCTTCGAGAAATGGCGGAACCATAGCCAATGGTTAAGACCGACTAGAATGCAGGAAAGGATGAAGAGAGGGTCCGATAGTTTGACGACAGGGAACCGGCGCAGATTGCTAGCGTAAACCAGATGCGACGCAATGCTCAGTACCGACAATCCCACGGGGAACCGGTCAATTATCATAAGCAGGACTTGAACCGCGACGATGCCGTAGATCAGACGGGTCAAAAGCCGGCGGGCGAAAACCGTGTGTTCTTCCACAAGTTCGGACAGATAGTAGAGTCCCGAAGCTAGAGCCAGTCAGTTCCGATTCATGTCAGGATACCATGTGTTTGGACATACCAATGGCCAAGGTGAGAAATGCAAACCCGACAACCACCCCGAAATATCCCAAAAGTGGTAGAACCCACATAGCGCCGATTGAGTACAGAGTCTTGGAGCGATGGGAAAGTTGAAAGATGTACTGAAGGCAAGCTGCCCCAGAGAGAGAGGGGGCACTCGAGACGCAATCGGCGAAACGTGGAACGTTTTGGGGTACTGATGCCTCAGGCAGCACCACCCAAAAATAATTTATGGGATTTTCCCAAATCCAACTTGCCCGCAGACTCGAGTCAAATAACCACACAACATGTCGCGCCCCGAAGATATCCTGTATGTTTGCCCAGGTCCTGTTATAGCGGCGGAATACTAATTTCTTTTTTTCGAAACCCCGCAGCCCTCCGGACCTGTTCTACAATGACAATGAATCGCGAAAGTATACGAAATCCTCGCGAATTCGCAATATTCAAGCGAACATGACCAGTCGCGCACTGGAACTCCTCGACCTGAAGTCCCCCTCTCTCATCCTCGATCTCGGGTGTGGCTCTGGTCTCTCCGGCGAAATGCTATCAGAAGTCGAGCCCGACGAAGGCGGCCCGCACACATGGATCGGCATGGATATCTCGCCCAGCATGTTGGATGTGGCTTTACAACGCGAGGTGGAGGGCGATCTATTCCTCGCAGATATCGGCCAGGGAGTGCCGTTCCGACCGGGTACATTCGACGCCGCCATCAGCATCAGTGCCATCCAGTGGCTCTGCAATGCGGAGACGAGTGATGTCACCGCCGAAGGCCGTCTGAAGCGCTTTTTCGAGGGTCTATATGCCAGTCTGCGTCGGGGTGGACGTGCGGTGTGTCAGTTCTACCCGAAGAACGACGTGCAGCGCAGTATGATCAGTGGAGCGGCCATCAAAGCGGGCTTTGGTGCGGGTATTCTTGAGGATGACCCCGGGACCAAGAGCAGCAAGCTGTACCTCGTTTTGACTGTCGGTGGTGGTGGTTTGACTGGTGATATTACCGGTGTTGTGAATGGTATGGATGATGTCAATGTTCTGGATGCCCGACGCAAGGCGGCTGAGGTCAATAATGCTCGGGGACCGCCTCGGAAGGGAGACAAGGCTTGGATTCTGCGCAAGAAGGAGCAGATGGAGAGAAAGGGTAAGGTTGTTAAGGCTTCTTCGAAGTATACTGGCCGCAAACGACGCATCGCTTTCTGATTTACTGGTCTGGTTACGGATCCGCTGGGTGTCTTTGGGACTCAGCCAAAAAAGAAAAAAGGGAAAAGAAGGAACCGCCTGGATGGGAAGGGTGTTCAAAGTCATTTCCTCTCGAATATGGAACTGAGATCATCTATCTTTTGTTTGCGGCTCAGGTGCCATCCCTACGCTTGACTCGGGAAATGATCTCACAAGGTCTTGTCGAGGGATGGAAACCGGGCCAAGTTCATCGTCTGTGAGGTGCTGCAACATGAGCAGCCTGGAAATCTAGAGAGGCCTTGCAATGGGGGTGTAGAGCTCGAGGGTTCGAGTTCTTCATTTCCTGGACGCCGTGTGAACTCGGCCCATTCAAAATAGATAGCCTTCACCATTTGATGTTTATACCCAGCTACTAATGCAATGAATGTCCACGTTATGATCACAAAAGAAATGGTGTCTATTGCTATAACTTGCCGGGGACGTTTCGAGCTAAAAAGAAAGGAAGATAATACATCAATGAGGACCACACCGACCATTTCTGGTATGCATAGCGCATTTTAAGAATCGGCAGGCAGCATCCTCAATCGTAGCGGTTGGTATATTGGAGCGGGAGGGGTTTCCAAAATTTACAGAGACGCCTCCATCTTGTCCAAAACAGCCCGGGTGAAGTCGTGAGTGGTAGCCTGACCACCCATATCGTGGGTGCGAGTGCGGCTAGCAGAAAAAGATCCAAGTCAGCATTTCAATCATTCTCCATAGGAAGTACTAGTAACTCACCCTTCACCAATAACATCGTAGACAGCCTTGGAAATGCGGTTGGCGTGGTCATCGAGACCAAGGTGGCGCAGGAGCATGGAGCCGGACAGGATCATGGCACTGGGGTTGGCCTGGTCCTTGCCCTTGATATCGAGACCGACGTGACGGCAGCCAGGCTCGAAGACAGCAACATCACGACCCATGTTGCAACCGGGGACGAGACCGGGTCCACCAACGAGGGCGGCACCAACGTTGGACAGAATACCACCGTAAAGGTTAGGCATGACCATGACGTCGAACTGCTGGGGACGGGACACAGCCTGCATGGAGGCGTTATCCACAATCATATCGTTAACCTCCAGGGTGGGGTAGTCCTCAGCGACCTTGTGGAATGTGCTGCGGAAGAGACCGTCGGCCAACTTCATGATGTTAGCCTTGTGAATGCAAGTAACCTTCTTGCGGTTGTTGGCCAGGGCGAAGCTGAAAGCGAACTTGGCGATACGCTCGGACTTGGCGCGGGTGATGATCTTCAGGGACTCAACAACACCGGGAACGGACTGGTGCTCAAGGCCGGAGTACTCTCCCTCGGTGTTCTCACGGATGATGCAGAGGTCGACATTCTTGTGGCGGGTCTCGTAACCGGGGATGTTCTTGATCAGGGAGATAGAGGCGTAGATGTCCAGCTCCTGACGCAGGGCGACGTTGAAGGACTGGTGGCCCGACCGCTCGACGGGGGTGTGAAGGATACCCTTGAGACCGAGCTTGTTGCGCTTGAGGGAAGCGAGGGACTCGCGGAAAAGCTCCTCAGAGTGCTTGTTGCCGGCGTCAACACCGCTAACATCGACCTGCTCCCACTCAATGGGCACGTTGTCGGCCTTGAAGATGGTCTTGACCGACTCGGCGACCTCAGCACCGATACCGTCACCTGATTGGGTATTAGTCGAAAATATGCGCAACGCACAAAAAAGCGCCATGAACGCGATGCATACCAGGAATGAGGGTCACGGTGTACTTGCCACCGTACTTGGTGGGCTTGAAGATGTCCTGCTGAACACTGGCGAAGGCTGGGGCGCAAACGTTAGTGGGTACTTCGAGCGGACGCGCCAGGGGAGATTAATGGCGTACATCTAGCGGGAACAGAGCGACCGATAGAGGAAGCTGCGGAAGCGCTGCGGAGCAGAGTCTATAGTGAGCCAGAGAGATGTTTAGCGAAATCCAAGTGCGTTGCAAGGATCGGGGAGCGGAAATCGAAATGCGGAAGCGAGTGACACGACACGAGGAAAAAAAAAAGCAAAAAAAAACTTACCCGGGCAGGCTGTGCCGTCTTGGAGAACATCTTGTGAATTCTGGGGTGGTTAAACAAAGAATGAGATTTCACCAAATTGGGAGGGGGTTGGAAGGAAAGGATCAGAGAGGAAAACGGGAAAAAAAGACTCCGGATGGGCTCGGCATCGCGCGGTGGTTAGCGCCGGCCCGATCTTATCTGGTGTAACGTGCGAACAATGAAAACGGGGCCTCTTCTTCTTATTCATTCCTCCTTCGAGCTGTCCAATTTCTTTCGATCCTTCTTATTCATATCCTCTTCGAGATGCTGTGGCCGTCTCGAACAAAAGAAGGAAGCCTACAACGTGAGCTAATACTCTCCAGATTAATTGACTTGGCTGGGTAGCTTCGTGTCCGGTCAAAGCATACCACCTGGGCAGACATCATGGCTTGCCCCAGATATCTCTCGCCCCGAAGTTTCAACCCAACCAGAGTGGCAAGCTGATCCCACTCAATAAGATCCCTATTCAGAACTGTGCCTCGAACGGACGCCTCTATTCAGACTGATGGCGGTCAACAAAGAGCTCTATTCGGAATGATACCTCTATTCAGAGATGGGGTACCTCGAACTCTCGGTCAACGTGCTTCTCGGTCAATAGCGACACTGCTACTCAACCATCTGTGATACCTGTTCTTCATGGATATATAAACCTCATGGTAGTTCGCTGTCTCTATTCTTTTTTTCTCCAGACATCTCAATCATCGAGCTTTCTCAGTCTCTATCCTTCGCACTTCAACCCATCTTGCCAATCCCCAAATCCGAGTCTACTTCCTTCCAATCAAAATGAAGTTCACTTCCGTTGTTGTCGCCCTTGTGGCCGCAAGCTCCGTGCAGGCCGCCTCCTACAAAACCCCCAGCACCAGCATTCCCAAGTGGTGCGGCCACATTGGCCAGGGCTGCAAGCGCTCTGTCGATGCCTCTCTCGATGTCAAGCGATCTGCTGAGGAGCTCGCCGATTCCATGGCCGAGAGCCTTCCCCAGGTCCTGGAGAAGTGGTGCGCCCACACCGGACAAGGCTGCCACAAGGCCAAGCGCGCCGCCAATGCCGTCGAGATGGTCAAGCGCACTACCGATGACCTCGCTCTTGCTCTTGCTGCTCTCGAGGATGACGAGTAGAGAATAGTATGCTACATTCCTATGTATCCCACGCATTGATTCCATTGTCTGACATCTCCAGTACTCTCTTTCCTTCTAGTTCGTTGGTGTTAGATGTCTCAGCAGAGGATGCTCGATACTCTTTCTTTTTCTTTTCACGACGCCATCGACTATATTCTGAGACCAGACCGCTTGAGGAAGCTTGGTTGGCACGTGATGGATTGCTTTATGAGAACTCCAATGGCGAACACTCCTTTATTTTCACCATTGGCCATGGCATTGGTTTTTAGTTAAACTATCTTTGAATCATGGGGTTGATGGATCATTACTCAAGAAAAAAGATGTATCTAGAATCAAGACGAATCCATCCCTTTTGAATACAATACTTGCAAGTAAAATATACACTCTGTGGAATTGGCGCTGGAGGTGACCGCTATTAAGAATGAACACGCCTTTTAACCCATTATTCCTGGTGTTGAAATTGCCTATATTGGATAGATTTTAGATTACATATTCTGGGAGGGGCTTGCTTGTACCTAGGACCCTGGGTCTTCGATAGAAAGATTGCTAGATGAATCTCCCTGCTCATATAGAACAATATTCTTTACTCCTTATTTGGTTTGCTTGAGTGCTCCTACATATTGTGGCGCTCAGCCATCACCAGATCTAGTCCCAAATTACTCCGTACAGAGGGCTAGCTACATAACGTTCAGGCCTCAGCTGTGGAGGCCATAGGCCAAGGCCTATGGCTGGAGGAGGGGCCGTAAGCCTCGCTCCTGCGGTGGATACTAGCCTCCCGGAACTGCTCAGAGCATACAGGCAATAAATGGACTTGAAGAGCCATTGATATAGAGATTGAAGATTGTGGTGATTTGAGATGCGTAGCCTTTGGTTGCAGATCAGTTTCATTTGGTATATGCAGTGAGAGAGATATTATCATGGAAAGTCCTCTTCCCAAGCTACCGGACATGTCTGTTTTATTTCTTCCTTCTTCTTTCTGAGAAAGCTCAAGAGCAACACGAGTAGTATGAAAAAAGAATCCTAAAGAGGATTTTGTTGAAGATACAGAGGTATGATATAGCATGTAGGGTTTCAACAATGGGTTCAAATGATACTAGGAATAGGATCTCTCATGGAAGTATTGAATTGTCTAAAGATCTAGATAATATCTGCCTTTTCCTGCTATTTATGCCCCTTTGTGTGCCGAGGATCGGAGTCCTCAATTTGGCCCCTAAAGGTGGGCTTTTCGGCAGAAAAGACAAAAAGGGCGTAGCGTTAATAATCCTACGGATGAGAGAATCCTGCCTTAGGCATAGTTCTCAACACGCCCCCTTAACGTGTAGCCGTTGCATATCGTAAGATCATATTGTCGGGGACTAAGATGAATGAGGTTTCTTAGTCAAAAGGTATAGCTTTTAGACTATAGGAAGGTATAAAACTAGTAGTTTTACACTACGAAAGACGTAGGGGTTTATTCTACTAAAAGTCTATATATTTTAGGGTCGAGGTTTAAACCTACGATAAACTCTATAAATTTAGGAGCCCCGAGGGGCTTTATTAGTCTATCTATAATATTTTTAGTCCCTTTTATATATATAAGCTTGATTTTTCCCCTTTTAACTTACTCGCGGATCTAATACTAGTATACGTCGATATATTTTAAACGTCCTAAAATAGTAGGGTTCTTCGTTATCGTAATCGTAGACTAGCTATTACTATATAAAGGGATAGGGGGGAGGTCTATACTTCCTTAGTAAAAATTAAGATCTTTTAGCAGTTTTCGTAGCTAAATTATCTCTCCGCTAGTAATTAAGAGGGCTATATATTTAGCTTTAGCGCTTAATTTTACTATACTAGTCTACTTTTAAGATTTCTATAATATTAGACCCTCTACGAGGAAGAAGATATACCTAGTCCTACTTTTACTTTCTAGGGCTAATCTATATAAGGCGTCGATATACCTCTAGAGGTCCTAATTAGGTCTAGATTAGTATATAATTACGTAATAGCTAGTATATCCTATATAAGTAATTACTCTTTATACTAGATCCTTATATTTAGCGTTTAGGTTTATAGTAAACTACGAAAGTATACTTACTATAAGTAAGAGGTCTAGATATATAACTATATTAATATAGTTAATCGAGCCTATATCGGATTAGTACTATTTTACTACTTTATTTATAGCGGTAAGGGTCTCTTCCTTTATTAGGATAATAGATAAAGGGATTACGGGTCTTAAAATTATAGTTTTTAAGAACCTTTCGATATATATTTTTTACGAAATTATTATTTTTCCCGCCTCTCTATTATATATTATTTTTATCGAAAGATAGTAGGATAGCTTACTAAAGTCCGATATAGACTATTTTATCGAAATAAAGTCCTTTATAGTTTTAATAAGATCTATTATAAAAGCTATAATTAAAAGATTATCGATATATATAAAAATATAGACGATTATACCGGCGCCCCCTTAATTATACTACGTATAAAGATATAGGTCGGAAGTAGATTATATAAAGCCTTTTATTAATAAGTAGTCCCCTAATATATTAAACTAGTTTACTACTAACTATTTTAGACTATAAAGACTCTTTTTTAGGAGGTAAACTTTACCTTAGATCTCTAAAAAATTAGTATTATCTTCGAAACCTTCGGGGTAGTATATTAAGAGTCTCTCCTTTAGTATAGTATTAAGATATATAACGTTTACGTTAATATAAGTTATAAAAAGCTTCTTTTACGTGATTATAGCGAGGAGGATCTATAGCGTAATATAGCTACCTATACTAGTAAAGGTCTCGGTATAGTCTAGATCTTCCCGTTATTAGAAACCTCTCGCTACCTAGCGAGCCTTAAATTTTAGGGGGTTTCTATCCGTATCGAGTTTTAGTTTATATATCTACTTACCGGTAAGGATATATATATTCTTAGCGGGTACGGGGGTAGGGATTATCTCTTAAGCTTTAATTAAACTAAGCTATTTAAACTCGATTTTTATAGCGCGGTATTACTAAGGCTAAAGGGGTAAGTTACGTACTTATCGGACTAATTTAGGGTCTTCTATCTATTTAGGGTCTATATTTTTTAGGGTTATTAGTAGAGGTAAGATTAGGAGATCCTTAGATAATAGGGTTAGTCTAGCTTACGTATATAGGATAGTAGTATATTATACTAGATCCTATATACGTTTTTTATCTACCCGAGGTATAGTAGTATAGAAAACCTTATTTTAGATCTTATAATTAAGGTTAGCGAGTTCTTCGGTAGATAGTCTCGGTAGGTCTACTAATAGGACTAATTCGTCACTAGAACTCTTATCGATAAGTCTAAGATCTCCCTTAAAGTCCGAAAAAGGGTGCTTTCTTTAGCGGAAGAAGTTATAGGGGTCTTTTCGGCGGAAGAAATTATAAGGTTTATATTATTTATAGGGTTCTTAGGGTCTATAAGATTCTTAGGGTCTATAAGGTCCCTAGAGTCTAGGAATAGGAACCTAGACTATTTTACTAACTATAGGGTTTCTAGTAGGACTAGGAGATTAGGATTATTATATAAGGTCTAGTTATCTCCTTTATCGAAAATAACGTCTCTCCGAGTTATAATCTCTCCCCTATTTCTATCTACGTTTAGACGCTAGATACGGTATTATATACTATAGTAGCTACTATACCCGACGAGTCTACCTATTTAGGCGCGGGGCTATAAATATCTACTTATTAATATACTAACTATAGTCCTAATCTCTTCGGGGCTTCTTATAACGTAAGCCTTACTACCGGGTATCTATAGGAATAAGATATTAGGTTTTCTACCGAATCGTATTTTATATAGTATCTAGTTTAGGAGACTATCTCTTTTTCTACCGAAATAGATAGTAAGGTTACGGGTTATTATTACTATTTTTATTAGTTCGGGCTATAGTATATCTAGGAGTCTAATATCGTCGAGAATAGCTCTAGTACGTTCTTATACTATTCGTATTATTCTTTCGACTTTATTATTTTACCTATATACGTATAGTACTAAGAAATATAGATAGGTATTAGTATCCTTAGCCTATTTTTATAGGCGGAAGTTATTAAACTCTCCTCCGTAATCTAATTAGAAGGCTCCGATCTTTAGTCTACTAGGCGGTAGTATTTTACTTCTTAGTACTAATAGCGGGGGGAGATCGGGGGTTATAAATATCTTAATTATTATCTCCCTTTTAACGGAATATAGTTTTACTATTTTAATTATAAGGTCTAGGACGAAGTCTTTATAGGAGGTAAACTATATTTCTCCCTATCCGTCGAAGTCGTCGATACTAATTATCTAGTATTAGTAGCTACCTCCCTAATCTCTAGGTATTTTACCCCCGCCCCTTAGATCGAGGTATATAAGATCTCCTATTTTACTAGATCTATATAAAACTAAGGTTCTATAGGGTACGAGCTAGGCCTTTCCGATTTAGTAGTGGCTATAGGGTCTTTTAGGGGTAGGTAGGCCTATAATATTAATACCTTCCGTGATTTTTACCGTTTTCTATAGGGGTTTAATCCCTATATAGTATAGTCTATAGTACTAGGTATCGATATTAACCCTATCCTTTTTAAGCTTAGTAGGTAGCTCGCTAAGGGGAGTCTCGCTAAGAGAAGTCGAGATAGTCTCCGAGGACTATTATTTTAAGCTATTAGACGAGTTTATCTTCTATATCTTTATTACTCTACGGGTAATAAGTATTTCTATCTTTTCTACCTAAGAAAAGGGTCTCTTTTTTAGTAGAAGGGATATTACTTTTTTTAGTAGAATAACGTCTTTTATTAGTTAGCTAGATAAATTTACGGCGTTTTCTAATTTTTACGTGCTTAGGCCCCCTAGCTAAGGGTAGGGGTCTCTTAGGATAACCTTTATATTATTAGCCTAAGAAATTAGGTATCCGTAGGTAGTTTTTTCGGTAGAAATAGGAGTATCGGCCTAAGTTTTTAGGTATCCGACGCCCTTTACTTTCTACGCTATCGTTAAAACTAACGTTTCTAGATCTAGGGTCTAGTATCGGTATATATAGCGAACGTTTAGTATCTAATTTTTACCCTTTTATAATCCTTTTATAAGAATACTACTATCTAGTTTTCGGAAAATAACCTCGTCTCTATATATCGCTATAATCCTATAGTTAGCGAGCCTAGGCTACGAGATAAGGTTACTACGGAGTTTAGGGAGATATATAGTCTTAATAAGAATAAGATCTCTCCCTTATCTAGTCCTATCGTCGACTATAATCTTAATATCTCTAATTATACCTTAGACTAGCTAGTTTATTAGGGCTATTTTAATTATAGTAGTTAGTAGTTTCGTAGTGCCTAGTATAAAATAATCTAGCGAGTTAATTATATATTCGTCGTAGGCTATATTATAGATCTAGTTATTAATCGAGATATTAGTTAAGAAGTTTTATACCTTATAACTATATTTAACCTATATAATTAGGGTTTCTATAGTCCGTTTAGGTACTAAATTAGGGTTTTTTAGCTAGTATTTCTCGGCGGGGTACCCCTTCTTTTTATAGAAGGTATATACTAATCCTAGAGGTCCTTATCGTATATAGGGTCCTTATAGTTTTATAGGTTTATTAGTTTCCGTAGATAAGGTCCTTATAGCTACCTTTTTACTAGCGGTAAGGTTATCTTCTTCTTTTTATAGTTCGCTATATAGGCGATCGAAGAGGTATTAGTCTAGCTAGTTAGTTAACCTACTAACTATTTTATTATAGTTAAGCTTCTATAGGTACTATTCTAGGCTATCGAGGCACGCTATAAGTTCTATATATTTTTCGAGTTCGTCTATTTCTTATAGCTTAATTAGTAGACTCTTAATCAGGGGATATATAATAGTTTTATTAATCTATATAGTCTTAAATACCTCGATTAGGGTTCCGATATTATAGACGCGGGATATATATAGTACTTTTATTATAATAGCGCCTTATTCGGCGGTAAAAGTATCCTTTATATTATATTAATTTTATAATTCCTACTAGATACGCTCGGGTTCTAGAGGGCTTAGCGGTATAATATTTTTCGCTAAGTCTAGGTATATAGTATTTAGGATAGTAAGCTAGGCTACTCCCTTCTATATATTTAGTGTATAGTACTTCTCGTACGAAGGGGGTAATAATCCTACCTTACCGTCGATAACTTATTCGAGAAGGTTTTAGTTTAGTACTTACTATATATTAGCGGCCTAGGTACGGTAATTATTTAATCCTATAAGTTTTAGTCCTTTATATTCTTCTTTTCTTTTAAATATTTTCCCGAGGTCCTTAGTGAAACTAAGGTATCGAAGGGCGTTTTCTTCCTCTTCTCGGGTATTATTCTTTAGGGTAGCGTAGCGGTTACGTAGCGAGAATATAGAGCTATCTCGATTAAATCGGTTTAGGTTATTAATCTATATTAATAGGACTTATATATTAGTCTTAATAGACTCGGAGACTTTAGTAGGGGGTCTACCCGCTATAAGCTACCTAGTTAGTCCTTAGGGCTACTAGGTATAGAGATACTCGGTCGACTTAAGTTCTTTAGCTAGTTAATCCGCGGGGTTTAGACGTTATAGGCTCTAGCCGGGGTCTATATTTCTAGTGCTAGCGGGAGCTATAGGACTATTATTTCCTCCTTTGTTATCGCTACCCTCGCCTAAGGCGCTACTATAGTTATTATCGGACCCTAATTCGTCTAGTCGGTCGGCGTTAGAGTCGGAGGGTTCGTAGGGTATATAGGGTACACTAGATACACTAGATACCCCCCTATCTCGCTAGGACCGTCGGGTAATAGGGGTTATAATAAAATTAATAAAAAAATAGGTAGATCTACGAGAGATCGAGAGGTATAGGTATAAAATAAGAGGTGAGATATATATAAGAAGAAGAGAGAGATCCTAGGGTAAGGACCTATATATATAGGTCTAGGCAAAGATTAGATGAAAAGGTGTATAGGGGTAAGTAAATATTTGCTAGCAAATATAGTAAATAGACTATACTGCGTAATTTAGGTATTCCGGCTATTAGAGATAGCCGGGCTTATAACCTATTAAAGATATAGAGGTATGATATAGTATATAGGGTTTCAATAATGGGTTTAAATGATACTAGGAATAGGATCTCTTATGGAAGTATTGAATTATCTAAAGATCTAGATAATATCTGCCTTTTCCTGCTATTTATGCCCCTTTGTGTGCCGAGGATCGGAGTCCTCAATTTAGCCCCCAAAGGTGGGCTTTTCGGCAGAAAAGACAAAAAGGGCGTAGCGTTGATAATCCTGCGGATAAGAGAATCCTGCCTCAGGCATGGTTCTCAACAGATTTGCGGTTATATAAATGTATATCTCATAGATGTACACATCTACCTCTATATATGTACCATGTAAGAGATTTAAGAATTCAGACTACCTAATCTCAAACTTGGCTCGCTATTTGCATTATTGTTTTCGGATCATAGCCCCCCACGGAATAAATTGTTATAGATCCTCTATATGGATCTGAGGTCCTCGGTGCGATTTCGATGTCTTTAAACCTCGAAAGCCACGGCCACGGACCGGTCAACCTACCACTGTCGGATGGGCCAGACTCCGATTAATTCATGAGGGGCAGGCTCTTTGTTTGCAAATGTCACAACATATTGCTATGGGCTGGGCATTGAGATTTTGGTTGATCATCAGAATTGCCTGGTACCTTGCTGTAGATTGAAGCTGATTGCATCAAGATTGTCCCATGATGTCTAGAGACTTTATAATTCTTAGAATGTAGTGGGTATTAAGATGTTCCCTAGCGCCCTGATTACGCAGGTTCCCTTTATGCAGACCGAGTCCTTTAATAATTGTTTGTGAGCTTGGAGGCTATAAAGCCCCCAGCGTTCTCAGAGATAAAAGAATAAGAGCCTGCTCTCTCTCTCTCTTCCCTAATAGCTTCAAGAGTAGGTTAGGAATCCTCCATCACTGAAAATTTTTACGACATATCCTCATAACGAGTCAGAAGCATCTGGCAGTGCTCATCTACTTATTCCGAATCAGAAAGTCAAGCAGTGCTCTACCTAGATGTATATATGTTTGTGACAATCGTGCGGGTTACTCGCATTCTACTCGCATTTATCTCTCGGTTGTCTCTCATTTCTGGAATTCTCAAGCTGAAGCACTCGGAGAACGCTGGTTATGACTCGCTTGCCTTGTTATTCCTCGTTTCAGTGGGCCCAAAACGAGTCACTTGCTCACGACTCATTTATCTTCTCTTCAACAACCATCGACTACTCCCTTCCAATTTCCGTTCCATATTCAACAGATCACCTTACAAGAATACCACTTTTGCAATGCATCTCCTCACTATCGTCTTCGCTTTTCTGGCTGCTGCCACTGCCAGTGTCGCAGTTCTCGAGGAGCGAGATGTCTACAGGCCAAACAGCAGTGACCGAGGACGCACTGACAGTTCTTACAACCCTAGCAATGAAGGCCACGGGTTCTGCACTTGTGATCGGACCGGTGTTGTATGTAATACCTGTACCTACGCAAATATCGAGCTATTTTTTTACTAAGGGACATTCAATGAATAGTTCGGTGTCTCAGTGGTCGTTAGACAGATGTCATCTGTTAGACTTCTTGCTCATGCCATAGTTCTTAGCTTCATCCAACTCAGCATCATGCACCTTGATGTCTCCCTTCGTGACCTCTAACAGTACCTCATACAGCACTCTACAATTCACAATCTATTTTCAATTGGGATGGCTCCCGTGAATCTATTGGAGGTATTAGGTGCTAGCACTATTGGTCCCAAAGGGAGTCGATTAAACAGTGATATGCTGTCGAATCATATGAGCTAATTAAATCAAAGTCACTAGTGTTCGATGTATGTACCCTCTTCTTCAATAGCGCCTGCAGCTGAGGTCACCAGCCCCGGGAAAACTAATGCTAGCGATTCTTCTGGATCTTTCCCTGTCAGATTCAACCTTATGACTGTGTATACAATATACGTTGACATACAATATTGCTCGGAATGGCTCTTGGTACTTCGTTATTATCCCCACGTACCGGGCGATGAAGGCTAATAGTATTCACTTGCCATGTGCGGACAGACGGTGACCTTTTGCAGAAGACCTTGAAAGATTGAGAATGACGACTATAAGTATGGGTGAGACCAGGGGAAAGAAACAGAATCAGTCACCTCTAAAATCTCAACCTCTGAGTTGAAATCTCCATCCCAAGGTCCAGCTGTCAATTTTGCATTTCTTATTTGGCCTGTATTCATATAGGTATGTGATAGTGCGTCTCAATAGGTACATTGTGTCGTATTACCTGTAGATAAAGAACTTCTATAAGTTTGAATACATCTGGGAGATTGGTAGCATGACAGCAGAATATATCTCATTACCTGTATCATTGATATCTAGTGATAGATAATTGTCGAGACTAGAAGAGAGCTAGATAGCTCATTGATTTTGAGAAAGTCCTTCATTTCTATCAAGGTCATTCCTCATTTGCCAAGGGTTCGATGAATTGGCTGAGTATTATATGTAGGTAATGTGTGTTGTGGATTCATAGCATGTTGAGAATCCCGTTTGACCAAAAGGTCTAACCCTGTACGGAGTATGTATGCCTATAATATGACATGCTACTCTTTTGTGAAATACTAATCGTACTTGCACTTTGCTATGATGGATGTACCTGGTGATGTCTCGTACTTGAATCTCTCATTTCTGTTCTTTGTTTGTCCATCCATTATGGCGTTGTGAGCACTGAGAAGATGAATGAATATGCATAGGGATTTGATCCAATAGTTCTATGTCCGAAACTAGTAGCGGTATACACCGCAGCTGGGGTAATAACGTCTCGTTTCTTCAAATGCACCGTATTGTGACTCCATAGGTCCAGCTTTCGTCAACTCCCACCATTGCTGACCTTGGTACACCGGGTCTTTCGAGCCAGCGTAGGCTTCCCCGGTGGTGGGCTCTTTGGGGAGATGGGAAGCTTGAGTGGGGACAGATTCGTAACCAGATACCATATATGGTTCAGCATAGACATTTCCATCTCCATTGTCCTCCTCCATAGCAGAATCGTGCATAGCAGAGTCATGAGACTGGCTGGCTTCGGTCCCAAACTGCGAATAGAGCTGCCACGTTTGGATCAGTCGTTCCCTTTGTTCTGCGTCGGCGTGTTCAAACAGACCGAGCTGCTCTGGGGTAAGGGTTTCTGGGTCAAGACCGTGGAATCTCAAGACATCAAGGCTTGAAGGCTGGTTTGTGTTTTGGGCGATGTTGTGAGCCGAGTGGTGGTAATGTTGGGTAATGCTGTGTGCGATCTCTGGCGCTTGAGATGGGATGATCTCTTTACTCGGAGCAGGTTGAAAATGTGTCATATTCATTTGCCTATCAAACAAAGCTGCGAGTTCGTCTTGCATTTTCGAGTCACTTTCACCTGCAGACAGACCACACTATATATGTTTCCTCCTGGTCAGGTTCTTTGATATGACAAGACAAGGACGAGTAGAAACTACCTGTTTACAGTGGGGATTTTCGATAAAGGCAGCGAGTGCGTTGGAGATATCGGAGGTATGGCCGCAATGCGGGCACTGATGTAAGATCGAGGAAGACATGGAGGGGTCAATTTCGTCAGTTTCCGTATAGTTCAAGATCGGATGAGCCTGATACGTCGAAACTCGATTCAAATGGTTGGTCCCAACAGAAGAACTAGGTATAAAAGAGAACTTGAAGATACATTTTGTGCTTTTGAAGTCAGGGGGGCAAAGATGCCCAAATACTTGATTGGGCTGCAGTGCGCCCACCTTTGAAAATGTTCGACTGCATGAGATGTCCTTGTTATACCCAATAGGACAAGGTACCCAAGGAGTACCCGCTGATCTGGCGGTGGGGACATACAAGATTAGGTACCGCTCAGGTATCGGGGCATCATGTGACCCAGAGCTCTCCAAGGCAACCCCGTGACGCGACAGCGTCACTGCTTAGTGCCTAGGAACCTCCGTTATCATCCCCAGAGCTTCCAACCTCACCCTACCTATCCAAAGTCTACCTCCGAACCGGCCATTTTCCTCCTTTACCCGTCAATTATTTAGACCGTCTCTTTCGCTCGCCTGGCCTGCCCACGGTGACTGTTGTTCTTGAACCTCACCGAATCGCATTCTCACCAAAATCATGGTCAGTCAGCTTCCGATCTACACAATGTGACTTATTGAATTCCATCAAGCTAATATTGTGACTTTTCAGACGTCAATCGGCACAGGCTACGATCTCTCCAACTCGGTGTTCTCGCCAGACGGCCGGAATTTCCAGGTAGGATCCAACCGAGCTCATGAAAGAGCTCCAGAACCCAGCTTCACGCCGCTGACCCTACTATCTAGGTCGAATATGCCGTCAAGGCAGTTGAGAACGGAGGCACCGCCGTCGGCATCAGATGCAAGGATGGTGTAGTGTTGGCAGTGGAGAAGATCATCACGAGCAAGCTTCTAAAGCCCGGTGCCAACAAGAGAATCGCGTCAGTCGACCGCCATGTCGGAATTGTGAGATACCCCTCCAGGCCCATATTATTCCCCTCGATCCATCAGATTTGTCGACATGATACCAAATATGCGAAGTAACTCGTTACTAATCTGGCCTTTTTGCACTGTATAGGTATCTGCTGGACTTGTTCCCGATGGCCGTCACTTCGTTTCCAGAGCCAGAGATGAAGCTTCCTCGTGGAGAAGCACATACAAAGGACCCATTCCTACCAACGCGCTCGCCAATCGGTTGGGTAGCTACGTGCAGGCGTACACCCTCTACTCCAGCGTACGGCCATTCGGTGTAACTGCTATTGTCGGCGGGTGGGATAGCGAGGCGGAGCTTCCAGTTGATGGACAGGTTGGCACCGGACCCAAGTCTGGTTCCGGTGGAAAGGTCGAGGGTGCCAAGGCCGGTGGACCTGGTCTATACATGATTGAGCCCAGTGGACTGTATTGGGTATGTTGCGACATGTATCCACATGGTCGATTAAATGCGCTGACAACTATCTTTTTAGGGATACTACGGTGCTGCTACCGGCAAAGGACGACAGGCCGCCAAAGCCGAATTGGAGAAACTAGACCTCAGCTCGGGCAACCTGTCTTTGGCAGATGGTGTTAAGGAAGCCGCCCGCATTATCTACGTCGCTCACGAAGACAGCAAGGATAAGGACTTTGAGCTCGAGATGACGTGGATCAGCTCAGTCGATGGGCCGACCAAGGGCCGTCACGAGGAGGTGCCCAAGGAGCTCCTCGAAGAGGCAGAGAAAGCAGCAAAGCGAGCTCTGGAAGGTGACGACGAAGAAGAGGAAGACAAGGCCCAAGGCGAACAGATGGAAGAGTGAACATGTAATAGATTATGCTCCTAAAGAATTATGGTTCTGTGAAGACAATTCCCTTTTTTACTCCAAAACAAATGTACCAGATCCAAATTATTTGGTTCCCAAAGCCAAAACTCTGATATATAAGAGGGTCCAATCGTAGCCCCCAATACAATAGACATATCCTACCGCAAACCAAATCAGAGGATCTTGCCCTCAGCCCAATCCCTCCTCTTCAAACCCAACTCGACAGCCGCACTTCCCCAATCCTCACCATGGTTGTGCATACCACTATCTGTAAGTCCAGCCCTCTCCAATCCCTGCTCCTCAGTCAAAACAGTCAACAATCCAAAGATAACCGGAACGCCCGAATCAAGCTGAACGCGCATCAACCCATGGCTAACAGCATCCGCGATATATTCAAAGTGCATAGTCGCGCCCTTGATCAGCACACCAATAGCAATGATCGCATCAAAAGGCTTCTTGTTCGAAGCAGTCGTCTGCGACAGATCAGTCGTGGACGATGACAGCAGGTCAGTTGCGCTGATGCCCTCGCCGGAGGAGGTAGCCTGGATCTGGGAGGCGGCGTAGAGGCTGTGCATATTGTTAGAGGGGAACGATGGTGGATAGGGTGTTTGCGCTCACCGTTGCACTGCGAGAGGCAGCTCGTAGCTGCCGGGGACGGTCTGGACTGTGATGTTGTCCTCTGTCACGCCGGCGGCGAGGAGGTTCTTCTTGGCGCCTGCGACGAGTTGGTCGATGATGACGGTGTTCCATCGGGCGTGCACAATCGCTACGCGAAGTCCAGAGCCTGGTGGAGTTGCGTTAGCTGGGATTTGTCTCCAGTGAGCGTGTTGGGCTCTTACCATCGAGGGTCTGGGCAGCGCCGGGGCCTTTGATAGTAGTCATTTTTGATGGGGAGGATTAGTCCTAGGAGGATAGGAGATTTTATTTGGGGGTTTGGAGAATTGAGCTTAGCAAAAGTGTTTTTGAATTAGAAGAGCTCGAGGGGCGAAAACATCGGTCCCGCATTTGGCGGGGGAAGGCGGAATGTCATCACCGAACACGGCAATTGAGCGCCGAGGCATCTGGGGACGGATTCCGTTCGTTTCGGTACGATCTACAACTACTTGGCTTTTTACAGATTCAGGAGTGAAAACTCCAAAAAAAAAAGAAAGGGTAAGAAGAAACAAAACGAGATACCATTTTCTCGGAGCTGAAACACCTAAAGATAAAAAGATGACCGGATCATAAGAATCGTCTAAGCCCTAAAAAGAAAACATTTACTCGACCGTGACAGACTTAGCCAGGTTGCGAGGGAAATCAACGTTCAGTCCCTCGGCAACAGCAAGCCAGTAAGAGATCAGCTGCAAGGGAATGACATTGAGCAGACCCTGGAGGCAGTCCACGGTCTTGGGCACATCGATCTTCTCGGTCTGTGCGGAGGAGAACTCGGGGTCATCGGGGTTGCAGATGACAATGGGGCGGCCACCACGAGCAATGACTATGAAGGGAAAAACGTTAGCTGCAAGAACAGACGGAAAAAAAAAGGTTCTCTAAATGCATAGACTCACCTTGCTGGTAGGCGTTCAGGGACTTGGTGAACAGGTTGTCGCGGGTGAGAATCATGATGATGGGAAGGTTCTCATCCACCAGGGCAAGAACACCGTGCTTCAGCTCGCCAGACATGACAGCCTCGCAGTGAAGGTATGAAATTTCCTTGATTTTCAAGGCACCTGAGTTTCGCTGTTAGCACAAAGACCTTAATACTCTAGGTTTCAATGATTCGTTACTTACCCTCGAGGGCGGTGGGGAACTGGGCACCACGGCCCAACAGGAGCAAGCTCTTCTGGTCCTTGAAGAACTTAGCACACAGCTCCTTGATCGGATCATTGAGCTTCAAGATCTGCTTGAACTGCTCAGAAATCTGACCAAGACCCTCCATGATCTCCTCGCGTCTCTTCTGCTTAGAGGCGCGATCTTCACTCAGAGACAAGGCAAACATGACCATGGCCACAAACTGAGAGGTGTATGCCTTGGTGGAGGCAACACCGATCTCGGGACCGGCGTTAATGTGCACACCACAGTGGGTGAGGAGGGAGATGGAAGATCCGACAACGTTGACACAACCAACGGTCAGGGCGCCCCGTTCCAGACAGTAGCGAAGAGCCATCAGAGAATCCGCGGTCTCGCCAGACTGAGAAACGAACACACAGGTATCGTCACGGAAGACTGGGGCCTGTCGGTCAAGGAAGTCGGAAGCGAGCTCGACAGCGATAGGGATCTCAGTGAGCTCTTCGAAGATACCACGCACAGCCATGCAGGAGTGGTAACTGGTACCGCAGGCAATAAAGATGATTCGTCGGCAGCGACGAATAGTCGAGATGTACTGACGAAGACCACCAAGGGTGACCTTCTTGTTAGCCACATCCAGACGACCTCTCATGGTGTTGACCACAGACTCGGGCTGCTCGAAGATCTCCTTCTGCATGAAGTGATCGAACTTGCCCTTCATGATCTCCTGCAACTCAAGTTCAATGGTCTGGATGGCACGGACGTTGGAGGTGCCATCGTCCTTGGTCAGACGGTGAATGTTGAGCTGACCCTCGTGGATGTGAGCGATATCATCATCCTCCAGGTAAAGAACCTTCTTGGTGTGCTCGACAATAGCAGATGGGTCAGAAGAAAGGAAGAACTCGGCGGGTTGGGGGATGCCGTCGTCAGAGAGGAATGCACGGGACTGAGAGCGGTGCAACAGAGACTTGTCAGGAGGTGCAAGGAGGCTTGTGGCAGACTTCTTGGCAGCCACATTCTGGGAGGCCTGCTCCGCGGAAAGGACACCATCTTCGGAATATTCAACATCCACGAAATCCACCTTCATCTTCTTGGAGGTCTTCACGCCGATGACCAGAGGAGAACCCTTACGGGCTGCAATAACCTCATGGGGGTAGTGAACCGACTTCATCAGCAAACCGAAGGCACCCTCGAGCTCTTTGATAACGGCCTTGGCCAGAACCGTGAATTCAATATCGGGGTGCTGGTCGTAGAGGTACTTGGCCAGCTTGGCAATGCACTCGGTATCGGTCTCGGTCTCGAAGCGGAAGCCCTTGGTCTCCAACAGAGCCTTCAATTCCTTATAATTGGTGATAATACCATTGTGAACGACGGAGAATTCCCAAGTGGGATCGGAGCTATCCAGATCGATTCCATCAGCCCAACTCTCCCTGATTCAGGGATCAAGTTTTCAGTCTCGGGACATACCGGTGGGGGTGGCAGTTCTGGCGGGAAGGGGTACCGTGAGTAGCCCAGCGGGTGTGAGAGATACCGGCGTGAGACTCAAAGGTCTTGGTCATGTCATATGAGCTTGACTCGATGAGTTCCTTCAACTTGGCCACCTTGCCAACTTCCTTGAATGCGCAAACTTCATTCTTCTTGTTGCCATCCACGGCCATACCAGCCGAGTCGTAACCACGGTACTCCAATCGGGAGAGGCCTAGGAAAAAGACGGTGAGCAAGACGGGCTTTGGAAGTATTCACATGAGCATCTCACCATTAAGCAGGGTATCAATGATGAACTTGCGGTCCTTCTCCACGAGATAGTTGATGTAGCCGAAGATTCCACTATTAGACGGTGAGTAGATTGATCCTCGAAGGACTGAAATCACTTACCACATGATGGGCAAAAAAAGTAAGGGTGCAGGGAAAAAAACAAGGGTATTGAGAGGGTAAAGATTAAGGAGTAAAAGGACGAAGCAGAGAGGGGGAAAAGATAAAGAGCGGCAAGAATGGTACAGAGGTTTCGTATTTATAGAGGGGGGGCAACAGACAGGGAAGGGGAGGGGCGATTATTATTAGCTCTTTCACTTTGTGCAGCTCTCCTCCAATGAGGCGGGCTGAGTGCTCGGGCCAATTTGGTTCCTAGGGGAATCGATGTCTCACTTGGTCAGACAGATCAGCTTGATCCTTTTTCTTCTCTAGTCTACTATGAGATCAATGCCATGAGAAATAGTGGTGAAATAGTGGAATAGTGGAATGATAGTGGGTTATTGGGGGATATTTATTTGGCTTCTCAATTGGGCTTGGCACGCTCCCTGGGTACCTGGCGTTGACCAGGGCCAGGAACACGGCACAATGCCATTCAACACCTGGTACGAAACCCTTTCTGCTCTCTGCCCTGCTCTGGGGAATGTCCACCACGAGGCGAAAACAAGAATGAGGCGGAGTTCCCCCCCCAAAAAAGAAGGAAAAAAAAACCTCGGAAAATCTATATTTATATCTTGTTAGTGGCCCGGCACATTCCTTAGTGGGAGGATCCCCCTAAATAGGGTACCCTGGAAAGGTTCGATAGACGTTCCACGCTTCTGCAGTCACTATTCTAGCTAGTTTATGCGATACCCCTGGGAAGACTTGGTATCGCCGCTTATATCTACAACCGTAGGTACTATTGGTCTCTCGGGGGATTCCGAAATTCTATCAGGGGCTTGTTCGATCTGCGATCTGGTTAGGTTCGACGGAGTCTGTATACATATCAACATGTCGATGTCGGAAGCTAAAATGAAGGTCCTTGCTTTGTATTATCTCCTATCCCACTGTTGAGGTCTATAGCCGCGGTTGGTGTGGATCAGTTAGCATACATAAGAGATGCAGTCCGGTTCGTGTATGTGATACTATGTGTCGACGTCAATCACCCCTATATTAGCCTTCGATAAGAGATAGGGGGAAACCCAAACAACAAAGTGATTCATCGCCGTTGAGTCCGACTATAGTAAGGAGTATGCAGAGTCCTTCATAGGCCTAGACACAGGATCGATGCTCACTGGAAGTTAAGAGACGTCTGTAGTACGTGTACGGAGTATGGAGTAGCAACATATCAGACCAAGCGCTCACCATTTCCGTATTCGTTTGTTGTTCATCTCTCTGAATCTCATACCCAACTCAATCCCAGGCTACCACTCACCTCAAATGCTGTCCCCAATAGCAATGAAAGAACGCAAGATCAAACCAACTTCACCAATGAGCGCCCGAAGATACTTGTTGGGTACTTCATTGAGATGCGTCCTTACCGCGGACGGGTAGGTCACGGTGAGGTCACTCCGACCCGTTCAAAAAAAAAAAAAAAAAAAAAAAAAAAAAAAGAGCTGCTGAATCATTCAAAGAGTTCTCCAGACGGGAACCTTGAACTTGAACTTCGTGCTTAATGATCTCCTCTCTGTTCCAATTCAATTTCTTGCCTACTCGTTATCCCTTGAGAGCGTGAACTTCCCAAGTCCCGCGTCCCCACCATTCCACTTCCTTCCGCTCGATCGCGTCTTAGCCTCCTGCAAACTCTTGAAATTGCGCGTAAAGCTGGTATCTCAGACCCAACTCCTGGAACCCGACTCTCCCTTTCTTCTGATCTCTGGATCCTTTTCTCTTTATCTCTGGTTGATATCCGTACCCCTGTATAAACCTCTTCATCTCGATTTGCTCAATTCTGCCGTGCCGGGACCTTTACGGTCGCATGTGTTCGCAGTAGCCGAAACACCACAGTCAAGGATGCTGCCTTCTGATCGCGCCACGGTTTCTGGCGTGTAGCCAACCTCTCACCATGTCACGCGCCTCGGCTGGCTTTGCAGACTTCTTCCCGACCGCCCCGTCGGTCCTTCAGCAGAAGCGCTTCAAGACCGCGCAGGAACGACGAGGGAAACTACATGTCGAGGATCAAATTTCTGAACCTCCGAAACTTTCAACGTCAACTACTTTGAGCGCATCCGCGACCGTCGAGACGTCTCTCAAATCCGATACGGGTGAAGAGGGATCTCGCACTCCGGTCCCCAACGAGCTGGAATTGAATATCTCCGCCAAGGCGAAAAATGCGGAGGAGACGACCGGGCTACCTCTACCTACCAAAGCAACTCCCGTCCCATCACAAATTGATACACTGACGCCGCTCACGAATGCGGAGTCCTCCCCCCTGCAAAGCGACTAGTCCATCACAGTCAAAAACAGCAGGTGAAGGTTCCCCGGATATTTCTTCCAGGCCGAATCTTGAAATAACTAAACCCTCCATCACCCCGATCCACACACCTCCGACCCCCCAGTCACAAACCCAACATGTCGAACTTCGCGTGACAGGCTGCAAGGTTGTGTATGATCCCGATCTGGACAAGCGGGCCTCGTCGAAGGAGAAGCGGAAAAAGCTCGAGTATGCGGACATCATGGACAACGGCCAATCTGACGCTCCGCCTGATCCCCGTCGTGCGATTGCCAATTACACCCGTGGGTCCGGCTGCAAGCAGAAGACGAAGTACCGACCCGCGCCTTATAATTTGAAGCCATGGTCATACGATGTGGCAACTAGCATTGGCCCCGGCCCTCCGATCCAGGTTGTGGTTACGGGTTTTGACCCTTTGACCCCGATCGCCCCGATCAGCGCGCTGTTTTCAAGCTTTGGAGAGGTGGCCGAAATCAAAAATCGCACAGACCCCATCACTGGCCGATTTCTGGGGATTTGCTCCATCAAATACAAAGATAGCACCTCCGCCCGCGGAAATGGTCCAGCTTCGGCATCCAGCGCTGCCCGACGTGCATACTTCGAATGCAAGAAAGAACAACGCATTGGTACACGGCGGATCAGGGTCGAGTTGGATCGCGATGGTATTGTCTCGGACCGAATGACCGCGAAAGCAGTGGAGTCACAACGACTGGCTTCCAAGAATAACCTCCCGTCCGCAATTGAGCCCAGACCGGAATCCCAGATCAAGAAAAGCGAACCGCCACCGACTGCGCCCAAAGGCCCTTCAGGCAGGTCATCCCTACGACCGGGGATTGTTATCCCAGAAGGACCAAGGGCCGGTGTCCGATCTCCTGCTGTACAATCATTGGTCGAGGAAATTGCTATTTTGAGCCAGATCAAACGCGATCCATATATATTCATTGCGCATTGCTACGTTCCAGTCCTCAGCACAACGGTTCCACACTTGATGAAGAGGCTTAGACTATTTGGGTACAAGCAAATTCGTTGTGATAAAACCGGCTACTACATCATTTTTGAGAATTCGCGCCGGGGCGAGGAGGAAACCGAACGATGCCATCGACTATGCCACATGCAGCCCTTGTTTACCTATATCATGAACATGGAAAGTCAACCTTACGGAAATCCCAATTACGAGCGAAGCCCGAGCCCCGAACGCCTCCGCACCGAACGACGAGACAAGGCCGAGAAGGATCGAACAAGGAGGGAGGCTGAATTGGACATTGAAGAAGAAAAGAAACAGCGGGCACTCGACTTGGATCCTTGCCGGGAGGTATTGTCAATCATCATTCGTGACCTGAGAGACAAGCTTCTCGAGGATGTGAAATCGCGCATAGCCGCTCCGGCTTTATATGACTATTTGGAACCAAGTAAACATGCTGCCAAAAGGGAAAAGCTGGGTATTTCGGACCCGGAAGGTACCAAACAATCTGTTTTCCGAATTGATAGCACCCCTGGTTCTCGGGGTGAGTTGTCTGCTGGGCGGGACCCTCTCAGATCATCGGGTCTGAATGTTCTCGCTCTTCCTCGTATCCGGAAAGCCCATGGTCTTGACCGTGCAGGTGCTGCCTTCCTAGATGAACGGCGCAGGCAACCATTACGGAAGAAAGAAGTTCGACCCTTGTATCATCGCTTGCAACAGTTGCATGATGATGAAGATTCGGATGATGAGCAGCGCACCCCAGCCGCTAGAGATACCGATGAGCAAGAGAGCCGACCGCTTAGTCGCGCGAGTTCAACGTCATCTGAGTCTGAACAGGATGGCGGATACCAGTCTGACGATTTGGAATCATCCCAAGAAAATGAAGAACGTGATGCTCAAGCCGTCGACTACCCAGATGCCACGAACGAGACAGGGCATATATCCAACGACCTAGAAGTCTCCCCCAAATTGAGCAAGAGAAAGCGCCTGGCCGAAGAAACTGAAGCGCGCAAGCGGCAGCGACAGGAGGATGAGCTATTTGGCAATGATTCGGAAGTTACCGGGGATGAGCATGCAACCAAGGAGCTCGAAACACCCACGGCTATTGGCGATGAGATCGCAGAAGATGACCACAAACTATCAACGCACGATCAGCCCACAGACGAATTATCCGAACATGTCTTGCACGAACACGCCGAGCCTGATGACCATGTGGCCAGCGAAGACTTGAAAGCCGAGCCTCTCGATGAGCCAAGAACAGAAATTGACTGGGGCGTATCTAAAGATGAGCCTCGCGCAACGGTTCAAGACGACGAGAATATCGTTCTTGATTTGGATGGTTGGCAGCACCTGGTCAAGGATGACGAAGATTTGCGGTTCTTGCGGGAAATTCTACTGGATCAAGCAGAATCTAAAATTGGAAATCTTGCTGCATGGGGTTGGAAACAGAAGGAAATCAAAGCCCTCAATGGCCTGGAAAACGGCACAACAAAGGACGCTCTTAGTATTCCTGGCTACTATGTTCCAAATATGACAGGAGCTGCGCGGACGGAAGGTCGCAAAAGGATCATGGAAGCAGAGAAGTCCAAGTACCTGCCCCATCGGATTAAAGTCCAGAAAGCCCGCGAGGAGCGTGAAGCGAATGCCAAGGCAGACCCCCAGGCAGCAGCAGCAGAAGCCGCCAGGATCGCAGCTGCCAAAACCATATCCAAATCGACATCCCGATCAACGCGAGTCAACAACCGCCGCCTCATTGCAGATATCAATGCACAAAAGCAGGCGCTCCCCACCGCAAGCGGCGAAGGAGATGTTCTTCGATTCAATCAGCTCAAGAAGCGCAAGAAGCCTGTGCGCTTTGCTCGCTCTGCTATTCACAATTGGGGCTTATATGCCGAGGAGAACATCACCGCCAATGATATGATCATCGAGTATGTCGGCGAGAAAGTGCGTCAACAGGTCGCCGACATGAGAGAAAGACGATACTTGAAGAGCGGTATCGGCAGTAGCTATCTGTTCCGAATTGATGAGAACACCGTGATCGATGCCACAAAGAGAGGAGGAATCGCGCGGTTCATCAACCACAGCTGTACACCCAATTGCACTGCCAAGATCATCAAGGTCGATGGTAGCAAACGTATTGTCATTTATGCGCTCAGGGATATCGAGAGAGGTTCGTGGACTATACTTCCTTTCTGAAGAAATCACAAATGCTAACAAAAGTCCACCAGATGAGGAACTGACGTACGACTACAAATTCGAACGAGAGTGGGACAGCGATGACCGAATTCCTTGCCTCTGTGGTTCCACAGGATGTAAGGGATTCCTCAATTAAAACCGCTGCCGACATCTACCTAGCAAAGTCTTTGGGAGGTATCCTGACTCCCCATCTACCGGCGTTGAATCGGACTGGCGTTTTCAGGGTGGGAGCATTGAGGCCTGTATCAATGGCAATCGTGATTTCATAAACTACAACTCTCTTGTACAATATACCAATTCCAAAAGAATTTCGCCTGTTTTCTCTTTTTGAACCATGGCCCTTGTGCAGAATCCTCGTAGAAAGCAATGTAGGAGCGTAGATCTGTCAAATCCTAGGAGAACTTGACTCGGATATCTGATACCCTTGATGCCAGACACTGCACGGGGTTCTTTTTCGAAGGGCAGGAAAGGGTGGGAAGACTTGGTTCTCGACGGTTCCTAGCCCGGTGTGGGGGGTATCGATTTGCGCAACAATTTGGGTGAAAAGCGTGTGGGGTTGGTTATTCAGACTGGAAAGCACATTAGCAAACCCAACAGAGAACCCTAGCAGGGAAAAAACACAGCATGTCTTACCAAGGTGGCTAGGAAGCAGGAAGTTCGCAATTCCTTCCTTGATAGTGTATTGATGACCGCAGTTCCCACAGACCAATTTCCCTTCCGTGACTTGCGTCTCGAGCAGCAGTCTGTGCAAGTCCTTCAATGTCTGCTCATTCTCGAGCGCCTCACCCTCGGGTTTCGCTTCAGGAAGACTGGGGAATCCAAGCTATAAGAAGATTTTCTCTGTCAGCTTGGTTTGTACTCGGCGATCGAGTCCGTTGGGGGGCTATCGTACCTCGTTGGCGGTGGCCCGGAGGGCTGGCCAGTCGATGCGGGGAAGGATGTTGCGGATGAACTCAGGCTGCAGATCCAGCTCCTGTTGCTCTAGCTCGGCATCTTGGAAATGTAATGGGAATGAGGCTGGGGATGTCTTGCATTCCTTCACGGCGCATGTCACGAAGTTGGCGGTGATCACTTTCATTGCGGGGAGTGGGTTCGGGGACTTTGGGGTGGATTGGTCGATGCGGAAATCTTGGGGGTATTCGTTTGAGTATATGTGGGATCGATTGAGTCTAGATAGAATAGTAATTTAAAGAGTATTGGAATAACGTCGGGCCCCTCCGTGGAAGAAAAAATAGAGCCCCACGGCTTATCAGATATCATGTGATCGATATGGATATCCGGTGGATTTACTTGCAAATGTATGGGGCTCATTATTTTATTTAATTATCTGGGGATTGATTCTGAATGCTTTGATTAGCTTTGATTAGCTACTGTTCATTTGAGTAAATATGCTTCGGTGAATTATTTGATCTGGACATCCACCAGGTCTAAATCGTCAATATCATAGTGGCCAAGACTTTCATCGGGGTCAAGTTTGTCTCCATCAAACTCGAGGATGATCTCACGGTCCGCAGGAATATTCTGTTTGTTTCGAAACGCAGAGATGAGTCGCGAAATCTGAGTCTTCTGCCTTGCCTTTATCTTGAAGTCATCCAGTCCAGGGCTCCGGAGAACAAGCTTCATTGGCTCACCCTGATCATCTTCTGGTGGTGGTTGTGATTCTGCAGGATGCTGTTCATTATTAGGCGAAGCAGCTTGGCGATTGAGAAGAGCAGGCGCATCGGAAACTGCTTCCATATGTATGCGCAGCTCTTTCTGCTCTGCCGAATCATCGTCGATGTCAAGGATCGACGACGAATTTTCCCTGGCCTTTATACCTAGACTTCTGCAGGTTGTCACGTCGAATAGACGTCTGCCCTTCCAGGTCAGATGGACCGATGGATGTAACTCTGACTCAAAATCTTGGCGTTTGCACCATGCCAACCGCACTTCCCTTAGACTTTGTGACATTTTTCGATGGACGAGTAAAGGTTTGGTGTTCGGAATTTCAGATGAGATTATGATTTGGACGACCGGATCATTCACTGGAATTGTCGGTGATTGAACAGGTCGAGGGCTTCGAGTTGCCGGTTTATCTGCCTGAAGGGCCGATAGTCGAACAGGCGGAGGACGTAGTACTTCCGGAGACTTGATTTCTTGTGGTATCACAGATGGGCGACTTTCTGATGCACGTCGTTGGATGGTCTTATGTTGACTGACTGGCCCGTGTGAGACATCGTACGATGGACTCGGGAGCTTTGGCGGCACTGCTGGCGCAAGTTTTTCCCTCTCATTCCCATTGATTGTATCCCGCACAGGGCTAGTATCCTTGTGATGATGCTCATTCTCCTCGGAAAGGCGAGGTCGCTTCTTTGGTTCTGTATCTTCTTTATCTTCTGCATCTTCTGTATCTTCTGTGTCTTCTGTTTCTTCTGTGTCTTCTGCATCTTCTGGGGTTGTCGGTGCTTTTGGCTTCTGGTGCGCTTCTCGGGTTGCAGCAACGATATCAGAGTATGTTTGTTCTGAGCGCCGATAAAATTCAGTGCCAGTTTTCGAAGTATCTTTGACTGCCCATGAGGGTCTCTTGAAAAAAGAGCTCATTTTCACACTCGGGGCTGAGGTTGATCAAGTCATAAAAGAATGCAAGTATGATGGTTGAATGGATTTTGAATGTGACTTTCGTCGGTGCTCCTGAGCATAATCAGCGATGGTTAGTGAGAAATTAAAAGAACGACAATAGCGTCTTGGTATCAAACAAACAAACATTCTGTGAGCAAACGAATGATATATTTCGTGACTTCGAACATTGGACCAAGTCCACCACACTCACCGCCTACTATAAACGAACTAGCGCGTTTCTGGCCCTCAGAACGCGACTTATCCTCTAGAACTTTCACATATAACTTCCCTGGGACTGTAGCTTCAAATTCCCTCGAAGTTTCAATTTGTCCCAATATCTCCATATCTTGAGATTCTTTGCAATTGAACACACAGCCTTTGAAGTCGTCGTATCTTAGGACCGGCAATACCATAATGGATAAGCACCTGATAACAGGCCCACTGGCCCACCACTCTCACCGCCTTCCCGATCTCCCACTTGGGAATGCTTCATCCGTCAACCTTCCACAGAACATCTCTGAACCTGGTATGTCTCCGTACTTCTACTTCAATTGTGCTCTAGCTGATATGCGATAAGCTCCAGACGTCGATATGGAGAACGGCCCATCTTCCGAAGGGAAGGACCCCTCGGTCTTTTTGAGTGAGATCATCGGTGCACCCGTGATCGTGAAGCTGAACTCTGGAGTGGTCTACAAGGGTATAGGTCTCGCGTCTTATTTCCAGTGGAATCGCTATTGACTCTTCATAGGCGAACTTCAATCCGTTGATGGCTACATGAACATTGCCCTCGAAAAGACAGAGGAATTCGTCAACGGAAAACTGCGACGAAACTATGGCGATGCGTTCATCCGTGGAAACAATGGTGCGTCAATCCTATCTTTTGAATCGAGGTGGCGCGACAGCTTTCTGACTCGAGATATAGTGCTGTACATCTCCGCCAATTAAGTCGAAAACATACCCCGTACCGTCGATTGGGCCTATCTATGACATCTTGAAGGCGATTGCGAAAGATGAACTTTGAGGACCACCGCCATAATCTCGAGCATCATGGGGGGAAATCCTAGCATACAAATCTAGGTGGTGATTGGCTAGCCCTGCTCATGATGCAGTTGATGATGTGATGATACTTCCGAGCCTGTGGGTATAGAGATTATGTACCCGGCAGTGTTCACCCATTCCATTACTTTTTTCAAAAAAACCTTTTTGTGTTCTTCCCCAGAGCTTCTATTGGGGCTTGTAGCCATCTAGTTCACCATTTCCACGGTCATCGGCCATGCGACTCGATCACGTTTTCTAGTGATGCAGTGATGTGCCATTGGAATCACGTTTCAAAGCGACGCCATGTGTCCTTGCATAGCAAGATCATTCTCCTCTATGGCTATCTTCGTCATGTTGGAGGAATCCACTGGGATTTGGGTTATCATGTATCTACATTGTACATGCAGGTACGTGATTGCACTAGGGCTCAAAAGCGAGGTACATCATCCAGAACAACCTTTACGGGACATATCCAAATTTTCAGATAGGCTCCCAAAGTTAGCCATTCGTTGACGACCACGATTTGCGTTCTTATATTCAGGCCATATAAGTGCAGCCCTCTACAACATAGAGCCCTGGTCAACCCCGCCCGATAGGCACTGATTAGATAAGCCATTTCAGGGCCGCGGGGAATAAGGTTCTTCTGAAAGTTTGCCTCTTATAGGGCTTCAAAACTTTTGGACCACCACCTACAAAGATGTTGCAGGCAATCAAATACTCCAAGGGCAACCTTGAGATTCTGGACCAATTACAACTCCCGTTCGTCGAAACGTACATTCCCATTCGAACTACCGAAGATGCATGGCACGCTATCAAAGATATGAAAGTCCGAGGGGCACCTGCTATTGCTATCGTAGCAATGCTTGCCCTCGCCTCGGAACTCACCTCTGCTATGGAGAGTGGCAATCTCCCACAATCCTCGGAATCAGCCTGCCAATACATTTCAGACAAGCTTGCCTATCTCGTGACGAGCAGGCCCACTGCCGTCAACCTTGCTGATGCTGCGCGCAAGCTGGAGGCCGTAGTGACCAATCGTACCCAAGCGCCGGGATCTCAAGGTCCGGAGGTTGCGGCCGCATTCATTCAGGCGGCAGAGGATATGATGGGAAGCGATTTGCAGGATAACCAGAGGATTGGACACCATGGCGCGGAATGGATCGCTACCCATGCGGCCAAGCCAGGGAAATCGGAGGTTGCTGTGTTGACACACTGCAATACTGGGTAGGCCCGACTCACTGCTTTGTCCGTAATCAGCTGTTTGGTTTAACTAATACTGAATCACTAGTTCTCTCGCCACTTCTGGATATGGCACAGCATTGGGAGTCGTTCGTTCGTTGGCCTCGAAGAACATCCTACGTCACGCTTATTGCACAGAGACTCGTCCCTATAACCAGGGATCTCGTCTTACAGCTTTCGAATTGGTTCATGACAAAATTCCAGCTACACTCATCACGGATTCTATGGCAGCCGCATTGCTCGCAGATAAGAATGTGGGCGTGAATGCAATTGTGGTGGGGGCTGATAGAGTAGCAGCCAACGGTGACACCGCCAACAAAATCGGCACATATGCGCTGGCTGTCTTGGCAAAGTACCATGGCGTCAAGTTCCTCGTCGCAGCGCCACGCACAACCATCGATATGGCCACAAAATCTGGGGAGGACATCATCATTGAACAACGTGCAGCATCCGAGGTGACCACCATCAAAGGTCCCCGCGGGGGTCCTGAGGCCACCGACAAGGTTGAAATTGAGACCGTCAAAATTGCCGCGCCGGGGATCAATGTCTGGAACCCAGCATTTGATGTTACTCCTGCGAGCCTGATTGATGGTATTGTCACAGAGGTCGGAGTTGTAGAGAAGGGCGCTGACGGCCAGTATCACTTGGGTGGACTATTTGACGACTCCACCCGTTGATTCTGATCTTTAGCGGATTGACTCGAATTAGTCCCATTTGCAGTTGAATCTTCTGCTGCAACAGTGCTCTGATCTTCAAATGCTGCTAGAAGTTCATCAACTTTGCCTTCGATTGCATTGAGATTCTTTTCCAGGGTCAACGCAGTCATCTCACCCCTAAATGCCTGATGTTAAATAATGAATCTATACATATCAGTTCCAAATAAGGCCACGTACTTTGCGAGATCTGCGAGTGCCTATGTAACGAGTCAGCTATCTTCCTTCATAGTAGTTCGGCTTATGTCTGTGTATAGAGCGGGGCATAGACGAACAGTGCCTCGCAGGCTAGTCCAGGGAAATTCATGACGTAAAATTAAAGGTACTCACTTGAGAAAGATCGAAGTCTGGAGTCGGTCGGGACATAATGCGCACTTGGCCAATGAATATGCTGTACCTAGGAAGTAGGAGACTTGTAGAAGTAGACAAGAAGTTGTGCTTCAGATGCAGGTGGGCCGTGCGCGTTAGTCAGCAACCCGCGCCCCCGGGCGAGATAGATTTCCCCGATAAGAAAAAAAATCGCCCTTCTTCACCAACCATCATCATTCACCTCTTGGCATCATGGGTGTTCAGAAAAAGACTCGCAAGTTTGCGCTGGCTAAGCGAGCTATCTCCATGCGGGATAACCGCCTGTTCGTCACAATTCCCCTCCAGGATCTCAACATGAATCGCTAACAGCGGTAACAGGAAGCAAAATCAAGACAAGAAAGAAGACAAAGGCAAAGAGGCCAAGGATGACCTCGTCAGAGAGGCTCCTCAGGCTCCTTCGTCCATGTTCTTCCAGTATAACACTGCGCTTGCTCCCCCATACTCTGTACTCGTCGATACCAATTTTATCTCCCACACCATTCAGCACAAACTCGAGGTGATTCCAACCATGCTCGACTGTCTGTACGCCAAATGTATCCCCATTGTCACCGACTGCGTACTTGCCGAGTTGGAGAAGCTTGGCCCGAAATACCGACTTGCCCTGCGTGTTGCCAAAGACCCTCGGTTCGAGCGAGTCAAGTGTGACCACAAGGGTACATATGCCGATGACTGCCTGGTAGACCGTGTCATCAAGCACCGCGTTTACATTATCGCGACAAACGATCGTGATCTCAAGAGACGTATCCGGTATGTAAACGCTCTCGAATCAATTACTATCAAACGAGCCATTTCCTAATTACTATAACAGCAAAATTCCTGGAGCACCCATCATGAGTGTCGCTCGTGGAAAATATGTCATCGAACGACTCCCTGATGCCCCCGAAAAATGAGGGACATTTTTTCACGATTTATTGTTGCATAATACCCGCCAGTCGTCTGTCACCACTGCGATTATACACATGACACGAAGATTGGCACCCACATATGTATTCGTTTCCCTCTTTGGCAAAAGTTGTAAAACACCACCGCAAACATTCTTCGCCTCCAACGAAGCGGCCACAGCATGCAATATCAAGTTACGTTGTCAATCAGCGGTATTGGACCAAAGAGATCGGCTGCATTCAGACGCTGCAACATCGCTCCTACAAGGCTGGCTCTAATGCACTGTGTCAACACCTGAAGAACTTGGGGCGCTTGAAGAACAATACTATCTCATGTTGTCTTCTGGGTCTATGGTAATTGCTGATGCAAATGACCTTGTATTTCAGAAAAAGCATGGATGTTAAGATATATTGTTGACTATAGTCATTGAACCACGGGCTTGTTGGCTATGCACGCTCTAGTTTGTGAAGCAAATTGGCTCGCAGTGTGTATTATATTTGTTAACCATATGTTTCTAACAATTGACGAATTGCACGCCGGACAAAATGAGTATCAGCAAAGCTCTGAGCCATTCGCTGTCGCGACATCATTATGTGTAGAGGAGGTAAACTCGCGAGAAGTGATATCAAATCACCCGTCTCATCACCAAGGGCTGCGATATCAACCAGCTGCTTCAGTATCCGTAGAGAGTACAGTGCAGCTTGTATTTGAGCAAGAAAGTGAATGTCTGTCCATTTAGTGCTTTGCAGCATATATCCTTTAGTAAGGAAGTTCTCCAACTGCTTCCCACTTGGAAGTGTGGTTGTGTTGGCTCCATCAAGGTAGATCTCAGAAATAACGAACAAAAACCAGAAGGTCTCTGCGGGCAGACCATTGCCAAAAGTATTTTGTGCTAGGGCAATGCGTTTTTGGAGCAGATCTAGGTCAGAGTTCGTGGTCTTGGTTCCGCTTAAAGTGATCTCTTCGGCCACGATCCTTCCACCTCTGCGAACAAATTCATGCACAATCTCGAACCGGTTGGCAGCAGGCCGAGAATTGTTGAAAAGGGAGTATCCAAGGCTCCTATATGTTCGACCTTGTTCCCAGGCACATCGCCTGGAAGAGTCTTCATTGAGAACTCCAAGGTAGACATGTGCTTGTTCACCCGAGCGGTAGATATCAGGAAGTTCATATTGCCAGAATAACTCTGACACCCTAGGATCCAAGGGTGGTGCTGACTGGCCTGCTGCACGTATCATCTTGTCATCTGAGGTCTCATGGTCATATTCTCGAAGAAATTCTTGATATTCAGGCGAGAGCTCAGTTCTTGCACTACCCTCCTTAGATTTCCGAGCAAGTTCAGCAAAACCCAAATGAACGTTATTCGATAATTCGTACGCAAACCACTGTACGTTTGCGACTCCCGCTCGGTGAGAGAGCGCATGGGGACAGATTCTTTGTCCCCTAATATCGGGCTCGGCGGGGTTCCAGATACCCGAGGAGGATTGCACAGACTCTAAAAACAAGACTGCACCATGTGAACCAAGGTCATGAAGCAGGAGGTCTGAATCACTTGTCAACACTGCACAACCGGTCAGTCTTGCGACACGGGCGCACTCGACGTCTGCTTCTCCCGGCACCATGACGGTGATTTCCGCCCAGGGATATTCGATATCAGTGACAAAGCAACTGATATCATCGTCGACCTCTTTCTTAATTTGTTCCTTGTTCCATCGGTGGCGCAAATCCTCAAAGACCGCCGATACCATGAAGGGACTCTCTGGAAGGCCTCTTCGTCGACGAGGCATGACTCGACTGCACCAGACCTGTCCTGGCGTAGCCGGGATCACATCGCGGCATTTGGGTGTTGCAGGAAGAGGGAGGTTTCGGCGAGCGACTTCCAATCGTTGTCGCAACTTCTCAATCCGGCCAAAGCGAGTTTCTCGCTTGGAGACGGGCAACGCACCATCAAAGCAGATCTTATGTCTGGAGAACAGAGAGAAGAAGAAAGACATCAGAAGATAGCAGTGTTTCGCAACTAGTGTGAGGGCTTACATTTCAACTCCTAGTCTGGTTAATTGGAGAAGATAGCTGCTCACGCCACGACTGATCTCGTCGCAGGTCGGCTGGTAGTCAAGCGCATCGCTGTCTGGGTTCATCCAGCCCAGGAGTCGGCGGTGGACATGGTATACTAGACTAGGCCCGTCAATGACAACGCCTTGAATATGGGGAAGTCCCTCAATTGCGCTCCCGCCCAGCAAGACAGTTTCGGCATATGGAAGCAAGTGTTTTGTCAAGTGAGGGATTCCCATAGCCAATGCGCGCGAGAAACCTGTTGTTGTCCAGTAGTGAGTTTAGTTCTGGGGATGCTTTTTCCCCGATTTAATTTTTGTATTAGTCAGGCATTCGAGGCCCCGGAGTTTTCGGACTTTATACACAACTGTTTGTACGGAGTACGGTGATTGCTGATGAAGTATTGAACGAGAATAAAATGACCAAGATACTAAAGAAATGCTATGAAATGCAGATGAACTGCCCACAACCCTTTTGAATAAGAAATCATCGCATAGACTGATTCGACGTAACAAGCATGAGATAACAAAGAAAAGTAACAATATAGACACTGGCGCCATTCATGATAATTATCAAGTATCTATCCAATTCAGACTACCGAGCGGATCGCAAGAATCCAACCACTCCGCGGCAGTAGCCTACCAGCTCAGCTAGGCGCTTTCCTTCCTGTTGTTGCTCATGGGCCCAAGTTGCGAGAGCCGCTTGCAAGAGGCGGTGCTCAGGCTCATCATGATGAGAGCTGAGAGCGATGGTGTCGGCGTGGATCTTCAAGAAGACCGCCATCCAAGCATTGACAAGCTCGAAGTCTCTCTTGGACTTCAAACGAGCAGTCAAAGCAATAACGAAATCGGACAACTCGGCATGCCCATCACGTACCCGAGGATCCAGTGAACGGATCTCAAGATCGGCTTTGGCTGGAGACAAAGTCTTGAGATGATCGACGAATGAAGTGAAGTCGCCGGTCTGATGGCCGGATACCAATGACCGGGTGAACACAGATTGGGCACCGGGGTTTCCACCGGCCTGCAACTTGGCGATCCGCAATCTCTCGGCCTCGGCGGTTTTAGCCAGCAAACTCACATCGGTAGCATCGTCCCCAGAGGTTTTGCTGGTAGACTCGGGCCCACTGGAGTTGAGGAGAGAGGGCAAGAAGAATGGAGCCTTCTCGGGTGCCTTGGGAGCTTCCTTCGGACGATTACGTTCCTGTTAAATTTGTTAGTCAACGACTCCTGTGGATTATGCGCAGAACAGTAGAAAGTACATACCCGAATAGAGTCTAAGTGGACCAATGCCTGCCATCTGCTCTTGGGAACAAGACTGAGAGTCATCATGTCATGTTGTAGTTGTTCTGTTGCCAGTACGGGGCCTTCTGCTTCATCTTCTTCGGTTTGATCCACAAAGGCTGCTTCAATAAGGCCAGCACCGCCTTCTCCTGATGTTGCGGGGAGCCCAACATTCTCAATAACGCTCTCATCTAGGTTCTTGGTCGATATAGGCATGAACAGGCTGCGGTTGCTCCAGAGGCTGACACCAATGCCGCCGGCGTGTGCGGTGGCGAGGAATTCGCCTGTTGAGGACATAGCCAGAGCGACACAAGTGCTCGAAACGCGGAAGATGTCAATCAGGTGCCCGGTGGGCAAATCCCACACGCGTACTACCGAGTCCATTGAGGCTGCGACGATCCACCGCCCATCATTTGAGAAGATGAAGTCGTTGACTTGACCCACACATCCCCAGAACTCACGAACAAGCTTGCGGGTCTCAAGGTCAATCACGCGGATTGAGAGGTCGTCACAGCTGAAAGCGACTAACTCGCTCGCCTTGTTATAGCGAAGCCCAGTAATGGCAGCCATTGGATTCCAGTCAAGTTCATCGAGGAATTTTCCGGAGAGAAGATCCCAAAACTGAATGTCAAAAGAGGTTAATCTGTGAATCTCTTAGAGGAATAAAGAATCATGGAACTCACCTTGACTTTACCATCCAGACTACAGCTGACAACAGTACGGTTCAGGCTGTCAACCATCAGGCCTGTCACAGCTTTGGTATGTTTGGAAGCAGCAGCGACTGAGGCCGAGACAGTGGATTTGGCGCCGCGGAAAGTTGGGGGACGAGCTGGGAAACTTTGTCGGTGTTGACCTGACTGCATGTTGAACATGTCAATAGAACCTCCGGCTGATCCTATGACAGCGAAAGTTCCACAGTGGGAGACGGCAACACTCTGTGGATAAATTGATTAGCAAAAGAGGTTATCCATGTTCAGGGAACCCACGTACCTTGACTTCTGTTCCGTCACTGGTTGCAAATGCCCATCGGCCTGCCTTCTTTTTACCCCAGAACCAAGTACGCGCGAACTTGTCGCCCCGGTGACCAGTGACCACGCTTTCCCAGCCAGTTGCATTAGAGTCATCCGCATTTGTGGCCTTCGGGTTCGACCAAATTGGGCCAGATGTAGTGATTCCCATTCCGCCATCACGATTGAGACTGCAGGCGATACAAGTGACCTCGGGAGCCTTCAGATCCTCGATTGCCATCGCATCTGAGTTGCTTGAAGGCCCCGCCTTCTTAGCCTTGCTTTCAACGTTACCCTGTGAAATCTCGGTATGTTGGCTATCTTTGCGCAGACTGAGTCCCCAGAGACTGCAGTCCTTGCTTGCACTGAGAAGCCACTTGCCGCCGGACTCAGAGCCATCTGAGGATGTCGGCAGGAAATCAAGAGCGCTGACAGCAGCGGAGTGGCCGTTTCGTCTATGAAGGGGTCGGGGAATGGGCGAGAATGGGGTTGCGTCGAAAATCCACGTCTTCAGAGAATTGTCATCGCCCGACGACACAAGCACCGGCTGTCCATCCAAAAACTCGACGCGGTTAGCGCCCATGGCCTTTTCGCCAGTAGATACGCGGTGAGCTCCACGGAGGATGCCTGCAATGCGGCCTCCGTTGTTCAAGTCCCACATTGTAATATCGCCACTGCCACTCGACGCCGTAGCCATGACACCTGAGCTGCGACCATCGTGACCAGCACCAAGACCATCACTCCGGAAAGTAATAGATGTGACGGGCAGACCCCGGGATGATGCGTTCTTGAGAGACAGAACAAGCTGGCCAGAATTCACGTTCTGGATCGCCAGCGCACCGCCCTTGTAAGCAATAGCAATAAGCGATAGAGCAGGTGTGGGCTGAATCGCAGTCACGGGCCCAGCATCTGACGACAAAGCGGGCAATGTGTGAAGAAGTTTTCCACTGCGAAGGTTCCAAATATCAACCGCTCCATCTGATCGGCCCACGAAGATCTTGTTGAGATAGGTAGGCATATTGCACATGATTCCGGTGTAGATCTGCTCTCCAGAGGAACCCTGAACAGGCTGCGGCCGCAAACTGGCATAGTGCTCGTATGTGCCCGTTTTCCAAACTTCGATGCCCCCGGTCCAGCAACCAACAACCCACGAGCCAAATACCACCAAGCGCTCAATAGGGCCCTTCAGGTCTGCGGGGCTCTCAAGAACTGCAACTCTTTTGGCGCGCTTGAAAACCCAAACCCCGCCGGGAGACTGCGGCCGGAGATGGCCCCAGGCTGCAAATACCTTATCCTGCCACGCACATGTTGCCGTAATGATCTCAGGAGTTTGCGGCCGAGTCAAAAAGATAAGATTCAGGCCCCGGCGCAGATCATATGTCTGGAGCGAGTGTCCCACCGAGGTTGTGATTTGGAAAGTCGATTTACCCAGGCGCACGGATGTGAAAGGAACGGGTGTTGGTGACACCAATCCTAGTGTCTTTGTGGAGATAGGTCAGTTTGAAGAAATAAGAAGCAATTCAGGCCTGCGGCAACTCACACGAAAAGGAGCAAAGATTTTGGAGCCCCGTGTTCCAGCATTAACACCTTGCGATACCCGTTTCTGCCTCTTCGCAAGAGGCAGATCGAAATTGTCGTTGGCCACAGAAGGCATGCTGATATCGAGGAGCACACCGGTATCAATAGTATTATCGGGGGTATAGAGCAATCAGAAGAAACCCATTGGCGTTTCAAGTGAGAACTCGTTTATGACAAGCCAATACCCAAGGTAGTTCCCGATGCTGTTGCTTGTATCTTTTTTTTCCGCTGTTTTTTTCTGCCCCGCCTAACCCTGCAGGCACTAGACCGCCTTTATTGGAAAGGTGTACATTTCCCCGCGGTAGCAGATACTTTTGCTGGAGAAGAACCAATGAAGATATATGCTTCCTATGATCTAATTGAAGTTGGATACTTGAGGTCTCTCTGTAAATTGATTATTTCCCAAATCACAGTCATATTTGTCTTAAGGTTTTGAGTCGAAAGCTATGACGAAATCATTGTTCTCGAGGTTGCTTATAATGTATTGAATACCTTTGGAGCAAGTATCGGGTGAGATGGGCACTTGTACGTCAAAGGTCTACTGTTCGTATAAAATGTTACGAGGTAGCCCAATGAAATGAATATACAATTAGCATAGCATTCAGCCTGACAATCAGATCACAATGAGCGAAAGTACACATTTGGACAGCGAAAAGGCCATTTCTTCTCCGCCTATGCAAATGCGGAAGACCCCATTATTTGGTAATACTACAGAGCTCCCCCGGTTTCCAGCTTCTTTCTCGGAACAACTCGAATTTCATATCCTATCCCGGTAAACCAGATGCTTCATCTCGTTTTGAGATAGCAACTGCCCAGAACAATCTTGCTCATATGGATGCCCTTGAGCACAGCAACGGCACTTCTGCCGCTGAATCCATGAGGCCTACAAAGCCCAACCTCTCGTCCCCTCCTGATCTGGACTTCGAAGACAACGATCAGACCCCCACGGGACTCGTTCCCGAACCCACCTCCGAACCCGCATTGGTCAAGCCTGTCCAACATGGAAAGTCGATCCAATCAGGAAAGGCCGATTCGGGATCCGACCCTCACTCCGTCGGTCGAATACTAGGACAATCTACACGCTCCTCGAGCCGCACACCTAGAAGGTTCAGCGGAAGCACGGCTGCCAGTACTGCTGCAAGCTCTATCAGCGAACTGGAATCGAGCTCCCTAAAGCCATGGAGAATCGGAGTCTGTGCCTTGGATGTGAAGGCACGCAGCAAGCCGAGCCAGAATATCTTGACTCGGCTCCAATCGAAAGGCGAATTCGAGGTGATTGTCTTTGGAGATAAAGTTATTCTCGACGAAGCAGTCGAGAATTGGCCCGTGTGTGACTTCCTGGTAGCTTTCTTCTCTGATGGGTTTCCCTTGGACAAAGCCATTGCGTATGCTAAACTTCGGAAACCACTCTGTGTTAACGACCTGCCTATGCAAAAGGTCTTATGGGATCGCCGACTTTGTCTCAGAATCCTAGATCATATGGGCGTTCCTACCCCGAAGCGGCTGGAAGTCAATCGTGACGGTGGTCCAGTTCTAGAATCATCGGAACTGGGCCAACATATCTATCGATTGACTGGTGTGAAGCTTGAAGGCCCAGAAAGCGGAATTGGTGGCGGAGCCCCTCGGACCCAGAGTGTCACGATGTCCGAGGACGGTGAGGCCTTGATTGTTGATGGCAAAGTGTTCAAAAAGCCCTTTGTCGAGAAGCCGGTCAACGGCGAGGACCACAACATCCACATCTATTTCCCCAACGACCAACAGTACGGCGGCGGTGGAAGAAGACTATTCCGCAAGGTTGGCAATAAAAGCTCGGAGTATGATCCCAATCTCACCGTGCCAAGATCCGTCACGGAGAAGGATACAAGTTACCTCTACGAACAGTTCCTCCGGGTCGACAATGCTGAAGATGTCAAAGCCTATACGGTGGGGCCAGACTTCTGTCACGCAGAAACCCGCAAATCTCCCGTGGTAGATGGTCTTGTTCGGCGCAATACCCACGGAAAAGAAATACGATACATCACGAAACTTAGCAAGGAAGAAGCGATAATCGCGTCAAAAATCTCAAACGGATTTGGTCAAAGAATTTGTGGATTTGACATGCTTCGCGTTGGAGACAAAAGCTATGTTATCGATGTCAACGGTTGGAGCTTCGTCAAGGACAACAACGACTATTACGATAAGTGCGCCAACATTCTCAGGGAAATTTTCTTGGCAGAGAGACGCAAATTCGAAGGAACATCTGAACCATCTGAGCCGCCATCGCCGGAAATGGGCCCCTCCAGAAGAAGCACTGCGGGATCTCATCGTCACTCTCTGAAGTCCCTATTGAAGTCCCCCAGTGCTTCCAGGCTTTATGGCCAGAACCAGAAGTCTACTGAAACTTCAGAGTCCTGTACTCCATCACTTGCGTCATCTGCGGTAGAAAGTACTGATGTTGGCGCTGCTCTCAGCAAGCTGAATTCTCGGGAAGGCCACTCCCCTTATAATACCTCGAAGCCGAAATCTCCGGCTCTTTCGGTACAGCATGCTAATGACGAAACACTGCCACCCCTCCCTGCTTCCAAACACTCTTGGAAGTTGAAAGGCATGGTGGCGGTGATTCGACACGCAGACCGGACTCCAAAGCAAAAATTCAAATTTACTTTCCATAGTCAGCCCTTCGTGAATCTATTGAAAGGGCATCAGGAGGAGATCGTGATCAAGGGGGAAGCTGCACTGGCCAGCGTTTCCGACGCCGTCAAACAAGCTATGGATAAGGGGCTGGAAGACATGGAAAAGCTCAAGCTGCTCCGCACCTCCCTCGAGAAAAAGGGTGGTTGGCCTGGAACAAAAGTGCAGATCAAGCCAATGTTCCGGAAACGAACCCCAGAAGAAATGAGAGCACAGGGACGAGTTCCAATTTCGTCTCCATTGCCTGAGAACACGCCCAGTGAAGAGCCTCTTTCACCCGTGGCGAGTGAGGGCCTGGCGCCAGACAACGATGAATTGCGGAGGTCACAGACACGAAGTGATTCTATCTCAGATGCAACATTCTCTCGGTTCTCTGCCGCCGAAAATGACTTGATCCTGGATAAATTACAGCTTGTGATCAAATGGGGTGGCGAGCCCACGCATGCCGCACGTTACCAATCCCAGGATCTTGGACTGAATATGCGGGATGATCTCAAGTTGCTGAACAAGGAAGCATTGAATAATGTTCGTCTGTTTACCAGTTCCGAACGTAGAGTGAGCACTAGTGGTGAGTTTTTCTTCCTGCTCAGAATTTTGGTCAGATTAATAACCTTCCTAAAAGCACAAATTTGGGCCTGCTCGTTTTTGGACCAGAAGGACATCCCTGAAGACTTGATACAGGTCCGGAAGGATCTGCTTGACGATTCTAATGCCGCCAAGGATGTCATGGACAAAGTCAAGAAAAAGTTGAAATTACTACTGCGAGAAGGATCTGCACCCTCGCAGTTCGCTTGGCCCAAAGACAGCAACATCCCAGAACCTTCGGTCGTCCTTGCCACGGTGGTTGAACTGATGAAGTTCCATCGGAGCGTCATGCGATACAACTACGAGAGAGTCAACAGCTCGTCATCCGGTTTCCCGACTTCCTCCGATGATTCTGGAGCCGCGAGCCGGCCAACCTCTGGGGATCAGCTTGATATATCTAATATACAGGGCCGCTGGTGTGCTGGCGAAGATCCTCGACTCTTCAAGGAGCGATGGGAAAAGCTCTTTGCGGAGTTCTGTGACACCGAAAAGGTCGACCCGAGCAAGCTTTCCGAGCTCTACGATAGTATGAAATTTGATGCACTACACAACAGACAGTTTTTGGAGTGGGTCTTCATGCCCCCGGACAATGCCCAGGATGGTGAAGAAGATCAAAAAAGCAAGCTCACAACAAAGATGGACGCAAGCGCAGAGGTAAAAGTCGGACCGGAAATCGGGAATGAGAAGGCCGAAGAACGCGCTGAGGGTCAGACGTTCGCTCATCGCTTTGGCTTGAAGCGGCGCATTCACGCTCTCGAGGCATTGCCGCATCTTCGAGCACTCGATGATTCATACGACCATTATTTCAAGCTTTTCCCCGGCCCCAAATCTTCTGTAAGCAAGATGGATGAGCGGCTCTCGAAGCTTCGGGAACTATACAAATTGTCCAAGGTCTTGTTTGATTATGTGACGCCTCAAGAATATGGTATCACCGACAGTGAGAAACTAGAGATTGGCCTCCTGACATCTCTTCCTCTTCTTCAAGAAATTGTTCGTGATCTGGAAGAGGTGCAGGCTTCGCAGGATGCCAAGTCTTTCTTCTACTTCACCAAGGAATCCCACATCTACACCCTCTTGAACTGCATCTTAGAAGGTGGAATTCAAACCAAGATCGCTAGAAGCGCCATCCCGGAACTTGACTATCTCTCTCAGATTTGCTTCGAGTTATACGAGGCTCGTGACAGTGAATCGGATTCCTACTCTTACTCCATCCGCATCTCGGTCAGCCCAGGTTGTCACGCCTTCGACCCGCTTGACGTGCAACTCGATTCCCGGCACGCCATCGGCTGCGCCCCGCGACGAAGCCTGACAGCTCATCAGGATTGGAAGGAGGTGATTGAGACGCTCAAGGCGAAATTTGACACGTAAGTCTTGTGCTTGATTTGCTTGACCTCCTACTAACAATTTAAGTGTAAAACTACCTAAAACCTTCATTGCGGTAAACCTGAGTGACAAGCACATTTCCCACGATGAGAACTCGCCAACACCCTCGCGTGGCATCTCCCCGACCCAATACTGAGGTTCCCGTCCTGGAAAAATCGTCTTCTTTTATGTGGTTTTAGAATAGAAACATTCAGGCCAGACTGTTTCTCGTGTGGCTAGTTGCCTTTTCGCAGAATGCTGTAGAAAGAAAGGAACGTTGTGTTGAGAACCATGCCTGAGGCAGGATTCTCTCATCCGTAGGATTATCAACGCTACGCCCTTTTTGTCTTTTCTGCCGAAAAGCCCACCTTTGGGGGCCAAATTGAGGACTCCGATCCTCGGCACACAAAGGGGCATAAATAGCAGGAAAAGGCAGATATTATCTAGATCTTTAGACAATTTAATACTTCTATGAGAGATCCTATTCCTAGTATCATTTAAACCCATTATTGAAACCCTATATACTGTATCATACCTCTATATCTTTAATAGGTTATGAGCCCGGCTATCTCTAATAGCCGGAATACCTAAATTGCGTAGTATAGTCTATTTGCTATATTTGCTAGTAAATATTTACTTACCCCTATATACCTTTTTATCTAATCTTTACCTAGACCTATATATATAGGTCCTTACCCTAGGATCTCTCTCTTCTTCTTATATATATCTTACCTCTTATTTTATACCTATACCTCTTAATCTCTCGTAGATCTACCTATATTTTTATTAATTTTATTATAACCCCTATTACCCGACGGTCCTAGCGAGATAGGGGGGCATTTAGTGTATCTAGTGCACCCTATATACCCTACGAACCCTCTAACTCCGACGCTAACCGACTAGATAAATTAGGGTCCGATAATAACTATAGTAGCGTCTTAGGCGAGAGTAGCGATAACAAAGGAGGAAATAATAGTCCTATAGCTCCCGCTAGTACTAGAAATATAGACCCCGGCTAGGGCCTATAACGTCTAAACCCCGCGGATTAACTAGCTAGAGAACTCGAGTCGACCGAGTATCTTTATACCTAGTAGCCCTAAGGACTAACTAGGTAGCTTATAGCGGGTAGACCCCTCGCTAAAGTCTCTAAATCTATCGAGACTAATATATAAGTCTTATTAATATAGATTAATAACCTAAACTGATTTAATCGAGATAGCTTTATATTCTCGCTATATAACCGCTACGCTACCCTAAAGAATAATACCCGAGAAGAGGAAGAAAACGCCCTTTAATACCTTAGTTTTACTAAGGACCTCGGGAAAATATTTAAAAGAAAAGAAGAATATAAAGGACTAAAACTTATAGAATTAAATAATTACCGTACTTAGGCCGCTAATATATAGTAAGTGCTAAACTAAAACCTTCTCGAATAAGTTATCGATAGTAAAGTAGGATTATTACCCCCTTTATATAAGAAGTACTATATACTAAATATATAGAAGAGAGTAGCCTAGCTTACTATCCTAAATACTATATACCTAGACTTAGCGAAAAATATTATACCGCCGAGCCCTTTAGAACCTAAGCGTATCTAATAGGAATTATAAAATTAATACGATATAAAGGATACTTTTACCGCCGAATAAGGCGCTATTATAATAAAAGTACTATATGTATCCCGCGTCCGTAATATCGGAACCCTAATCGAGGTATTTAAGACTATATAGACTAATAAAACTATTATACGTCCCCTAATTAAGAGTCTACTAATTAAGCTATAAGAAATAGACGAACTTAAAAAATATATAGAACTTATAGCGTGCCTCGATAGCCTAGAATAGTATCTATAGAAGCTTAACTACGATAAAATAGTTAGTAGGTTAACTAACTAGCTAGACTAATACCTTTTCGACCGCCTATATAGCGAACTATAAAGAGAAGAAGATAATCTCGCCGCCGGTAAAAAGATAGCTATAAGGACCTTATCTACGGAAACTAGTAAACCTATAAAACTATAAGGACCCCGTATATAATAAGGACCTCTAGGATTAGTATATACCTTCTATAAAAAGAAGGGGTACCCCGCCGAGAAATACTAGCTAAAAAACCCTAATTTAGTACCTAAACGGACTACGGAAACCCTAATTATATAGGTTAAATATAGTTATAAGGTATAAAACTTCTTAACTAGTATCTCGATTAATAATTAGATCTACGATATAGCCTACGACGAATATATAATTAGCTCGCTAGACTATTTTATACTAGGTACTACGAAACCACTAACTACTACGATTAAAATAGCCCTAATAAACTAGCTAGTCTAAGGTATAATCGGAGATATTAAGATTATAGTCGACGATAGGACTAAGTAAGGGAGAGATCTTATTCTTACTAGGACTATATATCTCCCTAAACTCTATAGTAACCTTATCTTATAGCCTAGGCTCGCTAACTATAGGATTATAGCGATATATAGAGATAAGGTTATTTTCCGAAAACTAGACGGTAGTATTCTTATAAAAGGGCTACGAAAGGGTAAAAATTAGATACTAAACGTTCGCTATATATACCGATACTAGACCCTAGATCTAGAAACGTTAGTTTTAACGATAGCGTAGGAAGTAGGGGGTATCGGATATCTAAAAACTTAGGCCGATACTCCTATTTCCGCCGAAAAAACTACCTATAGATACCTAATTTCTTAGGCTAATAATATAGAGGTTATCCTAAGAGACCCCTACCCCTAGCTAAAGGGCCTAAGTATATAAAAATTAGAAAACGCTATAAGTTTACCTAGCTAACTAGTGAAAGGCGCTATTCCGCTAAAAAAGGTAATATCTCTTCTACCGAAAAAGGGACTCTTTTCTTAGATAGAAAAGGTAGAAATACTCGCTACCTATAGAGTAATAAAGATATAGAAGATAAACTCGTCTAGTAGCTTAAAATAATAGTCCTCGGAGACTACCTCGACTTCTCCTAACGAGACTCCCCTTAGCGAGCTACCTACTAAGCTTAAAAAGGATAGGGTTAATATCGATACCTAGTACTGTAGACTATACTATATAGGGATTAAATCCCTATAGGAAACGGTAAAGATTATAGAAGGTATTAATATTATAGGCCTACCTATCCCTAAAAGACCCTATAGCTACTACTAAATCGGAAAGGCCTAGCTCGTACCCTATAGAACTTTAGTTTTATATAGATCTAGTAAAATAGGAGATCTTATATATCTCGATCTAGGGGGCGGGGGTAAAATACCTAAAGGTTAAGGAGGTAGCTACCGATACTAGATAATTAGTATCGACGACTTCGACGGATAGGGAGAAATATAGTTTACCTCCTATAAAGACTTCGTCCTAGACCTTATAATTAAAATAATAAAACTATATTCCGCCGAAAGAGAGATAATAATTAAGATATTTATAACCCCCGATCTCCCCCCGCTACTAGTACTAAAAAGTAAAATACTACCGCCTAGTAGACTAGAGATCGGAGCCTTCTAATTAGATTACGGAGGAGAGTTTAATAACTTCCGCCTATAAAAATAGGCTAAGGATATTAATACCTATCTATATTTCTTAGTACTATACGTATATAGGTAAAATAGTAAAGTCGAAAGAATAATACGAATAGTATAAGAATGTACTAGAGCTATTCTCGACGATACTAGACTCCTAGATATACTATAGCCCGAACTAATAAAAATAGTAATAATAACCCGTAACCTTACTATCTATTTCGGTAGGAAAAGAGACGGTCTCCTAAACTAGATACTATATAAAATATAATTCGGTAGAAAACCTAATATCTTATTCCTATAGATACCCGGTAGTAAGGCTTACGTTATAAGAAGCCCCGAAGAGATTAGGGCTATAGTTAGTATATTAATAAGTAGATATTTATAGCCCCGCGCCTAGATAGGTAGACTCGTCGGGTATAGTAGCTACTATAGTATATAATACCGTATCTAGCGTCTAAACGTAGATAGAAATAAGGGAGAGATTATAACTCGGAGAGACGTTATTTTCGACGAAGAAGACGACTAGACCCTATATAATAATCCTAATCTCCTAGTCCTACTAGAAACCCTATAGTCGGTAAAATAGTCTAGGTTCCTATTCCTAGACTTTAGGGACCTTATAGACCCTAAGAACCTTATAGACCCTAAGAACCCTATAAATAATATAAACCTTATAATTTCTTCCGCCGAAAAGACCCCTATAACTTCTTCCGCCGAAGAAAGTACCCCTTTTTCGGACTCCGAGAGAGATCTTAGACTTATCGACGAGAGTTCTAGTAACGAATCGGTCCTATTAGTAGACCTACTAAGACTATCTACCGAAGAACTCGCTAACCTTAATTATAAGATCTAAAATAAGGTTTTCTATACTACTATACCTCGGGTAGATAAAAAACGTATATAGGATCTAGTATAATATACTACTATCCTATATATATAAGCTAGACTAACCCTATTATCTAAGGATCTCCTAACCTTACCCCTACTAATAACCCTAAAAAATATAGACTCTAAATAGATAGAAGACCCTAAATTAGTCCGATAAGTACGTAACTTACCTCTTTAGCCTTAGTAGTACTACGCTATAAAAATCGAGTTTAAATAGCTTAGTTTAATTAAAGCTTAGGAGATAATCCCTACCCCTATACCCGCTAAGAATATACGTATCCTTACCGGTAAGTAGGTATATAAACTAAAACTCGATACGGATAGAAACCCCCTAAAATTTAAGGCTCGCTAGGTAGCGAGAGGTTTCTAATAACGGGAAGATCTAGACTATACTAAGACCTTTACTAGTATAGGTAGTTATATTACGCTACGGATCCTCCTCGCTATAATTACGTAAAAGAAGCTTTTTATAGCTTATATTAACGTAAACGTTATATATCTTAACGCTATACTAAAGGAGAGACTCTTAATATATTACCCTAAAGGTTTCGAAGATAATATTAATTTTTTAGAGATCTAAGGTAAAGTCTACCTCCTAAAAAAGAGTCTTTATAGTCTAAAATAGTTAGTAGTAAACTAATTTAATATATTAGGGGACTACTTATTAACGAAAGGCTTTATATAATCTATTTCCGACCTATATCTTTATATATAGTATAATTAAAGGGGCGCCGGTACGATCGTCTATATTTTTATATACGTCGACGACCTTTTAATTATAGCTTCTATAGCGGATCTTATTAAAACTATAAAGGACTTTATTTTAATAAAATAGTCTACGTCGGACTTTAGCGAGCTATCCTATTATCTTTCGATAAAAATAGTATACGATAGAGAGATAGGAAAAATAATAATTTTATAAAAAATATACGTCGAAAGGTTCTTAAAAACCGTAACTTTAAGACCTATAATCCCCTTATCTATTATCCTAATAAAGGAAGAGACCCTTACCGCTATAAGTAAGGTAGTAAAATAGTACTAATCCGATATAGACTCGATTAACTATACTAATATAGTTATATATCTAGACCTCTTACTTATAGTAAGTATACTTTCGTAGTTTATTATAAACCTAAACGCTAAATATAAGGATCTAGTATAAAGAGTAATTACTTATATAGGACGTACTAGCTATTACGTAATTATATACTAATCTAGACCTAATTAGGACCTTTAGGGGTATATCGACGTCTTATACGGATTAGCCCTAGAAAGTAAAAGTAGGACTAGGTATATCTTCTTCCTCGTAGGGGGTCTAATATTATAGAAATCTTAAAAGTAGACTAATATAGTAAAATTAAGCGCCGAAGCTAAATATATAGCCCTCTTAATTACTAGCGGAGAGGCAATTTAGCTACGAAAACTACTAAAAGATCTTAATTTTTACTAAGGAAGTATAGACCTCCCCCCTATCCCTTTATATAGCGATAGCTAGTCTATAATCACGATAACGAAGAACCCTACTATTTTAGGACATTTAAAATATATCGATATATATTAGTATTAGATCCGCGAGTAAGTTAAAAGGGGAAAAATTAAGCTTATATATATAAAAGGGACTAAAAATATTATAGATAGACTAATAAAGCCACTCGGGGCTCCTAAATTTATAGAGTTTATCGTAGGTTTAAACCTCGACCCTAAAACATATAGACTTTCGGTAGAATAAACCCCTACGTCTTTCGTAGTGCAAAACTACTAGTTTTACACCTTCCTATAGTCCAAAAAGCTATACCTTTTAACTAAGAAACCTTATTTATCTCAGTCCCTAACAATATGATCTTACGATATATAACGGCTACACGTTAAGGGGGCGTGTTAAGAACCATGCCTAAGGCAGGATTCTCTTATCCGCAGGATTATCAACGCTACGCCCTTTTTGTCTTTTCTGCCGAAAAGCCCACCTTTAGGGGCCAAATTGAGGACTCCGATCCTCGGCACATAAAGGGGCATAAATAGTAGGAAAAGGCAGATATTATCTAGATCTTCAGACAATTCAATACTTCCATGAGAGATCCTATTCCTAGTATCATTTGAACCCATTGTTGAAACCCTACATGCTGTATCATACCTCTGTATCTTTAACACGTTGACTCTGACTATGACAAATCCAATCCCCAGCGGGCTACCTAGGTACCACATAGGTAGCATTATATATAAAGAGAAAAGTGTCTCTATCTCTAGTAATATTTTAGCTGCCTGCTGCCGCTTGCCCTGATACTAATACCAAGCTGGTAAATGGCATGAAGCTAAGATATATACCATCAATCCTCGAATTCTTCCAACAGTTAGGCCATCGTTGTGGCTAATATAGGGAATAGTCCGGAACTGCGATAAGAAGTCCGAGTCAGCCGCGAGCCCCGCAATTGTCAACATCAACACCCTCTACTCTCAAATTCCATTGCATCCATACACACATTAAAAAAAGAAAAATGTCCGAGCCTTTGACAGTTGACATAGCCGGCAGCGCTCTGAGATACAAGTCACACACAGGTACTGAGTGCCTGGTTGACTTCAGTGACATTCTCTGTGTGTTAGACAATCCTGTCTCCACGTTGTATAGCGTGCTATTCTTCCAAAAGTCCAACTTGGGAGAACCCGAATCCGAGGAGGTTTCTCTAGAAAAGATCAATATCAAGTCCCTACCTGCAGAATTATCTCCATTTGTGTCCGAAATTCCCACCCATTTTCGAAACGAAGATGAGCCACCTATAATCCAGGTTGTTGTATCCATTGGATCAGGAACGGGGAAAGCAAAAACGATCTTTCAAAATGCTGTACGGCCCCTTCTTACATACCTTGGATTAGAGAACTATGAGCTCCACGAGACAAAGTCGGCACAAACAATTATCGAGCTGGCTCAATCGAAATTCCTGGAGCGTGCTCAGAACGGTGTCCCTCAAACCATCATCCTTCTTTCTGGCGATGGAGGCCTCCTTGATATTCTTGAAGTTTTCTACAAATCCAAGAAAACGATTGGTGTATCTCCTAACCTGGCGTTGATCCCTTGTGGGACAGGAAATGCCATGGCGAATTCCATTGGATTACGGTCTGGTTCGGTGCCAGGTCTTTCAGCACTGCTTCGAGGCAGCCCAACTCCCGTACCAGTCTTTGCTGCTAAGTTTTCACCCGGCAGTCAGTTGGTCATCGATGAAGGTCGTCAGCGTGCCGATATCGACAGCAATGTTCATCACACCTTATATGGGGCTGTTGTTGCGAGCTGGGGGCTTCATGCTGCATTAGTCGCAGACAGCGATACCTCTGAATATCGTAAATTCGGAGCCGATCGCTTTAAGATGGCCGCAAATGAACTGCTTTATCCTTCAGATGGCACTTCACCTCATCAATTCAAAGGCAAAATCACATTGAGGACCACGAATGGCTCGGATAAAGCTAGTCACGAAGAAGCAGTGGGAGGACTTGAGCACATGTATGCACTTGCGACAATGGTCCCGCGACTAGAGAAGGAGTTTTTGATTTCCCCAGACTCAGTGCCGCTGAGTGGTCAAATGAGGCTCATCCGCTTCGGGCCTATGTCGTCAGAAGACGCGATGCATTTGATGACTCTAGCCTATCAGGGTGGTCAACATGTGAGGGAAGACACAGTGACCTATGCCGAGGTTGAACAAGTTCGGATCGATTTCCAGGAGCAAGAGGAGAGGTGGCGACGTGTTTGTATTGATGGAAAGATTGTGGCTGTTGATAGAGACGGTTGGATGGAGATTTGTAAAGAGCCTGGCCGTTTACTGAACTTGATCAACTAAGCAGATCAGCCAAGGACAGCTTGTGATTAAGGAGATACTAGCCCGGAATTCAAGAGTTTGTATCCCGTATATGGCTCGTTAAAAAAAACGCCTCATAAGCACTGACTACATGTAGGGAGATTTGATCATGTGTTTGCCGCTAGACTCCGGGATTTGACGCGAACCACCTCCACTCGTTCCCCAGCATGTGGGATGCGCCAGCAAATAATATTAATGCTGAGGCAATCTCTCTAATTTAAACCCCTGATTTCGATGATAATGGAACTGCCCATCAGATTCGATGCTGATCACTGCGCGCACCTATTCAGCCTCCCAGATCCCCGACCAAGGTGCAACACATTCCTGCACTAACAGATCACGATTTCATTCCCTTTCCGGGTGGCATACAAGTCCTATGGGTATAAAAGAAGCGAGCGATATGTTATTGATCCATCAAGTCGGTAGTGTGCGGGTTGGGGAAGTCGTTAGGTGAGTCTGAAGAGCATGACCCTGAAATCTTCGTCCTGATCGCTGACCCCAATTAGATACACAATTACGTACACGCCAGCCTCCGACCCAATCCTGCCTATACCTTCGAAGTTTCACGTAAGGGTGAAGAACACATCTGCGATTCCGCTGCGCGCCGCATATCTCCATGGCCCGTATACGCTTTACACCGCTTGCTACCCCTCCCAGTTTGATCCCCATACCAAATATGAGCGGCAGGATCTAGAGGGTATGCCCCAATTTGAGCCCTACCTGAAGGCCGGAGGCGGTTGGGACGCTGTTATCGATGTGCCCGCTGAAGCCCAACAGTGTGGCTCTCTGGGCCAAGGCGGACCGGAGAGGAGACAGACTGTTAGTTGGATCATTGAGATTTCATCCCAGGTAATATTCTCAAGTAGCGCAGCAGTCCACTTTGAGCTCTTGGTGGCCAGAGATGAGAAATCGCTCGCTTATTTCTCGAACGGTTCATGGAGTAGTGAACATGGTCCCCCGGCGAAATTACAAGATCACTGGTCGCCTGACACTAGAGGCACCCAGGTGCTTGCTTCGAATGGCGTATACTCGAAGGCAATCGCTCTTCATGTCGATGATACGAATAGCTTATGGAACAAACCGCCATTTCCCTCAAAAGACCAAGCCTCCAAAAGTGCTGATCTGAAGAGTCAGGATTCCCGACCAGTGCCGGAGGATAATGCTGAACTTCCGAGGAAAATAGCTAAAAAAAAGAAGGTTCATCTTGTGCTACTGACACATGGGTTGCACAGTAACCTAGGTGCAGACATGCTCTATTTGAAGGAGAGTATTGACGCAGCCATGAGAAATTCCAACCCGAAAACCCGTCAAGCCAAAGCTACTCATGTCAGTCCAGTTGGATCAGATAATCCAGATATCCCGACAAGGTATGGACTTTTTTCTTTTGTTAAATATCTGCAACATTTCTGATTCCACATTTTATCAACAGTGAAACGAGTCAAACATCGAGTGATGATTCCGACGATGACGACGACGAACAAGTTATTGTCAGAGGATTCTCCGGTAATGCCGTTCGGACTGAGCGTGGGATTCAATATCTCGGCAAACGACTAGCCAAATATGTTCTGCTTCTCACATATCCCGATCAGCCATACTTCCCCCTGAAGGGTTCGAAGTCAAACCCATTTACTCGACCTTTCAGTGCTCGGAAAGAGAAAGCTCAACCTTCTTCTCATTCAGCGGGATCGACACTTCAAGAGGATGCCCAAGAAGTACAAAATGAGGATCATGCTTATCAGATTACGAGCATCAGTTTCATTGGCCATTCCCTTGGGGGACTGATTCAAACATATGCAATTGCATATATCCAGAAGCACTCGCCTGAGTTCTTCGACAAAATCAGACCTGTCAACTTTATTGCTCTTGCAAGCCCGTTCCTTGGTCTCAGCAACGAAAATCCAATATATGTTCGATTCGCATTGGATTTGGGACTAGTTGGCCGTACTGGCCAGGATCTCGGGTTGAGTTGGACAGCCCCCAAAATTCGAAGTGGTTGGGGAGCCATTATTGCTGGAAGAGGAGAGTCGGCAAAAGAACCTGGCCATACAGATCCTGGTTCCAAACCGCTTCTACGTATTCTCCCTTGTGGTCCTGCCCACAAGGTTCTGGGCAAGTTTCAGCATCGTACAGTGTACTCAAATGTGGTGAATGATGGAATTGTTCCACTAAGGACATCTTCTCTCTTATTTTTGGATTGGAAAGGCCTGGATCGCGTTGAAAAGGCGAGGAGGGACAATGGGCTCGTTGGGACTATGGCTGAATGGGGCTGGGCCGAGTTGACCGGTGCCAACTCGAAGTCCCCGCGATTGGGTCGCTCTGAAGAACCAGCTATAGGTCTTTCGACAACAGAGAGTGTTACTCAAAGTACACACATTGCACCCCAAGTCTCCCCAAACCATCGAGTTGGCAAATTGGACGACCCCACGATCTCTCCGAGTCAGGGACAATTCTTGGTACAGCCCAGTCGTGTGATCGACCAGACGATCCCAGAAGAGGCCGTGCTACCGAATAACCCCTCGGCAAATGCGTCCCTCGGTCCTTTGGACACCTTTTTCTCATTGTTTCGCCCAAAGGAGAGCAAGGGTCTTCCTAATGGCAAGAATGCTAGAATATACCGTCGAAGCCAAACTATAGGCTCCTTTGAAGCTGCTGATAGCGATGGCACAGCGTCAGTCGCTGATAGCCACACCGGACATGAGAACGAGGGGGTGCACACACCTCCGAAGACGACCTTTTTCGAATGTGCGGGAGATTTGCTGATGCCGCCTCTACCATCTCCGGATTTCATTTTGGACCCTGCCTCGCGGCCCCGGACAATTTTCCATGACCGTATCTATCATCCAGAGGATATACCACCACCACCACCGGCTAAGCGGCATACATTATCATTTGGCCCGTTGCATCACAAGCAATCGAAGTCGGTTCCCACTCAGCCTCCCTCTGCTAGCATTGGTGACAAGGGAAGTGGTCTCAAGGTCGAAGAAAAAATTGCGAGAGCCTATCACCGTGATTTGTCATGGCGGAAGGTACTTGTTCGGCTTGAGCCCGATGCCCACAACAACATCATTGTGCGGCGTATGTTTACCAATGCCTACGGTTGGCCCGTCGTGAAGCACTTGGTCGATACCCATTTCAGCCACACGCCTGTTGCGGACATTGACGATTCTCTGAAGCAAAATGTGGAAAGGGCCAAGTCTCCAAATGTTAGCCCGACTAGTTCGGGTGATGAAATTGAAGGGCAGTCCGACCCTGTCCAGCCAACTTTGGCAAGAGGCGCAAACACTTTGCCAGATTTATCGGAACTGCATATATCAGCTGGATCTCCTGGCCAGGCCGACACCTTCCCGGCCGAATTTGAATCCCGCAAGAGTACCAGCGAAGGAGCCAGTGTATCAAGACAGGATTCTGCACGATGGACTGATCGCGAAATTGTCGAGGATGACAGCGGGTCCGGTTTCGAGGGGGAAACCAATGCTGATTTCCGGTGGCAGGTTTCCAGATAACAGTGTCATCCCTAGATTTATTGTACATACTGCCAAGTTTTTTAGACATATACCCTGTAATAATGTGGATAGTATATTGAGAGTTCTTCTACTTGACACAACCTAGGTAGTTCTAACGGTTTCCGAGAGACCGGGGCTGAGATACGGACCCTACTACAATTAATACTTCAGTTCACCTTGAACATGGCTCCAAAACTCCTCCACCATCTCCTTTTGTCCAGCTCCACCCGGAGAACCTCGGACGGCAAGATACTTCCGTCCGTCAAGACGAGCGTCCCAAACTCCTGGGTTGCCGTCGGCCATGATGCCCCCGGCTTCTGTAAGAATGACCCATCCGGCGCAGACATCCCAGGACCAGCATCCACCCTCCCAGTACAGATCGAGCGTGCCATCTGCCACAGCACACAGATTCAACGCGGCAGAGCCTAAGCTCCGCATCGCGCGCACCATAGCCCCGCCTTTCTCCTTGGACTGGCCCAGCTTCTCATATGTCCGAACCTTGGTCTCCCAGTTATTTCCGCTACGATCAGCGCCCCATTCAATGCTAATCAGAGCGTTGGCGAGTCCCGAGAGAGGCTCGATATTGGAGCCTTTCAGCGGAAGGCGGGTTTCACGATTGAGGAAGGCGCCTTGGCCCCGAATGGCGGAGTAAAGGGCTTTGGTGGAGGGGTTATACACCACCCCCACAGTCGGGACCCGTCCAACAGCGAATCCGAGGGAAACACAGGCAAATGGGAAACCGTGCACGAAGTTTACGGTTCCATCGATGGGGTCTACGACAAAGGTGGGAGCATCGGTCAATGGGCGTGCTGGGTCATATGTTTCCTCGCCATGGAATCTAAGGGACGTCAGAAGATGCTAGCTGCAGAGCAACTGAAAGACATACTCGTAGTGTGGGTATTTCTCCTTCAGTGAGGTCGAGATCATGTTCTCGACAGCTCGATCATACTCCGTGACGAGGTCGGCACCTACACAGATCAGCTACTCTTCCCCGTCCTCTTGCTGCATGGGACACGAACTATTCATCTTGGATCCCGTGCCATTGGTTTCTGGGAGCGCATTGTTGATAATGTCCCCGGCCTTGAAGGCCAGTGACACCAAGAAGTCATGGATCTCTTTGAGGTTTGGGGTGTCCATTTTGAGGCACTTGAAGTGATAGAGCGAGGTCAAGGTCAAAACCAAGTCGCAAACTTCGGAGGATCTCCCGCACCAACGCTAGAGGCGGGGCAATTCCGATTACTTTCGAGTGAATAGACGTAATACTGACATGGCTATATGAATTTCCAAGAAAAAAGGTAGCTAGTGGAGGTATAGCTCTATTGAGCAATTGCAATTGCTCTTGAAATGACTTGCATTGTGTAGATTGGATGTATCTTGTCTTATAAATCGCAGAGGATCTCCGCGTTTCCAGTGACGTCGAGAACCACCCCACTTCCGCGGGAAAAAAAATCTTTGAGATCCCACTTGGACATTTCGCATCACTCACTCAGCCCTCAGTTTTGGCTTATACCCCTTCAGAATGCCGACCGAACTCGAAGAGGTATGCGCCTATCGCCTGCGACATTGATCCGCTCACTCACATTTCAACAGCTCGTGGAATTCCTCCACCATGGCAACACCCAGATCAGACAAATTGGTAGCGCAACCTCTCCCACGCTTAATATACAATCTAACATTCTCGTAGCCGTTGAGAACCTCGTCGGCTTCACTACCGCTCAGCCCGATCTGTTCAAGCGCCACCAACTACTTCCTGTTCGCGATTTGATGCTTCTGGCCCGCGATTACAGTGTGCGTTATCTGCGATCATGCGCGAGACTTTGGGCTAATGTTGTGTAGCCAATTGCGAAAAATGCGTTGATCATGTTGGTCAATTTGTCAGGCGATGAAGAGATTTTGAAACTTCTCGCTGAGGATGACAAGTTTGTCGAGACTCTGCTTGTGAAAGTGACCGTGAGTACTCTCAGAGTCATACCAGGAACCCAGGGCTGATATGTTCGATACTAGAACCCCAAAGAGCCCAACGCCGATGAAGTGGCTATGCTTCTAGCCAACCTCGTCAAAAACGAAAAACTACATGACCTGTTCTCTCTCAAGCGCAAAATCCCCGAATCTGTATCTACATCCGAGAACGCGGTCGATCAATTGATGGACTGCTTCGTGAAGGGCGCCGAGGGTGAGCTCAACAAGCATGCCAATTACGACTATTTGTCGTATCTGTTTGCCGACTTGTCTCAGACAGAGAAGGGCCGGGCTTATTTCACTCAACGCCAGGAATATGACGGAGTGGTTCCCATCACCAAGCTGACAGTGTTCACTGAGCACCGAAGCGATATTCGGAGAAAGGGCGTTGCATCCACAATCAAGAATGTGGCCTTCGAGGTTGATTCGCACCCCATGCTCTTCGCCGAGGATGGGGCCAACCTTCTGCCTTACTTGTTGCTCCCGCTTGCAGGCCCAGAGGAGTTGGCGGATGAGGATTCAGCGGACATGCTGCCAGACCTCCAGCTGTTGCCACCTGATAAGCAAAGAGACAGCGACAATACCATCCTCACGACCCATCTCGAGACCTTGCTTCTCCTAACCACAACTCGCGAGGGTCGGGATACGATGCGAGCGGTCAAGGTTTATCCTTTGATTCGTGAAACCCACTTGCATGTTGAAGACGAGAATGTACAAGAAGCCTGCGACCGGTTAGTGCAGGTCCTGATGCGAGACGAGGAAGGCGAAGGCGAAGGCGAGCCCGAGCAACCTAAAATCGAGCCACCTCAGAACGAGGATGAGAAGGTTGTAGAATTGTTTTAGAGCGATAGATACCAATACACTTGTATATATGTATACAGTACACACTGGGATGTATGTCTAATACCTACATGTAGCCCTGGAGAGACGTTGTCTCCTACGAAGTATAACAGCTTGGCAGGGAAGATTAATATGCCGATGTGAGTGGGGCCGTTGAGACCCTTGGAGACTACGGTCGTTTTTCACACTACCACCTTAGTTTCCCCCACTAGCTCTGATCTTCCCTTCTCTGATTCCTCAATGTCCAGAATAAATCCGAGCTACTGCACGTTCTAACCGGAAATACTCTTGGTGTTTCATCAACTCCCCCACCATCACGTCCAGCAATATTCCCTTGCGGACGCGGAAGCTGTCTTGCCCCTCGACCCCGAGGCGCGAGTGGCTTCCCGCTGAAACGGATCAAATTGATTCTGATTTCGGTAATTGTGCGGGCGACAATGGAAATTACGACACAGAGATCGATAACCTACCGTCCGACGTGAACCCCGACACAGGCATTGCCCACCGTTCTAGGGCCTTCATGTCGCGCGCCCCTCTCCTCCGCTCGCCGCCCACACTGGGTGCTTCCTCGTATGGAGCATTGCAAAGTGGAGATGAAGATTCGGAAGATGATGTCTCCATTCAAAGTGCCGACAGAGGCTTGCAACGCACGAGCTTTGAAGATGGCGTTGGAAGTTCTTCACGCAACGGCCCAAGGTCCACCCCACGAGGGTCACACTCATTTGCTAGGCGGCGAAACAGTTTATATGCAGAGAGACGCAATCGCCGGCCATCATCCGCCACATCTGATGTTGGCATGGGTGCCGACTCGAAATACTCGTTTGCCACTGGATTAGCGGTGCCGGGTAACCCGGTCATGCAGGACACACCGGCTTCTTCGCCATACATAACAAGTGACGACGAGAATGTCTTCGACATTGATGATGATGATTCAAAATCCTCAGATGAAGATCCCCCAGATAATTCGCCGTATGCCCAAGTACGAGCTTCGGTCCCGGCGACGGATGATATCTCTCTTTCTATCAACAGTAAGCAATATGTGTTGTTTGCTTCGTATAATCTGAATATCTCTAATATATTTCAGCTCCTCGGATGTGGATTCTGTCATTGTTATTTTCTTTGACAGGCTCTGCGGCCAATCTTTTCTTTTCCTTGCGCTATCCCAGTGTTGCCATAACTCCGATTATTGCTCTTGTTCTAGTGCATCCGCTGGGCAAGTTTTGGGACGTGCTTTTCAAACAAGTAGGTGATCCCACTGAAGTCTTTGAGAATGGATCCCTTCATCACAGGGAACCACTCACTGGCGAGATCGATGCCCCTCCCACCTCAAGGGTGTCCAGAACCAGACTCTGGTTTGCCCAGGGCCGCTGGAATGAGAAGGAACATGCTTGTGTCTATATTAGCAGCAATGTTTCCTTTGGGTTTGCTTTTGCAACTGATGTTAGTATGTCCGAAAAGAAATGTGTGACGGGGCTGACCAAGAGCAGGTTATTGTCGAGCAACATAAATTTTACAAGCAGGATGTTCCAATTCTATACCAGCTCCTGCTCATCATATCAACTCAAGTGTTGGGGTATGCATTCGCCGGTTTGACTCGACGATTCCTTGTGCGACCATCGGCTATGATTTGGCCAGGAACCCTGATGTCCACTGCAATGTTTTCTACAATGCACAAGTCTGGTAACAGAAAGGCGAATGGTTGGAGTATCTCCAGATATAAATTCTTCATTGTTGTCTGGGCAGGGGCATTTCTATGGTACTTTGTACCGGGACTGTTGATGCCTGCACTGAGTTATTTCAATGTGATCACTTGGTTTGCACCGAAGAATGTTGTGATCTCAAATTTGGTGAGGCATTCAAATTCAGTATTCTGCTGCTTCGGCTGACTCTTCTAGTTTGGTGTTGCCTCGGGTCTCGGGATGTTTCCTTTGACCTTCGATTGGGCCCAAATTGCCTATATTGGCTCCCCATTACTCACGCCTTGGTGGGCCGCTGCTAACATTGTGACGGGGCTAGTGATTGTCATTTGGGCAGTCGCCCCAATCCTTTGTAAGACCCCTCGTCTATCCTATGTTTGACTTGACTGACCAATTGAAGATTATAAAAACGTTCTTTTCTCCGCATATATGCCCATACTTTCAACAGCAGTATTCGACAATACTGGGCGACCATACAAAGTGGCTCGAATCCTGACCGAGGACTTTTTGTTCGATCAAAAAGCCTATGAAGATTATTCTCCAGTGTACCTCCCAATCACTTACGTGTTATCTTATGGTGTCCAATTTGCTGCTTTGACATCACTTGTTACCCATACAGTTTGTTGGTACGGCAAAGACATTTGGCAGCAGACCAGGAAGGCTTTCGAGGAAAGACGAGATGTGCCGGCCATGGAAACATACCAGCCTCTCCGTGGAAGCAATACTACGAGCCGACAGAGCTATGACATCTCACGAACGAGCTCTCGTGACCCGACTCGGGAAATTCCATTGGGAGGAGAAGATGTTCATTGTCGCTTGATGAAGCGCTACAAAGACGCTCCCCTTACATGGTATCTTCTCGTACTTATCTCGATGCTCGCCATCGCCACCTTCACGGTCGAATAGTATGTTTCTCCCTTGTTTCAACAATCTTCACCGACTAACCTTCGCCACAAAAGTTATCCAACGCACTTACCTTGGTATGGGCTCCTTTTGGCTCTGGGTATTACCAGTGTGTTTTTCATTCCAGTGGGCATCATAATGGCTGTCACCAATCAGCATAGCAGCCTCTATCTGATCTGTCAACTTCTCTGTGGTATTGTATTCCCGGGAAGGCCAGTGGCGAACATGATTTTCGTGACCTATTCATATATCAGCTCTGCACAAGGGATCAAATTTTCCTCAGACCTCAAACTTGGCCATTACATGAAGATTCCACCACGAATTCTGTTCGGTGTCCAGATGATGGCAACTTTGGTCTCGAGTATGACCCAAATTGGCGTGCTGAACTGGATGTTCAATTACATCCCTGGACTCTGTACTCCCGAGGCCATGAATGGGTTTAATTGCCCCATTGCTCGCGTCCACTTCAACGGCAGCATCCTTTGGGGAGTTGTCGGCCCGCAGCGATTCTTTGGCCCAGGGGGCCTATATCGACCTCTTGTATGGGCATTTTTGGTAGGAGCCGTGGCCCCTCTGGGTGCGTGGCTCCTAGGCAGGCACAGCAAGAAGAGTTTCTGGCGTATGGTCAATTTCCCCATCTTGTTTGGGAGTCTCAGCTGGATCCCACCGGCAACTGGGCTCAACTTCTCCATCTGGGCTCTTGTATGCTTCATATTCAACTACGTGATCCGACGCAGGAGAACCGCCTGGTGGGAGAAGTATGCAATGACGTTGTCAGCGGCCTTAGATTCTGGCCTAGCTTTTGCAGTCGTCGTTGTCTTCTTTGCCTTCGTCTATCCAGGCTGGGTTGATAGTTTCCGATGGTGGGGAACGGAGATCTACAAACAGGTGAGTTCTTCATCTTCCTACCTAGCTTTGTAATGTGTGCTAACTGTGTCTAGGGCTGTGATTGGGTTGCTTGTCCATATAAAGAATTAGAACCAGGTCAACGATTCGGTCAGTAGTTTTGCAGCAATTTGAACAAAAGAATGAGTCCATGGAAATATCACTGTCTTCAATTCATATGCTAGTAGACGTATATCAGGGAGAAAATGCTGCGAATTAACTGCCTTTCCAGGTGCAGATATCTGCCTTTACCATATGTGGCAATAAAAGCTAAATGCATGGCAGTATCCTGGGGGAATGGGGGCATTAGCAAGGATACATAGCCTGGAATACCAGCTTGTTGATATCATATACTTCGAGACTCCTCCAAATATTCATCGATGTACGTATGTATAAGGTGCTAAGTTTGCTAGGAGCGGGGATCCCCCGGACGCACAGACCATATGAACCGGACATCATATGTATGTAGTCACATGACTATAGCCACGGGACGGGTAAACATTTGTTCCGATTTCCACCGTCATACGTCTGGTTTACTGCCTCCAGCTCTTTCAAAGTGACCCTTCTATCCCTCACTCTCTTTTCTTGTCTGTCCCCGTGTCGCTTGTGCGAGACAGTCAGAAAGCTACATCTCTTTCATTTTCTCACCCGCCGTCTGACCCATCACATCGCGCTCCACAACTTGTACAGCTCTCTTTTCCACGCCCGCAAGATGTCGGCGCCGACGAATCCCCCGAATGCTCGGACGCCAACTGGGCCGAATGGCGCACCGGTGAAAAGAATGATGCGCCGTCCAAGGGCAGCTGATCCTTTGGTCCGACCGAAAAGAAGGCCTGTCTCCAAACCAGCGGCGGCCATCCCCGCTCCCAATGGGACAGCCTTGAAGACTCTTCCCTCGAGGCCACAAGTGTCAAAACCCCAGGCTATATTCCATTCCGAGCGACCTATGCTTGAGATTGCAAACAACAGTATGGCAGCCAACGGTTTCAGTGGCCCTTTGCTCAGTGAGAGATACTTTGATTATCCTGTGGTCACAACGAAGCGAGCTATGATGGAGGGGCTGAAGCATCACATCGCGCGATTTGCCTCGAAGAAAAGCGTCGACCCACGCGATGAATCACAATTCACGCGACCAGTCCGACTTCACCGCCGAGACCCGCGTACGCGAACTCATGATCCAAATTCGTCGAGGGGCGAGATCGATGGTCAGCCGATGGACGAAGCCGAACGTGAGGCATTTGATGCTCGAAAGGCAGCACGCGAGAAAGAGCGCGCTGAGAACCTTTCTCAAATCGCTCCCGCCCTTGGATCGATTTCGAAACGACCCAACGCCCCGAAACAGAAAACGCAGCAAGTCTTCAAGTCGGACATGACTCCCGAAGAAATCGCGAGAGCACGGATCAAGTACGAAGAAGCGTTGCCGTGGCACTTGGAGGATTTTGATAATCAACACACCTGGGTTGGAAACTACGAAGCAGCTCTGTCCGAAACACATGCAGTGTTTGTCCTCGACAACGGAAAGATGCGAATGATTCCCGCTGAAAAGTGGTACAAGTTCAACGCCAAGAGTAACTTCAAGGCTTTGACCATTGAGGAAGCAGAGAAATTCATGGCCAAAAGGGTGAAGGATCCTCGATGGTTCATGGAAAAACAGCAACAAATGGAACAAGAGAAAGAATTGGCCACTTATGCCAAGCAGCGCAAGGTCTATGCCGGAAAACAAGGCCTAATGGCCGGAAAGGGCGAGGGTTTGGAGGCTGGTGAAATGGATTTCGAAGAGGATCGGTTCGCCGACGACGAGGAGCACGATGACCTCTTTAATGAGGACGAAGATGCCAAGGATGCTGAAAAGAGGATCAAAGAAGATCAGCTCAAGGCAAATGTGTTCGATCTCAAGGATGAGAAAGAGTATGATGCCGAAGAAGTGCGAGAGAAACGGGAACGTGAGGCCCGGCGTGTGCTGGGCAAGGGTGTACGCAAGGCCCTGAAAAGGAGAGAACGGAACTACGATTACAGCAGTGGCTCGGACGTCAACCCATACACAGATGAGGAGGTAATTGTTTTCCCGCCTATTCTCAACGGCAACCCCAAAACTAACATGGAACAGAGCTCTGATGACAGCGAAACCGAACGGGCCAAGGAGGAGGAACGGAAGAAAGCAGAAGAAGAAAAGAACCAGAGAGAAGCCTCATCCAAGGGAACAAACACTCCCTCTGGTCGACCCAAGCACACAGATCCCCTGAAGAAAGCCCCTGGATCTCGGAAGAGGCTTGGATCGCCAAACGCCTCCGATGCGAGCGGCACCGACACCTCTCGAAAGAAGGTCAAGGGCATGCATCTTCCCACATCTCAACCCCCATCGCGTCCAATCTCTCCATCTGCCATGCAGGTATGTGCAAAACTCTCTTCCCTTTGGTTAGTACATACTGATTAATCTAGACTGGCAAGAAACGCGTGCGAAACATTCATGGTGGCGCTGGCTCTGGCAGTGATGTCGATACCGGTGTTGGGTCTGGAGCGGAACTGACCGAGGGTGGCAAAATCAAGAAGCTGAAGCTCAACCCAACTTCAGCTTCTCGTAGTGGCACCCCGCAAGGGTCTCGCGCCGGAAGTCCTTTGCCTCGACCTACCGGAAGCCGTGCTAGCAGCCCCGATGGTCCCAGAGGTGAGTTTGAGATCGCCTCTTCAAATCAAGACATAACTAACAATCCTCAGGTATTCGTGTGTCCACTCCGATTTCTGGAATTCAAACATTCCCAACAGCTGGAGAAATCCATGCAGCTATTCCGGCATCTGGTATCCTCAGTAGTGACCTCTTGAAGGTCTTCCGTCCTCGCATTGGCGAGTCGAAGGAGAACCATCGGCGTTTCATTGCTATTGTCAAGGATGTCAGTGTTTACGGAAAGGAAGACCGGATGCTGCGTCCAGGTCCTTGGAAGGCAACCTAGGTTGTATGAAGGTGACGATAATGCGACTATTTCCTTGAGAGAGACTGAGCTGCGTGGAAGAGAGTTTCCACATCAGATGCTCTTTACATCTTTGTATTTTCTATCTAATGTTACTGTCTAGCAGACACGAGTACATACCAAATCTACGTTTAGCCTATCTTCTATTTTCCTGTAATCAAGATATGAACTTCTGAAGTTTGAAATAATAAAAAGTCCTAATAAATTCATTACTCCCATTATAAACACAACGAACCAGGAGACGAAGCTGGCTCGGAAATCTAAGAACATAAATCACAATCATTACGTCTCAACCCAAGAGAAAATTTTCATCTCTGGGATCTATATGCGAACACAGAATAAACAATATGCACAGCACGCTTAGAACTGCGAGACAGCGACAGCAACGGCTTGAGTGTCACTGTGGCTGATGCTGACGCTGACCTGCTTGACACCGGCTTCCTTGGCGGCGGCGGCGGCGGCACCGTGGAGCTAGAAGATATATGTTAGCGTTGTCATTAGAATCTTGGATCAATTATGCACTTACGTTAACAACGGGAGCACCGTTGGCATCGACTCCAATCTCAATGTCCTTCAGAGCGGCACCAGCACCCTTGCTGCTGACACCCAGAGACTTGAAGACAGCCTCCTTGGCACTCCAGCGGCCGGCGAACGAGGACTGGGGGGATGCGGCCTTGCGGCAGTAGTCCTGCTCACTTTGGGTGAAGTTGCGCTCAACGAAGGTCTCGTTGTCAATGTTGACAGAGTTGATGTGCTCAACATCAACACCAATCTTGGAGTTCTCGGCGGCATTGGCCTTGGCGAGAGACTCAACAGTCTGGCGAGTGCTCTCGGACTCCTTGGCCTCAGGGGCAGTGGCGGAGTACTTAAGCTCAGAGGTCTTCTTGTCGACGGCCACGCGGTAGTCGGGGTTCAGGAAGACCTTGCTCTGGATCTCATCCTCGTAAGGAGCCTTGTTCTTGGCAACGAAGATGGTGTTGTTGATCAGACCGTTGTGGAAGTAGCGGTAGGCCTTCTTCTGGCGAGCCTCGACCTTGGTCTTGTAGGCCTGGTACTGGGCCTGGTCAAGGGTGGCATACAGGTACCTGGGGTGAATACCAATGACCTGAGCACCCTTCTGACCGAAACCGAAGGAGGTGACAGAGAATGCCTTGACACCGTCGGTCTGGATGCTGCGGCTGGGGTAGACGATGTAATCAAACTTCTCCATGACCTTGTCGACGTTATCAGCATTGCGGTTACCGGGAACGAGACCGCTGTCCAAAACCTGCAAACAGCCGTTGAACATCCAGGCGCCGGCGGCACCCTTGGGGTGACCGGTGAGGTACTTCTGGAAGATACCCATAACCGCGTTACCCTTGGTACGTCCGAGGTGCTTCATCTGCTGGCAAATGACATCGGATTCGTTCTTGTCGTTGGCGACAGTCGAGGTACCGTGGAAGGAGGCAACATCAATGTCATCAACAGTAAGACCCCAGGTGGCGAGGGCACCACGGAGAGGAGCAATGCGCGAATCTTGCTTCCAGAAGTTGTTGCCCAGACTAAACTGTGCGTCCTTCTCTTGGCGAACGGCCTCACGCTCAATGTGCTGAGCACGCTCTTGCAAGTACTCTGCCTCGTTGAAGGTCTCGTCGCTCTGAGCCTTCATAGCCTCGGCCTCCTCCTGGAGGTAGAGAAGCTCGGATTCTTGCCATTCCTTGATCTGCTTCTTGCGAAGATCCAATTGACGGCGACGGTACTTGAGGTCCAGCAGAGGGGAGGGGAACTTGCCGGGGTTCTCGCGGGCAGTGGTCAGGACACCCTGGCCAGGAGCAGGAACGGAACGCCCGATCTTGTCAGTGGCAGTGGTGGTCAGAGCAATGATACCGTGGATGGGCACACCCATATCAAGGGCAAGCTGGGCAGTCATGATGAGCTGCATACCACAACCCTGGGACTCCATGAAGCCAGCACGGGTGGTGGTAGTCGGGCGGGACATCTCCTGGGGTGTACGACCGTGGGCGAATTCGTCCTCGGCGTTGCTAGTGGCCTTCATGTTGGCGAACTCGTAAGAGCCCTCCTCCTGGAAGTCATCGAAACCACCAACGAAGCAAACGCGGGCCTTGCCCTCGACAATGGTCTCGTAACCGATGTCCACAGACTCAACAGCCGTGGCGCAAGCACCGACAGGAGTCTTGATAGGTCCGGTAGAGGACAGCAACAGCATGTTGACCCAGGCGGACATGGTGTTGATGAAGGACTCCTGCAAGATATCCTTTTGCAAGGGCTTGTCCAGGAAGCGATCCTTGTACATACCGCGCAAGGCGTGGGTACCACCGATACCTGAACCAATGCAGTTACCAACCTCGGACAGGTGGACATACTTGTAGAACTCATAAGGATCGGTGATACCAGCAGAGAGCATGGCCTCAGCAGTGCAGACCAGGACAAAGAGGGTAACGGGATCAACCTGCTCGATAATATCGTCGGGAATACCATAGCGGCTGGCATCCCAGCCAGTGGGAACTTGACCAGCGACGAGACGATCGAACTGCAGAGCCTTGGGAACGAGCATAGTGGCGCCCTTGCGAAGACGTACGGTGTACTCTCCAGTCTCGGGGATCTCGAAGATCTCAACATTATCGCCATGCTCACGCTTGAACTCCTCGGCAGTCTCCTTGGAAGACTCGAAAGGCTCGAGATCCTCCTGAATGACAATCTCCTGGAGGAGCTGCTTCTTCTTGGGATCATATCCCTTGAACAGCTCGGGCTCGATGAGACGGATACCAGTGTGCTCCAAGATGTGCTTCTCATACCTAGCCTTGACATCCTTATCATCGACGGGATCGCCAGACTTGGCATCAACCCAGCCGGAGTAGGCCTTGCCCTTGAGGGGACCGTTGTGGTGCTTGATCAGACCCATGATCCATGCCATCTCAACGCAACCTTCCAGTGAGAACTTGCCCTTGGACTCCATCTCCCAACGGGTACGAGAGTTACCCCAAGGACCGACTTCAGAGAAACCAGTGACAACGACCACCTTGTCCAGGTTGACCATGCCCTTGAGCGACTCATTGAGGGGCTTGACTTCCTCCTCCCAGTCAGGCAGGTTGGGGAACTCGAACTTGATGTTGGCGCGGGGCTCTGCAATGAGCTTCTTGTGCAGGAGTTCACTGTCTTCGCCGTGGACAACCTTATGCTCAAAAGCAGTCTCCTTGATGACAGCCTGGCGAACATCGCTGGTCTCCATGATGTCGGTGCGAAGCTTGGTCATCAGACCCTTGAGATCCGGAATGAATTGCAGACCACCGTTGAGATCAGCAAAGACTGGATCGAGCTGGCACAAGTTGACGATGGCTGGAGACATCAGTCCGAGAAGGTTGAAGGCCATCTCCTGCTGGGAGAATGTACGGACGCCCAGCTTCTCGACGCCTTCAGCAACCATGTTGTTGCCGCTCATTAGACCAGTACCACGGGTCCAGCCAATGACCGCACCGCAGATAGTAAGGTAGTGGCCCCAGTTCTCAGAGTACCAGCGGTTGAAGAGGGTCTCCAGAGCAAGCTTGGACTCGGAGTACAAACCGTCGTTGCCGAAGGTACCGTGGTTGGGAGAGAGGGGCAAGATGACCTGAGCAGGGCGAGTCTCGAAGCCGTGAGTTTGCTTCTGGGTCTTGATGCAGCCCAGAAGACGGAGCAGGTTGGTCAACATGATACGGTGAGCCAGCTCAGACTTGGAATCGATCGAGTCGATCTCACGACCGTTCTCGGGGATGGCGGCGAAGGGGACGACAAAGTCCAAGTCCCATCCAAGTCCCTTCTTGGTGTCATAGATGTAGTCAACCAAGGCCTCAACATCCTGCTTGCTGCCCTGGTTGAACGGCACGACCACAAGTTGGGAGCCGCGAGCACCGAAACGGGCATAGATAGCCTGGTAGTATTCGGTCACCTCGCGCGAGAAGCGACTGGTGGTGACAATGACCTTGGCGCCACCACTGATCAGACCCTGCAGGACCTCGGCACCAATAGAACCGGCACCGGCACCGGTCATCAGGACGTTCTTGCCCTGGAAGCTAAGACCGTTCTTAGCAGCTGACTCCAAGACATTCAAGTAGGTGCCAGTCAGCTTCTTGTTGTAATCCCAGCCGTGTTCGGTCTTCTTCTTCAGGTGCAGGAAGGGAATGGTCTCCACTTTGCCGGGGCGGGTGGGAGCAGAAGTAACGCGTTTGGCAGCACTGCGGCCGCCCTTCTTGCTGTGGCCGTTCTCCTGGGGGATAATTTGGCTCTCGTTCATGCCGAGAGCGTGAATGACGTCCTTGTAGAGAGCATCGAACTGGATCTGCGAAGACTTGGAAAGACGATGTTGCTTACGAATCAGCTTGTATACGCTCTTCAGGTCATTTTGAACCTTGGTGCGGTTGCTGTATTCGGAAATCGGGCCTCCCTCAGCCATGTGCTTGACGTAGTGCTCCAGCTTGCGAGCGCTGGTGCGAGGAGCCTCCTTGTAGCCGATGTTGCCACGGGCGTCAATGGTGGTTTCAGGACCAGTGGGCACAGCAACGTCCTTGTAAACAGGGGCCACTTCCAGAACTTCGCGGCAGTTCTCAATAAGCTGTTGACCAAGCTCCTTGGCAAGCTGGTAGGTCTCTCCACGCTCAGTTGGGCAGTTGTCGATGTGGTACTGCATGAAGTCGAGGAGGAGGGGGTTGGAGCGGTTCATGATGCGAATGCACTGGCTGACAATTTCACGGTCGACGACCTGCAGGCGACCGAAGATGATATCGTAATACATGCTCAAGGCGTCTTGACGAGCCCAGTTCCACGAGGAATCGTAGACACGGGCCTTCAACTGATCGAATGATGGCTCAATGCCTGAGGCGTAGAAATCGCCGTGCTCTGCTTGCCACAAGTCCAGCTGGGCCTGCAACGCTTTCTGGGTCTCCTGGGAGACAACGTGAGCCTTTTCACCACTACGAAGGTCGAGCTTAAGGTAACGGGCAATGATCTCGAGCTGCTGCTTGAACAGAGCTCGCTGATCCTTGGTCAGGGCATCAATAGCTGCAGGGTCCATCATCATACCACCGCCACCACCGCCAGCGTCACCACCGGCAACTGGAGCGGAGAGGTTGACTCCAGCGCTAGCGGCGTACTTGTTGGTTACGTCGTCGAGATAGGCCTTGGCATCCGCTTCAGCGCCAAGACGAGCAGCGGGCTCCATGGTAAGAGCAAGGAGGAGGACACCATCCTGGCGGCCAGACCCCAAACCCCACCGAGTCTCCAAGTATTTTCTAACGGAAGTGATGTTGAAGCCACCGGGCATTTTGGAGGAGACCATTCTGGCAATGAGCGAGGAGGACTGCTTGCCCAGTTGACCGTTGAATGTGGCTTGCATAGAAGCACCCAACTCATCGAGGGGAACATCCTCAGGCTTCTCGGGTGTAGAGCCGAATTCTTTACCCAGGTCACCCAGGATTTCATTCTGTAATGTGGACTTGCCTGTCTACTCGTTAGAACGGAGTAACCATTTTGGGGGAATGGGACTGCTTACCTCCGACAAGATCCTTAATGGCTTTTGACAATGGCACATCTGAAAGGCCCTTCTTTAGCTTCTGAGCAACCAATGTCCGCAGGATATCGACTGCTGTGACGGGGGCATCTTCGACGGCGGCAGCGGGGCCCGCACTGGGAGGTGGAGGAGGGGCTCCAGCTGCGGGAGCAGCAACTGGTGCGGCCGGGGCAGAAGAAGCGGCCTCAGCAGCGGGCTCGGGCTCATCCTCCACGGGGTCGACATCGTAGTAGATTTCCTTAGCATCCTTATTATAGCAGAGAATCTGGCGCTGGACTGATGTAGCCGCATCGTAAGCCTCGTACTTGGAGGCTAGTGTCCGTCGTGCCATTCCTCCAAGGGTATCTGCGGGACCAATCTCGACAATGCGCTCGGTGCGCTGTTCGGCGAGGATAACATCTTGGGTCTCGATCCATCGGACGGGGGAGGCGAATTGGTAGGCAAGCAACTCCACCAACAAGGTGTGGGCGAGCTCTTGTTCAACTTCCGGACGCATGATGGAAGTAATGGGTATCAATTGATTAAACAGAGAAGGATGGAAATTAGGACAAACGTCCGGGATTGCGCGACAAGAGTTGTCGAAGGGTCAAGTGGACAGGAAGGACTGAGTAAAAGAGGATAACTTGAAGAAAAGGAGTATAACAAAATTAGAATAGGAGTCAATCCTATGAAAAGTATCAGTCAAATGTCCCCAAGACAATTGGATTGATGGTCCCAGAAAGAAGAAGGGAAAAAAAGGTGGGAATGAACGGAGATAGATGTGGTATCGAATAATACCGGACGGTAATTTTCCAAGTTTCTGAAATTAAAACAAACGCCCGGGAAAAAGGAAAATAACAAACTACTGTTTCGAAAAAATAAGAAAAGATCAAAAAAAACAAATAACAAAAAAAAAAAAACAAAGATCACTCACCTCACCACGTTGGACTTGAAAATTAAGAAGAGAAGAGAAGAAGAGTGATGCCCCTATTCTAACACTGGATTTTTAAGTCCCTCACAGCGAGACTCGGAGGAATGGGGAGAGACAATGCCAAATTGGTGAGTACGTTGGGGTTCCAGAGCTTCGGCCGGGATCTGACACTAAGCAACGATGTGCGGCATTGCGCGGATCATTTGGCTAGCTGCCTGATTAGGGGCTTGGAGCTTTGCGAGGGAATCCCAACGACATCTGTGGAACACCAACGGTATTTAGTTGATGCACTGAGGTCGGGTCCCATCCTCAGTGGTCGCATATATACTCCGTCTATACTCGGTACTCCTATAGAGGGATATATATACATCGTCCGAATTTATGCCGTCCAGGCAAAATACCAATACCAGGTAACGTAGTGTAATCCTCAACGGGTTCAACCCAGTCACAACCCATTGGGGCGGGTCAGCCACAGCGCTAAACCCCTTTGGGAAGCGTGCAGTTCAACCAGCGGATCTTTTTTTTCTTTTCCCTATTGCTTCGTCCCCTTCAGGCTATCAATTGCTCTGGACCTTTTTCTATTTTATGTGTATATCTGTTGAAATTGTGTTCTCTTTATTTTACTCTCTTTATTCCCTTGATTAATACCCTATTTCGTTTAGACCTCGAGGTCTGCCCAGTGAGTGAGGCCCCTCTCTGTTAAATTGGAAAAACTAACGGGGAACAGGAAAAAAAACCCCCTCCCACATCTCAGGGTCGTTCTGGTCTCTTGCCTTCTTCTCTTCTATCTCATTTTCAACAGAGAGAGCCCACATCATGTTCGGCACATCGACCGGTCCCCAGACCGGCATCAACACCCCTCGGTCCTCTCAATCCCTCCGCCCTCTCATCCTCTCGCATGGCTCCCTCGAGTTCTCTTTCCTCGTCCCTACCTCGCTTCACTTCCATGCATCGCAGTTGAAAGACAGCTTCACCGCTTCTTTACCCGAGCCCACAGACGAATTGGCCCAAGATGATGAGCCATCATCAGTGACCGAATTGGTCGCCCGCTACATTGGCCATGTGGCTCACGAGCTCGACGAGGAAGACGATGCACAGGGCAACTTCTTGGATGTCCTCAAGCTCGTGATGAATGAATTCGAGCGTGCCTTCATGCGCGGCAATGACGTTCACGCCGTGGCAGCTGCGCTCCCCGGCATCGTTGCTAAGAAGAACCAAGTCGTTGAGGCCTACTATGCTGGGCGAGCTGCGGCGGGCCGGCCCACCAAGCCCTACGACTCGGCCTTGTTCCGTGCGGCGTCCGACAAGGCTGCCGGTATCTACTCTGTGTTCGGTGGTCAGGGTAATATCGAGGAGTACTTTGATGAATTGCGCAATATCTACACCACTTACCCTTCTTTCGTCGAAGAACTCATCACTTCCTCCGCCGAGCTCCTTCAATCGCTCTCCAACGAGCCCGAGGCTAGCAAGCTCTACCCTAAGGGCTTGGATATCATGCAATGGCTTCAAGATCGGGACACCCAACCTGATGTCGATTACCTGGTTTCCGCTCCCGTCAGTCTGCCACTGATTGGATTGGTCCAGCTGGCTCACTATACCGTCACCTGCAAGGTCTTGGGTCGCAAGCCGGGTGATATCTTGGAGCGATTCCTTGGTGCCACAGGTCACTCTCAGGGAGTTGTAACAGCCGCCGCTATTGCAACCGCCACAAGCTGGGAATCCTTCGCTACCGCCGCCCAGAATGCGTTGACCATGCTGTTCTGGATTGGTCTTCGCAGCCAGCAGGCCTACCCTCGCACGTCGATCGCTCCTTCCGTCCTTCAGGATTCGATTGAGAATGGAGAGGGAACCCCTACCCCCATGCTGTCTATCCGCGACCTCTCTCTCGCCGCCGTTCAGGAGCACATCGATGCCACCAACCAACATCTGCCTGAGGACCGCCACATCTCCGTCTCGCTGGTGAACAGTGCTCGCAACTTCGTGGTGACTGGTCCCCCCATTTCGCTATACGGTCTTAACGTGCGCTTGCGCAAGGTCAAGGCTCCCACCGGACTCGACCAGAACCGTGTGCCATTCACCCAGCGCAAGGTCCGGTTCGTCAACCGTTTCCTCCCCATCACTGCTCCTTTCCACAGCCAGTATCTTGTGTCTGCCTACGATCGCATTCTCGAGGATCTGGAGGATGTTGAGATCCCTGCCAAGTCGCTGGAGATTCCTGTTTACCACACCAAGACTGGAGAGGATCTGCGACTGCTAGGTGACAAGAACATTGTCCCCTCGTTGGTTCGTATGATCACCCACGATGCGGTCAACTGGGAGCAAGCCACTGTCTTCCCTGGTGCCACTCACATTCTTGATTTCGGCCCCGGTGGCATCTCCGGTCTGGGCGTTCTGACCAACCGGAACAAGGACGGCACCGGTGTCCGAGTCATTCTTGCTGGTGAGATGGACGGTACTAACGCCGAGGTTGGCTACAAGCCAGAGCTGTTCGACCGTGATGAGGATTCGGTCAAGTTCGCCGTGGACTGGGTTAAGGAACACGGTCCTCGCCTTACACAGACATCCACCGGCCAAACTTACGTGGACACCAAGATGAGTCGTCTGTTGGGTATTCCCCCTGTCATGGTCGCTGGTATGACCCCCACTACCGTTGCCTGGGACTTCGTGGCTGCTACTATGAATGCTGGTTACCACATCGAATTGGCCGGTGGTGGCTACTACAATGCGAAGACCATGACGGAAGCCATTACGAAGATCGAGAAGGCTATCCCTCCTGGTCGTGGCATCACCATCAACTTGATCTATGTCAACCCCCGTGCGATGGCTTGGCAGATTCCGTTGATTGGTCGTTTGCGCAGCGAGGGCGTTCCTATCGAAGGTCTGACCATTGGCGCTGGTGTACCATCTATTGAAGTTGCCAATGAGTACATCGAGACTCTTGGTATCAAGCACATCGCCTTCAAGCCTGGCTCCGTCGATGCGATCCAGCAGGTCATCAACATTGCCAAGGCCAACCCCAAGTTCCCCATCATCCTTCAGTGGACTGGTGGTCGTGGTGGTGGTCACCACTCCTTCGAGGACTTCCACCAGCCTGTACTCCAGATGTACAGCCGTATCCGCAAGCAGGGTAATATTGTCCTTGTTGCTGGCAGTGGCTTTGGTGGCTCGGAGGACACTTACCCTTACCTTTCCGGTTCATGGTCCGCCAAGTACGGCTACCCTCCTATGCCTTTCGACGGCTGTCTGTTCGGATCTCGCATGATGATCGCCAAGGAGGCCCACACCTCTCACAACGCCAAGAAGGCCATCGCCGATGCCCCCGGTGTGGACGATGAGGAATGGGAGAAGACTTACCAGAAGCCAACCGGCGGTATCATCACCGTTCTTTCTGAGATGGGCGAGCCTATCCACAAGTTGGCCACTCGCGGTGTCTTGCTCTGGCAGGAGATGGATCAGAAGATCTTCAAGCTCGACAAGGCCAAGCGTGTCCCCGAACTGAAGAAGCAACGCGACTACATCATTAAGAAGCTGAATGATGACTTCCACAAGGTTTGGTTCGGTCGCAACACCGCAGGCGAGACTGTCGATCTGGAGGATATGACTTATGCTGAGGTTGTTCACCGCATGGTGGAGCTCATGTACATCAAGCACGAGTCCCGATGGATTGATCCTTCCCTCAAGCGCTTGACAGGTGACTTCCTCCGTCGTGTTGAGGAGCGTTTCACCACTGTCGAGGGTCAGGCATCGCTGCTTCAATGCTATTTGGACCTTAATACCCCCTATCCCACCGTTGCCAACATTCTGGCTGCCTATCCTGCAGCTGCTGATCAGCTCATCAACGCACAGGATGTGCAACACTTCCTGCTCCTCTGCCAGAGACGCGGCCAAAAGCCCGTGCCTTTCGTCCCCGTTTTGGATGAGAACTTCGAGTTCTTCTTCAAGAAGGATTCTCTGTGGCAGAGTGAGGATCTTGAGGCTGTCGTTGACCAAGATGTCGGCCGAACCTGTATTCTTCAGGGCCCCATGGCTGCTCGTTTCTCCAACGTCATTGATGAGCCTGTTCAGGACATCCTTGATGGTGTCCACAAGGGACACATCGCCGGCCTCCTTCGTGATGTCTATGGCGGTGACAGCACCAAGATTCCTGTCATTGAGTACTTTGGCGGACAGCTTATGAACGTGGATGAATCGGAGGCTGATGGGTTGACTATTTCTGAAGAGCCAACCAAGACCAGCTTCCGCTTGTCTGCTACCGCAGCCTTGCCAGAGTTGGACCGCTGGCTCGGTCTTCTTGCCGGCAATGCCTACTCCTGGAGACATGCTCTCTTCTTGGCTGATGTCTTCGTTCAGGGCCATCGCTTCCAGACCAACCCCATGAAGCGGATTGTGGCTCCGACCGCAGGCATGTACGTCGAAGTAGCCTACCCCAACGACCCTACCAAGACTGTTATTAGCGTGCGGGAGCCTCACCAGTGTGGCAAGTTGGTCAAGACTGTCGAGGCCAAGATGAACGAGAACGGGCAGATCAGTCTGACCTTGTTCGAGAGTCGCACTGCTGAGAATGGTGTGGTTCCTCTGAACTTCCTGTTCACCTATCACCCGGAGACTGGCTACGCTCCCATTCGCGAGGTCATGGGTGACCGCAACGATCGCATCAAGGAGTTCTACTACCGGGTTTGGTTCGGTAACAAGGACGTGCCCTTCGACACACCCACTACCGCCACTTTCAGCGGTGGTCAGAAGACGATCACTTCCCAGGATGTTGCCGACTTTGTTCACGCAGTCGGTAACACCGGAGAGGCTTTCGTCGACCGTCCTGGCAAGGAGGTCTTCGCCCCCATGGACTTTGCCATCGTGGCAGGCTGGAAGGCAATCACCAAGCCCATCTTCCCTCGTACCATCGATGGAGATCTGCTGAAGCTTGTTCACTTGTCCAACGGTTTCAAGATGGTTCCTGGCGCCCAGCCCCTCAAGGTTGGCGATGTTCTGGACACAACCGCCCAGATTAACTCCGTCATCAACCAGGACTCCGGTAAGATGGTCGAGGTTTGCGGCACTATCAAGCGAGACAACAAAGCCATCATGCATGTGACCAGTCAGTTCCTTTACCGGGGTACTTACACCGATTATGAAAACACCTTCCAGCGCAAGGATGAGGTCCCCATGCAGGTTCACCTCACCACCAGCCGGGATGTCGCCATTCTTCGCTCCAAGGAGTGGTTCCGCATGGACGAATCCGACATTGAGCTTTTGGGCCAAACCCTGACATTCCGCCTGCAGAGTTTGATCCGCTTCAAGAACAGCGCTGTCTTCAGCAACGTCCAGACCGTTGGACAAGCTCTTCTCGAGCTCCCCACCAAGGAGGTCATCCAAGTCGCATCTGTTGAATACGATGCAGGTGACTCACACGGTAACCCCGTGATTGACTACCTTCAGCGTAACGGAACTTCCATTGAGCAGCCCGTCTACTTTGAGAACCCGATCCCGCTCAGTGGTAAGACCGCACTGGAACTACGTGCCCCCGCCTCCAACGAGACCTACGCCCGCGTGTCTGGTGACTACAACCCCATTCACGTGTCGCGCGTTTTCTCCAGCTACGCCAACCTGCCCGGAACTATCACCCATGGCATGTACAGCAGTGCCGCTGTTCGCAGCCTCGTTGAGACTTGGGCAGCCGAGAACAACATCGGCCGTGTTCGTGGATTCCAAGTTTCGCTTGTCGGTATGGTTCTGCCCAACGACATGATCACTGTCAAGCTGCAGCATGTTGGTATGATTGCTGGTCGCAAGATCATCAAGGTCGAAGCCAGCAACAAGGATACCGAAGAGAAGGTTCTGGAGGGTGAGGCTGAGGTCGAGCAGCCCGTTACTTCCTATGTCTTCACCGGCCAGGGCTCTCAGGAGCAGGGCATGGGTATGGAGCTGTATGGTTCTAGCCCCGTGGCCCAGGAGGTCTGGGACCGGGCTGATCGCCACTTCATGGAGAACTACGGTCTTTCCATCATTGACATTGTCAAGAACAACCCCAAGGAGCTGACTGTCCACTTCGGTGGTCCTCGTGGTAAGGCTATCCGCGAGAACTACATGGCCATGACTTTCGAGTCGGTGAACGCCGATGGGTCTATCAAGTCGGAGAAGATCTTCAAGGAGGTTGATGAGACCACCGCCTCGTACACCTACCGCTCTCCCACTGGTCTTCTCTCTGCCACCCAGTTCACCCAGCCAGCCTTGACTCTGATGGAGAAGGCCAGCTTCGAGGACATGCGCGCCAAGGGCTTGGTTCAGCGCGACAGCAGCTTCGCTGGACACTCGCTTGGTGAATACTCGGCTTTGGCCGCTCTGGCTGATGTCATGCCCATTGAGAGCTTGGTTTCCGTCGTGTTCTACCGTGGTCTTACCATGCAGGTCGCTGTCGAGCGTGATGCACAGGGTCGCTCCAACTACTCCATGTGCGCTGTCAACCCCAGCCGTATCTCCAAGACCTTCAACGAGCCTGCCCTCCAGTACGTTGTTGAGAACATCTCCGAGACCACCGGCTGGCTGCTGGAGATTGTCAACTACAACGTTGCCAACATGCAATACGTTGCCGCTGGTGACCTCCGTGCTCTTGACTGCCTCACCAACCTGCTGAACTTCTTGAAGGCTCAGAACATTGACATCCCTGCTCTTATGCAGAGCATGTCTCTCGAGGACGTCAAGGAGCACCTCGTCAGCATCATCCAGGAGTGTGTCAAGCAGACCGAGGCCAAGCCCCGTCCTATCAACCTGGAGCGTGGCTTCGCCACCATTCCCCTCAAGGGTATCGATGTGCCCTTCCACAGCACTTTCCTGCGCTCCGGTGTCAAGCCTTTCCGTTCCTTCTTGCTGAAGAAGATCAACAAGACTACCATTGACCCCAGCAAGCTGGTCGGCAAGTACATTCCTAACGTCACTGCCCGTCCCTTCGAGATCACCAAGGAGTACTTCGAGGATGTCTACAGACTCACCAACTCGCCCCGCATTGCCCACATCTTGGCCAACTGGGAGAAGTACGAAGAGGGCGACGAGAACGTTGCCAAATGATTAACCTAATACTGTTGATCTCCTCTTTATAATGCTCTTTTTTTGATAGACCTTTCTTTTTTGTCTCATGGGTCATTATGTGATATGTCTCAAAGCCTTGGAGTTTTACGTGCATGTATATGAGTTTTCCGTTTCCATTCTAATATTATTTTTCCATCATTCACTTTGATTCCTTGTAAGCACCTTATAAATCAAAACGCCCTAAAATTACATATTTACTTTGGCTGCTCAGAGATAAAAACACATTTAAAATTGACATGAATTCTTGATAATTTATTAACGTCCTGCCCGGTTGAGAGGACCCCAGTTAGCACGGGGATTGAGCTGATACCGCACCAGTCGCTTCTTAGTATGCGCAGCAGACACCTCACGGCCTCGAACCTCATCAAAAACCACAGTGAGGGCGCTAGGATGAGGCGGCTTGGAGGCCTGTGTAGTAGCAGCGACAGGTTCCTCAGCCGGTGCAGATTGGGTCTCAGCATCCGGACGAGGCTCTGTAGAAGCGCCATCCTTTTGCCACGAGTTTCGCGATCCAGATCGGTATAGAGCAGCTTCAACTTTAGTGACCAAGTCACTGATGTCTCTACCAGAATCAACAGCAGACATGAGATCCTTTTTGAGAAGCGATAGCCATTGGTCTTCGTCGCCCAGTTTACGCAGGTTTTCACGGCTCTTGCCCATGATCGCGAAACCGGCAGTTCCAGGTTTCAATGAAGATTCTTTGATGGGCGATTCCTGACGGACCCACTCACGCATAATCTCCCAAATCACCTCCCAGGGGGCATCGGTGCGGATGGAGTTGGGCTTGGCGTGGCTGCGGGTGGAGCGGTAGCCGAGATGGCTGAGAGCACCGCGGAACTCGTCGATTGGGATGGTAGTGCAATGCAGAACCTTGGCGAGAGAACTGAGGGAGAAGTAGAATGGGTATTTTTCTCGTGCGGCGACATCCATACGGGGAATGATGGCAGGGTATGTAACTTCCTGCTCGCTCTTTGTTTCTGCGGCAGGTTGTTTGGGACTGGATGTCTCTGATGAAGATGGTGCGATGTCCAGGTCTTCTTCAAGGGCTGTGGTCAACATGCCCTCGATCCGAGCAGTGGTCTGATATGTGTCAGTGTCAGCTCCGGGAAGCATGTCCAAGATCTTCTGAATAAAGTGAGGGTTGTGGAGCGGACCACCCCACATGGGGCCTGCGAGATGCGTTTTTGAGCCGCAATGTTCGCAGTGTGGACCAGCTGAGGGTCCTTTAGCAACCCCGTGGTGGTAGATGGGGTTTCCCTTGCGGTCCAATTTGGATTTGTTGATACCGACGGTCTGTGTTGACCATGCGCCACAGCCAGCATCACAGCTGTAGACGAGCATTGTGTTGCCGGAGTTGAATTTGACTTGTGCGGGAGAACGGTGGACCCGAACAAACACGCGAGCGTAGAAATCGATTGACAGAGACAACAATGGTTCAATGGCCACTCCATATTTGGACGCTGATGCGGCAAGGGAATTCAAAATCAATCTCAGACCACCCTCGTGAGAGTGGGAGCCTTTCATAGGGATACCGCCATACAAAGAGAATGCCTTTTCCGAATAGCCAACCGAAGCCCAGACGCCAGCATCGGTGCAAGTGACACACAAAAGGCCGCCATCTTTAGCTGCCTGCACTGCAGCATCCAAGAATGGAGCTGCTGTGCCATATGGATCCAAATCAATAACGTCAAACTTGCTGGCGTTATCAAGCCCATACATATAAACTCGAGCATCGCCCAAGTTGGGTTGGATTGTTTGGAGCTCGTTATACTCGATGTTTTTCTTCATAGACTTGATTGCCGACTCTGATAAGTCGTTGGCTACGACCTTTGTGACAAATGGCAGCTCTGAGGCATAGCGAAGAGCGCGCAATCCGGTTGCAGACAGGGCATCGAGGACAGTAAAAGATGGTGTTGAGGGCTGCTGGGGTTGAACACTCGACTGCGGTTCTTGCTCAACTGGGGCAGCAGGCACTGGCTGGTCATTAGGCTCTGTGTTATCCTTGTTTTCTGCGTTGGGAGCGGGCCTCGGGTTCTCCGTCTGATCGTCTTCGCGCTTACGCTTCTTTTCCCCATTGGCTGCCTGCTTCTTCAGCTTCTGGGCAGCTTTTTGTTTCTTCAGATCTAAGACATGTTCTCCGTGAGCGCGAATGGCCAGCACACTCAAGTCACGATTGAATTGTTGAATTGGATTGTAGAAGACGGATTGGGTCTGGTCGTCGGCTTTGAGATCTTTCTTCGTTCCCTTAGAAGCGGCTTCTTGGGCAGGCGGGTTGAGAATCTTTGCCAATCCTTCTTTGACGACATTGTACTGGGTTCCCTGGTATTCCACCAGCTGACTCTGGGGATCCTCCATGGCTCTAGAAGTGGAAAAGATTCGGACACAAAATCGGATCGAAGTAGAGGTCGAACGAGGGGTTTGGGTGAGAACGATAGTGGGGGCGAGTCTTCGCTTAGCGCATATTGTGGCCGACCCAAATATCAGCGAGGGGTTCATGGGCAGAGCCTTACAAGAAGCATATCGCAAAAGATGTTGAATGCGACGGAGAAAAAGATCCAACGCACGGACCAAGTATATTACCGTATGCATACATAATTTTGTAATTTATATCTATAAAAGTGATTGCATACAAACCTACCTGATTATCTTGCAGTTTTCCAGTTCATTTTATACATTAAGGATTAAGTGTGGGTAATATATACGTTGTTACAGGACTGTTTATAGCCACTCCCCAATAATTGGAACCTGACTATACATCTCATTCCAACCCTTGGCCTCCCAGCCGGCGCCTTCACCAGCACGTCCGACAATACCAAGAGCACCCGCAAGCCAGACAGCCGCGCCGGTGGCGGCGAGTCCATTGACGACCCACCACATCTTGCGCTGTCTTTTCGACTTTTGTTCCTTGATGCCAAGGTAGCCTTCCAAGGAGCCTTTTTGGCTACGATCCTTGCGCGCAGTGGTCACTCTCCAACCCATCCAAGTCGCCCAGCCGCCGACGAGGTGCCAAACACTAGCAGTCACAAAGAACAAATAGAACGCATTCCAGAACATGGGACTCCGAGCAAAGCCGTGCGCAACATATCCCAGTCCCACACCGGAGCTTCCTCCTTCAACCATCACCGGCGTGGCACGGTTGACCAAAACGTGGAATCCAACCAACGGTGCGATAAAGTATCCAGTGCGTGCCTGCAACGACATTCGGGGCCAGAAGTATAAGGTCTTTCGCTGGGCGCGAGTCTCCGCGCCGTACAGTCGTGCTCTACGCGAAGCGCGAGCGTTGCGGAGAGCAATTCCAGAGGCTATATGTGCAAGTATGGGGATCGTCAGGACTAGATGTTCGAGGCCGGGAGCTTGGTATATGGGTCGCGTGAGCAAAAGGTAGGATTCGCTCGCAGCCACGGAGCGGGTCATGAGCGGGATAAGCGAGGTGTTGGCGAGATGTAGGATGAAGAAAGCCGTAGGTGGGTAGGTGGAGTATTTTTGGATACCCGTCACTAGAGAATCATTGTGGTTAGAAGCTATAAATCAATGTTGGCGATTTTCTAGCTTGACGTACGCCATGAATCCCACCGATGGCCACTAAGGCCCAATTTGGGAATTGAGAGACCGGTCCCATGCTGCACAGGAGATGCGGCTCTGGGGGTATATGTTCCGCTTTCAATGTCTGGGGTGTCGTCAACAGGTGACGGATCTAGTTCTTGCATAGAGATGATCGACTTGGTATCAATGTCGTCTGGTTTGGAGAGGTCGTGGGACGACATTGTATATTTCTAGAGAGAAAAAAGGAAAAGAAAAAGAAAAAGAGATTCGTAAGAAAGGCGCTCGTCAATTATGCATCTATAGGAGAATTGGGAAGGAAACAAGGAAATGTTGGGGTTAACGATCTCGCTGAGTTGCGAAAATTGGGTGCCTGTGATAGGCCGCTTCCCTCCGGCAAGATCCAGGTACATACATCAATGTACATACATAACGTTTAGGTTGGATTGGACTTGCATGCTGCTTCACTATGAAGGCCATATATAATTACTCTAAAAAGTGCGTAGAAATGCAAGTCTTGCTTCAGATTAAGTAATACTGAACTTACAATTAGGAGGTACCTATATGTAGGTAATAAGCATGTCGGGAGTACCTGGGTGCATCGGGCTAGCTGAGACGTCATAAGCGTAGTTCTGCCTGAACCCTCAGGCACCAAGGGCCATTCATACACATATGGTCGCAATGCTCCGCCGTAGCATGCTCCCTCGTACCTCCACCCATCCTCGACTCCAAGCAAAATGGCACCTCCGGTATGATCTTTTAACTCAAATCCAATGCATGAGCTAACAAATATAGCGTGGCTCGACAAATCCTCCCCCGAGGGTAATTGACTAATTCTCCAAACCCGCTATTGACAAGCTAACCCCTTCCAGACCGAGTCTGCACGGTCTGCGCTCAGCGCTTTCACCTGTACCCTCTGCAATAAATCGTATTCGCGTCACCCGGAATACGAGGCGCATATCAATTCATACGATCACCAGCACAAAAAGCGGTTCCAAGATCTTAAGCAGCTATCGCGCGATCCGAATGCTGCGGAGAAGAACCGCCGAGCAGAACGTAAAGCCAATGCGGAAGCCGGTCTAAAGACTATTGAGATCGCTGGCACCACTGCAGCACCAAGTGGAGCCAAGACAGGCTTCAAGAAGGGAGGCTTCAAGAGCTCTTTCGCTACTATCAAGGGAACAGCTGCCCAAACAGTGCCAGCCAAGAGAAAGAATGTCCTAGGAGACGATGACGAGGACGACAATCCGAAACCGCAAGACGACAGTACTACACTAGCAAGTACTGAACCCCAAAAGAAAGATGACGGTGATATGGAAAGCGACACCGATGGGGACTATGGCCCGGAAGGATATTATGATCCTCGCCGGCCAACAGACTGTTTTCCTGACTGTGCCGCCCAAAGGGCCCAGGTTGCTGCGTGATGACTCTTGTGATGCCGGTAATCACATGCAACCAATCCAGTCCAAAACATGGGACGGCGTTCGGGGTAATGACAATTTTTCTTTAATGACTTGATAGCAATGAATGAAATTAAGTCTGAAGCAGTCCAAGCACATTTACGCTGGTTTTGATCTTGATGTAATGGTACATGCTTTCCAAAAATCTGTCTAAAACGGGTGGGCAACAAAAACAGGACAAAAACAAAGACATAAAATAGAACAGATGAAAGGGTACTAGGCACATTGCTATATTATTGCGAGCTTCTCATTCCAACGTCGTTTATTAGCTTACAGGCGCAGAAGCTTGACGGCCTGGCTGACAATGGTGTCCTCCTGGGGGAAGGCCATGGTCTCGAGACCGGCGGCGTAGGGAGTAGGGACCTCAGCACCGGTGACACGGACGGCAGGGGCGGTCAGGTAGTCGAAGCCGTACTCCATGGACAGAGCCAGGATCTCGGACGAGACACCGAACATGGGGTAGCCAGACTCAACAACCATGATGCGGCCGGTCTTCTTGAGGGAAGCGATAATGGTCTCAACATCAAGGGGCTTAATAGAGCGCAGGTTGATGACCTCGGCCTCGACGCCGTACTTCTGCTTGAGCTGGGCGGCAGCAGTCATGGACTGGCCGACGCAGCGAGACAGAGAAACAATGGTCAGGTCCTTTCCGGGACGCTCAATCTTGGCCTTGCCGATGGGCAAGACGAAGTCGTTCTTCTGGGCAGCCTCGCTCATGGGGAATGATTGACCGTACATAAGCCTAGTAAAGGGTTAGTTTCCGCGGAATCCAACAAAAATGAGTGAATCTTACTCGTTCTCCAGAACAACCACGGGGTTGGGGTCACGGATAGCAGCCTTCAGCAGACCCTTGGCATCCTCGGAGCTCCAGGGGGAGACAACCTTCAAACCAGGAATGCTGCCGTACCAGGCAGAGTAGTCCTGGGAGTGCTGGGCTGCGACACCGGCGGCAAAGCCATTGGGACCGCGGAAAGTGATGTTGCAAGGTTGGATACCACCGGACATGTAGTGGGTCTTAGCGGCGGAGTTGATAATCTGATCGATGGCCTGCATGGCGAAGTTGAAGGTCATGAACTCGCACTAGAATGCGAAAAACGATTAGCATCTGCCTGCGTAGCAAGGGTTATAGCGATACAGAGGAAACTCACAACAGGGTGCAAGCCAGCGAGAGCAGCACCAACAGCAAGACCACAGAAGCCAGCCTCTGTGATGGGAGTATCAATAACTCGCTTGGGACCGAAACGGTCCAACAGGCCCCTCGTCACCTTGTATCTGTAGAGGCAGAGGATTAGCATCAATTCCATCTCTCAGAGCAGCTAGCTGGATCGAATGTAATGCTTACGCTCCATTGTACTGTGCGACCTCCTCACCCAGGATAAAGGTCTTGTGGTTGAGTTCCAACTCCTCTGCCAAGGCCTCGTTCAAGGCATCGCGAACGGTAACCTCCTTGGTACCGTTCTCTGTGGCATATCCGCGGCGCAGAATCGAAGGAGCACAGGCAGACTGGCGGATATTGGAGCGCAAAGCAGAGGAAGCAAGGCGCGAAGAGAACAGACGAGCTGTTGGGCGGAAAAGTCGGGGAGCTGCCATTGCGGGATTATGGTGGATTAGAGTAGAAGAAGTAAACAACGATGGAAAAGATTCGATTGGAGATCGCAGACCAATACGGACCGCAAAAGCAAGTGGATAGAAGTACGGAAGGATAAAAACAGTGAATGCCCAGAAAAACTCCCCGTCCAAATAATCTTTTGAGATGCAAATCCCAAGATGTTGGGCAACACGTGATCCCCAGGATCACAGCTCACCGGTACCGTAACCGTAATCATACCTTCGGAGAGAGCTTCCCTTGTACACATCTACTTGAGATCACTTCTTCTGTTGAGCTATATCTATCAAAGGCTCTGTCAAATACCTACATAGCTATCCAGCCAGGCATTAAGAGCTTTGTTTGATTGTGATTTATACTTGTTGTGTACTGGTACTGATGCTGTTCCTGCTCTGGCTACTTCCGTCGGCGCTCGCCGCTCAACCCTCCGCGCCCGATCCCATTTCCGCTCCGCTACGCCCTCTTGAGTTCGGACAACTGAATTTCCTCCATACTACCGATACTCATGGTTGGCTAGCCGGTCATCTGCAGGAGTATGCTTTAGGACCCTACTAAACCTCCAGTTGTACTAATTATTGCAGACCGTCTTTCTCCGCAGATTGGGGAGACTATATATCGTTCACCACGCGCATGCGGGAAAAGGCCGAAGCGCAAGGACAAGATCTGCTCGTTATAGACACAGGCGACAGAGTCGAAGGAAATGGCCTATACGACTCGTCCGAGCCCAAGGGCATCTACCTTTCGGACATCCTACGGCACCAGCATATTGACCTGTTGACATCGGGAAACCATGAACTATACAAGCAGAACACATCAGAAACCGAGCTTCTCGTCACCGTCCCTAATTTCCGAGGCAACTATCTGGCTTCAAATATCGATATCATTCACCCCACAACTAAACAGCTTGTGCCTCTAGCTCCGCGGTTTAAGAAGTTTACTACCAAGAAACAAGGCATTCGCATAGTAGCGTTTGGCTTTCTTTTTGATTTCGGGGGAAATTACAACAACACTGTGGTCCAGAAGGTATCCTCCACTGTCAAAGAGGCTTGGTTTCAAGAAGCTATTCGGGATAAGGAGGTCGATTTGTTCTTGGTGATCGGCCATGTGCCTGTGCACTCACCCGAATACCGGACGATCTTCAAAGAGATTCGGAGTCTTCGTTGGGATACTCCCATTCAATTCTTTGGTGGACATGAACATGTACGTGACTATGCGCGTTACGACTCCAAATCATTCGGACTAGCGAGCGGCCGATTCATGGAAACAGTCGGTTTTATGTCAATTGATGGGCTCGCAACCAAAACCAGCCATCAATCCGCTGCAGGTCCCATCTTCAAGCGCAGATATATTGACAACAATCTGTTTTCTTACCATCATCATACCAGTCTCAATCAAGAGACCTTCCCAACCGAAAAAGGTCTCAATGTATCCCGATTGATCGCCAAAGCACGGACCGATCTGCATCTGGACCAGGTCCATGGATGTGCTCCACATGATTTTTGGATGTCACGAGCCAAGTATCCGGATTCCAGCAACATCTACACCTGGCTTGAAACTCAGGTTATGAGTGACGTGAAGGACGAGTCTCGTGAAAACTCGTCTAGATTCGTCCTTGTTAATACGGGCGCCATCAGATTTGATATCATGCAGGGGCCTTTTACCCAAGACTCCACTTTCATTGTATCACCTTTCACCAGCGGCTTCCGTTATGTGAAAGATGTCCCATATGACAAGGCTCTACTTGTTCTTGAGGTCTTAAACGAGCAACGTCAAATTTTATCCGCGGACAAATCTTCTTCGTTCATAGCGCTGGCTCCTCCTGAGCAACTTGCATATCCGGAAGATGTGATTGCACAGAAATGGCCTTCTACGGACGAACAAATCCCCATGTCGGGCCCAAGACTGGTGCCCGGGTACACCACACAAGACGATGCAGGCACAGATGGTGATGATACTGTCCACTCACCAATCTCCTTCTACCGTGTGCCAAATTGTATCCGAGCTCTCACACCTGCTAATGCATCTGAGATACCGAAGACTGTGGATTTGATCTATATTGATTTTATTGAGAAATATGTTTCAATGGCTGCCAAATTCGCTGGTCTCGATGTCGACTTTACAAAGGAAAGCGATGTGTATATGCCGCAAACTTCCTTCACGAACCTGATTTTGGACTGGGTGAAGAAGAATTGGAAGTGTTGATAGTTAGTCAGTACATTTTATTACAAACTACCCCATCTATATTCCGGACTCGTGATGTACTGGCATTTTGATGGACTCAATAAATCACGAGAAAGTAAACAAGCCGTCTGGCAATATAATACACAAAAGTCCGTTGTTCACTCAGTCACCACCGTTGAAGGTGAACACACCCTTGCCACTGCGGTAACCACCCAAAGTGCCTTGTACACTCTCTGCCAACTCGGGGCCCTCAGACTCCCAGTTCCACTTGACCTCATCCACGGGGATATCGCGGAACTTACCAGAGCGAGTCAACTGAAGCACATCGTTGATTGTGCTTTCTTTCAGCTCTGGGTGCTTGTCGCCCCACCGACTGACCCAGAATCCATCAAATGAGAGGTTCTTGAAAATCAGCAGGCCCGAGGGCAATGCAACAGGTTGCTTGGACATAGCTCCATATGTCACCATGTGCGAGTTAGGAGCCAGAGTCTTTGCCAAAGCAGTAGCATTCTTTCCACCCACGCAGTTCAACGCCAGACGGATAGGTTCCCGGCCTTGACGGGTGAATTCATGGACCATGTCGCGGAAGTTGCGAGAAAGCATCTCCTCCTCGGTGATGACAACGGTAGCTCCCAGATCCAGGAGCTCCTTCTTAAGAGCCTCTGTCTCTTCAGGCGTCTTGCGCTCTCGGACAACATTGAGCGTCTTGATGCCCCACTCGCGACCCAGCTGGATGGCTGCTCGTCCAACACCGCTGTTGGCGCCATTCTGGATCACCCATTCCTCGCCGGTACGCATCCAATCCCACTCGCAGAAATCCCGGATCATGCGGTATGCGGTGACGGGGTTGACACTGACAGTGCCAACCTGCAGCGGTGTCAAGCCGTCCTTATTCTCAATCTTGATCAATTGGGACTCGTCCAGCTGTGCGTGAGTACGCCAGGTACCCTGGCCGGTGCGCTTCATAATGACCCAGTCGCCTTTGCTAAGGTTCTTAACGCCCGCACCGGTTGACAGCACCTCGAATGCACCCTCGTTACCGCCGACGGCGGCGGGCTCGGTGTTTCCAAGCGCGGTCTGGAAAGGGGGTTTGCTGGGGTAAACACCTTGAATCTGGTTCACGTCGGCCGGGTTCATCGGCGCAGTCAACAGGCGCAGATTCACTTGGGTCGCGTGTGGAGCGGAGATCGAGTGCTTGTGGAGGCTGAATTGATCAGCATTATACTCTAATTCACAATTCAAAAGCTACTTACCGCAGAACATCCTTGGGCTCGCCATATTTGGAGTAAATGAGCGCCTTTGCCTGTGTGTAGCCATAGACAGAAACGTATCGCCGACCGGACGGAGCTTTGGCAAGCACCTGGGGTACAGCTCGAGCTGTGGCAGGGCCAGCACGGGTAGCCGCCTGTAGTACACTTCGTGAGAACATATTTGGTAGTTGGAGGAGAAGAGAAGAGAACGCCGAGCAAATCTGGATGACGTCTATCGGCGATTTCGCTCGGCCCGAAGGAAATACACGTAGGCAATGTTGGACCTAGGTAGCTCGCCTTCACAGAATTGGACAATATTTGTGATATATTTAAAGACTTCCGATCATCTCATTCAACATAAACCACTGAACTTATAAAGAATTTGCTATCTTCGGAGGCAAACAGAGCCTTGAATCCAGATTGTAGGCACGTAGAAACCAGCACGGACCCGGAAACTCGCGTTCCACTACATCGCAAGCCCTCTCTCCTCACACACTCGTCTAAATGTCCTTACTGCGCGAAGCTGAGAGATGCGTTGCTAATCAATATGCGCATGGCTTCAATGCTTTCATAACCCCACTGTCCCGCGCGGGGCCATGGCTGGACCGCGTGAAGGAAGCAGATGTGCGCAAGGAAGAAGGTAGAACATCAGACCTCCGCGCTCTTCTCTTCAAAGTTAACAGATATGACTAGGGAAATCCAAGTCCGCAGTAGATGGCCGCTTGATCTCCATCAAAGACAACATCTGCACACGCGACCTTCCGACGACCTGCGCTTCAGGGATCCTCGATAAATTCACGAGTCCGTTCAATGCCACGGTTGTCGATCAACTAGAGGCCGCCGGAGCCATTATCGCCGGGAAAACAAATCTGGACGAGTTTGGAATGGGATCAAACTCGATCAACTCACATTTTGGACCGGTGAAGAACCCTCGTCGAGACTCCAGTGAGGAGGACCTCTCGGCCGGCGGCAGCTCTGGCGGAAGTGCTGTCTCAGTCGCCGCCGACCAATGCTATGCGTGAGTCGCCAGTCGTCATGGAGGAGGTCGATTGCTGACTTCGACAGCTCTTTGGGAACAGACACAGGAGGTTCAGTCAGACTTCCCGCTGCATACACCGGGACGGTGGGATTCAAACCGTCCTATGGACTGATCTCACGATGGGGCGTGGTAGCATACGCCAATTCTCTAGATACTGTGGGTATATTGGGTAAAACCACCGCCAATGTGCGGGATATCTTCAGTGAGTCTTGACCACACAACCGCATACCACTTGTGCTAACAGCCTAGATATCCTCAATCAACATGATCAGCGCGACCCTACCAACCTCTCATTAAAATCCCGTTCTCGAATCCAAGACTCTCTCCAAGTACCGCGCCTTGCTTCGCGACTGACCTCTGCGCCTCTGCGAATTGGTGTTCCCATTGAGTACAACGTTTCCGAACTGACACCCTCAGTCCGGCGCGCCTGGGCTCTTTCTCTAGCATACCTCCAGAAACAGGGACATACCATCCATTCCGTCTCTCTACCAGACACAAGACACGCATTGTCTACCTATTACGTTTTGGGGCCTGCCGAGGCATCTTCTAATCTGGCCAAATACGACGGAGTACGATACGGGACTCGCGCCGAAGGCCCGGATGGCGATGGGAAACCCGATGGGTATCTATTTGCGAATACTCGGGGAGAAGGTTTCGGAGCGGAAGTGAGGCGACGAATCGTTCTAGGCACGTTTACTTTGAGTGCCGATGCCATTGACAACTATTTCATTCAAGCACAACGGGTGCGTCGTTTAGTTCAGCAAGACTTCGATGCAGTCTTTGCAGCCAAGAATCCGCTAGCTGCGCAGGGAGTAGACAGCGCCGCGAAAAGGAATGATGTCGATGTCATCATTTGTCCTACTGCTCCTTCATCGCCCCCCCGGTTGTCGGACTTGATGGGCGAATCTACCAAACAATCACCTCTGGATGCATATGTCACCGACGTGTTCACCGTTCCCGCCAGTTTGGCTGGTCTGCCTGCAATCTCAGTCCCTGTCACAGTGTCCGGGCAGCAAGAAGCTGAATTGGCAGGTATTCAGGTCATCGGCCAGTATGGCGATGATCAGTTGGTTATGAATGTGGGAGAGATGTTGGAAGGAAGGAGTTTGGATTAGCCGTTACGTGTACGAATATATATTGTATATTATTTGAATGATTGTTGGAATTTGAGAAGTGGTATCAATCCTATCGCGAAAGCCAAACGCCTGTGTCATTTTCCCATGCCCACTGAGAGTAGATTCTGCTGCTATGTCATCTCGACATCGCCGTCAGCCTGCACTTCAACATTGGGAGTGCCAGCTGTCCCGACGCTCATCGCATCTTCAATGATGTGGTTGCCGACATCGCCAGCAGCCGGCGTCTCACGATTACTATTGGCAGCAGAATCAGATGCAGCAGCGGTCCCAGGGGTGTGGGCAAGTGCAGAGTCAAGCGCTGCGCCAACACCACCTTTCAACACCTCAGTTCCTCCCACGACTCCGGCTCCGCCTAGCTCGGTGTTGTTATTGATGACATCGCCATCAATACCGCCCCACGTGAACATGGCTTCTACCTCATCCACGATATCGGCCATCACGTCTTCGGCGATTTGATCGTTGAAACGCTCGCCCATTGGTCGGATTGGCTCTCCACTTTCAGTCTTCTCGGGTGGGCCAATCCACCACGGCTCCTCAAAGCGACATTCAACCGCACCGCCGCCGTAACAACTCACAGCTGGATAGTAACCGATCAACCCGTCGTCGGCATTTTCACGCTCGCCAATACCAAGGTTATTTGTGCCGTTGGCAAGACGACTCGCGGGTGGTAGGAAGGCGTAAAGTTCCTTGAAAGGAGTGCCCATTTGAACTCCATTCTTCAGAATAGTGATACTAGATCCAGGAAGTGTGCGCAACGTAGCGTCTTCACTGTTCAAAGGAGATGGGGGACCAAATGTCGGTGTTTCCTTGAGGTTGAAAGCGTAGTCCCGGAGGTGTTTTGTAGAAAAGACATTGGATTGTTGCCAGCAGAAATCCGATTTGTAATGAAACGGAATCCGATCCCGGATGATGTTAGTTGCTGTAGCCGGTTGCGACGAATCGTTATTGGCGGGGTCATAGGTGCCTTCAACAATCTTCTTGTGAAGAGAAAGAGGCGGAAGAGTGATCAGCATGCCGATCACATCTCCTTCATTTATAGCCTCCCCCTTGGGGAAAAAGAACTCGCATCGCATGCGATTGACAACTTCTCCATTCACATCTCGAATTCCGTATCCGTAACAGTCCACACCAACATTCACATCTAGATCGGCCTCACGTCGTGCAAATCCAATGCGGACATGGCCACGGGGTGATGTTGTCGGTCGACCAGTCTGAGGTGCTTGCGGGTCATTGACTATGCCACTAATCACACGAGCTTCATAATAGTATGTCCCCTCCCGCGCACATACGTTGGCGCGGGCAGTATGCCACGCATCACTAGTGGTAACCGCAGTAGCGTTCTCTGAAAACGATATGGCAGCTGGTGAATCCTCGAAGCTGAATCGTGTATGGTACGGGCGAACGTCGGTCTGTCGATATTTGATATGAGGGAAGCCGGGGTCTGCGATAGCGTAGCTGTAGCGGAATCCATTCTTGTTGGTGAGTTTGTCAACAACTTCGTAGAAATCCCAGCTCTGGCCCAAAACATCCGACGTCTTGCGGGTGACACGATTTAATTGGCGAGGCTGTGGAGGGAACCGATCCGAATCGTGGGGCTCAGCGAGGAGCAATGGACGCAGAATACTCAGTTTTGAGCTGGGCAAGGCTGTACTTGGTGCAGCTGTGGCTCGCTTTTTCGGTGGTGGTGCGTTGTCGGTGTCCAGCCCTTTAGCTTCACGCTTCTTGCGACTGTCTCGCTTATTGCGCTTGGTTCGACCATCGCCTTGCGCAGACGGAGCTGGAGAAGATCTTCCATTCAAGTCGGCGAATTGAGTATTGAGCAGGGGTGCGCCATTGGGAGGTAAGGTCGGGGAGTTGATGTTGGACGACGGAGCAGAAGATCCGGGAGCTTGGGCAGATGCCATGATGGGGACTGTACTTGTCCGCTGATATTGGAGCCTTCAAATCCAAGATAAATCAGCAACTTAATCCGGTATAGTTAATAGATACTCCTCCACGTTGCTTTGCATCTGCAAACGTTCTTTCTTGATCTGGAGCTCCGCCGCGTGTGGTCCAGGTGTTTCGAGGTGTAAATGCAAAGGAATTGAGTACTCAATCAGTGACTCACCCGATTGAAGTGTCTTTCAGTCTGTCAATTATGCCCTTTTTCCATAGAGCAGCAGCAAGTGTCCCCCTGTCTATAAAAAGAGCTTATCGCTGGCGCGGACAAGAATATCGGAAACCATGCGGGCGGTCAGCGATGGATTGCAGAAAAGCCATGAGGAGGTTCGGGCGGTGGGGAACACAGGCGGTGGGGAGACTGGGTGGGCACCGCTGGGCAGAAAAAAAATTATGACCACACAATCTGATCGTCGTTGTGTACTTCGATAAGGCAACCTAAACCACTCATTGTAATATCTTCGGTATATCTGAAGAATTACCCATCATGCCGAAGGCCACCAGCTCCCGTGCCGCCGCCGCGGCGCGCAGACACAACCCTCTCGCCGAAGATATCACCTCCGCGGGGCACCTTCGGACACAGAGCAGCAAGAAAGGCAAAGCCAAGGCCAACGAAAACGACGAAGATGGCGAGAATGGGCAGCGCTATGTCGATGCGAAGATGTCGCGCAAAATTCTACAAATTGGACAGGAACTTGCCGAGGAGGATGCCGCCGAGCAACTTAAGAACTCAGCACAGCCCAAGTCAAATGGTGCATTTGATTTCGATACCCGATTCGAGGATGAGGAGGAGCCGTTCTCCGACGACGAGGGCAAGTTCGAAGCCGATGATTGGGTCGATGATGAAGTTGAGCAAGTGGTAAGGTTTTTGGATCTGTGGGTAAATAATGACATTGTTTCTAACATTATAAAAGGAGGTCGATCCCAACGATCTAGATATGTTCAACAAATTCATGCCTCACGAGGAAGACCCTATATTCCACCCGAAGGATCCTAGCTCCGCTGGCCCCACCAACCTTGCCGATTTGATCCTTGAGAAGATCGCCGAGCACGAGGCAAAGCAGTCTGGAGAGGCTGGCCCTTACGGTCCCTACATCCAAGGTGGTGGTATCCCTGAGGATGCCGTCCAGCTTCCCGCAAAGGCTGTGGAAGTATATGAGAAGTATGTTTTCGCAGTAATCTTTTTTGGGTTGATAAGCTAATTTGCCATAGGGTTGGCATGATTCTATCTCGCTACAAGTCTGGCCCGCTCCCCAAGCCTGTCAAGATCCTTCCCTCTGTACCGAACTGGCAGACCCTTCTGGATATCACTCGCCCCGAGTCATGGACTGGCAATGCCGTTTATGCCGTGACCCGTATTTTCATTTCGTCCAAGCCTGCCGTTGCCCAGGAGTTCATTAACATGGTGCTTCTGGATCGCGTGCGCGAGGAAATCCACGAGACCAAGAAGCTGAACGTCCACACCTACAACGCACTTCGCAAGGCTCTGTACAAGCCCGCATGCTTCTTCAAGGGACTCTTGTTCCCCCTCGTGTCAACCGGCACTTGCACCCTGCGCGAAGCCCACATTGTCTCTTCTGTGGTTGCCCGTGTCTCTGTTCCCGTGCTGCACTCCGCAGCTGCCCTGCTCCGCATGTGTGACCTTGCCGCGGAACAGTCCTTGACCTCCCTTGAAAGCACTGGCGCTGTCAACATGTTCATCCGAGTCTTCCTGGAGAAGAAATATGCCCTGCCTTACAAGGTCATTGACGCCCTGGTCTTCCATTTCATGCGCTTCCGCGCCGTCGATCCTTCCGAGGATGCCATGAATGATGGTCCCTCTGGATTAGGGTCCAAGGCATATAAGCTGCCCGTTCTTTGGCACCAGTCCCTTTTGGTCTTTGCCCAGCGTTACCGTAACGATATCACCGAGGATCAACGTGAGGCGCTTCTCGATTTGCTCCTCGTCCGTGGACACAAGGACATTGGACCCGAAGTGCGACGTGAGTTGCTTGCTGGCCGAGGACGTGGTGTGGTTGTCCCCGACCCCGAGGCCCAGAATGCTCTCGATGCTGGCGACGACACGATGGATGTCACCATGTAGATCAGTTGATTCTTGTCCTGCACATGTTTGCTTACGATCTTGTCATGAGCACGTTTCTATGGGATGGCGTTTTTTTTCTTCTTTGAGGGACTGCATATAATTCCCCTGGTGTCGAGGGTTTCCAAAATGGGATGAATTGTTACTGATCACGCAATTAGTATAGCCAATGAAGGTAGACATATTCTTTAAGAGCCTTTGAAAGTATGTAACAATACTCCGTAGGCCCACATACACATGATAGGAGTCACCCCTATCACACCTCGAATGGAGGGGTAAGTACCTAGGTATATTGCACGATAGGTTTCAGGCGATCTAGATTGTACCGTTCTCCCGCGTTCGAAATGGTTCGGTAGCATCGTCCGTACATACTCCGTATGGTTTCCGCCAATCTAAATGGCACACTGACCTCCTTGGCCACAGATATGCATTGTACGGAGCAATCAAGTTACATTCTCAGACTCAGGGGCACGGAGAATTAGCGGGGTGGGGGCAGCGTTGACTTGCACAATCGCAGTGATTGGCGTCCGGACGGAGCATTCTCCGGGCAATCCTGATCGCCTTTTTACGGAACAGTTTCAGGAGATAGCGTAGTAATACTAGATCCACTCTAGATTGTTCGAGACTCTAGGGCTGTGTGCTGATGTGATATTCTATTGTGGGACACGAGAGAGATGCAACATCGTTGATAAATCGAGATGAGGTTGTTCCATAGGGAGTGCTCTGTACTCCGTACTCCAGATCCGTATATATATATAGAGAGAGAGAGAGAGTACATAGTCGAGTGATTGGACGTGTCTCTCGTATTACCCGAGGAATCAGAAGAGGAGTCCCAATTATAGCCGCCGAGACGGGAGGCAAGAAAGCCGGTGGGTAACAAAACACAATGTTTCCAAATACCAATCATGATTGGCTGCCACCGGTGGCTGAACCATGGAATGCAGGGGGGAAATGAACGTAATTTTACGTGTCTCGTTACAAGCCAAACTCAGCCCCTTTTCCTCCGTACCCTAAGGAAGGGGTACTTCCTGGCCCATAGTGGATTGTATGGCATAGCGTGTACCTGACGTACGTGTGCTGACGGTCTGACAGTGCCCCCTTTGTTCCATCCCAAGCCATCCCAAGCCATCCCTTTCAGACCACGCTGGCCTCTACTTAAACCTCATCCCGCCCATCCGTTTGCATCAGAACAGCTGTCCTTTCCATTCTTTCTCTCTTCGCTGACTCATCCTCTGACTTAATACCCTTCCCCGGAGTCTGGTCTCCGGTGCCGATCGTGATGATAACGTGGCCTCAGTGATTTGAATCTCTCTTCACCCCAGTCATCATAAGTCTATACTATCAAGCACTTGTTATATTCACGTCCGGCACCGGTTATCCATTTGACCCTGTCATCATGGCGGATACTATCAACCCGTTGGACACTCTCCCCACCTCGCCTTCCCCTCAGATGTACACAGTTTCCCCGGCGGATACTTCATTAGACACTCCTGAACCGGAGGATGATATTAAGGAAGAAGAGGATGAGAAGAAGCCAACAAAGAAGAGAAAGTCTTGGGGACAAGAACTACCCACCCCCAAAACAAACCTCCCTCCTCGGTAAGCGCTTTTGTAAACGTCAACAACGAACCCCGCTAACATCCTCTTCTTAGCAAACGCGCCAAGACAGATGATGAGAAGGAGCAGCGTCGGATAGAACGGGTCCTCCGGAACCGCGCTGCTGCTCAAACATCACGCGAACGCAAACGACTGGAAATGGAGAAGCTCGAGACCGAGAAGATCCGGATGGAGCAACAAAACCAGTTCCTGATCCAGCGCCTAGCGCAGATGGAGACAGAGAACAACCGCTTGAGCCAACAAGTCGCTCAGCTCTCCGCCGAGGTCCGTGGATCTCGCAGCGTGTCTCCCAAAGCCAGCTCGCCTGCTATCGAATCTCCCACCCTTACGCCTACTCTCTTCAAGCAAGAAGGCGACGAACTCCCTATGGAACGGATCCCCTTCCCCACTCCCTCCGTTACCGACTACTCCCCCACCCTCCAGCCTTCCACTCTGGCTGAGGCCTCCGACGTGACACAACATCCTGCAGCGGTGTTGTGTGACCTGCAGTGTCCGTCGCTGGCCTCGAAGGAGCTGGAAATGCCCTCCCCCTCTTTGACCTCTCCGACGAACCTCAGACTGCAAATGATGTTGCAGCTCCTCTTTCTGACGATGACTTCCGCCGCCTGTTCCACGGTGATTCACCCTCTGAGTCAAATCCTTCTTTCCCTGAAGACGGGTTTGCCTTTGACGTTCTCGACGGAGGAGATCTATCAGCATTTCCCTTTGATTCTATGGTTGATTTCGACCCCGAGTCTGTCGTCCTCGACGGCGTCCAACCGACCGGTCTTTCGGATGAGACTTCTCACCAGACTACTAGCTTGCAGCCCAGCCTTGGCGCGTCCACTTCGCGATGCGACGGGCAGAGCATTGCAGCTAGCTGTTAGTGAGACTTTCTCCCCGCAGACCTGGTCGGCTGGCGTCCCGGAGGCTCGACCGAGTTGGGAGTCGTTGTTAACCATGGCTTGGGCAATCGATAGTCTCAGCCTGTCCCAACGACACCAGCGGGGAAACACTTTGAAATCCGGTCGGCGACGCAGTAATGGAAAGATGCATCGAGGTACACGGAGTTTCCGGAGTTCCAGCGCGAGCAAAGCATTGTCTTTGCTCATGAGCAAACAGCGCTGAGGGTTCCATATTTATTTGGCCTGTATAATAGCTATTTTTTTTCTCATGCAAAATTGACTGGCTCATCTTGCAATTCTTTCCGAAAAGTCCAGTAGACTGTAAATTGCCACCGTATAACTATGCTGTAGCCCATCTCAAAGAACTCGGGAAAAAGTGCTGTAGTCTTGTCTGTGATACTAAAATAGACGCTAAGAATACGCTGGATGCGGTCAGTGACGTTGCCACGCGCCAAAGCCCCCCCAATCTATCTGCCTTCCACAACCCCTCAAAACAACCATTTTCATTCTAACCGGCATCATGGTTCGCAAAGATCCTATTTTCGAAGCTCGCACAAATGTTAAGGTGAGCCCGCCTCTCCGCAACTCCGCTGCCCCTCCTCGCAGCCTGCATCCCCGCCTGATCGCCTCTGTTAATCTTATCTCAGCTGCACTCCAACCGACTCAAGAAAGAGGCCGTCCGGGCGGAGGCCACTTACAAATCCGAAAAAGCCAAAGCCGACAAGGCGATGAAAAACCGCGAGTTCCAGATTGCCCGCATCCACGCCGGCTCGGCCGTTCGCGAGAAGCGACGACAAGTAACCCTCAAATCCGAAGCCGCACGGGCAGACGTGATCATCAACGAACTCAAGGCCGCCCAAAGCACCCGCGATACATCTCGGACACTTGCGATGGCATCGCGCGGCCTGGATGCTGCCTCGCGCAGCGTCAACCTCGAGCACCTCGTCTCCCACGCTAACAACTTCCTCGCCCGTTCTGAGGACTTTAAAATTGCTAGCAGTGCGATCGAGGATGTTGCGCAGGGCGTGTCGATGCAGGAATACGGTGCGGAAGGTGAGGCCGATGTTGATCGGCTTATGGAACAGTTGGCGGATGATGCAGGTGTTGATATGCGCTTGAACCTCGAGGCGGATGCTGCGCCGAAGGAAGATGTCAAAGAGCCCAAGCAAGCGGATGCTGAGGTCGAGGATGGACTGGGTGCGAGACTACGAGCCTTACGGGCAGCTAATTAGGCGGGGTTTTCTCGGTTTTTGGGAACTACAGATCTCCTGAGAACAGTCAATTCCCCATATAGATTCATCGCGATCTCTGGACCTTGCCACACACTGACGATCCACGAAGTTACGGTTGTATTTCTCTCTGCGCTGTTCTATATGTACTAGGCGTATTCAACAATGTTTTCTTTTCTTTTTATTCTTTTTTCTCTCTATTTCTTTTTTGTCTTCTCTTCTCTTCTCTTCTTCTTTTTTTTTCTTTCAGTTTGCCAACTCACATGGCCAGGCTACAAGGGTAGTCTAGTTTCGCGCTATCGCCAACGCCATAGTTCAAGCGAAGGCAAAACCTGGGAAGCCGCATGAAAAAGACCAGTAAGACTGGAGGCGACTTGACTAGGGTTGCGACTAGAACGGAAATAGACTGACATCTCCACTTCAGTTGCGCGAGCCAAGAGACATCACCAATCACACCCCGGTGTCTGCCTACCTTAATGCCGGCAATTTCCACCGATCAGGAACCAACATGAATTAGTTTGTCTTTGGCGAGAACAGACCCCCAAAATCCCCCCAAACCAGGGTCTTCCAACGAGAGGCGCTGTCTAGATTTTTCTTATAAGATCATGGCGACCGCCTCGTTCCGGGATGTTTTCTCTACGGAATTCACAGGCCCAAAATGGCGCCTTCACACTCGTTTATCCTTTTCTTGTCATTCGTTTTGAGCCCACTCGTTTTGGCCGCTCCTTGGATTGTCACAGACTACTACGAGGAAGTAACTACCTCGAGGTACTATTATGGGCTTACCACTGAAATCAACCAAATCTCTCCAACGGCAACTTTGCCAGATGAGGCCTTGTCCACCATTACTTCCACTGAAACCGACTATGACTACACCGTCATTGAAAAGCTGTACCCCACCGGCTATGGTGTAGACCGTCCTTACAACAATTACTACGATATTTCTGTTGACCGCGATGGCAAATATCATACCACCGTCTACAAGGTCAACCTGACTTTTTCAGCCCCAACGGCCTGCTCTACTCAATGGACCACCACAACCGCCGTCGAGATCACCCCTCCCGCTGATATCAGGAACTTGTTGCCTCGGGAGACTGTAGTAAGCTCGACCTCGGTGGACAACGACCTAGCATTCCAGCCCACCACGTACATCTACGAGGTGGTGTTCGTGGAACCGACCCAATTGCCCAGTAGCTCCTTGAGCCAGTTGAGTTCGTGGAACTCCCCTACTGGCATGTACCAAGGTGAGGGATGCCGTCCCACGGGCTCTAGCGACGGCTTTTACGGTGGCAGTTACGAAGACGGTTACTACTACTCCGGCTATGGCTACTGGGATGACAACTGGTGGTTCACCAGCAAATACGGCCTGGGCCTGGGCATCTCCGGTTTAGCAATTACCCTGATCTGCTTGCTGGGCTGGATCGGTATCGTCTTCATCTGCGGTATGATCGAAGCCTGGGTCCGATTCCGTCGTCTCATGACTGGCTGGCAAACCCGCCGCGGTCTACCTCTGTTCTGGGCATTCATTCTTCTTCCGTTTTCCCTTTTCTTCCTGTTTTGCTTCCGCAAGGGCTACCGTGCCCGCAGCAAAGAAGACGCCGCGATTCTCCGACAGAGATGGGAGGCTATGGGTTTCATGACCAAGCTGGGCTTGTTCTTTGCCTGGGGATTCCGCTTCAAGTACCCGACGGTCTTGGGTCCAGCCCCTGCCCGTGTTGCAGGAAGCAAGAGACCTAAGGAGTCCGGCCCGCGCCTGTTGGATGCTACACCGCCCACCACTAATCCTCCCTCGCGCGCTGGGACGGATACAGGTGTCGCGCCTGCGGGTCCTGAGATGGCTCAGGCTTCCGACTCTCAAGCCCAGCCCCGTGCTCCTGCACCGGAATCTGGTGTCCTGCCGGCTGGTCATGATGAGGAGGCTGGTCACGCTCGTTGATTTATGGAGTGGTGAAGTTGATAACACGTTCTTTTGCGATGATAGAATCAGATTTATATGAATGCCTCGTTCTTGGGAGGAAATCAACGATCCTGCATCTTGAAGCGCCCATTTTGTTGGCTAATTATACTTGATCGATACTACAGAATACATGCTCTCTTTTAATATCCTAGTTGAATCGATTCCTGATTAAAATGTAAAACTAAATATACAGCAAGACAATTTAGTCTAAAAAGTATCAAGTCACGAATCTATCCCCAGTTGTTGTCTATGGAGGTCTGTTATATCCAAGATGGATTTTTGCCAACGCCGAGAAAGCTTGTTTTCCCTCAATTCCATTTCTAAAAAAATGCCAATTGGACCTATTTTTGGATAAACCAAAACAAAAAGTTGGCAAAAAAGAAATCTTGAGGTTTGTTTTTAGGAATAGCCGAACGCGGGGGTCGAACCCGCAGCCTTAAGATTAAGAGTCTTACGCTCTACCGATTGAGCTAGCCCGGCCGGGCTGTTGAAGACACGATCACAAAAGCGCTACACAAGCCAAAAGTACCTATCCCCCACTTGCCATAACATCATCCAGGGTATGACCCAACGTCCTTGACCTCAACCATTTCCCCATGGACATCGAGTCGGCAGGCTCAGCCATAAGCCCACATGGAAAACAAGCCGCATGCTTGAACTGTCGAAGGAGTAAGATTCGCTGCAATCGCCTGGCAGGTGAGACCACCTGTGAGAAATGTAAGCAAACAAATGCAGAATGTATTGTACCCAACCATCATCTGGGCCGGCAAAAGGGGGTCAAGAAGTGAGTTGAGATAGAATAGTAATGAGAACAGAATGACACTGACGGTTATTCAGTAAACGAAAAGGCCTGGAGAAAGCGATCCATCAGATCGAGCAGGCAATCAAGCGACCTAGGGTCGACTCTTCAGGCGACGATGATGCCCAAAAGGCCATTGCAAGTTTACAGGAACTTCTCGGACAAGTCCAGGGCCAGTTGTTGCATAGTGGGAATGGATTGTCGGAGACACCCGATCACCCGCATGTGCCATCTCCGCGCGACCCGCATGCAGAGGAGAGCCTCGCCCTGGATGATGCGGAAAATCCACTTCAATTGCTTGCAAGAGCTTCGGATCTTCAGCTTTCGCCGACTGGAGTGCGACAGATACTGAAGTCTCCGTTGCCAGTGTCGGGTGGTCCACCGGCATTCATTCCGAGTACCATCGCAGAAGAACCAAGCGCTAAATCTTTCTTTGTCCCGACGAGAGCCAGCTTGGATGTTGGACCTGATGTCGATCCTGTTGATCTGGGCTTGGTCACATTTGATGAATCCGAGTCCTTGTTTTCGTTGTGGGTATTTCTTTATTTTTTTGGGACTTGTTGTGAAAAATATATATCTGACACAATCAGCTTCTATCAAAATCTCGCACATACTCGATGGGGTCTTGATCCGTTGATACACACCCCGCCATTTGTACGATCTCAATCGGCTTTTCTTTTTACTTCGATTATGGCAGGTGCAGCTTTATTTTTGCCATCAGCTGCTGCATTGTCTAAAAGACTGTCGAGGCATTGCAAATGGCTCGCGAAGCGAGTGATTACCCACCGCCATAGATCTGTTGAAATTGTGCTGGCTTTTATGGTAAATGTGCCATGGATGTCTCCCGGTGATAGCCTAGGAGATGATGATACTTGCTCCTATATTGCTATGGCCCTCACCGTTGCGTTAGACTTGTCTCTGAACAAGATTGTCACACCATCTTCATGCTTCAACCAAGGGCTTTTAGATCGCCTGGCGCGAGCAGAATGCATAGACGCAAAGAGAGCCTTACTGATGGATGGGTTTGATAATGTCGATCCATCCTCGGAGTGGGGCCTGCGACTACTTCGGAGACGCGAAAGAGCTTGGATTGCATTATACGTTGTGGAGAGAGGGTATGTTCCATTTCCCTAGCAGTATCTATAGAGGTACTGATTTTTTTCAGAGTCTGTCTTGCGCGTGGAAGAAACTATACAGTTCCCACCACAACGCTGATCGAAAACTGTGACCGCTGGCATCTATCAAGAATTGCGGATTTACGTGATGGTCCCATGAGCTCCATGGCCGTCCTTCGGAGGGATCTTGTAAGTCTCCCACTATGTCGTTCAACCTCACACTAACAATATTAGGATGGACTCTTTCGGCAAGTCAAATCAAGTTGTGATAGTTATCGCATCGTTGACACCGGCTCGGAAGCCGCCCAATTGTATGACTACCCTGGGGCCTTAGGGCTTACAGATCATCAATGAATTGATTTGTTCATGTTAACACCGAATTACAGAATTAAGAACACTATTGAAACATTTTACAAGCGGTGGTATGCTACGTGGGCCTTGTCAATCGGGGAAGGAGAAGGTAAGGAGATCATATAGAAACGTGGAAATGATATGACTAAATAGTAACCCCTACAGCACGCTCCCTACCCCCATACGTCGAGATTCTTGTCACACATACTCAACTATCAACCTACGGCGGCGTCATAAACCATCCCACAGCCCCACTCGAAGTAAAACGTTTCTTCCGAGCAGCTGGTCTATCATCCGCCCTAAACGTGCTGCGAGCCGCTATACAAGGCGAATCTCGACTGAAATCAATGCCAAACAACACCGTCATAATGATATCCTTCGCAGCATGCTCTGCGCTCAGCCTCAGCGTAACCTCCGGCGACAGCAGATCCAGCCTAGCCCCAAGCGTGCGAAATCTCATCGAAGAGACTGCTGGTGTCCTAGAAAGAATCGGCGCGACACCCGATCACCGAAACGGCGCCTCAGTGCTCTACGGAAGATTCTTACGCGAGTTGATTCGACGCGCACCAGCTTTGCCTTTACAATCTCGAAGCAATGCTGCTAATATCGATCCGCCCCAGTCGGCATTCCCGCCTGCATGTCTGCATGATGGCCCATTGCCAGTTACACAAGCCCTGTCACCCAGGAATACCTTCTTCGAGCCATTGCACTTCTCTGCTATGTCTGATAATCAGATCGTCGATGCAGTCAACCGGGCGGGCACTGCGTTTGGTGCTTCGATTCCGGATGTGCCTCTGGACGACATGCTTAACTGGGATTGGCTTGATTTTGCAAATCCGGATTTCAGTTTCTGATAGCGCTACAAGGCGATGATTCACATACCCTGTATTCACCTAAGTTTTCACTTGTGAATATTGCTGATTGAGATATGATCTTTATCGAGGCGACTCATAATATTAAGTTGCATTTTTCTCCAAGATTATCTTGGTCTTTTTTTCGTTAATAGCAAATGAAAGGCGTTGGTTATCTTGGGATTCCCCTAAGACCCTAAATCATTCTGGTGATAATGAAAATTAATGTAAAAATTAAATAGTTAGGTATTCTATGTACTCTGTACCTTGCCCGGAAAACTATAAGATTTCGGGATCAGCTATATCCTCGTATACACGGGTCTAATATGCATGACATCAGAGATAATGAACAGGACATAATACGCTATTTTCTTTCTTTTGATGGCGAATAGAAACGAAAATTATCTGCTTCTCATATCAAGCCGTGGGATTAAATCCGAGAAAAAGCAAAGGAATAGAAGCAGATCCGATCGAAAGTTGAGCTCGGAGGCTTCCGCGACAATCCTCGGCATCCAGAAGTAGCCCCGACTAGCCGATGCCGTCAATGTTTTAACAACAGGGTGATCGCATTTCCGTTCTGCCGTATTTCTTTTTCTCTGTATATTTAATGAATATGACGGCGCTCCGAATTTCAACCTCAACCTTGTCGCGCAAGGCGCTCAGTGCCTGCCGGCCTCGACTGTTCCTTGCAGTGCGCGCCAGCGCGCGCCCTTCGCAACCCTTCAGTACCAGCACTTGCACAAGATACTCCACAACCACGCCATTACGGTCTCTCACCCCTAAGATCGAGCGCGGTGGTTCAAAGCTCTTCAAAGATGCCGACGCCGCCGTCGCAGACATCAAGAGCGGATCGACAATTCTGAGCTCCGGGTTCGGTCTTTGCGGGGTTGCAGGTATGTGAATGAGCAAGTAGGGGGATAACGGTGGTTCTAACATACCTTGATCTAGAAACTCTGATAAATGCTATGCAGCGTCGAGGCGCCGATAAATTACATTCTCTGACGGCTGTCTCGAACAATGCCGGCGTTGCGGGCAAGGGAGGCCTTGCGATACTCTCGCAAAACGGTCAGGTCAGCCGGTTGATCCTGTCATACCTGGGGAACAACAAAGTGTTGGAGAAGAAATACTTGACGGGACAAATTGCTATTGAGCTTTGTCCTCAAGGTACTTTGGCGGAGCGCCTTCGTGCTGGAGGTGCCGGGATCCCGGCTTTCTTTACGCCAACGGGAGCACGTATGTGGAGATCCTCTCCAGACTCTGTTGTTTCTTTTATTGACAAGCGAAGACACGTTTATTCAGGAAGGAAAGATCCCCGTTCGTATGGACGAATCTGGGAAAGTTCTGGAGACTGGCAAGCCGCGCGAGACTCGGGAGTTCAATGGCAAGACATACCTGATGGAAGAGGCTTTGACTGGCGATGTAGCCATCCTCAGAGCCTGGAAAGCCGACGAGGCTGGTAATTGCGTTTTTCGGTGAGCATCTACCAGTAGCTACCGGTATCAGCATTCTGACATTGATTAGATACACTACTAAGGCGTTTGGCCCTATCATGGCCAAGGCCGCGACTTTGACTATTGTAGAGGCTGAGAACATAGTCCCAGTTGGCTCCATCGATCCTAATGATGTCGACCTACCGGGAATCTTCGTGGATCGGATAGTGCCGGCCACTGACGAGAAGCACGTTGAAATCAAGAAATTGCGATCAAGTGAGAGCACTGCAACTGGAACAGCTGGAGACCCAGCACAGATTCAACGGGAGCGTATTGGTCGTCGTGCTGCTAAAGAGCTCAAGCCGGGATTCTATGTCAACCTGGGTGTTGGTATTCCCACGTTGGCACCCTCCTTCTTGCCGAAGGATGTCAAAGTCTGGATTCAATCAGAGAATGGAATTCTCGGAATGGTACGTCTTCAAATTCTTCGTCTTGATCAACAGCTCTAATCGAATCTAGGGTGATTATCCCACTGAGCAAGAGTTGGATCCGTAAGTTGGACCCGGAATCATAACATACCTCTAGCTAACTTGACCAGCGATGTCATCAATGCCGGTAAAGAGACCGTTACTCTGGTTCCTGGAGCTGCCACATTTGACAGTACCGAGTCTTTTGGTATGATTCGCGGAGGTCACGTAGATGTGTCCATCCTGGGCGCTCTGCAAGTGAGTGCCAACGGTGATCTAGCCAACTATATGATCCCTGGTAAGGTGTTCAAGGGCATGGGCGGAGCAATGGATTTGATCTCGAACCCGGACAAGACCAAGATCGTTGTCGCTACTAGTCATGTGGCAAAGGATGGATCGCCCAAGATCGTCGCACAATGCAGCCTACCGTTGACAGGCGCTAATGTTGTCAGCACCATCATCACAGACCTAGTATGTCGGGAAATCCCAGTGGATGGGAGCAAAGCTAACAAATATGCAGTGTGTCTTTCAGGTAGATCGAGCTACTGGAGGGCTCACGCTGACGGAGCTCGCTCCCGGTGTTGAGGTGGAGGAGGTGCAGAGCAAGACGGATGCCAAGTTCACTATTGCTGATACCTTGGAGATTATGGAGTAGATTTTAGAGAAAACTTATGACAACTGGGGTATTGTGAATAAATAGAAGCTTTATTAGTGTACAATACGAAAGAAAATGGGAATTGGTGGGCTGTAGGTGACCTGAGAGAGCATGTGACTTCTGTTCAATACTTCCAAGTAGGGAAGGTGCGAACAACATGCTCACGTGTCACAAGCCCCTGTATCGTCTGTTGCCCATCGTCTACCCCTGAGACATGCATGTGTACCTAGGTACATATAAACTTCCTCAGCCAACCCCAAGAGGTCAAGGGCTTCTTTCCTCGTTTCTCCGTCATCAACACTCAACAGAGTCACAGTGTCAATAGCCGTCCCTTTTAATTCTGCGGAGCTGGAGAATGACCTAAATAGGAACTGACTCTGAGTTGAGTACACCCTCGCCTAGGCCCCAGGCATTCTATACTGAGTCCATCAACATCTCGCCGAACAGTTGTACTAAGCCTTAAATACTTCAATGTACGACGGCGACTTCTTCTGTTCGGATAGCCTCGATTACAGAATCAAAGATCTGAGATGATCTAGGCAACCAATTCTCTAATACGCATGCCGCGGAGATCGCAACAAGTCACGCCACTAAAGAGCCGATGCTAGCGACCCTTGCACATTATCGCAACCCTCTTCCGATGATTCTCATTGGACAAAAGGCCTCACTTTGAATGATCTCGCAATTTCAATAAGACGAACCAACTATGTATCCCAGAGAATGACACAGGCTGCCGACGCTATGACTGATCTGTGTGAAAAAAGTCTGTGGTCTCAGTGATAGGGGATCCGTATATTGCTATAAACATGGTCACCGGGGGTAATCGGAAGGTGCTGTTTTCAGAACCCAAGAAGACTTTTGGGTACTATGTGGAAAGTGTGGTTCAACACATCATCTCAATACGCCCACTCTGCCATTCTAACTAATGGGCAACATGTGAAACTAAATGTTGCAGATCCAGCCCAGTGAACCATAGCAAGACGTGACTCCCGCCAGACACACTATATGGCTGTCTAGTAGCGGATCATAGATCTCCAAATCCTCAGCTGAGAATCGCAAATTGATGTCGGCGAAAAGATTTCTCACGTGCCACACCGTCTATCAAGGAGATTGAGAGAAAAACTATGAGATATTGGTCTTATTGACCCGTACGGCACCGAGGAGGTAACTTGACTACTGGGGACGAACTAAAAGGCTTATCAAGCAACATGGCAGGATTTTGTGAGTTTTGAAATGGGTTCTCACTTTTTTTCTGCTATTATTCGCTCCTTGGAGCAGAACATGCAAAATGGACACCGTAACAGACTTAGGAATACACCAAAAAAGCACATTCGAAATGATGCCAGTTTTGGGTTGGAAAGAGATTTCAACCTATAGTGCAAACCTGATAGGTTCCAAGCAATGATCTATAAATTCTTCACATCAGACTGTAAATGATGTAATTTAAAGCCTTCTGTCGATGCCTTTGTTCATAGAGCTATAGATAGTATCAGCTCCAATCGTCTCTTTTAAACTTTAATATAGAGTGTAGCAGGTGACACGGGAATCAGGCAGAAGCTTTTCTTTAAGGTTTTGACTAGTAGCCCCAGACCCACGGACGTGATGCTGCCTTAACTCTGGGGCCTCACTTAACCCAAACAAGCTCATGCCTAGACAAATAAGCTTTCTGTTACCTTCAGAGTCCAGGCATGAGTGTTCTTCCCTTTCACCAGGTTCCATCATGGCCTTTCATCCTGCCTTGGAGTCAGTTCCAGAGCATGAACCTATGGTCTTTGTCTCTGCTGGGCACTCTGATCGAGTAATCTCGGAAGTTGCCGTCCCCAATATGAAGCCTCGACGATCCCTGTTCTCAAGTTGGAGATGCTCTCACCCGGATTGCATCGCGTACCCTTACTCAAAGAAAGCTATCTTCTGTCGAGGAGTACAGCGACCTCTTTGGACAATAATTACCATCATGTGTGTATCCAGTGTTGATAGCACTCCAACGCGTCAACAGATCGCGTTGGATGCGTTCGTCGCGCTCTTCACGTTCTCACTGACAATGTCTAATTATAGTGGTATCATAAATCTGCTCACAGTTGCATGGCAATGTATGTATTATCTTATTATGGGTGATGGCTTCTTTGTGTTCCACAGACAAAGCCCCTCCACAGTGTCCAACTGGACGACTCAAGGTGTCACACCAATTGGCTGTCACTCGCACAACGATTACCTCCGCCACGTTCCACTGCACTCAGCACTTCGTGTAGGATGCACCAGCGCTGAGGCGGACATCTGGTCTTGGAAGAATGAGATCTTAGTCGGTCATTCGCGTTACACGGTTTTCCGGGGAACTTTGAAGAGCCTCTATCTTGATCCGTTGCTGAAAATGCTTGACGCGCATAATGCGCCTTCTCACGGTGGATCGACAGATGGGAGCCAGAAGATGGTTGGGCTGTTTTCAAATGATCCAAAGAAAACGTTCACCTTGATGATTGATTTCAAAACCGAGGATGATAAGATCTGGCCTCTCCTCGTCGACCAGTTGGATCCCTTGCGCGAAAAAGGCTATCTCACCCATTTCAATGGATATAATGTTACATACGGGCCCATAACTATCGTCGCTAGTGGAGATGCACCCTTCCATTTGATGCTGGAGAACACGACTTATCGCGACGTCTTCTACGACGCACCTCTGGGTAACTTGACCTTCCCTGCTGAGATGGCCGCGAAATATGACAATCTCACAATGGATAAGACCTACAACCCATACAACAGCTACTTTGCATCGGCAGACTTTCGCAAGACAATTGGATCTCTCCCACTCAACCGTCTGTCGGATGTCCAGCTGAGCACTATCCGTAGCCAGGTGCAAGCAGCTCACCAGCTGGGTCTGAAGGTGCGATATTGGGGAACTCCAACCAGTCCAGTTGGACTGCGGAACCATATATGGCATGTACTTGTACACGAGGGTGTGGATTTGATAAATGTCGATGATCTACGAGGTGTGGCCAAACTGGACTGGAAGACTCGCTACTGGTGAGAGTGGTAGTCACAATACAATCACAAGATATCACAATATGATTTCGAAAATTCCAAGTCAACATATTAGTAAAGTTCCATAGAACTCCAGTCTGTAGACACCGTCACTCATTCATAGAACCATCATAAACTCCGGGTTACGGTCGTCATTATATCCCGCGTACTTATCGTATTTCCCATTTCTCTTGTCGCGATTAATCTTTGCGCAGTAGAGCACGTTAAACAAGATCCTATATCAGTCAGTGTAAGCTCTTGAGTATATCATAGAAGCAACTCACATAAACCATGCAAAAACCAGCAACCCCAGGACAATGGTATGTCCACGATGGAACAGTGGTCCGTCGCGCGATGGGTAGTTGAAGGCTATAATCCCGAAGATTAGAAATTTCCATAACAAGAGCCTCGAAGCCCGAGCGACTTACTCGCAACAAATCCTCCAGCATTCGCAATTGCCAACTGCAGTGCGGATGTTGTGGCCCTCTTATAATGCCCCGCAGAATTATTCGATAGCCACACGAGAATGCATGGGACACTAGCGTATTGGCCGGTTGCCATGAGGAAGGTCATGCCATATTGAATGCGAGGGTTGTCAATATTGGCAATTGCTGCGTATCCGATGATAGCGATTGGGAGGGTGAAGAGCATGACCACACCTCGAAGGCGGAGACGATCGGAAATGACGGCAACGACGACTTGAAAGATGTTAGCAGTGGAGATGAGATTGATTGGAAGAAGACAAACCTGTGAGAACGGCTGCGACTGCGTAGGGTATCACAGACCACAGCTGAACTTCATTGGCATCTTTGGCGAAACCGAGATTTTTGATGATTGTCGGCAACTAGAGACTGTCAGTGGTTTTCAGATGCATACACCTATAGGATAACCATACAAACAGGCCAAAGGAGTATAGTCCGGCAAGAATGGCAAAGTACGCCGAAGCAGAGAGCCACACTTGTAGTTCTAGCACTCCTCGGCGCACTTCCGACCATTTGAATGATTCCTTTTCAGATGCCAAGGTTCTGATTGAGTTAGCCAAGATCCAATTTGCTTGGTCAGAAAGCTTACCCGACCGCCGATCTGGGGCTATCAAGGTTCAGCCTCTCCCGTCCGAATGCTTTTTCTTCGGCTGTCAAGAAACGTGCAGACTCCAAGCTGTTTGGAAGGACGAAGAAGCTCACGATTCCACAGGCAACTGTCTAATAAAGAGTCAGACGGATTTTATGTTTGTTTTGCGGGCAATTACTTACCAAGAGTCCCTCAATAATCAAGATCCAGCGCCAACCTGCTATGCCACCCCGATGCCCGATTTCAGCCAGCCCACGGGCGAGCAGACCTAATTTGTAAGTATATGTAGGAAGGTAAGGGTAACTGATATGTACGTACCTCCGAATGCGCCCGATAGGGAAGCAGCTGTATAGAACAAGCCAATTCGCAAAGCTAAATCCCCTCGTCTATAGAAGCCAGACAAATACAAGACCTTTGTTTTTGTTAGTCGTGATCAACACCAAGTTTATAACCGACATACCATGCCCGGAAGAAGGCCTCCCTCTGCAATACCCAGCAAGGCCCGGACACCGGCGAAACTAGGAAAGTTCTGCACAAATCCCAGACACATAGTGATTATACCCCAGATAACGGTCAAGAATGGCAACCAAATCTTCGGCGACGCTTTCTTCAGTACCAAGTTACTCGGAATTTCACTTTCCTGCCGATTAGCGTTTGGGTTGGGTAGTCAAAGGCACATAATAACACACCTGCAAATGTAGGTGAGATAGAACACAGCTAAGCCGATATCATACTGATGATCCGTCATAGAGAGGTCTTTCTCTAAGCCGATAATCTTCACGTTGCCTACGTTCGTCCTATCCAAAAACGAGCACAAAAACAGCGCGGCAAGCATAGGGAGGATTCTAAACGGTGTCAGCAAGCAAATCTCGATCGCGTGGTATCTAGACCGACCGTATGTCAAGCTTCCACAACACGCTCCGGGTGAGCTTCTGTTGATGCTCATGGTCGCCATGGCGATCAAGAGGAGAAGACTTCGCTTCTTCAAGCTCTGAGACTCTTGACTTGGGCGGGTCCATGGTGGATTCGGCTTTTCTTGGCGACGTAAGACTGATCTTGTATGCCTGAGCGACCTGTCGCATGAATTGAAGAGAGAAGAGAAAGGAAATTGGAAGAAATAGCTCGAGACAGAGAGGTACTTTCGGCCATCACTTCTGGATCCGAGCTCCCCTCACATTTCAAGCGTAAATTGGCTCAGCGTGCCGACAGGTTGGTATTTTGTGTTTCCCCCCGCAATCCCCAGATTCGACGCGTCTCCACCCGTAATATTACAGAAACATCCAAGCTATATTACAAGTATATTACCGCCTCCTCCCGGTATCTTTCGGTCCTCACTTCTGAGAGCCGACAGTTTGGCTCTCAAACCTCGGGAACGAGATTTGGTCTCCAGTTCCCAAGCTTTAATGGCAAGACTCCCTCACTCCAGACACAGGAGCGCACTACTCAAAATGTCCAAACTCTCAAATAGCCTCAAAGCATTGATCAATGCCCCTGCTGCCCGGCCATCCACGGTCCCCGCGCCAGCAAACATAACCTCGGTCTACGAGAAGATCCAACAGACTGCGCAGTCCAAGAAGATCTCGCAACCGTCATGGGTCGCATTATCAGTAAATGAAAATAGACCCACTAAGACTCAATGCGCACTAACATCAATCTCAGACCGCAGCAACAATGACCATGAACTCGCCCGAGTCCCTGGCAGCCCTCTACGAACTCGCCAGCACGAACCCCGAGAACCAGGTTGAGACCGCCGAGCTCATGCGCGAGGTCGGTCTGAAATGTATCAGTTTCAACGGCATTCCCCGCACCATCAACTGCCTCAACGCCTTCAGGGCCAGTCTCCCGGACTCCGTCAGCAGCCGGCTCTCCCGCACCCCCACCCGCGCGCCAAACCCGGAGAATATCGCAGCGATCAGCGAGCGCGGACATGCACTCTGGGATTCTATCTATCGTCCATTTGAGACGAAGCTGTATAATAAACTGGCCGATTCGCATCCCGACCTGCCAGTGCATATTATGCATAGCAACTATGGCGCGCTGTTGTCTGACCCGGAGCGTTCCACCGGTGCGTCCGCTGGTCGGGTTTTGACGTCTGTTGTTGCTGTGGCATGCTTGCGCGCTCAGTCCGGCGTGGGTCCGCAGGTTCTTTCGCACATTTTTGGATTGCGCAAGGCACTTGAAGATGGATCGTGGGTGAATGATGTCGAAAGTGAAGAGGGTGCGCGGTGGTTGGCTAGCGATGAGGGTAATACGTGGATTTTAGACAGCGTTGATGCCATTGTTGAGGCTATTAGCCAGGGAACTGGGTCGAACTTTGCTCCTGGGCGGGCGAAGTTGTAAATTTCTAGACATCATATACTATGAACATACTATATACCATGGATGATTCGATCTGAACGTCAAAGCTTCTCACACCCTTTCCGGCATTTAGCAAGCTTGTCCCTGTCGAAGCAATAAGCAACCCATGTTCAATGTCTTGCAGATATTGAATTGGTGCATAACTACATGCATATCTGGAGAATACAGACGGTCGGCATTTCGAGAACTATAGGATCCACGTGATAAACGGCTTATTATATCCGGCGGTCGTCGCATTGGCGGGAAAAACCCACCAGCTGTTCGTCTCCATCATGCGTTCATCGGGACCCCCGCGCCAAGTTGCAATGAGTTGGCACCACACCACACTGCTGCTTGCCGATTGCATACCACTCCGCCAATCGCCGGCAAGTGCCTCTGTGATTGCGCAGCGTAAGCTGCATAATTAAGTCAGAAGATATGGCCATCACCAATTCGATCGCTTTATCACGTATATTGGAAGACCGTTTTGATCCGCTCGTGCATACCCTACGTGGTTGGGGCCCGAGCGAAATACATACTTAGGAGCGTCGGGTCATGATCTTTTGTCTCATCAAGATGTCAGTTTGGTCGGCATTAGGTAATGGCACCTGCGATTCGCAAGGTTACCCATACGTTTATCCAGCCTGACACCACTCTTGTGGTTGTCGGGGCTTTGGATAATACCAAGCGCTGGCCAGCTCGGGACTTGATTACACCCACAGCGACCTCCCCATTCACGGCACCCGTTCAGGCGCGCGATAACGCAGAAAGCTATTCTGAAGGCAAAGACAACGGACTTTCGAATACAGACAAGGGTGTGATAGCCGGTTGTGTCGTCAGTGCTACGTTGCTCCTGCTGCTCTTATGCTGGTGTTATCTACGCCGTTCACGGTACCCGTCATGGAAGTCTCGATTTTCAACTACCAAAGGGCCACCTGAACCGTCAGGTCCTCCTTCAGATGATACGCCCCCAGACCCTGCTCCTACTGAGAAGTCATCGAGAACGAAGAAAACAGTTACTATAGCAACTGATCTTCCTCGATACCTGCGCTCGAAAAGCACCAAATCAAACATCTCGCCTCTTGTGAGACTGTCAACAGAGATGAACTTGAAGACTGGACTAGCGACGAGAGAAGGAAGTTCGGGACAACCGGTTCGCTTCATGATTCGACAAAGGGATAGACCGAAGACGAAGAGGCATAGGAGACATCGACGGAAACGCAAGGCTGCGAAGACGGATGATGCATCTTGATGTTTGAGAATGTCTTTGTTCTAGAGAAGTTATGAGAGAGACAGATAATATCCAGAAATTTTCGCTTTTAGTTTCACTTTTCCTTTATGTATATTATGCATCCCTATTATGTGTACCTCTTGCTTTTTACCTCGGCTCAGGGACAGGAAGATAAGCTCCACCAATCAAAGACGCGGGCCATCAGCGACCCGGAATCGAGTGGACTTTCGGGGATAACTCGTCTTTTCCCGACTCAGGGATTTTTATTTGCTGTTTTTTGCCCCTTTGATGGGACCCGAAATGTCGAATACATTGGCTACAAGACCGAGGACCCATCCACTCAACAAAACCAACAAAGTTAACTTCAACGCGAACCTCGGCTATTACTGTATTAGGCAAATGTCTAGAAAATCTAGAAACAAAATATTTGGTCGGTGATCTTCGCGACCACCCCTGGTGTCTGGCGAAGGCGAAAAAAGCTGCTTCGTCAAAACCGTCTGATCCACATACCCTGTTCCATAGACCCAGCCCTCCGGCGCAAAGTCCAGCATATACCACAGCTTGAAATCCTTTGGATATAGGCATGCGAAAGGTTCAAGTTCTTCCCTCAAGAGAATGTCTGACTCGCTCGGTTAGTATAGATCATTCTGGCTTCAGTAGTGTCGGTGTCAGTCTTGCAGATTGCCCGAATGAGTTGATACATCGGTGTGATGCCTGTGCCACCAGCCACCATACCAATCTTGCGGCAGAGGACTGTGGTGTAGCGCATGGAACCTTTGGGTCCACGGAACTCGACTTCATCGGCCACCGTCAAACTGGCCAGATATCTCCCGCTCAATAGACCATCTGAGTAGCATTTGATCATGAGTTCAATGCGGCCGCGATCAGTGTATACGAGCGTGTGACGGCCGTTCCATCGAAAAAAGCTCCGATGGCGATGTGTTGGCTAATGAGTTGACCTAACACATCTGTGGCGATTGGCAGGGCAAAGACGAAACAGTAGACGTTCGTTGGTAACTCGGTCTTTTCGATGAGAAGCAGGTGTTGATATTGTTGTGCATTGAGTAAGCCCTAGTTAGATGTGGATCAAGACGCATCACCTTCTGTGTCATCAAACGACTTGAGAAGCGCATGAAGCCAGATTTAATCCTAGTGAATCTGCTGGCCTGGCACGCGGCCAGAATTCCTACGACGGGATGGCTGAGACAGCCAGGAAGCTATTGATGAAACCTTCCTGGGGCAATCGAAGGGTGATCTTGCAGATATTCCATTAGATCAAGGACTGTTGCAGTGCTAACTTATTGCCTCTTCCTCTTTTCTTCCTCCTTACCTTGTCCATGAATCGTCATCCAGGCATCACCCTTGGTACCATGTGCTGAGATATCTTTCAATGTATACTTTGGAAGCTCAATATCGGCGTTCAGCCCTTTCGTCTCGAAGATTGGCATTGTGTGAAAGGAGTGAATTGATGGCAAGAAAGCAAAAGAACGTACTGATGGACTCTCATCTTAGTAGAACCCAAAAATACGGAGTGCTAGCATATTGAGACTATGGAAGTATATAGTCCATTCAGCACTCTGTGATATGTACACAAAGCCACCGACCCACTATCAAGGGGTTCGACATATGTACCTCGGCATCTCGAAAACGAAGAAAAGAAAAAAGTACGTTATCTTCAGTGGGGCCTGAGCCGGCACACTTGCGCCGATCGATTCGGCCATGATCAGCCCGAAATAGGGTCCATTTGGCTCCGAGTTCTGCAAAAACCCGATTTTGTGGTGGATCCCAATCCAGAGATATCAAACGTGCCGAGGCTCATTGAGAGATGTACCCAACTATACGATAATGAATGACAAAAGACCAATATTACGCGTGCTGGCAATGTGGAGCCAACGATGCAGTTTCAAAATGGCCCATGAATCAAGATTCTTATAAATATTTGCTGGTCCTTCAAGCGAAGAGAAAGCATTTCAGTTTCATTCAAACAGCGAGATGGTGGCCAAACAATTTTACTTGCTGGGTGAGGTTATCACCTCAGCTCGCTCGATCGAGGTAGAGACTGAAACCGACCTCCAAGGGCTTCAGCTTCTCATTGCTGGCCAATTTGCCATTGTTGAACCAAATGGTATGCTTTTTATCTCGCAGTTATCAGTGCTATTCTCACTCTGAACCTTGTTAGGCATCGGCTTCCAGTCAGAGGACTCGATATTCTACTCCGTTCCAGAAATCCTTGCCAACGAAACACCCATTGCGATCTCAATCGACGGCAAAGCAGTACGGGAAATCCCTGGCCCTAAGGGGTTACCATTCGTGGGCACTTTCTTCGAGATTTACCCTGATCACCTGGGAAATCATCAGCGTCTATTTGATCAATATGGTCCCATCATTCAAACGAACAACATGGGCCGCACAGTGTATCAGACCAACGATCCGGAACTATCAGCTATTATCTTCGCCGAATCCGATTTCTTCACCAAGAAAATCAACAGCGCACACCCTCTCTACCCGATCAAGAACCCAGAAGCCGGTGTTTTCCTCGGTGATACCGACACCCCTGAATGGCGCGCAGCACACAAATTCCTACCGCCAGCATTGGGCCCGAAAGCAGTGCGCCACTATGCACCCACTATGCAAGCAACGGTTGAGGATGCATTCAATGTGTTTGACGAGCTAGATAAGCGCGGCGAGGCGTGGAACGTCTACCCATACATGCTCAAGCTCGGTTCCCAGGCTGTGGGTAAGTTGGTTCTCGGAATGGATTTCCAGCATTTCTCTTCTGTGGACTCATTGCCGCACGAGCTTGTCTTCCGAATTGCCGAATCACTGGAGTTGAATAAGAAAGTGACCGCTCGCGGTGATTGGTATGCTAAGATGCCTTTCGGTGACCCAAAACGCCTGCGGGATGCTCGCCATCGTATCCTAGAGATGGTTGATGAGTCGATTCAAAATGCATCTCGCAATGGAGTTGAAGACCTCCCGCTGCAAGACGCCGCACTCAAAGCCTCTAACATGATTGGTAAGAGAGATGATAAAAATTGCAAAAAGCTTATGTTAACCTTTAAACAGATTACATTATTCGTGCCACTGATAGCAAGGGCGAGAAGCTACCGAAAACCAGTGTGATCGAATCACTAGTGGTAGCCACCGGTGCTGGATTTACCACTACCAGCTCGTTGCTATCCTGGTTGCTCTATTCTGTGGTTACCTATCCCGGCATGCAGGAAAGGCTCCTACAAGAGTTGATTGACAATGACATCGACGCCGATACTCGGATGACTGCAGATCTGACAGATCGTCTGACTTTCTTGGACAAATTCATCAAAGAGACCCAGCGCCGCCATAACCCTTCATACCAGCCTGCGCGTACTGCAAAGGTCGATATGATCCTTCCAGGCGGATACAAGCTCCCCGAAGACTCTATCATCATCCCTGCTATCCATCACATCCACAACAACCCAGAAATCTGGTCAAATCCAGCGCGATTTGACCCGGATCGCTGGGATACCCCTGAGGTCAAGAATCGTCATAAAGCCGCGTATATTCCCTTTGCCATGGGCCAACGTATGTGCATTGGCTTCAACTTCGCCCTGCAGGAAGTCAAGGTGTTCTTGCCGAAGCTACTGTATCGGTACCAATTCACGAGGGAAAATGAGGGGACGATCGAGTACGATCCCATGTTCCAGTTGATCCGTCCTACCAACTTGTATGTGCGGGCGGAACGACGAGTGAAATGGCCTCCCAAGACAGAGCATGTCGAGAACAGGGCCCAGCTGTAACTAATTGAGAAAATATGTACTTTTGCGAATTCCATCTTTGACTAGCACACTGTTATTGTATCGAAGAGGAAATTGCTGTTTGCCGACGCTATTAGTCGCCCGACTGAGTATGCCGATCTACTACTTAGACAACTATACACCTGATAATTCATCAACTAGCAATCCTAGGCGCTCCTCCATGGCAGGTTTGACCTTGTTCCATACTGGTCCAGAAATCAACTTCTCGAATCTCTCCAAGCCCAATCCTATAGTTGTGTTAATTTGATTATCCAGCTATCGTAACCATTACACTGACTTTTAATTCCTGATCCCTAAGTGAACACAACCAAAAGAATATGATTTATACCTAATACGCAGACTCCCTGCTTCTGAAGCAAAAAGAAAAAAGAAATGGCGCCACCCGGAATCGAACCGGGGCTAACACAGAACTGGAACACCACAATGTGTCGTCATACCACTAGACCATGGCACCAACTTGATTGATTATGCAACCAGTAAATTGGATTATATCCATCTTTCAAAATTTAATTGCAGAACTAGAAACAGAGGCAGGGAGCTTAAATGGCCGCTACCATGCTGCCCGTGAAATGAATCGGCAGGAGGTACGAAGTTCTCAAGTTTGTGTAGAAGCCTAGAATCCTTCGTATTCTTCGATGGCATATGATCGCCATCGCCTTTTCCATTTGTCTCGTCGTCAGGCAGTTTCGGTTTGCCGGTAGCCTAGCACGTGACCGAAACCCCTATTTTGGTGGTTGCGAGCAGTACTGGCGAGATGGAGAGCCTCCCAAGATCATGTCTTTTGAGGAGGGGTGTGAAGCATATATCAATTGGTATCGAATAATGACTGCAGAGAGGATGGTGAAAGTGTGACAATGCGACAGTGCGACAGTGTATAGTGAAGATTCCATTTCTTATCAGATCCTCTTGGCACCTGCCAAACGAAGCTTAGCTCCGGCAGGAACCCCCCGAGCTCGGGGAATCGGAGTTAAGTAGGAAATGCCCAGGTTATTAACTCAACTTGGAGTTTCTCTCCCTCAAATCATCTGAAAATGGAAACCCAAGCGCGCCCATCGCGCTACATGGCCCATGTTCTCGAAGAGCTGGGCTTGGCCACCATGTGGCGATCGTCGCTCGATGTGAAGCTTCTCTGCGCGCAGCGGTTCGTTCGACTCTTCGCGTACGGCGGCTCGACCTTGATTCTTGCATCTTATTTGTCGGCGATTGGAATTTCAGATGACCGCATTGGCCTGTTCATGACACTCACGTTGGTCGGAGATGTGGTTATCAGCTTCTTCTTGACTCTCTTTGCTGATTCTATGGGCCGCAAGGCGGTATTGTCCCTCGGGTCGATCTTGATGGCCGGTAGTGGAGTCGCTTTCGCACTGTTTGGAAATTATTGGATTCTGCTGGCAGCTGCGGTCTTTGGAGTTATCAGTCCTAGGTTCGCATTATTTTTGTCATTTCTTCTAAAAAATGGACATGGCTAATGTCTTAGTGGAAATGAAATCGGACCATTCCGTGCCGTGGAAGAATCCACTCTAGCTCATCTTACACCGCATGAGCGTCTGAGTGATGTCTTTGCTTGGTATTCATTGATTGGAACTGCAGGCTCGGCTATGGGGATGCTTGTTTGTGGTTGGATCATCAACTCTCTCGAATCCATTCATGGATGGGCGTTTATCCCCGCTTGTCGGGTCATTTTCTTTGTCTATGCCGGTGTTGGTATCGTCAAGTTGATTTTCACTCTGGGGTTGAGCAGCAAAGTTGAGGTACAGAAAGAAGAGCCACAAGAGCAAAGCTCTGAAACCAGACCTCTGCTCGCACAATCGGCCGAAGACGACGCTCCGAAGAAGAAAGGCTTGTTTCCATCCATCGAGAAGGATTTGTGGTCATTGGTCATTCGTCTATTCATTCTCTTTGGATTGGACTCATTTGCATCCGGATTGGCTTCATTGTAAGTATGAGCCCAACTTTATCAACCGCAGTTGGCTAATTCTACAGGTCCTGGATGACCTACTTTTTCAAGGGCAAGTTCGATCTGCCCGAGGGTCAACTCGGCACCATTTTCTTCACGACGAACATCATTGCTGCAGCATCTATGCTAGTCGCCTCATCTCTCGCCAAGCGTATCGGCAACGTCAAAGTAAGATACCCCTGCTGGATGGCTGAGCAGCTTCTAATTTTCTGATAGACTATGGTGTTCACGCATTTACCATCGGCCATCTGTCTTTCTCTCATTTCTGTTCCATCCAGTCTGCCTCTCGCACTGACTTTCTTGGTTCTGCGAGCTTGCTCTCAAAACATGGATGTGGCGCCTCGCTCCGCATTCCTTGCTGCGGCTCTACCGGCAGACAAACGCACTGCTATCATGGGCGCGGTTAATGTTGTGAAGACTACCACACAAAGTATGGGTCCCCTATTGACAGGTATCTTGTCGCGTAATGGTCATTTTGGCGTCTCCTTCATTATTGCAGGATGCTTGAAAGTGATCTATGATCTTGGCATGTTGTTCAGCTTCGCTGGGAAAGAGGCTGCCCGTCGCAAACAGACCGCTCAAGAAAATGAGGAGGAAACGAGCTAAATTATTACTTGGAGTGCATGAGTGCGGCTTTCTTATATAGTTGCCACACGCATCGATGGAGCCACATACTTGCTGTTGAGGGGGGTTGATGTTGATGGATCTGTTGACGATTTCAAACGCTTCCTAGATTTTGCGATCGAGTCGACCAGTAAAATTATGTCTAGATACTTTTTATGTTAGGAACAGGGTATTGAGCAATTTGCACGTATCTCATTTGACTTTTGATTTAATATACACAAATGATTTCATTTCATATCAAATATAAACCACACACTCAGGTCGTATACAATTGGCAAGAATTCGCTCTAAGCCAGACGTGCAACTCGGTTGCGAAGAACAGACAAACGACGACGGGACATCACAGTACGATTGCCGGACGCAGTGCCATTGCTGTGTAGTGCACCATGGAGATGGCTGGCATTGTGCTTCCCAGACACAAGAGTCGAAGTCTTATTCTTCAACAACTCCAACGTCTTATGAACGATTCGATCGCTCTCGGCATGACCAGCTTCATTAACACGGCTCTCCTGAGCAGGCTCGCGCTGGTTCTGCGTAGTCGGGGACAAATGCCAAGAATCCGCGTTGGACCCGGGCATCTGAATATTGTTGATATCCTCAACGGAAGTGTGCTTCTCGGCGCGCATAGGATCCTCCGGCTTAGTAGGCTGGGCTTGTTGGGTATCTGGTTGCGTGTGCTTTTGGGCTGGGGCATGGGTCTTGTCGCTGAGGGGGGCTATCGCTGTCGCAAACAAGATTCACCCACACCTGGCTATAGGCGACAAAGTGGCGGGGCTCGCATTGGCTGATCTCAACTCCATTTCGAATCTCTTGGCTGATGAGGGGCGGGTCGATGCAGCCTGGAACTTCATGTACGGTGATATTGCAGCCGCTGCCGCCTTCTAAGAAGGGCAGGTCGTGGTTGTGGGAGAGGAGTTCTGCATCGACGGAAATGGCGCTGACGAGGCTGCGTTCGTAGGAGGGGACGGGGAAGTTCTTGCAGCTGCCCACTGTGATGTCTTGGGATGGGGAAGATTCGTGGTAATTCTCGTAGGTGTCGAGGTTGGTGAATGGCTGGCCAGGACAATTGGGGTAGAAGTGTGTCCAGACACGGGCGATGGTTTGAGCATGAATGGTGCTTGATAGTAAGGATAGGGAGACCAATGATCTGGTAAGGGAATGCATGGTTGCTGAGATTTGGAAGACCTTGAACTTCGGGATTGGGTTGTTCAGGTGGAACTGTGTGAGTGTGAAGCTATAACTACGCTTATCGGTTGCTCTTATATACACTCGTTCTTTCTCATTCCACGATTGCCGCACTACGATAATGGGATGGCGGGGAAGAATGGCCTGAATCGGCATGATGCTGGACATGAAACGTGTCTAAGGCTTTAATAAAATTTTAGCGTCATACTCGGAGGCTGGCGACTGCCATAGAATATTCTTTTCTCTGGGTCAATTGGCTGATTGCACATTCCAGTCCCAAACGGTCCATCGGCTGCCGATCTAGGAACGTGTGTGGTATGTGGGCAGACCCTGCACATTCCAATGAGCGGCTATTCGCCTCCAAAAAGGCTTGGAAATGCTTGGGGCCCAATGAGTGCTCTCACAATCACCGTAAATATCACCCGAAGCAACTTAAAATAATGTACTCCGTAGACAGGTGGCAGGTCAAAAATAACTAGGAACAATAATGTATCAAGTCAGCCGGTAATTGTCATCAAGCATTGGATTGGGAAGACTAAGAACTTTGCTTAACAACAATTTGATTGAGAGAGGTCCATTATTTTAATATTGATACGTTGCTCGTCCACATCGTGACTACTGACTATCCCATCACGCGTGGTTATGTCGGAAGAAACCCTTACAGATTGCAGATTGTTGACATTCGTCATAATCAATTTTGTCCTCATATCCTTACGTCCTCACGCTCTTATAAGTTACTCGTAACAGTGTGTTCTGCTGTGTTCTGCTATGAATATGAGGTATGTAGCATGATCAGGCTAAATGATCACAATCTTGGACGGATCGGGAAATTTCAACATATCCGATGGCAAAGCACGTTCACTCCATTTGGTATTCTATCTCACTGCCGAGCCTGGGTCTCGGTACAGTTGGTGGCTGTGGGCCACCAGGTGCTCGCTTACCACAGGTTGGGCACTTCGACCCTGTTATGACTGGGTTCCGACATTTTTTGCACTGTACTGAGAACTTGCGGTTATCTGTGGGGGAATGTTCAATCTGAGGAGACATCACTTCGGGCAATAGGTCGACTAAGATGATTGAGAAGATAGTATAAGCTGCAAAGGCTAGGAGTCAGTTGATGAGAATGGGTAATGGGGGAGAGAGGGGGGTTTATAAAAGCATTTTGCCCCCATCTAAGCCTGGATAAAACAGCGTCAAGTTTCAAATGAGTGAGACGAGACAATAGAGAGACACCTGAGGGCTGAATCAGTAGCATAATTCCCCCATACGGAACTTGGGATCCATGGGGAGTAGTATCAGTTACAAGCAAGTCAGTCTTCATCGACAAGAAAGAAATGGTAGAAGACTGCTTTGCCTTTGCTTTGGTAGCATCAGATACATGTAGGTGGGGCGAAAGATGGATCTGTATTTATAGATTCTCACCAACCTTCGCTAACTACATGGAGACCGGATTCCTGGGCGAGTTGATATGGTCATTCTACAGCCCTGGAAACATTCATGGACACACCCTAAGAATGGCTAAAACGAATACAGAGTAGCCTATCTCAGTCATGGACTGCAGGTCCTTTGTTCGCCTAACACCAGCGATAGCACCGCATACTGCTCGTAAATAGCGCTAAAACAGACAAAAGGACATCATGAAAGAAGTCCATGGGTCGTTCTTACGTCGACAAAGCCGAGAAACAGGGCGGATTTGGTTGTCTTTGATTACATCCCTGTCCATTCGGCGGCGAACATGGGGTGAGTGCTTTGTCTCAGAGTCCAATCTCCAGGGTCAGCTGCCCTTCGCCTTCTCGCTCTTTGAAAGAAAAGTCTGGAATATCAGTTCGCTGTCTGCCTTCATCATTTAAAGTCAAGATCTTAGATCTCCCTCCGAAGAATGTCACCCGGTATCTCACCAAAAATGGAAGAGACTGTTATAAAAGCCAATCTTGGAATAGGGGGATGGGATGGTGCCAAGGAGTACGAAAAGGATAGTGGGTTTCATTACAGGGCGATTGAGTTCCTGAAGTCCATCAAGTGGAAGACTCTGATCGCAATCTGCTCCCAGCATCGCCAAGGTATGCCATGTCGAATGTCTGGGAAGTTCTCTATTGGTCTTAGCCACATGGTGCGGCAGGTGAAATTCGAGGACGGGGAGCTATGGGTTGTGCGATTGAGGATGCCCTTTTTTGATGGGACCCCCGAAATTCAAGCAAAACAGATGTTGATCTCGGAGGTTGCCTCAATGAGATACCTAAGGTGGGCCAGAATTCTCAGCAATAGCAAAGCAAAAGCGCTAACATTGAAAACTTCAAGGCTCAAGACGTCCATTCCTGTTCCGGAGGTCTTCTTTTACAACGACGATCCCGCCGAAGTAGGAGCCGTGTACATGGCCATGCAGTATATCCCTGGAACGACGGCCTATAACCAACGGCTCATGGACCCAAGAGCAGCGATCGGAACACCAAGGCAAGATTGTTTCGGAACACAAGAACAAGACCGGAAATTTCGACAACACATGGCTGCCATACAGGTAGAATTGGCGTCGATCCAATTTGATCAAATTGGTTCACTCTATCAAAACCCAGAGACACAGGAGTTCTACATTGGCCCTGATTGTGAGTCTAATGAGGGACCCTGGAGTTCGGCAAAAGAATATTACCGCGATCTTGCCCTCCGATCATTCAGAGAAGCAGCTCGGATGTGCGACCAGGAGACACAAGACGACGCTTCATTTGGCCTTCCGTTCATTTTTGAAAAGGCAATGGAGATATACACGGATAAATCCCTAGACCGGGGACCATTTGGACTTGTCCACCAAGGCTGTGGAGCCCGCAACGTTCTTGTGAATGAGAAGTATGAGATTCTGGCCGTCATCGACCTAGATGATATGATCTCTGCCCCCATCGAGATACAAGCACAATTTCCATCTTTTATCGGGCTGGACAGACCTATACCGTTCGAGGTCTTGACCGAACCTCTCTTTATTGAGCGAATGAAGATTGTCGGACCAAATCTGCTCATATACAAGCAATTAGTCGAGGATTGTGAAAAGGCAATAGGAAGAGATCTGGGAATTAGTAAGTTAATGCTCTCGGAATCCTCTGCTGTTGTAATGGCACTCAATGGTTATAACGCACATATGTTATACATGAACCAACCTTGGATGGCTTCTTTATTGCAGCTGGTCCGGCAAAAGCTCGTTTCTACACCGGCTGGTAACTAGGCCAAGGGAAAAGGGGAAAGGAAATGGATTTGAGTACGGAAGCAAGAAGAGATGTCCTATCTGTTCCTACAGTCATGCGGGTCTGGGTGAATACAAGTCAATGAGTACATGCAATGATTTATGTTGAGAAACCTTATGACTTTCTAGCATACCATGATATAAATTGACCTTCACTTCTTTTCAACCGGGTACTTCTGCAAACTCTCATACCATTGAATCATAGATCCAATCATGAAGGCCACAGAGCCCCAAAAAGTAGCCAGTGTTGACTGATAGGCGAAACGAGAGTCATTGCTAGCCGGCCCTAGTGCACCGCAAAGAGTAAAGCCAATACCGCCAATCAAATTCCAGACCCCAACATGCCAGCCTAGAACATGCCAAGCAGGAATATACCATTTGGTCTGTGTCTCAAGGGTAAACAGAAGTCCGCTTAAAATAAACCCAGTTCCACCAACAATCTGAGGGATCCAGTAGATACCATCAGTAAGACCCTGACTCATGTGATTAAAGATCCCAGGCGCTCCACTGATAGTCGCAACCCAGAAGATTGTTGCACTAACAAACTCGATCAAAGAAGCTAGAAAGCCCAATTCATGAATATAGTGTGTCCGCACTTCTTTCATCGACGGAATCCATCGGAAGGACCTGCCATCCGGCGAATAAGTCACGTAGCCATGCTCATCGAGCCGAGATTCAGCTCGGGTATCACCTCGAGGATGCTTCATCCGGAGAAATGATCTCCGATTCGCATGGTGATGTTCACATTCCGACACACTCGGCTTGAGCTCGGTCATTCCACGTTGATGCACACCATCCTCGCTAGGCCTCGAAACGACCGCCTCAAGCGCCCAGCCAAAGCACCCGGTATTATTGGTATTGATAGCCTCAAGAAGCAGTAACACACTGCCGATTTCAAAAACAAGTCCTCCAAGGAGCCCCGTTACGCCGCCAGCGATAAGTGATTCATTATGGAACTTCGTCTTGGGGGCTGCGTGCGGCAACCACGCGAAAAATGCATTGAGGATCCAGATTGCGGATCCGAAGGTGAATGATGTGGCTACCAGGTATGATACATCCCAGTAAGGGGCGTAGGTCGCCATCCGAAGAAGACCCTTGGCTACAGCCGAGACGGAACGTGTAGACTCTGGTGGCATAATTCCAGTTTCATGAGGGGAGACCTTGGTATCGACCTGAACGGCATGTCGGCCTTTTCTGTTGTCGCGGGATCGCCAGAGACGCTCGACCTGCGGGATAACATGATACTCCTTCGATGGTTCTGTGTTTGGATCTCGTGTGGGATCTCGGATGAGGGCGTAGTGTGCCGATGTCGGATTAAGAAAGGAAAATGGGCCTGTTACATGCACCTCTTTGAGGGGGAAGCCAGGATGACCTTGGGGTTTGCGGCCTGATTGGAAACGAGAATGGCGTGCCATTCAGACGAGGGGCAAAGTCGGATTGCGTCGCAGGACGTCTCCGGGCATGACCTGATGTATGTACGCTTTGTTGATCTCTTGGCTTCGGGTTTGGAAGAGGTTGCCGACCTTCAAGCGGGTGAATGACAAGGATCAACGTCAGCGTTAAAAGTACGACTAGACAAAAGCGGCATCGCTCAACTCCCCAACAAGCAATTAGCTGTTGTTAATGCTTTTTATATCTGTGTCAACTTAATTGCTGTAACTGTTCAAAAATACATGTCATATTCATCATGATGTCCAGAAGGGCCAGAAGGATTAAGGCTAAACAAAACAGATCAACGGGTACAACATCACTCATAACCAAGAAAAAGTCGTCCAAAACACTGAAGGAATACACCCAACTCAATTTGTCCGGATGAATGTTTAACTCACCCTCTTCCAGAGGTAAGGAGGCAAAGTCTTTGGCAACATCTTCATGGTCATCATGGCAAAGGGAAGTATACGTGAGCAGTCAAGTCTGCTTAGATCCGTTCTCGGCGCTATCATCACCACCGTCCTCAACGTAAGCAGCCCGATCTCCAACAGACTTAGCTTTGGTGCTAGACTTCGTCTCAGTCTCAGCACCATCGTCATCCTCGTGTTCACCCGCTTCAGTGGCCGTCCGTTGGAGACTTGCAGGCTTCGACTTTTGAACCGACTTGCCCTTATTGCGGCTTCTATCAGGCAACGACTGCTCCGCTTCACTCTTCAGGTCAGCACCAGACTCCTCTCCGGCCAGTGACGCCCGAGAGCTCTGGTTTTGATTTCTTCTCGCGCGCGCACGCGCCCGACGAATCATCTTGTTATGGTAATCTTCTTGTTCCACCTCCGTGTCTTCATGAAGAATGCGCCGAGCAGCTTCGCGTCCGACAACCGGCAGACGATCAACACCTTGGAGGCCCTCGGGCAGCAGCTTGGGGTCTAAAAGGCCGACTTGCACAAGGACACTGGCCTGATCCCAGTATACGTGCTCGGAGTACAAACGCCCAGCGCGCATACTCACAATACTCACGAGGATGATCTCAACTCGTTTGTTTGTCGGTGGGACGCCCGGTAGCATCCACGGAACCTCCTGTGTGTGTTCGTAATTGACGTACAGCTCATCCACAATGCGATCGGGTCCGGTGGTACGGGATAGCAGCCGCAGGCGCATGGACGGGGGCAGTTTGCCAATGAAGTAATGCTCATAGAAATGGCGCAGAGCCTTTTTACCAATGCCACCGCTTATTGTGGGCGTATAAGTCACGCTGGGGATCTTGTGCTGGACATACCCGTCCATTGTCTTCCTGATGTTGGACGAGAAAAACTTGCCTAACAAAGAAATATGAGCCTGCCGTCACTTGGATTTTCCTTTCGAGTTTCAACTTACCCTCCACATGCTGTTCCAGTCGTGGCTCCAAATCCGGATCCCTAGAATAGCCCTTTCGCAAAACCTTCAAAGTTCGCGACCAGGCTAGGCTCGCCGACAGATGATCATATTCTTCCAAGTCCGTTTCCGCAAAGCCGGGAACAGCATTATCATATGTAAAGGCGGGGTATGCTAGATCCAAACGTTCTCCTGTCCCAATACCAGCGTGGATCGGCCTCGTCTGGCGGCGCTTCTTCCCTTGTAATCCGAGTGCGACGGGCTGAACAAGAACATCCACGGTATCACCCGCCAAGTGCACAAGGACTTGGAGGGAAAGCGGGAAGCGTGAGCGTGTGTCGGGGATCAGGCTAGGGTAGTAGGCAACAAGAGCGCAGAGCCGACTAGCGTTGACGGAATTGATATAATATTCGAGACAATAGTCCGCTGCATCACCATAGGCTGGGAATCGGACAAGTCAGCTCACTGCTCGGGGTGTGTGGTGCTTATGGAGAGTTCTGTACATACCTACCACGCCATAGTTCTCACCGACACCAAGACCTTCCTTTACGGACTGCAATCGGCGAGCATAGTCTTTTCCACCGCCGTTGTAAGGGAGGTAGAGGACATCGAATCCTTCATCTTGCCAGCTCTTGATGATCTCCATATCGAAGTCCTCGGACTCGGCCGTGACACATAGTCGCGCGTTATTGTTGCCATTGTTGTAAAGAAGCCCGCCGCTGTTCAAACCGGGGGCGCTAATCGAGATGTTGGCCATGTTGTTTGTATTTGGTGGGCTGCGAACACATGTACTCCTGGCGAGCGGTTGTATCCACTGCAACTCCGTTTTTCGCTGGTTATTCACGCTTCAAATTTCAAAGATAAATGAGTTCAACTCGAGGCAACGCTATGCAGAGAACACAATAATATACTCGGAACAGGTAAAATAAAGAGTGGTCACGCAGCCATGGCAGTTGGCATATAACGGGCCCTACGTCATCGGCGTCCCCATACGTCATGGCTCTATTCAGGGCATTTTTATATTAACTCTTGGCGACATGCACTTCCTACAACATCTGTTTTTCAGACGGATATTACTATGTAGCATGTCGCTTTTGAAGTACTTGGGATGCTTCTTGCGAGATTTCATTCAAATATCCCTCACCAACTGCTTGCATACATAATATAACAGTTGAAGGCCATGTTTCTGTTGTGCCATGTTCCTTTTTAGGATCCATGGAACCGCCAAAGTAATCTCCCCGCATGAAGAAACGTGGGCCTGTAGGTAATGCCTTCATGTATGTGAATTGTCTGGTATATGACAAAAACGTGTGCGAGGGACATATCAAGGTAGTCAAACATAGAACAAGATTGACAACACCGATGTACATCTTTGCCGGATCTCGAGAGGTCGTCATATTCTATTTAAAACGGCACCTAGCGAATCAGAAGCCGCTTGAGCCACTACATGTGTTTCTTTATCCACACTCCATACAGAAGGCTCCACCGTATACAAAGTCCACTATAAATTGCATCTAGATTTCAGGTTGAAGTATGCCATTTAAAAAGAATAAGTATCTGGCGGGACTCGCAGCCTTGCGATAACAAACGATATTTTGTAGCAGTGGTGTGCATAAGCATTGTAGTGTAGAAATTGGAGATCTCTGTTTGGGAACTGGCAAGTCGCATGCGCTATCCAATTGCACTCTAGAGGCTCGCTGAGAGGGTTTATCCCACTTACCTTACCAAAATGGGGAGTTTCAAATTCTATAAGAATACCTTTGTTTGAAGGTATGAGTGGGGTGTCACAAACTGGTGAATGTTCTGCGAATCCACAGCGTCCGATGCGTGGGTGGATCTCAATAGCATCCAAGTCCTTAGCTTACTAGAGCCCTATCCCTAGGGATATTTGATATAAATTCTGAAACAACAGTTACGATAACTGCCGTTGGCATGATAAACCCTGTTCTCTCAACCTAGAGCTTGATCACAACCGAAAGGACGATGGACAGCAACATCCTTACTCGCCGGGCGATAAGTCAGGATCCCGAAACTACGTCCAGGCCTAAGAAGATCAAACGACGCACGACGAAAATCCTGATTGCAACTAGTGGCCTAAGATATTTCTCGAAGAAGTAGGCGATGTGACGCAGCTCCCAATTAAACCCAATAGCCAAATGGTAGGCTTTGGTCTGACTTCGCATCTGAGTCCAGCGGCGGCGGTGGAGACAATAACAATTATTTGGAATATCGATCTACCGAGCTAGGTAGGTATCATAATAAGAGCTTCGCTCGGATACAGAGGAATAGAGAAGGAAAGGATTCGGTGTGGTCTATACTTTCTGTCGCGTCGGCGCCGAATTGAACTTGATTCGGCGCCGAGCGTTATTCTAGCCCCCGAGATTCTACACGATCACCAGCACATCAAATTATCTATAAATGTGCCCCTTTCATTTTCTATACGTAAAGGCAAAGTGTCACTGGAAGAACAGCATATCTTATTTCCCATAATATTTGTCGAAAACCCCATGTCTCCATCGATAGACAACAACTCGCTCGACGAGCCCTCGGACCAGGACTCGAAGACCACCGAGAAGCTCTCCGAGGTCAAGCAAGATGGAACCAATCTTCCAAAGGGGATCCGGCTGGTAGCTATCATCAGTTCTATTATATTGGCCATGTTTCTGGTTGCATTGGTATGCGCCGCATAAGTTCCCTACCACCCACATGGAATCGGACTGATGACTTTTTCAACACTATAGGATCGCACCATCATTGCTACAGCAGTTCCCCAGATCGCAACACAATTCAATGCTCTCGAAGACATCAGTTGGTATGCTAGTGCATATCTTCTAACAAGTTGCGCCACCCAGCTATCCTGGGGCAAGGTTTACACATTCTACTCGACCAAGACGATCTTCTTGATCGCAGTCCTAATCTTCGAAGTCGGGTCTGCAGTCTGTGGAGGCGCTCCTACCTCCAACGCGTTCATTGTCGGGCGCGCTATAGCAGGAATCGGTTCGGCAGGCATCTTCTCCGGCGCGACTGTGATAATCGCACAGATCGTGCCCCTGGCCAAACGGCCCATCTTCGTCGGACTGATGGGCTCAACATTCGGAATTTCTTCAATTGTTGGACCTTTGATGGGTGGTGCTTTCACAGATAAGGTGTCATGGCGCTGGTGCTTCTATATCAATCTACCCATCGGCGGCTTTACCATGGTCGTGCTGTTTTTCTTCCTGGCCGTGCCATACACACCCAAAACGTGCACTTGGAAGCAGCATATCCTTCGGCTCGACCCGCTCGGCACCGTCGTTTTCCTGCCTTCTGTCATATGCTTCCTGCTTGCTTTGCAATGGGGCGGTACAGCTTACAAGTGGGGCAACGGACGTATTATCGCCCTGTTCGTGATCTCAGGTATCTTGATAATCGCCTTCATCGCTGTGCAGATTTGGCTCAAGAAGGACGCAACAGTACCACCTCACATCTTCAAACAGCGCAGTATCACCAGCGGAGTCGTCTTCTCCATGTGTGTGGGTGGCGGGATGATCTCCATGCTGTATACACTTCCCCTCTGGTTCCAAGGTGTGCGCGGTACCTCGGCTGTGAAATCCGGCATTGATACAATTCCAATGGTACTTGCCCTCGTTGTTGGAGCCATCATGTCTGGCAGCATCATTACCGCAACGGGGTATTATGTTCCGTGGATGTTCGTCGGGGCGATTTTGATGTCGACGGGCGCAGGGTTGATGACAACCTTCGAGCTGGATACTAACCACGCCGCCTGGATAGGCTACCAGGTGCTGTTCGGTATCGGTATCGGAACAGGGATGCAACAGCCCTCTCTAGCGGCGCAGACCATTCTTCCAATGAACGAAGTACCCATTGGCATCTCGCTCATGTTCTTCTCGCAGTCTCTCGGTGGTGCTGTGTTTATTGCTATCTCTCAGTCGCAGTTTCAGAATTATCTGGGCGCAAACCTATCTCATATTCAGGGCATTGATGTGGCCAGGGTCCTGAGATCTGGTGCAACGGAGCTTTCGAGTGTGGTGCCAGCTAGCAAGCTGACTGAGGTTCTTATTTTGTACAACAATGGTCTTCAGCACTCTTTCATTGTCACCGTCGCGGTGTCTTGTCTGATGATTGTGCCTGCGCTGACGATGGAATGGAGGACAATTAAAAGGAAAGCACCACCAGCTTCAAATGCTTGAGATAGGGGTATTGTACAAACAGTTGGTGAGATTTCTTCGGCCCGATTGCTCAGGCTCACCTTTTTCAGACTTAGCTTTTTGCCACTTTGCTCGCTTTTTTGATTGATGGCATGAAGACCCATAATGAATAATTTGGCTGTGATAGAGAATACGTTTCTTTCTCTTTTTGTCCGTCTTAATCTCTCCAGGGATAGTATATTGTGGTTTTAGTCACTTCCTAAGGGATCAGATGCTTCATGTATAGACTTCAATTTTCCTCTTTCTGAGGAATGACTGATCTTTCTGTTTAGGTATACACATAAGCTATATAAGCAAACTAATCATACCCCGTATTGCTCTTCGGAATATGAAAATGTTACGAAATCAAAAAGCCAGTAACAAAACCATTGGGAGCTTTGGACCGAGTGGCGTCGGCAATATAGGTGAAACCAGGCGAATCAGGGGTGGCAAACAGCTATCTTGAAGATTTGTACTATTTACACGCAGACATCCCTAGCTTCGATCGGAAAGCACTTCAATCTATGTACGGAGTATATAATTCAAGTTGCCTTAGCTGTGGCAAACCCACAGGGTCAGGTGCGATGCCTTCTGATCATGGAGCTCTTGGAGGATTTCATTCACGACAGTATCTATACATGTCTGTACAAAGCTACTAGGCGCCGATGAGTCTAGAATCACACATGATTAATCTGTACGGAGTACATATAAATATCGCATGCATGCACATGTACCCTGCATGATACATGTGCCTTGGGGCGACAGGACTGGGAAAGTTGTTTACACGATAAGACCAACTTCCTCTCCAATTCGACCCATCGCCATGTCTCTGGTGCAACACGTGTCTTCCATCGACGGTGTTGATCGTGAACCCGAACCAGACTTGGTTGACGACTACGACATTCGTTCCATACGCCGCAAGATCAGCTACGATGTCCTTCAGCCTCCGAACGAGGCTATCCCGGTCGCAGAATTACGACCTGGGACACCAGCATACAAACATTCCCCTGCAAAGAGAATAAGTACGTGATTTCCAATCCAAGGTAGGACAGAATGCTGACACCAGGCCTTCAGTTCAGGTCGTCGTCACGGTGCTCGTGTGCTGGGCCGCGTCGGGGATCGTGTTTGGGTTCGCTGCGCTCAAGCCTATTTTGGTCGAGGAAGGTGTGTATCATGAGCGCTGCACACCTGCTGAGATAAACGAAGGCCTGGAACTGTGTGCGCGACAAGATCTCAGGTATGTATTTTTCCAAATCAACCCCGTACAAGCTATGCGTGTCACTGACCAACGCCAGACTTAATCTGTTTTTCACCATCGCTTCGATAACTGCCAATGTCTCTGCTCTTCCGGTCGGCACGATCCTCGATCGGTGCGGGTCACGCGTTTGCTGGCTCATCGGCAGCGTACTGCTTGCTATTGGCGCTGTCATCATGGCGCTGGCGTTTCGGAATTCTGGCTTCGATGGCTATATCGCGGGGAACTTCTTACTCGCTCTAGCTGGCACCTTTCTGTTTGTTCCCTCGTTCCAAATCGCGAACGCATTTCCTAAACATGCAGGGTCAATTGTCGCTCTAGTGACTGGTGCATTTGACGCCTCTGCTGCTGTCTTCCTCTTCTACCGACTTATTTATGAGGCGTCAGGCAGATCGTTCGCTCTGCACAAGTTCTTCCTATGCTATCTGATAGTCCCAGTGGGGATCCTCATCGCACTGATGACTATCATGCCGGCGCACGATTATGTGTCAACTCTGCAATTGGCAAACAAAATAGAAGAGGCAGAAGATGCCATGCACGACGTCCACGACTCCGATGACGAGATAGAGACCAGGTCGGAACTAAATCGAGTACGAAAGAAGAGGGCGGAGCTAAGAAGGAAGCAGATCTGCGAGATCGATGCGGTGCTCGGCAATAAAGACGAGCGTCAAATACGTGCAGAGCGAGAAGAGGATCGCCAACAGACAAGTTGGGTCTGGGGTGTATTGCACGGTCTCCCAGCGCATAAGCAGATGGCCACGCCTTGGTTTGTCCTGATCACGCTGATGACTATATTGCAGATGGTGCGAATGAACTATTTCATTGCGACGATTCGCTCACAATATGCGTATATGCTTGGGTCGATCGAGGAGGCAGATAAGATCGGTGCCTTTTTTGACGTCGCGCTGCCGGTCGGGGGTGTCTTGTTCACGCCTGGGATAGGGTTTCTCCTTGATCGTCTCAGTGTGCCTATGATGCTTGGGCTTATTGTGGTTTTCACCACGGTTATCGGCGTGCTGAATTCCATTCCGGCAGTTTGGGCTGGATACCTCACCGTGTTGCTTTTTGTCTTACTCCGGCCACTTTACTATTCGGCCATGTCGTACGTTTGTGACCAAATCACTCTCATATTCGGCAGAGATATTGACCCTTGACCTAGTGACTATACGACCAAAGTGTTCGGGTTCGCCACTTTTGGCCGAGTTTACGGTGCCATCATCTGTCTCTCGGGGATCGCAAACTTCTCCCAATATGGTCTCGATACATTGACGCATCATACTTTTGGCGGAAACCCAATTCCCATCAATGCTGTCTTGGCGGGCGTGGGATTCATTGTCGGGTCCTCCCTCGTGGTCTTTGTTTTCGTGTCCGTGAAACAACCGAGAGAGCAAGATCGGGCGGACGAGGAGCATGAAAGACTTTTATTGGAAGAGGATGAAGGATACGAGGAGGAACCAAGTTACGGCGCATTGAACTAGGTAATAACCAGCCAATTTAATCGAGATAGTGGAGTTACCTATACTTTATACATTATCCACTATAAACTCCGGGCTTGATCGCTGTTAGCTCCGTATTATAGTGCCAAGACAAGATCACGAGTCGATAAAGCGTGTTAGGGACGTACTAATGGACATGAGATCCTTAAGTTTCCCTCGGAGTACATATCTCCGGGGACTCAACCAGCCACATGAACGGAGTACGGAGTAGTTAAGACCCCGAGAGTGAAAAGAAAGTACGGAGTACAAGAAAGGCCTTTACATGAGATGATGAAGTCACCATCTACATTCGAAGATGACGGCGGAACGCCAGAGTCACGTTGTCAATTGCGAAGTTAGTCTAGCCTAAGTAGGCAGATGATAGGTAGTTTCGACATTTCCTATTCAAGGCTCGAATTCCGGGATATCAAGAGGCGAAGATTGAACACTTCCGTATAGATACAGAACTCTTGGAACGAGATGGCTGGAAGTCTAGACTGCGAGAGCTGACAAATGCGATAGATTGACCTTGAAGTACGGAGTCCGGAGAACATACATACTCCGACATGATGTGAACAGAATGCCCCCATTCCGAGTATGGAAGTTGGGAGATCGGGAGTGCCTGCTCCAAGAAGAATAAACAAGCACCAGTGCTCAGACTAAACACGAGAGCAAAAAAACCAAGCAACCTTGGCAGTAGATCAACAAATGAATATCGAGAGCGATCAGCCCTAGTCCCACCAACGACGTCTCCAAGCCACTAAATGGGGAATCAAGTGGAAAGTCAAAGCTGCCAAGTGGACTTCCCCCGCATTCAGTGCCTCTAGCCCCCAGATTATGCCTCTAATCCCGCATTATGCCTCCGATCCCCGGATTGTGTCTCTAATCCCCGGATTACCCTGAGCGGGGGCCCGGGGCCGTTGCTCCGCAGAGGTCTCCGTTCGGATATCCACACCCGAGTTTTCAGGCTGTCATTCAGGCCAACAGAGGGTATATACGGAGTACTAGATCTATATTTTGAGTGATACTGCCAATTGCCTATCTAACTGATATTTTGATCGTAAGAGTTGCTGGGAACAAACAAAAAGAAATATATATTTGATGGGGAGAACTATACACAGCCCTTTCAGCAAAGCTATTCCCCCCTACGGAGTACACAACACAAATCTCCGCAGTCGCATTGTCCTCCGCAATCGCATCCTTCTCCGCAATCGCACTATCTCCCGTAGCCGCAACGCCTCCCGCATCTATATTATCTCCTCCAATAGCGTAATTTGGGCCAGGATTTCCAGCAGAAAACCTTCAGAAAACTTAGACAGGAAGGGCACGGGGGCGAGCTGAATCCAGATCCCAAGGTGAAAATACAGTGCTACGCTGGAGTCAGTGGAGGGTACAATCAGTATGGGCTGCAACCACCTGGAACTGGGAGAGTATGGAGATTTGTACGGTGGGAATAACTTCAAGACTGTCAACGACCCTCAATTCTAGCGATGTCTAGTTTCATGCTACATGAAAGGCTTCATTTTATCAGCCTGTTGTCCATGAGGCCATCGAACTTGGGTACTTTGCTTATTAGGGCCTCTGTCATAGTAATCCAGGTATTTTGATTTTATGTTAAGAGCAGGCATATTCACGCGGCAACTCCGGAAATAACCCAATTTGACCCCTGGCCGCGATGCGTTCGCCTAATTTAGACTGATTCTATCTGCCTACGACGATCTCGAACGCGAAAGGTCAATGGAGAGCGCAATAGCCGAGGGAATGTGGCCAATGTGTCTTGGGTTAGAGAAATATCTCATTGCGGTCAAGGTGCAAGAACCCATATTCGAAAAAAATGCGGGGGAATCGATCCACTCGATTCTAGGGTCTACAAATCATCTGCTGCGCAATACGGAATAGGCGAGTTGGAATCGGTGGCGGGTGTTTCTAGATATACACTTCTACCACAAAAGTTTCTGTTCGGCCGGCACCTACCAAGTACCTAGGTGCACATCAATATATTGAAAACTCGATTGTGGAAAACCGACCGAACGGAGACCTTTGCGGAGGGACTGTAATTGGTTGGCTTTGGAATGCATGAAGTCAATTTGGGATACATCCTTGCTTGGACATAAGCTTCTTGATCACTGTTAGCCATGTCTGCTGGCGAGATAAAGCTGCGGCTTTGTCCTCGACATTTGATCAACGATCATCAGCTTTACGTTCACCTTCTACTATCTTAGCTGCCGTCTTCTTTCCAATTCTTATATCCTCTGCTCTTAACCCTTCCTGCAATCGAAGCTCGGTGTACAATATGGGAACCATGCTCCCCGTAGACGAGAAATCACCCATTGATGACCGCATCGAGGACATCGGGGGAAAAGGTCTTACCGACGAGATTGATGATGAATTCACACCGGAAGAGCAGAAGAGAATCATTCGGCGCGTTGACCTGCGTCTGGTGAGCATGACCGGATTGGCTTATTGCATCTCGCTCATGGACCGGACGAATCTGGGCATGGCAGTCATTGCAGGGTAAGCCATTAGTCGTGCACCGAGCTTATTCCCAAGGGTGCAGTATTGCTAATATTTGCAACAGTCTGAAGGAAGACTTGCGATTGGATATCGGCCAGCGCTATGTAAGTCCGAAGACATGGATCGCACAGTTTTTCCAAACCCGACCACTAATCGCAAAATAGTCCATCGTTGTCTTGATGTTCTTCGTACCCTATATCATCTTCCAACCATTGATGACGGTCATTATTCGGAAGTTGGGCCCGACAATATTCCTATCGTCGATTGTTGTATCTTGGTCAGGGATTATGATTGTAAGGCTCTGCTGCATTCTCATCATAAGGACTCCGGTGTACTAACTCATGTAGGGAATGGGATTTGTTGAGGACTGGGGGCAATTGCTTGGTACGCGTGTGCTTCTGGGACTCCTGGAAGCTGGTTACTTCCCTGGATGTGTCTACCTGCTATCTTGCTGGTATACTCGATGTAAGCAGAAGAAATTGATTGTTGCTTGATTATATAGTACTGACGCTTCAAAGATGACATTCAGAAGCGATTTTCCCTTTTCTATCTCATTGGCTGTGTCGCATCTGCGTTAGCTGGCATCCTCGCCTTTGGTCTGATGCAAATGGATGGAACGCAGGGGTTAGCAGGCTGGAGATGGATTTTCATCATCGAGGGAGTGGTAAGCAACGTCGGAGAAGCCATGAGAAAATTACTGTGCTGACAAGATGTATAGATCACCGGGATTATTGGCATCCTGTGCTTCTTCTTCTTCGTCGACTTCCCTGACCGCGCGCACAAGTCTTGGCATTTCCTAAACGAACGAGAATGCGCATTCATCATTCGTCGCATCAATAAAGACCGAAATGATGCTGATATGGAGGCGTTCTCTCTCAAGAAATTCTTGAAGCCTGCGTTGGACATTAAGAACTGGGGCTTTGCAATGATCTTCTTGTGCGTTCCCTTTCCCAACAGACCCGATTCTAGCTAACCAGGTCTACTGCAGATGTCTTACTGCTGTTGCCATCGCCATTGGATACTTCCTACCCATCATTCTCAGCCTCGGTATGGGCTTCGGCGTTGGCGAATCGCAATGCTTGGCCGCACCACCCTACGCATTTGCAGGAATCATCATGTACGGCACCGCCTGGGTAGGCGATAAGTACCACACGCGGGCGCCGATTCTGATTTTCAACGCTTTGCTCACCATCATCGGTCTGCCAATGATGGGATTCGCCAAAAGCCCTGCTGTTCGCTACGTGGGCGTGTTCTTCACGGTTGCTGGGGCCAATGCCAATATCCCCACTTGCATGGCGTACCAGGCGAATAATGTGCGTGGCCAGTGGGCGCGTGCTTTCTCCAGTGCTTCGCTTGTTGGCGCCGCAGGCATCGGTGGTATCATGGGTAGTTTGGTGTTCCGGGAACAAGACGCGCCCGGGTACAAGCCGGGAATGTATACCGCTATCGGGTATGTGATCTTGTCCTGTCTCAGATTGAGCTGCTCATTTACTGACTGCGTTCCACTAGCTGCAATATCCTCGTTATCATCCTTACTATCATTATGAGTGTGTGGTTCAAGATCTGCAATAAGCAGGCGGACCAGGGAAAGCGGGTCATTGAGGGCGATGCGTCATTCCGATACACCATTTAAGGGCAATGCTAACGCCGTATACTCCGTACTCCGTATGATAACCGCGATATAGCAATGCCAAAGGCCGTTTCAATCCTTGAATTTCCATGAGCCGGGTCAATGGAATTTCCCGTAGGATTCGGACCGAAAGATCAAGAAGAGCATATCGGAGCTCCCCCTCGGTGGAGTTGTGGAGATCGTGGAGTAGAAGTAGCGAGTTTTCCGGCGGGAAACCGGCCTTTTGGTCCGCATTGAGTTCAGTCGGTGGCTGACGCTGCGGCGAGGGCAAACGGTGCCTGCGCTGATTGGCCGGATAAGCAGCCTCTTATCGCCGATGTGAGTTTCCCGACAGGTTCTCCGTCATCGGACAGGGAAAAGGCAAGAGGCGAGGGCAATAAGTATTAATTTCTACGGACCTGGCACTTTTGTCTTCTTCATCTTCATCTTGACTCATCAATTTACTGAGAGACTTGTGGATGTGTTGAGTGCTGTCCCTTAAGCCCTCAATATCCAGTCTAAGTATGGCGGCATCCCTGTTTGCCCTCCGCGGCGGGCGCCAGCTTGCTCTGCGGTCGCGTGTTCGCGTGCCCTCAATTGCCCGAGCTTCATTGTCGCCATTGAACACTCGGAGAGCAGTGCACAACTTACAGTCCACACCCCGTCGTAGTGTGTATACTAGCTCCGTGACCGACCATGGCGACCCCCACCCCCAAGATATCTTCCAGCCCCTCGATACCTTCCCCCGACGCCACATTGGCCCCTCCCCAGACGCCGCAGCACAGATGCTCGCAGTGCTTGATCCACCAGTGGCATCTTTGGACGATTTCGTGAAGCAGGTCCTGCCCGAGGATATTCTCTCCAAGAAGAACCTCAAGGTCAGCGAGCCAAACGCCGATATCAGCCTGTACCGCTCAAGTGTGCAGGGTGGGTTGGGTGAAACCGATATGCTCAAGCTTCTGGACACATACCGCAAGCAGATTGATGTGTCTGGCAAGACCTATATCGGAACCGGCTACTATCCTACCATTGTGCCTCCTGTTATCCAGCGCAATGTTCTCGAGAACCCTGCCTGGTACACCAGCTACACTCCCTACCAGCCCGAGATCAGCCAGGGTCGCCTGGAGTCTCTGCTGAACTTCCAGACTCTGACTGCTGATTTGACCGGCATGCCCTTCGCCAATGCCTCAGTGTTGGATGAGGCCACCGCCGCCGCCGAGGCCATGACCATGTCTTACGCCACCATGCCAACTTCCAAGCAGAAGAAGGCCGACAAGTCCTTCGTTGTGTCTCACCTTTGCCACCCTCAGACCATTGCCGTTATGCAATCCCGCGCCGAAGGATTCGGAATCAACCTCGTGATTGGAGATATCTTGGCCGATGACTTTAAGATCGTCAAGGAACAGAAGGACCACTTGATTGGTGTCCTTGCTCAGTACCCCGATACCGAAGGTGGTATCTTCGACTTCCAGGCTCTGAGTGATTCCATCCACAGCCAGGGTGGCACTTTCAGCGTGGCCACTGACCTGCTGGCTTTGACCGTGCTGAAGGCCCCCGGCGAGTTTGGTGCCGATATCGCCTTCGGTAGCGCCCAGCGTCTGGGTGTCCCTATGGGCTTCGGTGGCCCCCACGCCGCTTTCTTCGCTTGTGCTGACAAGTACAAGCGCAAGGTGCCTGGTCGTGTTGTTGGTGTGTCCAAGGATCGTCTCGGTAACCGCGCTCTGCGTCTGGCGCTGCAGACTCGTGAGCAGCACATTCGCCGCGAGAAGGCTACTAGCAACATTTGCACTGCTCAGGCCTTGCTTGCAAACATGACTGCCATGTACGCTATCTACCACGGTCCTGTTGGTCTCAAGTCCATCGCCCAGCGTATCATGTCCATGACTTCGCTCCTGCGCGAGAAGCTTGTCAGCTTGGGATACAATGTCCCTCTGCGCTCCAACACCACCGATGGCGGTGCTGTATTTGATACTCTGGCCATTGAGCTTCCTACTGCTGCCGAGGCTGATGCTATTGTGGCCGAAGCTCGCGCTGCCAATGTCTTCCTCCGCCGACTTGGCGGAAACAAGGTCGGCCTTTCTCTTGATGAGACTGTTGGTCGCGACGAGGTGAAGGGCATTTTGAATGTGTTTGCTGCTCACAACAAGTCCACATCTGCCATTGAGGTTGATGGCACTCTGGGTCTCACCTCCGTCCCCGCCAGCCTTGAGCGTACCTCCCCCCTACCTGACCCACCCGGTCTTCAACACCTACCACTCCGAGACCGAGATGCTCCGTTACATCCACCACCTCGAGTCGAAGGATCTGTCCCTGGCCCACTCCATGATTCCCCTTGGATCCTGCACCATGAAGCTCAACGCTACCACGGAAATGATCCCCATCTCTTGGCCCGAGTTCTCCCAGATCCACCCCTTCATGCCCGCCGAGCAGGCCAAGGGTTACACTCAGATGATCGATGACCTTGAGCAGCAGCTTGCTGATATCACTGGTATGGCCGAAGTCACTGTGCAGCCCAACTCTGGTGCCCAGGGTGAGTTCGCCGGTCTCCGTGTTATCAAGAAGTACTTCGAGGGCAAGGGCGATGCCAAGCGCAACCTGTGCTTGATTCCTGTCTCCGCCCACGGTACCAACCCTGCTAGTGCCGCTATGGCTGGTATGCGCGTTGTGACCATCAAGTGCGATACCAAGACTGGTAACCTCGACCTCGATGACCTCAAGGCCAAGTGTGAGAAGCACAAGGACGAGCTCGCTGCGTTCATGATCACCTACCCCAGTACCTTCGGTGTGTTCGAGCCTGGTGCCAAGGAGGCCTGTCGCCTGGTGCACGAGCACGGTGGCCAGGTCTACATGGACGGCGCCAACATGAACGCCCAGATCGGTCTTTGCTCTCCCGGTGAGATCGGTGCCGACGTGTGCCACCTGAACCTGCACAAGACCTTCTGTATCCCCCACGGTGGTGGTGGTCCCGGTGTCGGACCCATTGGTGTGGCTGAGCACCTGCGTCCCTTCCTGCCCTCGCACCCTACCAGTGAGTACCTGCAGTCGAAGCGTGGCACCACCTCTTCTCCTCCCATCTCTGCCGCTCCCTGGGGCAGTGCCAGCATTTTGCCCATCACCTTCAACTACATCAACATGATGGGCGAACGTGGTCTGACCCACGCCACCAAAATCACTTTGCTCAACGCAAACTACATCCTCTCCCGCCTCAAGCCCCACTACCCCATCTTGTACACCAACGACCACGGTCGCTGCGCACACGAGTTCATCCTCGACGTCCGCGGCTTCAAGGAGACCTCCGGCGTCGAGGCCATCGACATCGCCAAGCGTCTCCAGGACTACGGCTTCCACGCCCCGACCATGTCCTGGCCCGTGGCCAACACCCTCATGATTGAGCCCACCGAGTCCGAGAACAAGGCCGAGCTGGACCGCTTCTGCGACGCCCTGATCTCCATCCGCGAGGAGATCAGCCAGATCGAGTCCGGTGCCCAGCCTCGCGAGGGTAACGTGCTGAAGATGTCCCCCCACACTCAGCGCGACCTGCTCGTTGCCGAGTGGGACCGCCCTTACACCCGTGAGCAGGCCGCTTACCCTCTCCCCTTGCTGTTGGAGAAGAAGTTCTGGCCCACGGTGACTCGTGTTGATGATGCTTTCGGTGACCAGAACTTGTTCTGCACTTGCGGCCCTGTCGAGGAGACCGAATAGAGACAGATCCGGAGAGATCTATGATACCCATGCTGCGCTGATTTGCTTCTTTTATGGCTCATCCTGATGCCTTTTTCTGTGTATACATTCAACATTTTCTTATTTTTCATGACGGTAGAAAAAGGCTACTTTACGAGGGCTGGATTGATTCAACATGATCGTCCGGTTTACCGAAAATAATACAATTCAAAGATTCAAAAGTGTTCTTGGTATTCAACTTGCTTCATCTGCATAAATCATAGCTATATAAATCAGATTGCAGGCCGCGCTTCATGCTCCAGGGATTTGATCTTTTGGTATTCATCCTCTACCGCTTTCTGGTGCGTAAATCAACCCCCGGGGTAGCGGGGAGTGGAGTAAAGCGATCTACACATCCTCCGGAGTTTGAACAACAAACTGGGGTGCATACGGAGTACACCTGTGGAGAGGTGCTGAACATTGTATATATTGCGCACACATGAGACCTCCTTGTATGTCTCATCCCACCGGATTCTGATCTTAAGAGGAACCAACTTTAGACTATGGCATATGAATTCCAGGATGCCTTCAGTTTATATCTGGGCTTGGAACATTCGAACAGGCTTATCAAGGCTATTTTACGATACAGTACTGCTATCTCATAGATTACACACCTATTCAAAAACCACCCGCTCCAAATACCGTAACCCCGCGTAAAGTTATCGGAGATGGCCGATCCCCGCGGTCTCCCCAGTCGCCGAGGCTCTGGACATCCCACCAACCCACCAACCACCCACCGTCCACCCCACTCTTCTCGATCTAACACCCCAAGCCCTGAGAACATTGGGATCAAGTGGAAGCAACCTTGATCTTGTCCGCATACTGCGCTTACTCCTTTAGGTCGACGCTATCTTGGGTGTCTTGCATTGGCAGGTGGTAGCCGGAAAAAGGAAACGAGACAGATATATGAAGGCCCCCTGACCCTCTTTTGTTTCCTGGCTTGTTGATTTTGAGTTGATCCTTTGCGAGTTTGGAGGGTCTCTGCTATTCCCACTGTGGATTCCGATCTACATTTGACCTGCATTCTCAATCTACGCTACACATCTGCATTACGCTTGAGGCTAGATCTATATTTGGTGATTGCTGTGTTCTGATTTCTCTTTCTTGGGAGCTCGAAACAGAACCGCATATATCTATATCCAACCCGATCATATTTTGTTATTATCATTATACCCGCAATATGGGTTCGACAATTGACGTTGCTTATACCGTGTACCGCGGCACCTTCATTCAATCGATTCTTCCGGATTCCAGCTCCAAGCCTGAGTTGTCGCGCAATCAAGGCGCATTATGGGTGTCTGCTGCTGACGGCCGCATTAAAGGCTGGGACTGGCAAGCCCACGATGACAATGGGTTCGCTGAGTTCATGAGTCGGAGTGGATGGGTCGATATCGACGCCGTCGAGACACAGGGACACATCAATGGCTATGATTCGAAGATTAGAGTGAAGGTGGTTACTGCAAATGAGGAACAAAACGAATTTTTCTTCCCTGGATTCATTGGTATGCATTACCACAACCATACGAAGCTCAGACCAAAGTTCCAACCCGAGCCTGTTATACTAACACGTTTCTATGTAAAGACACCCACATCCACGCTCCGCAATACCCCAATGCAGGCCTTTTCGGCTCAACAACTCTTCTAGACTGGCTAGACACCTATACTTTCCCAGTAGAATCCGGCTTCGGATCCCAACCAAACACCAAAACAGGGCACCAAACCCAAACAGACCCCAGAAACACACCTCTCAAAGCCCAGCAGATCTACGACCAAGTAATCGCCCGCACACTCTCAAACGGTACAACATGCGCCTCCTACTTCGCAACAATCCACATCCCCGCCACAAACGCCCTAGCAACCCTCTGCCACAACCGCGGCCAGCGCGCCTTTATCGGCCGCGTTTGCATGGATAACCCAGACTTCTGCCCAGACTACTACCGCGACCACAACGCCGAGGACTCAGTTACCGCAACGCGCCAAACAATCGAGTACATCCACACCCTAGACCCGGAAGGCAAACTCGTCAAACCAATCGTCACCCCCCGCTTCGCACCCTCCTGCACCAGACCCGCACTCCAAAGCCTCGGCGATCTAGCAGCAAGCTACACGCCCCCCCTCCACATTCAGACCCACATCTCAGAAAATGAGAACGAAGTCGCCCTCGTCCACGACCTCTTCCCCGAAGGCTATGCCGGCATCTATGACAAATACAACCTGCTCACGCCGCGCACGATTCTCGCGCACGCGATCCATCTCTCACCCGAGGAGCGGGCTCTTGTGCGCGCACGCGACGCAAAAGTCTCGCACTGTCCTGCGTCGAACTCCGCATTGGGATCGGGGATTTGTCCCGTGAGAACACTGCTTGACGAAGGGATTACCGTTGGGCTGGGAACGGATGTGAGCGGTGGGTATAGTCCTAGTATCTTAGAGGCGGTGAGACAGGCTTGTCTGACCTCGCGGTTACTGGGACATACGGGTGCATGGAAACGGGATCATCCCGATGGCGAGGGGTGTGGGAGGGAGAAGTTGTCTGTCCCTGAGAGCCTTTACCTTGCTACGCGGGGTGGGGCTGCAGTTGTTGACATGGCGGGTGAGGTTGGTGGGTTTGAGGTGGGGATGTTGTGGGATGTGCAGTTGGTGCGGCTTGGGGGAGTTAGGGGGGTTGGGGATAGTCCGCTAGAAAGTGTTTCTGGTGATGGGAGTGCGGATCTTGTGAAGGCTGGTCCTGTTGGGAATGTTGATTTGTTTGGAACAGAGACTTGGGAAGAGAAGATTGAGAAATGGGTTTGGAGTGGTGATGATCGCAATGTGAAGGCTGTTTGGGTTGGAGGGAGGTTGGTGCATACGAGGGGGTGATTGATGATTGATGAGTAGATCCGATTTTTGCTAGATCTTGCGCTTAGAATTATGTCTATATTTATTATATATGATCTCGTACCTACACACTGGCTGTTCAATGTTATAGATAATTCAGGGAGCTAAGTGATATTGGAAAGGAAATGGTGAACTCTTGCTACTACGAAGAATCTCTTTCTTTGTCACTCGCTTCCAAAACTAACACGCTATACATCTACTGGAAGAGCTCCACACAGTCGAAGATCTGTATAAAGATGTAAGCTTCAATCACGCAGAATTATGAGAATGGTACTCACAAAGTTAGGACTGAGATAAGTATCCCCAGAGCTACCAGACACGACACTGATAGTGATCTATACCACATTAGCTTTTTTTCGTCTAGATATTGGGACTCTCCTACAGTATTGGTGCCAGCAACGATAGTTCCAGCCGGAATCGAGACGTCGTAGACTTCACCGAATCCTCTATACGCGCCACGAGTCATGCCTCGAGAGTTCAGATTAGTCGGGGCAGCCGGGATGGAACCTGTATAGCTATTGATCTACGAAACAAGTTAGATGGAAGTTGAGGGAGGAAATGTAAGGAGTGAACTTAGACATACGACAGCCTGAGGTCGACCCCCGGCGAAGGAAAGGGTCGTGCCGATTCTCAGTGTCGCAGCCCCAGTCTGCGAGGAAGTTGCCGTGAACTTGATTGTCAAAGGCGAATTTACGGACTTGAAAAGAGCCATCGGGAAAGAAGAGACCGAGGAGCTGCCGACTGTGTAGGTGCCCGGGGACCAAGAAGACATGCGGGTGTCGGAGGGATGCATGCGGAGCTGGTTGGCAGCGTTGAGGAAACCGGTCGGTCTGTTCAGTGATTAATTTTGATATATGTGTTGGAACTCAGTTTAGTGCACCTACGTTCCATCCCAGTCTCCAATCTTAAAGATTGTGGTTCCAGTCTTCACTGACCCGGAGATGCTTTTTGAGGTGGTTGACCCAGCAGTGACAGTCACCGAAGATGTGGCGACGACGTATTCGCCTTGGTAGTAGACCATTGTGTAGGTGCCTGGCTTCATTGCAGGGGAGGTAAAGGCCCCGGAGGATGAAGCATAGGTCCAGTACTGGGCAGCGGAGTTATACCTGCCTTGTGTTAGATGTTGGATATACACGCCGTGATCTGTATCGGACTCACCAGTGAATCACCCATTTGAATGCCGAGTCGGCCCCAGATGCAGTACCCGAAACATAGCCTCTTGCAGATTTGGCGACGTATCCCTGAATATCAAGGTCGGCGAAGAAAGATGTGTCAATGTTGGAGCTGGGGGTACCGCTACGGCTGAAGTACATAGAGTACGGGCCGTGCAGGCCCTGGCGATAGGTCTCGGTCTGAACATGTCCGGAATTCTATATAGAGTAAGTGACGGTGATTGCTTGATCAATGCTGATTACATACCATGTACCAGTATAGGCCAGTGTAAGAGCCAACGTTGTTAGTGTTGATATCACTTGAGAATATTAGCTTGGATCAAGTTCCACTGCTCACGAGGCTTACCGCATGAAAGGCCCGCCAGCGGATGTCTCGTATTGATTCAAGATCATGCAAACCCGGTGTGCGCTTCCAGACACACCTATTCGTGTCAGTCTCAGTTGCCTTGAATGAGGGGAATTTGTCCTTACAATGGATGTTGTCGTCAATGAACCGTTGACTGGAGTAGAACTTGCTTCGGGTTTGCCCATTCACCAAGAACTGCATTTGATAAGTTCTTTGCGCCAATTTCAAAAGAAGAGCCGGGCCCAACACTCACCACATCCTCTCCCTCAACAACACTGCCACCTCCAATATTGGAAACCACGCCGAATGGCTCTTCATTCGGGAGCAGGTCTGAATTCAGGCGGGTGATGTATCGGAGTTCTCCAACAGACGGTTCTAAAGACCGTCAGTATAGTTACTACGCGCGAGCACGGTGAAAACTCACCGGCAGTGGTGTAAGTTGCCATGTGGATGATCGGATCTCCATTGTGGACAACGTAATAATGTGTCAAGGTGGACGTGGCACAAGTCACCTTGATATAGTCGCCTATTCTAATCAGAATGTTTCCCTCGGGGAATCTCACTTCTTTACTCACCACTCTGGGTTGCAGTCACAGTTGCGCTACCGAGACCTGATCCGATGTGAGACGCAGTCGATTGGTATTGAAGCTCAGATCCATAGTAGTTGATCGACGTGATGTCACAGTTGGTCCTGCTGACAGTGAACTTCAGCGGATTTGCTGACCCCGCATCGATCACATAGGAAGCCGTGCTGGTAGTTATTCCAAACGCTGCGGATGCCCGTTTAGCAAAAAGGGCCAGCGAGGCAATCGCCAAGGACTTGAACAGCATCATGCCCAACCTATACCGTGAAGGATATTGAGCGGCGGAAATACATGGTCAAATAGAGAATCATCGCGTTATATAATAGCCAAAGGCTGCCTTTTCTCCAAGCTGAAACCCTGCAAGCTGAAAGGTGGAGATTTGGCAGCTCACTGCTCCATTTTAGCATAGGCCTCCGTGGATTTAGCCATAGTTCCACCAATGCGTGGCGTTTCTGGGTCCTTGGCAACAATATAATTTCCCCTCTGGGAACGGACACTCTGCAGACTCGAAGAGCCGAAAATACTCGACTAGCTCTTAGGAGACGGAGGCGAAGCTCCTCGGATTGCCAAGACCCCATGCAACTCCGTGTGGGGTGGTTGTTTCAATGCCACGGAGTATCCGGCAGCAGTCGAGGGATTTGTGTCAGCTTGAGACATCTTGTCGCTGAATCGATGTGCTGTTTCAAAGTGATAAATCCTCCAATCAATCCGATTGTGGGGATCACTCGGGGTTCATACGGGACGCTTTTGCCCGAGAACCCGCGGAAACGTGGATATTGGGAGGCTAAGGTGGTTGTCATGGTATTTTAGGAAACAACAAGGACAGAACAAAAAGAAAAGAAAACTCCAGTCCTTGCCAACATGGGGTTCCCGTATATAGGTCACTGCCCTGGCCCCTGGGTGTCAGGCCAAGCCATGCAGCCGAAGTTGGCCAGATTTACACGAGTTTGCAAGCTACTATGTTAAGATTTGCACATTGAAAGACACCAACAAGAATTGGTAATATGAATAACAGAATAAATTAACATAGTTGGCCCTTAAAACTAACTCATGGACATTCTGCATTCTGGGTGTAATACTCCAAGCACAGCACACGCAGCTAACGAGGAAAGAAACGTAAAATCCGGAGAGCTGAGACCATACATGATAGACTGATAAAAGGAGACAGAATCCTGGAAGGCAAAGGTAGCAGAGAGCCATCATCCACTTTCAGAGCAAAAATATCCCGAACAGGAGCGAAAGGATCATGGCAGAGAGATCAACCGGAAGATTTAGCAACACATGCTTGGAATATCAACTAATTCAGGAGAATATCAGTAAGCTTGTATTACAGATCCGAATGAGCCGCCGGGATAGAGTACAACTCACATATATATCCCATGAGAATAGTTTGCTCCAAATGAGATCGGAGCTTCAGAAATCTCCACATATTGTGCCTGGCGCGAGTGGTTTCCTGCCCCCTGAACAATCTTTGAGACGGGTGCTCGTATCGGGAACGGGCGAGGCATCTGCGATGGCAGCTGCCAGAAGCATACTGAATAGACCGAGGATGTTGCCAAGTTGGAAGTACTTCATTGTGGGCGCACGAGGAGTATGGATGTGGCGTGACGATTCCAAGACAGCAGTTCGTCCCTTCATTTATACTCCTGGCGGGTGGCGATAAACGACATGACTAGCGTGAACATCGAATGCTTTTTGACAGATGGTTCTTATTCAAATGCGGCGACTTCCTTCTATTGAGGCACGTTTAGAGCTTAAGATCGGCGTTATCCGAGCAAACAACACGCGTTCGCCCCCTAAGAGGATATGGGTATCATTGAATGAATAGTTGGAAATTGTTACAGAATCTCAAACAAAGAACAGTGTGGTATCGGTGAGCTGGAACTGACTGCGAATCGCGGTAAGACCTTTTGTCGCCCTGTTGCCGAAAATGGACCTCAATAGGCTCGGTGAATGAGGCTACCCTGCTAGCCCTAGGCCTCTATAGCTCACACATACGTATTTTCCCATGTCAGCCAAACATCTCCAACATTGACATCTTCGCCTCGTCTTTGTTATTTTCCTTTCCGGGTCAAGACCGCCCTGATTTCTTGGTTTAAGCAAAGGCTGAGACCTTAGGATACTGGCCTGTCCAAAACATTACCAAAAATTATTTAGATATCCCCACAGCTAAATTCCACAGCTCAATTTGAACTATGTATTTGTAGATGTACATAATAAAACGGGGAGCCTGAACGAACAAATATATCCTATCTAACATGTCGAGCCATTTCCGAGAACCCCGGTAGCAGTTTTGATGATGCTCATATTCCCAAGATTCTTCGCATACCAGAATTACCAACGACATAACTTCCTCCCATTCTAAATGCCCCTGGGCCCTCCAACTTTCCCTCGAATCGACCCATTGCCATATCCGTCAAGAAGGACCCGAGATGCTCTGTTGGTGAATGCATTGATTTCATGAGATACCGTATTCCCGGGCCAAGCACAGCCATTCCAACCTTTGAGACAATCCCAGTCACCCCATTTGATGGGATGTATGGTTTGATAGCATCATGTGTTACCGAATCCACAAAGGCCGGTCTCACACTATCGACCCGAAGGGATGGAGTTTGCTCTGACAGCGTACCGAGAAGCATTTCAGTCTCCCCCTTGACCCTCGCAAAGATCGGCGAGAATATTCCAGGATTTTGAGTGGCCCCCTCGCCAGATACATGGATGAATCGGAATGGATGGTCTGATGGCTTGATAGTGGAAAACGCATTGGCAGCTGCCAAGGTATAGTCCTTGGTTATCGTGATGTATTGTCTACTGACTGTCAGTATACGCCATGTCTGTTATGAGATAGGTCTTACTCCTTTGTGACATTGGTCTGGCTTGTTCCGAGAGCCCAAACACATCCATCCGCATCTTTCAATTGGTCGAGCAGCTCTGGTTTGTATGACTCAAAGTCTTTGTGGGTGATAACGTGGACCCGTGAATCTTTTGCATCTTCTGCCATGCGCACGGGGCTTCGACTTAGGATAGATATCTTGGAGACCGATGTGCTTTTGAGCATGGCGTCGAGGACTGCGGAGCCAACTAGGCCGGTGGCCCCTGTGAGGATGAGATGCATTTTGCAGAAGATGTCCAGGCAATGGGAGAAAGAATGATAATTGAAGACATCGTTGGAACCCAAAGCTTGCTATTTATATTCCATACCTCTGATCCGTTCATCCAGTTCTCAACGCTTAAGTCCGCGCGACAATACTATTTCCAGTGATGCTGACAGCACACTAACTACATATAGCTAGTGTGTTCCAAGATCATGTTTTGAGTGGGTGACCACTCAGGTTCTGAGTGCTGATTGGCTAACATACATGTGCCCCATTCTGAGAACCGCATTAGGCCAGACATGGATCCATGGATGGACTTAAGGTTGACTGTTATTATCAGATCAGCTCTCTCATATAATCGAGCACCATCATCTCTCTGTCAGTCTCTCTCCAGGCTATTAGTTTTATAACTACTCATACAAAGACCATCAGATTTCCAACGATACTGCTTGTGAAATTTGAAATTTATGGTTTATCAGAGCGTCTTGACCTATCGATCCCATGTACTGTCTAGCTACCTACTCCGTACTCCGTACCTGATTCCTCTCAATGAATAATCTTCTGCCAGACAAGCATCTTTGGAAAGCCAATGGTTTGGCCCAGAGCTTGTGGATTGTGATCCGTTCCTCCAGCACCTCCACAAACTACAGTACGGAGTAGCAATCCTGATGAATGCCACAAGCAAGCCTCGATGAATAGAGCAAAGTCTCCGTATGACACATCAAATCCTAGTTCAGTTGGAGCTTTGTTTACAGCACATTTCCTGTTCTGATAGAATCTAGAGCATTTTTCATACGAAAAGTCCTCCTGGGTTTGCCGGGATAGGTAAGCTCGTCAGTGTGTTGCCCATTATTGTCGCCGCAGTAACTAGTGAATTATTAGCTAGCATCTTTAAAACATAAACCAAATATATCGAGGTAACCGAAGAATAATCTCACGCCAAACCTCGCAAGGCTCGCGAATCGGTCATCTCCTTTGCGCTAGGGTCGAGCTCCGGACTCCGAGTTTTGAGCCCCGAGCTCCGAATTCCCACGTAACACTGGAGCCTCAAGTCTTACCCTTATAAAAAGACCTTGCCAGTAGTTTCCTTTCCTAGAAATCAAAATTATCGCTAGAATGTGGAACTTTTGGTTTGCTGCGTTCTTTGGCGCTGGTTATACCTCGCAAACTGTCCTCCGACCGGAGCCCTCCCGGTCAGCATCGGACTTCACCATTTTTCGGAGTTCCAATTCACCTCATACAGTACGTATCCGGCAACAAGACGAGTCCATCTGTGCTGCAGGGTCTGCACAGTACACAGGATGGTTGGATATTGGCCCAAAACACCTGTTCTTCTGGTACTTCGAAAGCCAGAATGACCCCGTTGGCGATCCACTCACGCTGTGGATGAACGGTGGGCCTGGGAGCTCCAGTATGCTGGGATTGTTCATGGAGAATGGACCATGTCTTGTGAATGAGCACGGAAATGGAACTGTTCACAATCCCTGGGGATGGTCTCGGAACTCCTCGTTACTTTTTGTCGACCAGCCAGCCGATGTGGGCTTCTCCTATGTTGACGAGGGTTACGAGGTCGCCCGAGACTCCCAAGAAGCTGCGGTCGATATGCACCGTTTCCTCCAAATATTTGTATCTGAGATCTTCCCCCACAAGCAATCCTCGCCTGTTCATCTATCCGGTGAATCTTATGCAGTAAGTCTTGTATCTTATTGGTTTGTGCACATCTCTGACTTCTCCAGGGCCAATACATCCCTTACCTCGGAGCTCAGATCTTAACTCATAATGAACAATATCCTTCAGAGCCTCAGATCAATCTCAAGTCATGCCTAGTAGGCAATGGCTTCATGTCACCCAAAGATGTTGTCTTTGGGTACTGGGAGACGCTTTGCTCGACCAATCCTGGCGTTTCTGAGCCGGTGTTTAATCAAACCCGATGCGATATTATTGCCGAAAATATGCCGCGATGCATGGATGTCTTTGATACTTGCATGGAACATCCTGATGTTGATATTTGCACGACTGCATATTCTGTTTGTTATAAAGGAATCGTCGGGTTGTACGAAGATGAGAGCAAAAAGGGAGGTAGAAACCGGTTCGACAGTAAGCATCTCCTTTCCAAAACTAATACCTCTCCTTCTCTTTTTCTGACGAGACAAAATCAGTCACGGCCCCGTGCGATGTGGACGAAATGTGCTACAAGGACGCAGAGTACACCGAGCAATATCTGAATTCAGCTCCGGTCTGGAAAGCCCTCTCGCCGCCAGAGGGGGTCAAGGAGTACAAAATGGAATCAAAGGCCGTGGTTGATGCCTTTGCAACAACCCCAGAAAGCATGACATCGGCTTCCGAGCACATTGTCTTTCTGCTTGCTCATGGGGTACATTTCTTGGCCTACCAAGGGAATCTTGACTTAGCCTGCAACACGGCAGGAGCCCTTCGGTGGGCTAACTCGCTTGTCTGGAAAGGGCAAACGGAGTTTACATCAAAACCGCTGCTCCCTTGGACTTCAGACTTAGGAAACGGGCACATAGTCGGAACCGCGAAAGAGGTACGAGTCAAGATGGATAGCCAAACAACGTCGCGCTTTGCATTTGTGACCGTGGATGGGGCGGGTCATTTGGTGAGTCTGACAGCAGAATCTTTAACCTGGGCGTATGCTTACTTTCATGACAGCTTCCCCGAAACCGTCCAGAGGTCGCTTATGAGATACTAACTCGGTGGATCGCCAATACTTCTTTTGCTGACTCTTGAAGTTTTGAAAACCCGCAATTACAGTTCATTTTTAGACCAAATATTAAGTTAGATGCTGTGATGTCGTGGAAAGAGGACAAAAAATTGATTCTTTGCAGCTCTCCTAGCGCCATTTGTATCATATCAGCAGGATACCATACAAATTAACTTCTCTGCGTTGAACCAGTGCTATTACCCATTCAGCAAAAGTTCTGGATCTCTCTTGGGTTGGCCTGAGGTCTTTTTTGTTAGCACTGCTGGTTTGTGGCCCTACCTGTCAGGTGGCAAGTCCTCGAGGTCTCCACGCGGCCGCGAGGACTCATCTACATGGTGGCTTTGTATACTGGGGATGCACCACGATTACTTGTTGTCAAAGCTGGGTTTAGGATACTATCCAGCATAGCACCATTATCCAAAGGCAGTTAAATTCCGTTAATGAACTCATCATCATCCACAAGTTTATCGTTCCCAAGTCAAAGAACCACTCGGATCTGTACCCCTGGACTGTTTTTGTCTCCATTCTATCCGACCTAGGGAATTTGTTCTTGGAACATCCATAAATTATGCAAATATGAACAACAAATGTTGATTATGTGCCAGAGCTCAGAATCGACTAATTACCTTGCTGTATATCCGCCGTCAACTGGAAGGCAGACTCCAGTCATCCAGCTGACATCGTCGCTTGCCAAAACAACGGCCATGCGAGCGATGTCCTCAGGGATTCCGGGACCTTTCAACGGATGGCGTCTTTTCAGGTCTTCCCAGGTCGACAAGTCAGTCGTTACCTCCTTTAAGATCGCCGTTTGAGTATCTATGTCCATCAGTGTGGGTTCATGAAAGCCTAGAATCAATTGACCTACAGCCAGGACAGATAGCGTTGATATGAATGTTGTGAGGAGCATAATCAAGAGCCATTTGCCTAGTCAAATTGCTCACTGCACCCTTCGATGCGCAATACGACGCTATGAAGCTTGTCAGTAATATGCGAATTCATGATCCGGAAAAATCAAACACATACGAAGCTCTATTCCACCAACTATTCCCATAATCGAAGAGATGTTGATAATCCACCCCCGGTCCCCAGACGAATGTGGCTCTTGCGCCAGCATCTGCGTCAGAGCGTACTTACAACCCAGGAACACGGACTTGGCGTTGACTCGCATCGTAGTATCCCAGGTTGCCTCGTCGGTCAGATGCAGCACAGCAGGCGTCCGCACCTCAATACTTATTCCAGCATTGTTTACCAGACTAAATGATATCATCAGATTGGATATTTCAGACGTTCAGTGTCAGTTGTTCATACATGTCCAGTCGTCCATATGTCTCCACCGCGAACTGAACCATTTTCTCCATCTGCTTCGCGTCTCCCACATCCGCCTGCACAAAGACAGCCTGCCCACCCTCCCTAGCGATCAAAAGGTGGGTGGTAATATCAGCCTCCTCTTGGGATCGCGCATCCGTGGTTAGGTCGGCACATACTACCTTTGCTCCCTCTTGGGCATACCGAATGGCGATTGCTCGTCCGAGGCCTGATGAGGACCCGGTGACAATGGCTACTTTATCTTGCAACCGAGATGATGGAGACATTGTTAGGCTTCCAGTACTTCAGTTGTAAGATGAATGTTGTAAGAGGAATGTTTGAGACGAGCTGTTGGCGAGAGATGAGGGGTTCATCATGTGGTACTCCGTACGCGCTGTGGCGGCTGGCGTTATGCACCCAGTTTGTACAACTGGAAACTGAGCCGAGGTGCAGGTGGCTGCGGGGATTAGGTATCGCATGTGGAAAACGGGTGGGCATCTTTGAAGATCTTTAGATTTTGCAGCCCATAGTCGCATATCGGAGTCTGATGTCCATATCCGCGATCTGATGGCAAATGTGATGGAGGGTTCGATGTGGATGGAAGGTGTGCCGAGGGGCTTCGCTTTGGCTTCTTTTGTGGACAAGAACCATGTTGAATGTCAATTTTTAGCGGACTAAATAAATATCAGAGCATGGAATGAAACATGAAAGTTGTAGACCCTCCAGATCTCCTGGGCTGTATGTAGTTGTCTGTGAAATCACGCGCTCGGCGGATGACATCCGTCCTTAGCGGAAGCTTGCCGTCGCGAGTCGCGACTCAAACCTCGGTCAGACCAGGCAATGTCCAGTCATCTTCCGCCATAGAAAGATCAATACGAATGCAGATTACGACTGAAGCGATCAACGTACCTCGTGTGCCTCATGTTGACTCTAGTCTTGAGAATTTGCCGCCAAGCTCGTGATGGATGATCACGATCCTAATATGGACTATGTGAGTTGGCTGAACGATTCTATCCCCAGCAGCTTCATGGATTTTGGTAGCATTCTGGACTTTGAAACTCTCATGCGGGAGAGGCCTTTAATGTTCGCTCATCATGATAAAGGGGACAATGTATCAATTTCAAAACTCAGTGAGAAAGTTTTGTAGTAAGGACATACATAATAAAAGCAAGGAAATTAGAGGGGGTAGTGAAAAGACCTCAGTGGGATAGAGGGGACAGACTATATCAGGCGCTAACAATCTGAGTTGTAGGCCGAAGCTGGTAGCTATCTCCTACACAGCTTCAAACGTGACATCCACATTTCCCTCAACTTCAACATCATGAGGTGTCAGGTCCAATGGGACAGGCTCCGCTCCAGGGTAATTAACATAGCTAGCAGCCACTTTGTGCCTAGCCCTATAAGAACTACCCTGATCAGAGATTTCTACCACAGCAGCACCTCTTCCTAGAACCTCAGAATAGTCATCAGCTTGCTGTATCGCGTTGCGCAATGCCAATTTGCGCGCCTCCGAGTCCAATTTTCTTCCGGTCTCGTCGGTGAGCGTCCAATCAAGGAAATCGATTTCCACTTTGGGATATCTCAACAACTCATCGATCGCGATGTTGAGTTTTGTAAAGTCCCTGAAGACAGCTCTGAACGAGATACTCGCATTGTACGGGTCTGGCACAGGCTTATCGTATTGATCTCTCGCTCTTGTCCAGGTCTTGATTCTGTTGGACGAGAACTTGGTCATAGGGGGCTCGGTGGCATCGTCGGACCAATTGTTAAAGTTGGATTTAAACCATGTTTGCAGATTATTGGAGGTCGAAGTCACTTCCCGGGCTACATCTTCTTGCACTGGTCCGGTTGACTTTACTGAGAAGTTGAGAGTGCCTCGTTCTGGGGTATGGGCCACGAATGATCTTCCTGTGACGGCGATTTTCAGGGGGGGGCATGATGGGTTGAAGGTGTATGAAAGTTGTTGAGGAAGTTTTCCAGCAGCATAGCTACTTGGAAGAGCTCAATGTCAGGCAGCAACACGTGGAGCTGTGAGGCTGAGGCTGAGGCTTGAGAGCATCCACGTGTACGGGCGACGAAGTATGCCGCCTGTTCACAACTCTCTGATTGGATAATCCTTCCACCGCTGTATTCCCGCACTTATCACCGCCTTTTCGAAGCCTATACAATTTCAATTTCTCTTTTATTTCTATACCAACATACTCCATAATGGTGCGACTAAGCATTGATCTTAAAGCCCATAAAGATGATATTATCTCTCTTTTCTAAAGCGGCGTATCTCATAATGCTATATATATCAGTCTACGCGATACGTATGGCCTCACTATTGCATCCCTTACAATAAGGAGACGCCTTATATCACGACCTAAGGATTAAGCTAGAGGGTACGTCTTATCCTATATTTGTGCATTTAAAGTAGGGGTATTTAAGTGAGAAACCTAATATAATAACTAGTTAATTATTATAATGGCTCTTTTGGTAAATACTCTACCATTATTTTTCCTAGTTTTATAGAAGTGTACTTCCCTTAGAGGAGGGGAGGAGAAGAGTGGGGAGAAGCTAGATAGTAGGAGACGATTACGTAGTGAAAAGGCTTTAACGCTAGGAAATAGGTGTATGCGGGCATTTGTGTAGTGGGAATAGCTTCATCTTTTTGAACTTCCAATCATCCTGGAAAAACACTTTGCTTATTAAGCCCTCTGTCATGCCCGTTGATTCAGGTATCTTGATTTATGCTAGTCGAAATCCAGGCATATTCAGGCATAATCAGGCATATTCAGGCATATTCAGGCATAAAATATGCAAAATGAGGCATTTGACCTTAGATGACTAAAATACTGCCTGGCAATATTATCTAATCAGAGGGTTATGAACAGGCGGCACACTTCGTCGCCCGTACACGTGCATCACGCCAAGCCCAGGCCCCCTCAACATGCATCTCGCATAAGCAGTTGTTTTCCTTCATATGTCAAGAATGCCTGCAACTCTTTATATTCATCTCATACTTGTTTATAAAATTCACGCAACTCTGAATTATTGATCTGTAGAAGTCTTCATTTCTAGCAAATGGGATAAGTCTTGAAAAGACGGAGCACCGAGCATCGAGCACCGAGCACCGAGTTCCGGCTGCTGGCAACGTGTGCGAAGTAAAGTAGACATTTGATGTTGGGACGTTTGTATTGGCCTATCCGGAGATCAACTTAGCTGATGTTCTTATCCAAAAATGTTCAAGATATTTCATATTAACAAGATGGCAGTTGACAGATCAGGTCCCTGGCAAGAAAATTAGAGAAACGGGGTATGACTGAGAGAGCACATTTAGAACCATCTATGAAGGATTATGAATATTTGAACTAGTTGAAGCCCGAGAATTATTCAGATGCCATACCTCATTACGAAAAAGAGAATCAAAGAGAGACTGCCCCAAATAAGCGATTGAATATAGCGTGGCAGATCATATTCAGCATCACACTGGCATAGACTTGACAACGGCTAGGAGTCACAAACCTAGCCAAATCGGATTCCTTATTTCGTCAATTTTGTCAATTCCATCCCACGTCTAGTAAGTATTCATTAATCGTCGAACCCATGCTTGTGGATGTGGCAAGACTGGAGTCTTGACAATTCCAGGGACCAGGTGCACCCCATCGATCATCAGCTCTGTTCTTGATTCCTTTCCCATTCATCTGCCCAGGTGGTGACTCATGATACGCCGTGATGAAAGAGGATCTATCAGCTTCTCGGTTGTGCAAGGGAACAACCATCTTGCCGTACAAGTTGACTGCGTTAGCGCCAAGGCAGACTTGACGGGGGCAAGGCTGACCTGACCTGCCATGGACGGTCTTCTCGATTTTGGTCATCCCATCTCTCCCGCACCTTTCACCTTCTTTTCTCTTGATTTTCCTACTACCCTGCTAGCTTACTATCTTCCCATTTTGCCTTACAATGGATCTACTAGGATACAGCTACGGAGACGCGTTCCGGTCCTCTGCATTGGGGAAAGTGCTCAATCTGTAAATGCAGATTCTCTCAAGTCACTCCGCAATGCTGACCTCGTTAGCCTTCTCGTCCTATTGATTTTAATCTCCTATATCCCTCAATATTTGCGGATCCATACGTTCCACGGCGATGGAATATCCCCTACCTTTATTTTATTACGCTCAGTCTATGCTGCGAGCAGTCTTGCCAACATCTTGGTGCTTCCCTCAGCATGGAAGATACAGCAGGGATGCCGTGAGAAAAGCCCGATCGGCAAATGTATGATTGAAATGATGGATTCCTGGCAATTTGCAGCGGACTGGATCGGCTCTCATATCATGTAAGCCTCCTTCTCCTAGCGCCATCACAGTTATTGAGATCTTTGCAGACTCATCCTCTACCTGCACTACTCCTCAGACCGTAACCTGAATTTACTACCAGAGCAGGAGCAACGTGAGGATACGCCACATAATCAACAAGAACAGGTACAGGAAGAGCAACCAAGCGGCTGGCGTAAAAGGTCCATCCCTTTCAAGCCAGCGATAATCGTCGTTATCGTCCTTGAAGTTATCATGCTTGTCCCCTCGCTGTTCCTTGCCATCAAGCCCCGAATTCAATCAACCGAGTACTATATTCTGATCCACTTCTGGTCTTTTGGAACTGTGGGGCTCTCATCGATTCTTAGCCTCGTTTACAGCCTGCCCCAGCTCTGGTGTACCTGGACTCTGGGACGTATGGGAAGCCTCAGTATGCTCGCGATGGCAATCCAGATCCCGACTTACTTCTTAATGGCAGCATCGCTTGCGGTGCAATATGGAAGATTAGATGAGGTTCCAATACTGGGTCGCTGGCTTGCTGCCTGGAATCCATGGATTAACCTTATCATCAAAGGGTGCCAGGAGGCCATAATGTTGGCCCTATGCATTTACGTATATAAGAAGTCGGCTACTCACGAAACTCATCCTGTCTTGGATGAGCATACGCCGCTCTTACTCGACGGTCGGGATGATGATACATAATCGTGCCCACGCACAGTATCGATGTTACTCATCCAGAGACCTGAAGCCGCGTGATTACTTACTACAGCACACCTGTTGTTGACTGCCTCCTCTGTAGCCTTGGCGAGCCTTGCATAAAACTCCCTTTCTTCCTCAAACTGGGTCGTTTGAGCCGACGTGAAGGGATCTCCGTCCATTTCTAGTTGTAACTTGACCTCAGCAGCTGTACTTCCAGCCATTCGGTCTATTCCTACCGGAGCTACCCATACGGGTGAGCGAACAAAGTGAACGAGCCTTTCCACATCTGTAAGAAAGATTGAGCTACTCTCATACACCTGCTTTGCTTGCCAGTCTAGCACCTCGCTATCGCAACGATTTCTCCTCGTGAGCTTATACACCTAGAGCCTATCCAATTATCTACTTGCGCCCTCAGCGAAGAAGACGCTCTCGATCCATCTTGAGAATAAAAATTCCCGCATCTCTATTCAACTAGTGCACCCTTCAATTCTCGGTTTTTGCCAAGACCGTTGGCGGGCTATTGGGTCGAGGCTCAGTCTTCAAATCAGGGGAAATCGTCTGCCGCCCACTTGGCCGAACGTTCGGCAACTTTCGTGATTGGTCAAAATCCCATCCCCATCTCATAGGTACCTAAATATGATGGCATCGTCGCGTTATGATGGACACAGGAACTAACTACGCGTCAGGGCCTAGTAAGAATCGGGTATCACTCGTGGCCCCAGTTTTACGCCAAAATAAATGGTTGTCATGCTGCTTACCAGGTCACCGAGTCTACCTGCCACGCTGCCACAACAGTATAAAGCACGCCGTAGGATTCTTTACGAGCGCATGTTAGAATTTTGGGAAAGACTTGCCTGATACAGCAGAAGAGCATATAATGCATAGAGCTTGAGCGAGGATGCTGACTGAATCGGTTCAGTCCTGGGGGCTCTAGACGCGCCCAAATTGGCGTATCCTTGACCACCTAATTAGGGTAGAATTCATTATAAACGACACCAACAGGAGCTTCCTGGTCCGACGGACATGGGAATCCTTAGTTCCGGCACTATTTATATGGACATGTTCAGCTTTCCCCCAGAGCTTTCGTCCTTCTTTTTCTTCCCACCCACAGTAACCCACTCTCTTCTTGTCGTCCTTTTTCTTCTATCCTCTTTGCCATTTACTTTCTATTATTCTCTGCATCTGAACAAGATGGACGGCACTGTAATCATTACAGGTGCAACTGGCTCACTCGCTCTCGCGGCGATCCAACAGCTTTTATCGTCACGTCCCGCGTTGACTATTATTGGGACTGTTCGCAACGCAACAAAATCACCCAAAAGTCCCCATTTGATTCGACTGGAAGAAGCTGCACGCCAAAATCCTTCCAGCAAGCTTCTTATCAAAAGCGTAGATCTGAATTCCATTGCGGAAGTCCGAGCATTTGCGGATGAGGTTGCTGGTCTGGTGTCATCCAAAGAAATCCCGCCCATTTCCGCCATCATTTGCAATGCATTCACATGGTCATTGAATGGCCAGAGATTCTCCGAAGATCGATTGGAATCTACATTCCAAGTCAATCATCTGTCGCAGTTCTTGTTGGTCCTCAAGCTTCTGCGGAGCATGGATCTCCAGAATGGTCGAGTGGTCATGCTGAGCTCCGAGGTCCATGACCCTGAACATCCGAACCAGCTTGCGAAGCTTGGCGCAGAACTTCCGTCAGACGAAGACCTTGCTTTGTTGATCAAGCCTGCTCCGGATGATGCTGGAACAGAATATGATATGGGTTGGCGACGGTATGCAAATAGCAAACTGGCCAATGTCATGTTCATGCAAACTTTGAATCGGCGACTTCAGCAGGTATGAAATATACCATGGGAATGCATAAACATTTACTGACTCTCAATTCAGAATCCGCAGTGCACCAACATCACAGTGACTGCTATGGACCCAGGTGGCCTCGTTGACTCCCGGGCCCATGATGTCCAACGTCCAATCACTCGTGTCTTGTTTCGGATCCTCGCATTTTTGCTTCCAGTGATCAAGCTGTTCACTTATAAACTTCGGTCAAATGCAGATTCAGCCCGGGATGTGCTGACTCTGGCCTTGGACCCTGAGTACGCATCGGTGAGAGGCCATTACAATGGGACAACCCCTCAACAACCTGCCAGGATAGCCGAGAATGAGGCAAGATGCGAGGCTATCTGGGAAGCTTGTTGGCAATGGGCTGGCATGACAGAAGAGGAAACCTGTGTTTCCAAAAGCTCTCCTGTCCGCAGTTAGATACCCGAATCAATCTAACATTCTAATCGTTGAGACAAAGGGCCTGGTTGAATGTTTGGAGACAATGCGCTTTTTATAATTGAAACAACTTCATTATTCATATAAATTAATGAATGAGATCAAGTTATACAATTTTGTACATCAAAATGAAACATAATCATTCTTTCTCCTTGGGCCTGTAGACGACACGCTCGGCGAGGTATCGAGGTGTGTTGATATCATGACTCGGCAAAACAACCACATCCGTCTCTTTCGCAAATTTCTTGATCATCTTCAGCGTTTCATAAGCACGCATCGGGTCATCATTGATCCCATCAGGTTCCTCTTTATCCAGAAGGTCCAGGCCATAAGTTGCATCCCCGGGAAGGAAGTATGTGGCCTGATTCTGTCCCTCTCCATCCTCGCCGTACACAACCACACTGATATGTCCTGGAACATGTCCCGATGTATCGACGATGGCAATTTTTCCATCCGCCGTCACAGGATAAGACTGCTTCCAAGGTCCAAGTGGCCTGTCCTGCAGGTCCACAATCCTTGGTGAAAACTCCTTTGGCCAATGATTTGGCGTGGCCCCCTCCATACTTGCAAAGAGAGGATGCTTTCCAAAAGCATTCCAGTGCTCGCGGCCGACGTAGATGGGCAGATCCGGCGCTTCCGCGACTAAGTCCTCTAGTCCGCCTGCGTGGTCGTTGTGGAGGTGACTGAGAATCACGCCTTTGAGGTCTGTCGCTTTGATGCCGAGGTCGTGAAGTTTCTCAAGGATTCCGTCTTCGCGCTGTATCGTGAATTCACTCAGGTAGCTATTGAAGAAAGCGAGGCGTGGGAAATACCCCGGGTCATTGCAGCATGGAGATTGTCCAGTGTCCATGAGGAAGAGACCTTCAGGGTGTCGAATGAGGAACACTCCAACAGGTAGTTGTTCCGTCCATGTTTTGTCGCAAATTGATTTGAGGCGCCGAAGAATGGCAAATCTGCTGACGGGTTGCGAGCGCATTGTAGGTCTAATGCGCACCATTCCCGTTGTGATGAACGTCAACTGGATACTAGTGTCCGGTTGGGATCCCATGGTGTGGTTTTTCTTTTCTTTGGGCGAATTGGTGTATTTGTCGAATCGTTTCAGAAAATGGTTCATACCAAATCGCAAGACGAATGAAAGAAATTCAAGAACGTGCTTAGGCTGTCGACTAAATAGCCGAAAATGCGGCAAACACGAGATTAACCGTCATGTTCGCCGAGACGCCAAATTCATCCGTCGGGGGAATTAACTAGCCGTGCTAGACACAATCACAAGCTAAATTGGCATTATACGCTAATAGCCGGTTGGTCTGCAACCATATAGCTGAACGGGCTGGATTCTTGATCCATAAACTGGAGACATGCGTGACTTGACGCATCTGCACAACATGAGTCCTTCAAACGCAGTCGTAAACTTCCATGTGTCCCCAGCCAATAACAACCGAAGGATTTGTACTAATTTAAGATATGCTATAGCATTTGTAACTCATAAAAAGGCTATAAAGCATAGAAATCCAAGACATCACGAGGCTCGTCAGACTATCGGCAGACTCGATGCCGAGGAACAGCCCTAGAAAATGCGGGATGTCACAAACATTAACCATTCCATTGACTTATATCAAACCCCCCTTTTTGACAACAGTTCTTAGAAGAGCACTTGGTCATCATGCTACCTCGACATCAGGCGCATGTCGTCCGCGTTCATTGCCATGATTGAAAGGTATGGCCCTTCCCTTTGCGTACCGATGGAATCTAAGATAGAACAGGTGAGATGTGACTTAAAAGACAGTCAAGACAATATTTGCAGCGATTGCCGTCGATTCAACCAATCTTGCATGGAGGTTTAGTAAGTCTTCGTATATTCTGAAAGGAACTAACGACATGAGCATCGCAGACGCCGCACTGGCGCAAGACTTCATGGCTCAAGACTTCGTTCCGATGGAGGAGGAGTGGGCAAAATGGCTGGTCTCAGAGGGTCACAGTTTTCTCGACTTGTTTGGGCTATACACCGATGTTCATGATATCACAGAAGAGACAGGGGTTTGATTAATCGCCACGATCTGATGACATGCCGGACCTTGTAAATGAGCCTTTGTATAATTTGCTCCCTCTCAGAACCCGCAAGAAAATGATGTTTTCTCGGTAATTCAAAGGCTTATGGAATCATCAAACAGAAAGAAGGACCAGTCGACAGGCCAATCATTGCCGTCCATAGACAAGGTAGGAAGCGTAGCAAATGATGAGTTTTCATTATGATCCGTAGCCTTCAGCAGCTCAAGCATCGGGCAAAAGCTCGAAGGAAAAGGGAAGAGCAGAGCTATCTCCACTTGTTCATCAGAAGTCGATACATGGGAATTCTCCCACACAGGCTCAGCGTGAGCAGGAAATGCGTCTGCGCGGAGATTACCGAGACTGTTGATTTTGCTGAGCACCACTATGGCGGAAGAATGCTTCTCACTCAAAGTCTCCAGGACCAACTTGCTGATTCTGAGCTCGTCGGCTCGCTCCGGGTTCAATGCATCACTGTCGCTGAAAGCTCGTGGGATTCCTGCGACGAGAATAGCCCAAGCATGAATCGGTAGTAGATATTGGACATCTTCATGATAGAGTATCTCTTCGTACAGTCGGGAAGCGCAGGATGAAGCAACCAATGAAGCGTATTTGAACAATGACGGGTTATCACGGCGGCTCAGGAAGCACGTTATGATAACGGTGACCAGGTAAAAGATATACAGCTCAGCAATGGCGCGATTGTAAGGTTGCCTAGTTCCCACGTCGAACAGTTGCAAGTCGAGAGGTAACTGTTCTCTCCATATCCTCAGTTCTTTCAGATTTAGATATACCTGCTCTGAAGGGGTATTATCAGTTCTGGCTAGGTCTAGGACCCTTCTAAGCTTTTTGCAGAGATCCGCAAAGTGACAAAATACGTGCGATCCGAGATCAGGATTTTTGAAGTCCGCCGGCACAGGTAGCGGTACCGAAGTATCTAGAGGAAACATCCCAGGACGTCCACAGCAAGCCGTCTGCATAGTATCGTTGATAAACAAATACCACCAGATTCTTCGTGCTCTTCCAGGTTGCTCTAACCGGCTGTATGTCTCATTCTCATGTAAATGCAACTGAATAGCAAGTCGAATGGCCATGCCAATCCACTGCCATGGGTTGTCGAGTACTATCGCATCAGAGGAGTATGGAGGCCATGTACTCAGGATACAAAGAGCGCTGAGAATGTTTAATGGAGCCGGGTCATGATGTAAGAAGAGCAACATTTTGATCCGCCCGTAAATAGCAAACGGGGTCCACTCAGCCGACCCTGCTATCGGACGACGCATTAGGCTTCCCGCGAAACATAGGCATTGCTGGAGCAAAGTAGACGTTTCTATCTCCGGTTGGCCACGGTCCAAGACCGGTACAAAGCAGAAGAGCTCGCGGAAGTAGAAATCGGCGAGGGCTTGGGCTATGACTGGTGATGGCAGGCGGCAGGCTTGACTTATGTCTAAAATGAAGTGACTTCCATCGACAGAAGTGGGCTCTCTCGTGCCATTCACGTTTCCAGGCCCAAGACAGACTATATCACGGTGGCCAAGAGGACGAAAAGGTGAGGGTGTGACCCCTTGCACTATGTGTTCCTGTGTTGTAGCTGAGACTGGTTGGCTTGGTGACCGTACAGTTGTATCAGACGAATACAAAGATGATCGAAGGGATTTTCTTTGCTTTCGAGGTCCGATATGAGGCCTGTTTTATCAGAATATGGTCTTCAGCCTTTCCTTCATATTGTGTAGTCTTACTGGCATGTATGACTGCCATACTCGCAGCGACTGCAGATCCCGCTTGGCCGGTCTTCTAGGTCACAACGGACCTTCATTGCGATTAGCGTTGGTAGGAAGTACCCCTGAGTGTTAACCCACCTTACGACCGTGACATCTGATACACACAGCCCGTGCCCTGCGTGGCATATCTCCTCGGCTCAACTTGGGATATTCCAACGGCAAAGGTTGACGTATCTGGAGATCGGATGGAGCGATGTTTTGCCGAACAGGCGGCAATACTTTGCCGCCCACAGCCGAATGTTGCTCTCACGTTCCACCTCTTTTTTACATCTATCTACGCTGTACTCTGTTGTTGGAATAGGAATTCAAGGTAGACAAATGGATTATGGCTCAGTCTATACGCCATATTCTTGGATGACAGCCCATACACGAGGGGCTGAGTACGCCAACCGAGTCATTCTCCCACTACCCCCTGCTCTCTCACTTCTGACTCCTCTGGCCTACATTGGTTCCGATACGTCTTTGCTTTAAACCAGGCCATATTTCTAGGTATTTCAAATCATATACCAAGCAACATGAAACCGTGCATCGCTCCAGGCCAAAGAGCTGTTACTGTTCTATCCCCTGAGCCGAATAGAAGAGGCAGAGCATTGTAGAATACAGATTATATTCAACCATTCAATGAGTTGTTTCCCTCATCGCAAGACTGGAGACATCGTCAATTATTAGACAGGCACTGTCGGGGTTTCCTTGAATGCCCTATAATCACACGGCTTACCATCTCCCCAAAAGCCCTCGACCAGACGAATCTGCACCGGCGTCCCATCAAGAGGACTTTCTCTCAGCCAACCACAATGGCATTTGGCTTTCAGTCCCTTTGCTCCCCATCCACTGATGTCTTTCTTGGGATCCTCGTTAAACAACGGCATAACATCAAGCAGAACAGCATCATGCCCAGATAAACCAAATGTCCTCGTTATGATCTAGATCTTGCACATTAGAAACCGATGCACCCTTCGGAATCCCCCGAAACCCAGCCCCCACACAACTCCTATGTGGCCCCGCTCCATCGCAACTGTCCACTCCGCACGTCTATAAAGCAAAACTCAACAGAAGACCCCAATCCCAAACCTCGTAGTATATTAAGTGCCCAGCAACACCAAAGCCAAGTCCAAAATGCCAGACCATCCCCAACAAATGCACAACATCCAACCAACAACCCTCAAAACCTTCGTCACCCAGATCCTCATCGCAAATGGCACATCACCAGCCCACGCCGAAATCATCTCCAAATGTCTCGTCTCCGCCGACCTACGCGGCGTAGACACCCACGGAAGCAACCGCATCCCCTCATACATGGAGCGGATCCGGCAAAAGGCCCTGGACCCCCGCGCGGTCCCCACAATCCACCAAGTGACACCAGCGGTTGCACAAGTGGACGCGCACAACGGATTCGGGTTTGTCGCCGCGCACGAAGGCATGAAGCTCGCCATCTCGATGACGCAGATTTACGGCATCGGCATGGTCTCCGTTAAGCATTCGAATCACTTCGGCATGTCCGCGTGGCTGGTGCAGCAGGCGCTGGAGGCGGATATGATGTCGCTGGTGTTTACGAACAGTTCGCCTGCGCTGCCGGTGTGGGGCGGGAAGGAGAAGCTGATGGGTGTATCGCCGATTGCGTGTGGAGCGCCGGCTGGGGAGGGGAGGCCTCTGATTTTGGATATGGCGCCTTCGGTTGCGGCGCGGGGCAAGATCTATAAGGCGCTTCGGCGCGGGGAGAAGATTCCTACGGATTGGGCGCTGGACAAGGATGGTGGGCGGACTGATGATCCGGGTGAGGCGTTGCAAGGGGTTATGCTGCCCATGGGTGGGCCGAAGGGGTCGGCGTTGTCGGTCATGATGGATGTTTTCTCGGGGGTGCTTTCTGGGTCTGCCTTTGCGGGACATGTTACCAATCCCTATGATCCGTCCAAGCCAGCGGATGTGGGTCATTTTCTAGTGGCTATCAAGCCCGATTTGTTCATGACTATTGAGGAGTTTAAGGGGAGGATGGATTATCTCTATCAAAGGGTTGTTGAGTCGGAGAAAATGGCTGGTGTGGATCGGATCTATTTCCCTGGGGAAATCGAGATGATCACCGAGGAGAAGCGGCTGGCTGAGGGCATTCCTTTGGCAGCGGCTGAGATTGAGAGCTTGAATAAGGAGGCTGATCTAGTGAATGTTCAGCATTTGAACGTGTAACTTACACTGATTAAAGTCAAAGGCTATATCATGTATATAGTCGACTGTCTCGGTTCGACTTAAGCATTGTGGTATCTCTATTACATGCTACCTTTAAACGATCTGCTTCTAATGTACGGAGTAGGTACAAGGAGACATACAGCCCTTCGCCTGGTAATGAGCCATTTATTGAACTGTCAAGCCACGTAGAATCAATGTGCTGACCACGCTACTGGTCTTAGAAGATAGAGTACCGAGAACTAGCAAAGAAACAGGAGCAAAGCCTGTACAACTAGCCACAAGCAAGATGCCACCTCAAGGGAAGCGACGCATTAAGAAACATAGGCAAACAAGGGGGAATGATGCACAGAAGAATGAAAAATAGTGTCACAATTGAATTATCGTCGACAGAGCCTCCCGTAGAGGAACAAGTAAGAAGCTAAAGGGGGATGATGAGAAGAGAAAATGGGGATCCAAGGCATAGCAAAATGCTCTGGAACAAGAACACAGCTGAGGTCTCACTTTACAGTCAAGAGATAATAGTAACAGAAGAAGAGAATGCAAATCACAGGTAGAGGAGCAAAAGAGGAAAACAAGGAAGAGAGAACAAGACATTAGGAAGCAAGGAAAATGTTTTCAGACAAAGGAAATAAAAAAAAATAACAATAAATGCTGAATAATTAATCAAACACCCGACGGATGAAGAGGAATCGCTCCATGCATAAGAAGGGGACTAAAGCAGGGTATCACGTAGTATCCAAACAACCTCGCTGCTCTTTCAAGCAACTTAAAAGAAGCTTTAGAATGATAGGGTTTGGATCCGCCTTTCGAGATCGAAGCACAAACCGCATGATTGCTTGGTCGGTCCGGTCTCAGTGCTGAGTCCGTTGGAGGTGGAATTGCTTTTGATTGATTGGCCACGCTGATAAGATCAACGGTCATCGCCAGCACGAGACTTGGCACGTCTTCGGAAGAAATCCATGACTTTGCGTGCTGCCCCAGAGCTGCCAGAATGATGGGATCCATCGCGCTCATACTCGTAAGCGTCCGCGAATTTGCGATGGTTCTTCTGCAAAACACCCGGCCCGCGTCCTGTTCGAGCAACCTGCATTGACTGCCTCGGAACACTGTCATACGGACTATTGTAATCATCATAATAGTTCGGCTTAGACCGGTGCTTTTGGGAACCTGAGTATTGATCTGCGGAATTTTGATAGACTTGCTCGGCCGAGGGTACCCCAAAGGAATCGTTCTGGCTATCAAATTGAGATCCGAGATCCGCAAATTGTTGATCAATCTGCGCCTCGTAGCTGAGTGGCTGTGGCTCAGGTTCGGTTTGATTATCCTCACCAGGTCGCTCGTTAACTACACCCATGGCATCTTGAGTACCATAGCTTGTCGCACGAGCACGACTCTGGGTGGGGCTCGTAGGGCCCGTTACGGGCCGTTGTGGGGCACGGGAATCGACCGGGCGAGGGGTCTGGGTGATTTCTTCGGGAGTCGAGGCTCGAGCATTGGAGAAACCACGGAAGGAGAACGATTGCGGAAGCAATGAGAATCGCCGAGGACGGCTTTCCACACCAGACTCACTTGCCTTGCGGTTGTGAGGATATTGCATAGAATGGCGGGAATCCGTCGACATTCTGGAATTCTCTTTTGCGAGAGGATCCTTCATGCTGACAGGGGGATAACGCTTATCTTGCTTTGTGCGTCCAGCATTAGACTGTGTACGGCCACCCAAGATCGAACCTGAACGACCGAAAAGCTTCTCGCCTAGACTTGAAACAGTATTGGATCTCTTGTGGCCCTTTGGCGGCTCTTGTCGAGGGGTTGTGTTGAATGTCGAAGGCAATTGTTGGCTATGGGTGCTTGGGAGACCAATAGATGTATTAGATGCATGTGCGGAGTCTTGTGCGAGAGCAAATTGTCGGCTCTTGGGCTGTGCCAGGCTGCCTTCTGTATTAGTTGCGGTGACAGTAGGAGCCACCGGTTGACCATAGGAGCCACGTGAAGGCAAACGACCAGTGTTGCCAAAGGAGTTCATAGATCCACCAGTAGCTGGCCGGGGGGCTTGTTGCACCGTAGCCATGTGAGATCCAGTAAGTGCTGCATTATCTGAGGTCGAGCGTGGGAAGTGTCCAGGAAGCGGCTTGTTGAGGTTGAGTGCCGGTACTTCTGCAGTATGGTGGACTGGCTCTGTTGGCGGTTGCACCGAAGCGGCAATTTGGGCCTCGGCTGCAATGGGAACTCGGCTGCGTGATGCAGACGGTTCCACGGGAGGCTCTCCTCGCGTCGTTTGTGATTGAGGAGCCACGTATTCGACTTGTACCGTCCTCCGCTTGGCATCGCGAGGTGTCCTGGACTTTTCGGTTGGCGGGTCTTGGGAGACATCTCCAGCATGGTGGTTCAACCCCCCAACGGCCGGAACATTGTTCTGGTGTGTCTTCGATGGTTCACGTACCGAAGCACTACGGGCAAGAGGCGGTGCTTCTTTTTGGGTTTCTGTAAACGGATGTGAGTAACTTGAAGCCTTATCACTTGCAGAAAGCCGTGCTTACCAGATGGGATCGTCGTGTTCGCAATGTCCACCACGTTCGTCGTACTGCTAGTGATATGAGACACAATATTCGAAAATTCGCTGAGCCAGCTATGGCGAGCAACCTCGAACAAGTCTGCACGCTTTCGGGGATCGGGAACCAATATCCGCCTCAAGAGATCACGAGCATGTGGTGTGACATATTCCGGGAATGTGAGAGGAGTAGTGACAATGTATTTGTAGAGAAGATTAATGTTGTCGCCATCTGGATTCGCTGGGTCGTCATCGAAAGGCAGATATCCTGCCAACATAGCGTACTGCATTTCACAAAAATTAATTGATGCAAAATCAAGCAAGCGGCAAGTGAACATACCAAAATCACACCGCAGCTCCACACGTCCACTTTCCGGCCAGTGTATAAAGAATCGCTCACGACAAGCTCGGGCGCTGCGTAGCAAGGACTGCCACAGCTGGTCTGCATGAGATCACCTCGCCGTAACCCATTGCTGCCAATCTTGTCTAGCTTCTTCCGTTTGACATATTCTTTGTTGGTCAGGTTATACTCAATCTCCTCGTCTAATGGATCCACTGGGTCGAACGTATTGGCGAAACCGAAGTCCGTAATAATGATGTTGCGATTCCGGTCGAGAAGCAAGTTCTCCAGCTTGAGATCACGATGCACGATACCCTTCTTGTGCAGATAGCCAACTCCAGAGATTAGCTGGGCAAACAGGCGACGCGCGGAATTGTCCTTCAGATACCGGTTATTCAAGATATAGTCGAACAGTTCACCTCCCGACGCGTATTCCATGATGATTCCGATGTGACGGTCGGTTTCCACCATTTCATGGAGACGCACAATGTTGGGGTGTGCCAACTCGCGTAAAATGGCAATTTCTCGGTAGATTTTTGGTAGCCGACTGGGGTTGGTTCCCAAGGTGTCTCTCCGAATGAGCTTGATGGCTACTTGGAGAGTGCCGTCGCGCTTCCATCCCAGCTTTACCTTTCCGAACTCGCCCTCACCGAGGGTTTGCCCGAGAATATATGAGCCAAAAGTGGTTTCCTTACGCTTTATGACGTTGCCGTTGTTATAATCATGCCGACTTCGTGGCCCACGAGCTTCCTCCATACCGTCGCTACCAGCTGCACCGAATCCAGATGAAGAGGCATGTTCTGTGCCAGCTTGTCGCACTTGTTCTCTCTCTTGGTCCACAAGAGGATCGCTAATCAACAAGGAGTTGATAACTGCGCTCGGTTCTTTTACCGGATCTCCGTGTCCAGAAACACTTTCCATTTCCGACTCCGCAGCCGGTGGGGCCGTCCTTGACTGTTGTACATCACGGGAGGTCTCCTCAGGTTGGTGCCTCCGTGACCTGCCATTTCGGTCGTCGCGCGTACGATCACGGTTCTCTTTCCGATCAGACCTGCTCTTTCCTTGCCGGGAGCTACTTGTCTTCTCTGTAGATGTTCCATTTGGACTGCGGCGACTGTGGTGCGTGGAAGAGGTCCTCGGGGGAGGAACCGGTGGTGTGCCTAACATGTCGGGATAGGCTGTGCGTGCATTCTTCTGAGCGGGTGATGATGTGCTGGTTGATAGCGGTGAAACATGAGCTGGGAGTGGCACGGCCTGCGGATGAGAAGTGCTCATAGCCGAGGAAGCTGTTCGGGGACCGGCCTCAGAAACGGCTGTTCTGGGATTAGCACGCTATTTACCAAATGGAACGGTTCGGCATAAGATAGGCACGCCCTTTGGGGCGATTTGCATCGCAGCAGCTTACCTTCGTGTAGTAGATCCGCAAAGTCTTATGAGACTCGCTGTGCGACGATCCGAGGCAGCTTCTGCGGGCGCTGAGCAATTCTGGTAGCAGTTGCGATTGGTCCAATTGACGCCAGGGAGCACAACGTCCTTCTGGGAATGTTGGGCGAAAGTCGGGGGGTTGGGGCGACCGGTCGCACTCGCCAGATGACGATTCAAAGCGCAATCTGTAGATATTGAGCTACCCGTCAGCTTGGGTCTTCCCCAGATTCCTATCGTGAAAAATGTGCCGTTTTAAAACCAGGAATGGGGGGGCGGCCAAGCAAATGACAGGAGAAGATCGATCGGAGGAATGGGGGGAGGAACAGCCTTACCACCAATCGCGCAGAAACCGTTGGATGGGGCTTGAATATCACCTAGGACACCGGGCCACGAGCTTCTGCAGGTGCAAAGACGCGTCGAAAAACAACTAGTTTCTCGAAAAACGAAAGGAACGCTAAAGATACCTGCACTGCAGTACTCCAGAGTCCCCCTCTGTCCAGACCCACGACTTCGGGTTCGGGGTCGCACGTTATCCGAGAACAGCAAACGCGGTCACAAATGTCTCAGGCGCAATTGCGGACCCGATCAACTGGAGTCAAATTCAATTGCGACAACAGTCGCTGGACATCATCGAAGACAGGGTACTGAGGGGGCGGGACAGGGGGCGCGAGGGGGAGGAAAAAGACGGGAAGCACCGGTCGGGGATCCCGATTCGAAAAAGGGGGGAGAAGTTACCCCCAAAGAACAGAATCAAAGAAACAAAAAAAAAAAAACATAAAACCAAAAGGAAAAAATGGCCCAAAGGGAAGAAGGAAAGGCCAGATGAGAGGGTGGAAAGGGAAAAGAGGAGGTGAGATACGAACAGGTAGTTTCTCTTAGTCTGGGGGAGGCGGGTCTCTGACTCTTGAGCCTTAGATGAGAGGGTTTGACCACTTTGGACACTTGGGGAATCCCTAAGGTGGATTTTATTAAATCATTCGGAAGATTCATTTATGTGGTAGTTCCGTTATACCCTAGGGTCTCTCTGGGTATGTTCAGGCACAAATGGAGAGAGAGCCCATCACGAAGTACTACAACATACGAGGGCCAGCTACCCAAAGCTTTGGGGTATGATACATCCACGGTGACGACAAGGACTATACGGAGTACAGGTGATTTGTGTGCGCGTACTCCGTCCTCCGTACGGAGCACAAGGTGTGGATTCCATATTAATTGCCCATATATTGATCTCAAATCCCTTGCGGCCATCCCAGCTTCTGTGCTAAAAAGAATTCCATTAAAAAAGGGCTCGAGTCCCGAGGGCTGATCACCGCATGTGCCAAAGAACCGAAGCGTACGGAGTACTCCGTACGGATTATGGAGTCCGCCGTACTTCGTACATGGTAATATGTACTTCATAAATAGGAATAATACCCAAAAGCTGAACCCAGGTGCCAAAAGTGCCAGAAGGTACGCTTTCGAACGAAAAAAAAAATAGGGGGTTGCACCGGTTGTTTCGAATGCTCATGGAGTGGACACCTCGGACGATCGTCATTATTAGCCTCCCAGAACAGAAGCTCAGATCGCGCTTTTTTGCTCTCTTTCTTTATTGGTCTAAGATAATTTTAATAGATTAAACCCATACTCCGTACAGTGTGCGTGGTTATGGTGGGATCAATCTATAATATGGTGAACTCCAGATACTCGGAGTTCAAGAGATTAACCGTGAAAATGGTGTGCAGTAGTCGCATCTCCCTAGCTTCGGCTAGCTGTCAATACTCCGTAAGCGCCAATGGCTCTTGGTTTGAACTCTACGGAGTACTCCGTATGGAGGTTGGAGTAATGTACGGAGTCCTTTGAAAGCCACATACATTGCATACATGTACATTCCATGGCATGTACTCTACTCCTTACGAAGCACGGAGTAATGAACCTTGGAAGTGACGACACAAGGTATTCGCCTGAACCATGGGACCAGTGCGTTGACCACGGTAAGGGTAATGCGAACCACGGTTGCGTCCCGATCTGAGCAGCCCCGGGGATCTTGTTAGCGCTCGCGTCCATGGAAATGGCCATCAAGTGCAACCTTGGGCCGATTAATGTACGGAGTACGAGTAATGCGGTTCCTGAATAGTCCGGTCTGCAACACTAAACCTTACTCTATCATTCATGTAGTACCTATGTACTTGATTTCCTATGCCACTTCTTGGCTTTCCATTTCCGTCTTAGTGCTCAGTCCTTGCCGCTTTTTGCTCACTGAGCGTCACCTGAGTGTTCTGACTAGCTCACTAAGCACGACCTGATTATTATATAAGCTCAAGACTTTGCTCACCGGAGCGAAGCGTAGGGAGCAGCTAAGTCAGCAGCTCACCTCAATAAAATGCACCACGCTAGCCCCATCCAAATGCAGTTGTTCACAAGGACTCTTGACCGTCGTCCCCTCAACAAAAGGCTGGCGTCATCAATTTGGCGGTCGATCCTGGTTATTTCGCCTCCAGCTAAGAGGCAAATTGATAGTGGGGCTACATTCATTGGTATTACTATTCTGCGGCTATACTACTATTTAACTCGCCGAGTCGCGCATTCTACAATACCGTCTCTATATAGTTGCGGAAAATATCCAGCCCTCAATTTTTGGTTCTACAATATCTAGGAATATCTCAGAAACCCCTAATTGAGTGGTTTATAAATCTAGTTTAGTGTTTAATTCTTATTTTTCAATTCTTTTGTATTTTGCTTGAATAACACTGGTTTATCGCTCTTGTTGCCTGCCCGCTTGCTCCTAGGAATACCACTTCAGCTCTGGCGACCTAGGTATCCGCAAAAATATTCTAGACTAATCGATTATGTCTACTGGGGTGATCTAGCTGCCTATAACGAAATTTGCGTCCCCTTATTTGTCTAACGTACTCTAACGTATTGAAACTAGCAATCAGAAAATAACTCATCCTAGCTGAAGTCCGAGAGGACTTCCTAGGAGCTCTAGACCTTTTTTGTGCCACCGCAAACCCAAACTATCAAATACCATTGGGGCCCCTGTGTTGGGTCCGGGTCCGGGTCCGATACCTATCTCGACCCAACCCCGGGTTGTGCGACAGACTAAACCTTCGTCCGTTTCCTATCATAATTTTACGATTTGTATGCCATTACTTACTACCGAAGACGGCAGCCACCTTCAGGAGGGGGCACATATCAGGCTATGGCTGGTCATATGACCTGAGCCGTATATTATCATTAGACTAGACATTATAATATCATTATAGTTCCACCAGCTATAGGCTTTCACGCAACAGCGATAGAGGAAATAATATCACAAGCAAAAGCCACAACCACACCAGGTCGACAGAGACGATCCGCTCCTTGGATAAGAATAAGAGCCCGGATCTAGCTAGACAATTGAAAACAAGATGACATGAAGCAACGAACTTCTCTCATCGCGAACTGTCTAGCCAAATGATCATGTGCAAAGCAGATGCAAATGCATTCAAGCCTGCATAGCTGACTCCCACAACCTGGGAATCTGGTCCGGGAACCCTCTGTTTGGACCTCAGATCTTTGACGGAGATTTGGCCTTGCAAGATATCGGATCGCTCCCACAGTACTGGTACACGCTCAGAAACATTTGAAATCGTCGCCCCGGTCCAATAGTCCACCGTAGTTCGCCAGTCTTCGCCGGCCAAATCAATCTTAACCAACGGACGGAAGTCAACATCCTTGAAAATCAAAATGACCCCATCTGGGCCAGCATAGTCCAACGCATACTTGAGTGAGGAAGTAGCGTATAAACCGGGTCCGAACTCGTTCTGAAGCGTGTATGAGGAGACGAGGGGCGCGAAGAGTGAGGCTAGGCTGACTATTGACGGACGTGATAAGCCCTTGTAAAGAAGATTGCCGCCAAGTGAATTGATGAATGTATTCATCAAATCAATGTAATTTTCATCACGGTTGTTCTTCTTTCCCTTCAGTTTTGTCTTAACGCAAGAAATCGTTGGCGGAAAAGATTGGAGGTGCGCAAAGGGGAAGACATCTTGAAACCTGTTTTGAGTAGGAGTTGTTGTGAGATTTGGGGGAATAGAGCTGGCATAAGAAAGCGTGGAAGCATGGCGTCGGACAGGTTCTTCATAGATCTTGTCCATGAATGTTGCTGGTATCTTCCCTTCTTCAAACAAAATTGAAACAATCCAAAGACGCGGAGAACCCTGTGGGATCGAACGGTACTCATCTGTAAGAACATATGCGGGATCGCGAATGAGCTCTTCGAGCTCTTCCACCCCCTCAAGCCAAAAAAGGCTTGACAACGGTCCGATGAACAAGGAGACCTGCTCGCCATCCTCATATAGATACTGTGATATCTCTTCTGGAATGACACCGGGGAATTCAATTCCTGCAGCCCAAACAGGTTGGTAGTCGGTTGCGTACAGATCTAATATATCTCTCTCGTCTCTCATTGTGAAGGTATTTTGGTCACTTCGAGGTGGAGTCGTTATCACTGGTCAATGACGGTGGGGTTTTGGAATGTGGGACCGGCTAGCGGCAGTGGTGGTACAGCAATAGGAAGACTGATACTAGACGCAACTGCACCAGGGGAAAACTCCTGCTTTCTCTTTGAAGTTCGAGCTTCCATTGTCAAGTAACAGAAAGGTGAGGTTGTCAAGGGAAAAAAACCTTGGAAGAACAGAAATGGAAAGAGTTGTTATGGTGGACGCAATTACGGTTATGAAAGTTTACGAGCGAAATTTTGCTGGATTACATGTATTATACCAAAACCTGTCAGGTGACCTAATCGTATACTCCGGATAAGCAAAAACATACACGTGACGTAGTTAGCGTGTTGCATTTTATTGATGGTGTTTACTCAGGCTCATGCCTACGCCCCGCAAAAAGGGCGGGTTTTGGTCACTGTATCCGAGCCCGCAGCTTTTGCAGGCTAGGTACCTAGTAGTCTCGAGTACGGCGACCATCGAAGCCTTTTGGGCAGTAGAAAAGCATCATCACTTTCAACAGAATGACTAAATCGGTCTCCTGGACCAGGTCATTTGGGTATACTCTGAATTAGACTAAGTGCTCATTAGAGGACTCTAAGCGGTCTCTGAGTAATCAGCGAGCATCCAATCAGACTCACTGAGTGCTCAGTGAGCGTTTATGGGATCTCACTGTTGAGTCACGTGAATATATCTGAGCAGCTCACTGAGTCGGAGCGGGGTATATAGCTCGGTAGGGTCCAGAATTTTCTCCGTAGGACTCAGAAACCTATTATGTCAGCCTTGAATTCTGACCCCCTATAAAGGGTGGAACCTAAGTAGGACTTAGAACTTATCAATTATATAATTAGATTTAATTATAAATTCTTTTATTTAACTTTTTTTCCTATACACTACGTACCGACACCCCTATCTATACCTACCTACCCTTATCTCTTACCATAATCCTACTAACTCCGTACTATCTAATACTTTAACTATAGATCCTTTACCTATATCCTCTATATAACGTTACGAGTCTCTATCTCTCCCTATTATAGACCTATAAGCTAGAAATAGGGCTAATACGGATGCCTAACTTTAATAAATCGTCTTTTCTTTAACCTATATTAGTTATCTTATTTTCTTTTTTATTTAAATATATATTTAATATATATTAACTTAATTTTATTAACTAGAGCGGTTAAAGCGAACGTGCTAGCGTCTAATATTTATTAAGGCAATCTAGTAGGAACTAGGAGAATCTTAATTACCTAGAGGGTTATATTATACTCCTATCTATAGTATACGATATAGAAGATAGAATCCTAATTAACGGAACTAGGAGGATACTTATCGAGATTATAGAAATCTAAGACTACCTTACGTTCTTAGACTACCCTAATATTACTTATAATAGTATTCTATATATTATTTACGTACGAAAGAATCCTCTTTACGATAAGGAGTATACCGCGGCGAATATTAATATAGTATTTAAAGAAATTATATCTAATATATATTTAATATATACTTAATATATACTAGATATAAGGCTAACTAAAATCGTATAGTACTAATTCTCGATTACGATAAACGGAACTTTAATACGCGTAATCTATATAACCTTCCTTAGAAATACCCTAAAAGATCCCGCGTTAAAATTATATTATAGAGCCTATACTTACTCTAGTATTCGGTGCTATACTTAAGCTTATCGGGATATTATCGCTCTATATAATAAGTATAACCGGGTTAAGCTAAAGATATTTACTAAACTTTAGGCTAAGGCTATAAAGCCTTACTATAAAAGTACCGCGTCTAAGGATCTCCGTAAGAAAATAAGGAAGTAAGCTCTACCTCGTTTATACCTTCTCTCTACTAAGTATATACTAAACTTATATTTAACTTAGATTTTTCTTTAGTTTTCTAATAGTATAGAATATATACCCCGCTCCTTATAAGTTATCTAAAACCGAGAGAACTTATAAGGGTACTAGCCTAACTATATAGGTAACTAATAGTACTATATATATTAGTTATCCCTTTAAAACCGTAGTATACTATTAGTATATATCCTACTAGGTTCCTATAGCTATCGTATAGGTTAATAAGTACTACCTAGAAGTTCTTTATAGAATACTAGGTCGTAAGATAAGTAACGTTAGTAAAAATAACTATTATTTTATCTAGTATCGGGTAGGGAGAACTAATATTTATAGTATAGTTCTCTTTCTATATACTTAATATATACTAACTATATACTAGACTCTATCTACTCTAATAGTATAGGTAGGCTAAAGGTAGTTCCTTATAAGGCTAGGTTTAATCTCTATATACTAGTCTTATAGGATCGATACCCGTATTATCTCCTCGTTAGTCGAGGATATTATCGTTATTTCCTACCGCTACTAATAAAGTTACTATCTTATATCGCCTAAGAGATTATATCTATACTTCTCTTATAGGATATCCTAAATATTACGCCCCGTATATATTACTTTCCCCTAATCCTAGTATTTACTAACGATAATAGGCAAATTTATATAATCCTCGTAATTTAGGTAGCTTACTCTTCGAGATACTAGACCTTTAAGTAAGACTATCTATAGCTATCTTAATATTACCGATCGGATCGCCGCTTTAATTCTTAAGTAGAAGATCCTTTATTTTCCTAGAGGAACTTACTTAGCTAGTATATATCGTGAATTCGAACTCGATAAGACTAAGGATATAGATAAGTAGTTTATTCGTAAAATCTATATACTAGATAAGGATAAAGGCCACTTCCTTATTATATACTATATATATAGATAAGCTAAGCTTTTCTAATATATATAGTATATTAAAATAGATCTTACTTTTAAAATAGTATAGGGGTAGACTAAGGTCTTCTCTCTTATTAGATAGAATAAGGTAGCTAAACGTAAGTAGAAACTTCTATATCGATTATAATTAATTAAGTTATTAATTTTTTTAGTAATTAAAATATATACTTAGGTTCTAATTAACGCTGAAAGCCGTAAATACTATTAGATTCTTTTTAAGAAGCTTTTTAAGATCCTTAGAAATATAGGATAAAGGCCTATCCGATAGTTATATTAATATAATTCTTAGGATTATACTAACGAAGGTATTCGGACTATTACTATTAATATATATTTAAAGTAAGCCCTAGGTATATTATTTATACGCTATATATTTACTAATTCCTAATTTATTCTACTAGGGTTTAGCGATTACCTTATAGGTCTTAACTCTCGTTAGATATAGTTAGAGTATTTATAATATATACTTATTATATACTATATATATATAAAACGTATATTTATATAGAGATATCCTAATTACGTAGTATCTACTATAATCGATCGTATCTATAAGTTACCTTCGAAGTAGGAAGCCTTTAAAATTATAGAGGAAGCTAAGAAAATATAGCTAGAGACTAAGTATTAGTTTAACTATAAATTAACCGGCTAGGTTTTTATAGGTATATTACCTAAGGCTTTAAGAATTCCTATCTATTAGTAGCTAAATACTAGACGCTATACTAGGATCTATAAAAGTAGCTATTATTAGGAGAATAAAGTAATAGATCGAAAGTAAGTATTATTACCTATAATCCTTAAGTAAGTTTATATTCTTTATATAGTTTATATAAGGCTAATATATTAGTTAGATTAAGGTAATACGCTATTAATATTAAGGATAAGATTTATATTAAGACTATTTAGGGCCTTCCTACCTTATAAAGGAACTAGAACCTAGCTAAGAAAATTACGAAGGGTGTTTTAAGGAAAGGTTTATTAAATATATATCTAGTATATAATAAACGTATACTAACTATTATTTAGATAAACGAAATCGCGTAGCTATAGAGAGGCGTATTAAGAATTTATACTTCTAGTATAATCCCTATAATAGCTATAATTAACGCTATCCTCTAATATAGCCGCTAAACTATACTATACTATCTCGGGCTTCTTCGGTCTATTTAACTAAAGGAAGTGAGTATACTACGCTATATACCGCGCGGTCTAGCACTCGAGCTCTATCTCCTAGGGATTCTTAGACGCTAACTCTATAAGTATCTTATTAAACCCCGATACCTAGTATCGAAGAGACTCGAGAGAAAGAGCTAGAATAGGAACTTATAACTCTAAGGAGGTATACTAGAATTTAAGTTATAGAAAAGGAGAAAGAAATACTATATCTATAGCTAGGCGAGGGTAGCTAATTTAGAAATTTCCTCTATATATTAAAATATTATATATATTTTGATCTTATTTTAACCTTATACTCTATATATACTTAGTAGATCTAATATAAATATCTACTTAGTATATACTTAGTATATACTAAGTAGATATTAAATAATATAAGTATATAGTTTAAAATCCACTAATTCTTTACCCTTTTTTTCGGTCTTCCTTCCTCCTCCTCTTCCTCCTCCTCTTCCTCTTCCTCCTCCTCTTCTCCCTCCTCTTCTCCCTCCTCTTCTCCCTCCTCCTCCTCCTCCTCCTCCTCCTCCTCCTCCTCTTCTCTACCTCTCTTTTTACCTCTAGGTCCTAGGGTAGACGTAATAGGTATAGTAGGTATAGTAGCTATTTTAGGCGTAGAGATAGTTATAGGGGTAGCTAGTGCTAGTACGGGGGGTGCTAGTACGGGGGGTACTAGTATAGGGGGTACTAGTATAGGGGGTACTAATATAGGGGGTACTAGTATAGGGGGTGCTAGTATAGGGGGTGCTAGTACGGGGGGTACTATAAGAGCGGTAGTTATAGTACTAAACCTAGGAAAAGGGACTAGGGGGATATCCGCCCTATACTATATAGATTATTAGTAAATATTAAATAAATATAGGAGGGTTATATACTTACTCTACGTCGGCGTTAACTAGATCCTAGGGTAGGCGGTGTTAGAAACCGATAGAAACGTTAACTAAATCGAGCCGTAAATTAAGTATTAGTCGCACTATTTATATAGTTAGTATATATCCTTATAAATAGAAATTATATCTTAACTTACGTAATACGCTCTAAAGCGTTATACTAATATCTAACTAAATCATTCTTAGGGCCGCGGCTAGGCTTATAGAGATAACTTACCTATTACTAACTACGAGTAAGAACCTATCGCTTAATTACATTTTATACGGTAATTATTTAGTCCTAAGTCTTCTATCGGCGGTTAGGTATAGTAGCTATATTAATAAAAGTTAGTATATACTAAGTATATATAAAAGGAATAACTTACTTACGCTAGAATAATCTTAACGTAAATATCGGCGTATAGCCGGGCTATCTAGGAATATTAACCTATATATCTACTACCTATTTATAATAATATTATATATACCGATATTCTCTTTATTTAGTACGATAGCTTAGTTTAGGGGAGGGGTAGCTTAGATATCCGCTACTTTAATATTATATCTTAGGATACTAGTAGCTATTATAGTATAATACGCTACTAGCTTCTAGCCCGGGTTATTATTAAGGATTAGTCCTATATATATGTTAAGGTAACTGTTTGTTAAGGCAGTACTTGTTAACTAGGTGAATAATGATACGAGAGGGATACGTAGTTAGAACGAAGGGTATTCGATTCTATATTGGTTATAAGACTGAATCTTGCCTTCCCTTTTCCTATAGGTGTCTTCCTTTTATGATTTAGGTTCCCCGCTTCTCGGGACCGGATTATATTAGTTCTATCCCGATATCGTAGGGTATTCGGAGGGGTCTTCTCCGTCTAAGAGAAAGGGAGTCTAAGGCAAAATAGTATAATAAAGAAATACCGTAATAACTATCCCCCCTTCTCTATAAAACCCGTCCCGGGGTTTTAGGTTAAATAAAGGGAAGTATAAGTTATAAGGTAAGAAGGGTTCCTATTGAGTTTATTCCTTTCTCTATTTTATAGAGCCTCGTTAGTATAGCCGTAGTAGTAGCTAACGGGCGGGATATTAGCGATCTAGTACCGGAACTAGAACTAGTCTAGTGCCTAAGCTACTTACGTTCTGACTTAAAGTCCTTTAATACTACCGAAGGGGAGGTTTTCTCTATCTCTTATTAGTATAATACGATCGCGTCTATCTTTTACGAGCGATATTATATAGATAAGAAGACTTATAATATAGTACGTTTTCGGGCTTTTATCGTAATAGATCCGTACTTATCCTATATAGGTACCCGTTAGTATAATAAGGGATACTTAGGATTTTTCTACTATCTTAAAATTTTTAAAGGTTCTCTTAGATAATAAAATAGAGTTATCGGAGTAGATCTATACGGAAATCGCTAAGAGTTCGTATAATTTAGCCTAGGCGTTTAACGCGGCGGTTATTAGTTACTATTCGTATTAGAATTTAGTAGATACGAAGAAAATATAAGTTATAAGTATTTTATAACCGTTTCGTTAACGATTCGTCTTCTAATAATAGTCTAGCTATTTTAAGCGAATTATAACGAGTTTACGAACGGTCGTTAGGCTAATATATAGACTATACTTAATAGTCGTAGTTTAACTCTATTAGATCGGGGTAGACTTTTAAGTCTACTCCTTAGGGATATAGGATATACTTATTAGACTATTACGAAATAGAGGTATTTAGAGTCCGTTTCTAATACTTTTATAGCTATATTTAGGGAAGCTATAGGAACGATCCTACTTAATACTTTCGGGATTAACGAGTGTAGGAGGTTCGTGACTTATTCTCCTCGATAAAAGGGAAGGTACTATATACGTAGTTCCTTCCTTATAATAAAGGTAGCCTAGAATAAAAGAGGAATTTATTTTAATTTTCTAACTATAATCTTTTCTTTCTTTACGTTATTTCGTTATTATTTATATATAGTTCCTCGTGTATTTTATAGGTAATCCCCTTATATCTTATCGTCTTATCTTTTTACGAGTCCTATTTATTTCTATAGGAACCTTCCTTTATTATAGCGTAAGGTCGTAGTCGCGGTCGCGGTCGTAGTTATAGTCGGGGTCGTAGTATAATTCCTATTAACGACCCGCCTATAGACTAGTCTATACCCTCTTCTCTTTCGGCTACTTCTAAGATAGTATCTAAGGTTTATAACTATTCCGACGTAGATCCGTTATCGACTCCTCCTCGTATAGGTCCTATTAGGACTACTTATCGTACTCGAAACTCCGGTTCTTCTACGCGCCTAAAACGAAATCGTCCTATCTAATATCGCTTAAATTAGTATATTACCTATTTATATATAGCTAAGAAGAAGTAGGTTACCGATAAACCCCTTAAGGTTAAGTATAAATCTAAGACTATTAGTTCTATTTCTTACTAGTATTATATAGAGAAACGACGGGTATATAACTTAGTATAGATTCGTTCGCCTTTCTTATTAGTATCGGACCCTAATCGTATAGGTTCCGAGTGGTATTACCGGTAACGCTATAGATCTAACCTTAATTATTAAATAGTCTACCTAATTTTTTAAAAAGCTAGAGGATCGCCCTAACTATATAAAATAGGATAGGGTTAATAGGTCCCGATTTTTCTATAGGCCTACTATCCGGGCTATTATTAAGAGTAGGATCCGTAGGTTAATCTCTAACTTTTCTACGTTAATCTATAGTTATCGAGCTACTTATAGTTTCCCCCTATCTCGAAAGAAGACTCCTATTATAAGTATTACCTTCTCCCTTTTAGGTATGTTTCCCTAACGAATCGGTAGGATATCGCTAACGCTTATAAACGGTTCCTCTCTTCTCGAGGTCTAACCCCTTTACCTTACCCTAGTCTTTTAGCTATACTAGCTAAGCGGAAGGCCTACGACGTTTCTATTCGCTACTTTATCCGCTATAGGGATTCGGGATATACCTTATAGAACGCCGCGAAGTATTCGTTTATTAGGGATTTAATAATAGCGATTATTATAAGTAGTTAAGATACCGATATAAGCCCTATACTTTCCCTTAGTGTCTAGACTAGCTTTCTAATCGTACTAGATACGCTATAGGTTCGTTATATATTCGGTATAGTTTCCGGAATTATTCTATTTTCTCGTTTTTAAAGGTTATTTCTTCTATAATATCTCGGAGGTATTTTGATAGTGAAACGGGCTCGTTTCGATCTAGATCTATTATCTTCTTTTTATTAATAGGGTATTAAATTTGACTATATACTTTAAGCTTTCTTCTTCTTTTCCTTAAGTTTTCTAAAGGACTTAATAGCTTCTTTTATATTTCCTATATTTTCTTCTAGGATCTATTAGTTATATTTAGTAGGCTAACCCTTCTATTTTACTAAGAAGTGTCTCTCCTTATTAAATAGCCTCTTATCTTTAATATTTTTAATTTCCTATTTATCGGACTCTTTAAGTTCTAGTATTAGTAAGGTTTCGGACTTTTCTTCCTTCTATAGTTCTAGAAGAGAGATATAGAATACGTTATATATCTTATCGTATTAGTTTAAGAGACTTAACTGGTACGCTTAGGATCCGATAGGGTTTAGGACCTATAACGGTCTAATATATCTTAGGGCTAGTTTCTTAGTGTAGACTTTAAACTTTAGGTTTCTTATTAATAACCCTACTAAATCGCCTTTTTTAAATACTATAGGTTTATAAACGGAGTTAAATCGTTTCGCGGATAATTCGGAAGCTTTTCGCTATCGTTCCGTTATATCTTCCCGTAACTTTTTTAGAATCTCGATTCTTTTAGTTACGGCTAGGACCTCCTTTTTATACGTTTCGTCCTCGGAACGTATACGAAAGTTAGGCTTATAGCTTATAAGAGCTATAAATAGAGAGTAGCCTATAGTTATATTAGGCGAGTTATTATAGGCGTATTATACTATTAGTAGTAGTTTTAGTTATATAAGTTACTCTATATTAATAAAATATCTAAGATAATATTCTAGCGTTTGATTTATACGCTCGGTTTAACTATCTATTTAGGGGTAAAACGTAGTAGAAAGGTATAGTTTTACCTTACTTTCGTAGTATAGTTAAGACTAAAATTTGCTAGTAAATATAGGGCCTCGATTAGATATAATACCCTATAGGGGTCTATAGCGAAGTTCTACTTCTATATAGAAAAGCTTTACGAGCTCGGAGGCGTTAATTAATATAGAAACGGTAAAAAATAGAGCCTATTTTATTATCCTATTAATAATAATAAGGATACTATCTATTATATCGTTTTTATAAATTATAGGTAGTAATCCTATAATAAAATCTATCGATAATTTAGCGAAGGGTCGAGTAGAAATCGGTAGTGTTCCGAGCACGCTATATAGCCGATGCCTCGGAGCTACGTTTCCTTAATATACTATATATTCGGATACGTATTCCGCGATATCTTAGTATATATTTTACTAGTAGAAATATCTTTATAGTAATATTAATATTCTATATTTACTAAAATGTCCCGCTAGGGTATTATTATAATAAAGACTAAGGAGTTTTTTCCTTAAGTTCTCCCCCCGCGGGGATATAGAGTCTTTCTTTATACCTTATAATACTATATAGATTAACGCCTTAACCTTTATTACTTAGTTTCGACTAGGAAATAGTAAGTTTTCGGCGGCGTATCTTAGGATCGCTATCCTAGATTTTCTCGATTAGGTTTTAGAGGTCCGGTTATACTTCCTATATATATACGGATTAGTTTCGGTACGTATATTTAACCGTTTTATAGGGTATCCGTTAGTCGTAATCTAACTCTTCCTATATAGCCTAGTTAGCTACTTCTATACTAGCTTCGTCGCTATTTATACTAGTCCGTTCTAGATTAAACTAGGATTTACTAGTATATAAATCGCTAATACTTAGCGATTTAGCTATAGTAACACTCCGTTTCGGTAGTGTTCTAGTAACGATTCTATTATATAACGGTCTAAGTAGATCTTCTACTAAGGCGTCCCCTAGTTTTAGATCTACTTTTTAGGATAATATATCTATAGGATTTATTTTTCTTAGTCTATATTTAATAAAAAAGTTATATAGGGATAGGAATATATACTATCTCGCTTATCTTCTATTTAGCTTTAGCTACTTTATAAAAGTCTATAAATTTATATAATCGGATAGAACTTCTATA